GGCTCCCTGAAAGTAATACCCGGGTATTAGGTTTTGGGGCTATGGTAAGGTTTAAGTTTTTTGGCGTTAGGGTTAAAATCACTGTCCAAAACCTTTGTAGGAACTCTTTTCCAACCTTTTGGAGTTAGTTAGACCAAAAAAAATGAAAAATTAAAAAAAATATATTTGGGGTGTTCAGGCTTCCTAAAAGTAATACCCGGGTATTAGGTTATGGGGCTATGGTAAGGTTTAAGGTTTTTGGCGTTAGGGTTAAAATCACTGTCCAAAACCTTTGTAGGAACTCTTTTTCAACCTTTTGGAGTTAGTTAGACCAAAAAAAAAATGAAAAATGAAAAAAAAAATATTTGGGGTTTACGGGCTTCCTGAATGTAATACCCGGGTATTAGATTTTAAGGCCAGGGAAAGGTTTACTTTTTTTGGCGTTAGGGTTAAAATCACTGTCCAAAACCTTTGTAGGAACTCTTTTCCAACCTTTTGGAGTTAGTTAGACCAAAAAATATGAAAAAAGAAAAAAAAATTATTGGGGGTTTTCGGGCTTCCTGAAAGTAATACCCGGGTATTAGGTTTTGGGGCTATGGTAAGGTTTAAGTTTTTTGGCGTTAGGGTTAAAATCACTGTCCAAAACCTTTGTAGGAACTCTTTTCCAACCTTTTGGAGTTAGTTAGACCAAAAAATATGAAAAAAGAAAAAAATATTATTGGGGGTTTTCGAGCTCCCTGAAAGTAATACCCGGGAATTAGGTTTTGGGGCTATGGTAAGGTTTAAGTTTTTGGCGTTAGGGTTAAAATCACTGTCCAAAACCTTTGTAGGAACTCTTTTCCAACCTTTTGGAGTTAGTTAGACCAAAAAAAAATGAAAAATTAAAAAAAATATATTTGGGGTGTTCAGGCTTCCTAAAAGTAATACCCGGGTATTAGGTTATGGGGCTATGGTAAGGTTTAAGGTTTTTGGCGTTAGGGTTAAAATCACTGTCCAAAACCTTTGTAGGAACTCTTTTCCAACCTTTTGGAGTTAGTTAGACCAAAAAAAAAATGAAAAATGAAAAAAAAAAAATTTGGGGTTTACGGGCTTCCTGAAATTAATACCCGGGTATTAGATTTTAAGGCCAGGGAAAGGTTTAAGTTTTTTGGCGTTAGGGTTAAAATCACTGTCCAAAACCTTTGTAGGAACTCTTTTCCAACCTTTTGGAGTTAGTTAAACCAAAAAAAAATGAAAAATTAAAAAAAATATATTTGGGGTGTTCAGGCTTCCTAAAAGTAATACCCGGGTATTAGGTTATGGGGCTATGGTAAGGTTTAAGGTTTTTGGCGTTAGGGTTAAAATCACTGTCCAAAACCTTTGTAGGAACTCTTTTTCCAACCTTTTGGAGTTAGTTAGACCAAAAAAAAAATGAAAAATGAAAAAAAATATATTTGGGGTTTACGGGCTTCCTGAATGTAATACCCGGGTATTAGATTTTAAGGCCAGGGAAAGGTTTAAGTTTTTTGGCGTTAGGGTTAAAATCACTGTCCAAAACCTTTGTAGGAACTCTTTTCCAACCTTTTGGAGTTAGTTAGACCAAAAAATATGAAAAAAGAAAAAAATATTATTGGGGGTTTTCGGGCTCCCTGAAAGTAATACCCGGGTATTAGGTTTTGGGGCTATGGTAAGGTTTAAGTTTTTTGGCGTTAGGGTTAAAATCACTGTCCAAAACCTTTGTAGGAACTCTTTTCCAACCTTTTGGAGTTAGTTAGACCAAAAAATATGAAAAAAGAAAAAAATATTATTGGGGGTTTTCGGGCTCCCTGAAAGTAATACCCGGGTATTAGGTTTTGGGGCTATGGTAAGGTTTAAGTTTTTGGCGTTAGGGTTAAAATCACTGTCCAAAACCTTTGTAGGAACTCTTTTCCAACCTTTTGGAGTTAGTTAGACCAAAAAAAAAAAGAAAAATGAAAAAAAAATATTTGGGGTGTTCAGGTTTCCTAAAAGTAATACCCGGGTATTAGGTTATGGGGCTATGGTAAGGTTTAAGTTTTTTGGCGTTAGGTTTAAAATCACTGTCCAAAACCTTTGTAGGAACTCTTTAACAACCTTTTGGATTTAGTTAGACCAAAAAAAAATGAAAAATTAAAAAAAATATATTTGGGGTGTTCAGGCTTCCTAAAAGTAATACCCGGGTATTAGGTTATGGGGCTATGGTAAGGTTTAAGGTTTTTGGCGTTAGGGTTAAAATCACTGTCCAAAACCTTTGTAGGAACTCTTTTCCAACCTTTTGGAGTTAGTTACACCAAAAAAAATGTAAAATGAAAAAAAAAAAATATTTGGGGTGTTCGGGCTTCCTGAATGTAATACCCGGGTATTAGATTTTAAGGCCAGGGTAAGGTTTAAGTTTTTTGGCGTTAGGGTTAAAATCACTGTCCAAAACCTTTGTAGGAACTCTTTTCCAACCTTTTGGAGTTAGTTAGACCAAAAAAAAATGAAAAATGAAAAAAAAATATTTGGGGTGTTCAGGCTTCCTAAAAGTAATACCCGGGTATTAGGTTATGGGGCTATGGTAAGGTTTAAGTTTTTTGGCGTTAGGGTTAAAATCACTGTCCAAAACCTTTGTAGGAACTCTTTTCCAACCTTTTGGAGTTAGTTAGACCAAAAAAAAAGAAAAATGAAAAAAAAATATTTGGGGTTTTCGGGCTTCCTGAAAGTAATACCCGGGTATTAGGTTTTGGGGCTATGGGTAAGGTTTAAGTTTTTGGCGTTAGGGTTAAAATCACTGTCCAAAACCTTTGTAGGAACTCTTTCCAACCTTTTGGAGTTAGTTAGACCAAAAAAAATGAAAAAAGAAAAAAATATATTTGGGGTGTTCAGGCTTCCTAAAAGTAATACCCGGGTATTAGGTTATGGGGCTATGGTAAGGTTTAAGGTTTTTGGCGTTAGGGTTAAAATCACTGTCCAAAACCTTTGTAGGAACTCTTTTCCAACCTTTTGGAGTTAGTTAGACCAAAAAAAAAAAGAAAAATGAAAAAAAAATATTTGGGGTGTTCAGGCTTCCTAAAAGTAATACCCGGGTATTAGGTTATGGGGCTATGGTAAGGTTTAAGGTTTTTGGCGTTAGGGTTAAAATCACTGTCCAAAACCTTTGTAGGAACTCTTTTCCAACCTTTTGGAGTTAGTTAGACCAAAAAAAATGGAAAAAGAAAAAAAAATATTATTGGGGGTTTTCGGGCTCCCTGAAAGTAATACCCGGGTATTAGATTTTAAGGCCAGGGAAAGGTTTAAGTTTTTTGGCGTTAGGGTTAAAATCACTGTCCAAAACCTTTGTAGGAACTCTTTTCCAACCTTTTGGAGTTAGTTAGACCAAAAAAAAATGAAAAATTAAAAAACAATATTTGGGGTTTTCGGGCTTCCTGAATGTAATACCCGGGTATTAGATTTTGAGGCTAGGGTAAGGTTTAAGGTTTTTGGCGTTAGGGTTAAAATCACTGTCCAAAACCTTTGTAGGAACTCTTTTCCAACCTTTTGGAGTTAGTTAGACCAAAAAAAAATGAAAAATGAAAAAAAAAATATTTGGGGTTTACGGGCTTCCTGAATGTAATACCCGGGTATTAGATTTTAAGGCCAGGGAAAGGTTTAAGTTTTTTGGCGTTAGGGTTAAAATCACTGTCCAAAACCTTTGTAGGAACTCTTTTCCAACCTTTTGGAGTTAGTTAGACCAAAAAATATGAAAAAAGAAAAAAATATTATTGGGGGTTTTCGGGCTCCCTGAAAGTAATACCCGGGTATTAGGTTTTGGGGCTATGGTAAGGTTTAAGTTTTTTGGCGTTAGGGTTAAAATCACTGTCCAAAACCTTTGTAGGAACTCTTTTCCAACCTTTTGGAGTTAGTTAGACCAAAAAAAAAAGAAAAATGAAAAAAAAATATTTGGGGTGTTCAGGTTTCCTAAAAGTAATACCCGGGTATTAGGTTTTGGGGCTATGGTAAGGTTTAACGTTTTTGGCGTTAGGGTTAAAATCACTGTCCAAAACCTTTGTAGGAACTCTTTTCCAACCTTTTGGAGTTAGTTAGACCAAAAAAAATGAAAAATTAAAAAAATATATTTGGGGTGTTCAGGCTTCCTAAAAGTAATACCCGGGTATTAGGTTATGGGGCTATGGTAAGGTTTAAGGTTTTTGGCGTTAGGGTTAAAATCACTGTCCAAAACCTTTGTAGGAACTCTTTTCCAACCTTTTGGAGTTGGTTACACCAAAAAAAATGTAAAATGAAAAAAAAATATTTGGGGTGTTCGGGCTTCCTGAATGTAATACCCGGGTATTAGATTTTAAGGCCAGGGTAAGGTTTAAGTTTTTTGGCGTTAGGGTTAAAATCACTGTCCAAAACCTTTGTAGGAACTCTTTTCCAACCTTTTGGAGTTAGTTAGACCAAAAAAAAAAGAAAAATGAAAAAAAAATATTTGGGGTGTTCAGGCTTCCTAAAAGTAATACCCGGGTATTAGGTTATGGGGCTATGGTAAGGTTTAAGTTTTTTGGCGTTAGGGTTAAAATCACTGTCCAAAACCTTTGTAGGAACTCTTTTCCAACCTTTTGGAGTTAGTTAGACCAAAAAAAAATGAAAAATTAAAAAACAATATTTGGGGTTTACGGGCTTCCTGAATGTAATACCTGGGTATTAGGTTATGGGGCTATGGTAAGGTTTAAGGTTTTTGGCGTTAGGGTTAAAATCACTGTCCAAAACCTTTGTAGGAACTCTTTTTCAACCTTTTGGAATTAGTTAGACCAAAAAAAAAATGAAAAATGAAAAAAAAAATATTTGGGGTTTACGGGCTTCCTGAATGTAATACCCGGGTATTAGATTTTAAGGCCAGGGAAAGGTTTAAGTTTTTTGGCGTTAGGGTTAAAATCACTGTCCAAAACCTTTGTAGGAACTCTTTTCCAACCTTTTGGAGTTAGTTAGACCAAAAAATATGAAAAAAGAAAAAAATATTATTGGGGGTTTTCGGGCTCCCTGAAAGTAATACCCGGGTATTAGGTTTTGGGGCTATGGTAAGGTTTAAGTTTTTGGCGTTAGGGTTAAAATCACTGTCCAAAACCTTTGTAGGAACTCTTTTCCAACCTTTTGGAGTTAGTTAGACCAAAAAATATGAAAAAAGAAAAAAATATTATTGGGGGTTTTCGGGCTTCCTGAAAGTAATACCCGGGTATTAGGTTTTGGGGCTATGGTAAGGTTTAAAGTTTTTGGCGTTAGGGTTAAAATCACTGTCCAAAACCTTTGTAGGAACTCTTTTCCAACCTTTTGGAGTTAGTTAGACCAAAAAAAAAAGAAAAATGAAAAAAAAATATTTGGGGTGTTCAGGCTTCCTAAAAGTAATACCCGGGTATTAGGTTATGGGGCTATGGTAAGGTTTAACGTTTTGGCGTTAGGTTTAAAATCACTGTCCAAAACCTTTGTAGGAACTCTTTTCCAACCTTTTGGAGTTAGTTAGACCAAAAAAAAATGAAAAATTAAAAAATATATATTTGGGGTGTTCAGGCTTCCTAAAAGTAATACCCGGGTATTAGGTTATGGGGCTATGGTAAGGTTTAACGTTTTGGCGTTAGGTTTAAAATCACTGTCCAAAACCTTTGTAGGAACTCTTTTTCAACCTTTTGGAGTTGGTTACACCAAAAAAAATGTAAAATGAAAAAAAAATATTTGGGGTGTTCGGGCTTCCTGAATGTAATACCCGGGTATTAGATTTTAAGGCCAGGGTAAGGTTTAAGTTTTTTGGCATTAGTGTTAAAATCACTGTCCAAAACCTTTGTAGGAACTCTTTTCCAACCTTTTGGAGTTGGTTACACCAAAAAAAATGTAAAAAAAAAAAAAATATTTGGGGTGTTCGGGCTTCCTGAAAGTAATACCCAGGTATTAGGAGGTTTTGGGGCTATGGTAAGGTTTAAGTTTTTTGGCGTTAGGGTTAAAATCACTGTCCAAAACCTTTGTAGGAACTCTTTTCCAACCTTTTGGAGTTAGTTAGACCAAAAAAAAAGAAAAATGAAAAAAAAATATTTGGGGTGTTCAGGCTTCCTAAAAGTAATACCCGGGTATTAGGTTATGGGGCTATGGTAAGGTTTAACGTTTTTGGCGTTAGGGTTAAAATCACTGTCCAAAACCTTTGTAGGAACTCTTTTCCAACCTTTTGGATTTAGTTAGACCAAAAAAAATGAAAAATTAAAAAAAATATATTTGGGGTGTTCAGGCTTTCTAAAAGTAATACCCGGGTATTAGGTTATGGGGCTATGGTAAGGTTTAAGGTTTTTGGCGTTAGGGTTAAAATCACTGTCCAAAACCTTTGTAGGAACTCTTTTTCCAACCTTTTGGAGTTAGTTAGACCAAAAAAAAAAAATGAAAAATGAAAAAAAATATATTTGGGGTTTACGGGCTTCCTGAATGTAATACCCGGGTATTAGATTTTAAGGCCAGGGAAAGGTTTAAGTTTTTTGGCGTTAGGGTTAAAATCACTGTCCAAAACCTTTGTAGGAACTCTTTTCCAACCTTTTGGAGTTAGTTAGACCAAAAAATATGAAAAAAGAAAAAAATATTATTGGGGGTTTTCGGGCTTCCTGAAAGTAATACCCGGGTATTAGGTTTTGGGGCTATGGTAAGGTTTAAGTTTTTTGGCGTTAGGGTTAAAATCACTGTCCAAAACCTTTGTAGGAACTCTTTTCCAACCTTTTGGAGTTAGTTAGACCAAAAAGTATGAAAAAAGAAAAAAATATTATTGGGGGTTTTCGGGCTCCCGGAAAGTAATACCCGGGTATTAGGTTTTGGGGCTATGGTAAGGTTTAAGTTTTTTGGCGTTAGGGTTAAAATCACTGTCCAAAACCTTTGTAGGAACTCTTTTCCAACCTTTTGGAGTTAGTTAGACCAAAAAATATGAAAAAAGAAAAAAAAATATTTGGGGTGTTCAGGCTTCCTAAAAGTAATACCCGGGTATTAGGTTTTGGGGCTATGGTAAGGTTTAAGTTTTTTGGCGTTAGGGTTAAAATCACTGTCCAAAACCTTTGTAGGAACTCTTTTCCAACCTTTTGGAGTTAGTTAGACCAAAAAATATGAAAAAAGAAAAAAATATTATTGGGGGTTTTCGGGCTCCCTGAAAGTAATACCCGGGAATTAGGTTTTGGGGCTATGGTAAGGTTTAAGTTTTTTGGCGTTAGGGTTAAAATCACTGTCCAAAACCTTTGTAGGAACTCTTTTTCAACCTTTTGGAGTTAGTTAGACCAAAAAAAAAATGAAAAATGAAAAAAAAATATTTGGGGTTTACGGGCTTCCTGAAAGTAATACCCGGGTATTAGGTTTTAAGGCCAGGGAAAGGTTTAAGTTTTTTGGCGTTAGGGTTAAAATCACTGTCCAAAACCTTTGTAGGAACTCTTTTCCAACCTTTTGGAGTTAGTTAGACCAAAAAATATGAAAAAAGAAAAAAATATTTGGGGGTTTTCGGGCTCCCTGAAAGTAATACCCGGGTATTAGGTTTTGGGGCTATGGTAAGGTTTAAGTTTTTTGGCGTTAGGGTTAAAATCACTGTCCAAAACCTTTGTAGGAACTCTTTTCCAACCTTTTGGAGTTAGTTAGACCAAAAAATATGAAAAAAGAAAAAAATATTATTGGGGGTTTTCGGGCTCCCTGAAAGTAATACCCGGGTATTAGGTTTTGGGGCTATGGTAAGGTTTAAGTTTTTGGCGTTAGGGTTAAAATCACTGTCCAAAACCTTTGTAGGAACTCTTTTCCAACCTTTTGGAGTTAGTTAGACCAAAAAAAAAAAAGAAAAATGAAAAAAAAATATTTGGGGTGTTCAGGCTTCCTAAAAGTAATACCCGGGTATTAGGTTATTGGGCTATGGTAAGGTTTAACGTTTTGGCGTTAGGGTTAAAATCACTGTCCAAAACCTTTGTAGGAACTCTTTTCCAACCTTTTGGAGTTAGTAAGACCAAAAAAAAATGAAAAATTAAAAAAAATATATTTGGGATGTTCAGGCTTCCTAAAAGTAATACCCGGGTATTAGGTTATGGGGCTATGGTAAGGTTTAAGGTTTTTGGCGTTAGGGTTAAAATCACTGTCCAAAACCTTTGTAGGAACTCTTTTTCAACCTTTTGGAGTTAGTTACACCAAAAAAAATGTAAAATGAAAAAAAAATATATTTGGGGTGTTCGGGCTTCCTGAATGTAATACCCGGGTATTAGATTTTAAGGCCAGGGTAAGGTTTAAGTTTTTTGGCGTTAGGGTTAAAATCACTGTCCAAAACCTTTGTAGGAACACTTTTCCAACCTTTTGGAGTTGGTTAGACCAAAAAAAAAAAAGAAAAATGAAAAAAAAATATTTGGGGTGTTCAGGCTTCCTAAAAGTAATACCCGGGTATTAGGTTATGGGGCTATGGTAAGGTTTAAGTTTTTTGGCGTTAGGGTTAAAATCACTGTCCAAAACCTTTGTAGGAACTCTTTTCCAACCTTTTGGAGTTAGTTAGACCAAAAAAAAATGAAAAATTAAAAAACAATATTTGGGGTTTTCGGGGTTTCTGAATGTAATAGTATTAGATTTTGAGGCTAGGGTAAGGTTTAAGGTTTTTGGCGTTAGGGTTGAAATCACTGTCCAAAACCTTTGTAGGAACTCTTTTCCAACCTTTTGGAGTTAGTTAGACCAAAAAATATGAAAAATTAAAAAAAATATTATTGGGGGTTTTCGGGCTCCCTGAAAGTAATACCCGTGTATTAGGTTTTGGGACTAGGGAAAGGTTTAAGGTTTTTGGCGTTAGGGTTAAAATCACTGTCCAAAACCTTTGTAGGAACTCTTTTCCAACCTTTTGGAGTTAGTTAGACCAAAAAAAAAAAGAAAAATGAAAAAAAAATATTTGGGGTGTTCAGGCTTCCTAAAAGTAATACCCGGGTATTAGGTTATGGGGCTATGGGAAGGTTTAACGTTTTGGCGTTATGTTTAAAATCACTGTCCAAAACCTTTGTAGGAACTCTTTTCCAACCTTTTGGATTTAGTTAGACCAAAAAAAATGAAAAATTAAAAAAAATATATTTGGGTTGTTCAGGCTTCCTAAAAGTAATACCCGGGTATTAGGTTATGGGGCTATGGTAAGGTTTAAGGTTTTTGGCGTTAGGGTTAAAATCACTGTCCAAAACCTTTGTAGGAACTCTTTTCCAACCTTTTGGAGTTAGTTAGACCAAAAAAAAAAAGAAAAATGAAAAAAAAATATTTGGGGTGTTCAGGCTTCCTAAAAGTAATACCCAGGTATTAGGTTATGGGGCTATGGTAAGGTTTAAGTTTTTTGGCGTTAGGGTTAAAATCACTGTCCAAAACCTTTGTAGGAACTCTTTTCCAACCTTTTGGAGTTAGTTAGACCAAAAAAAAATGAAAAATTAAAAAACAATATTTGGGGTTTTCGGGGTTCCTGAATGTAATACCCGGGTATTAGATTTTGAGGCTAGGGTAAGGTTTAAGGTTTTTGGCGTTAGGGTTAAAATCACTGTCCAAAACCTTTGTAGGAACTCTTTTCCAACCTTTTGGAGTTAGTTAGACCAAAAAATATGAAAAAAGAAAAAAATAATATTGGGGGCTTTCGGGCTCCCTGAAAGTAATACCCGTGTATTAGGTTTTGGGACTAGGGAAAGGTTTAAGGTTTTTGGCGTTAGGGTTAAAATCACTGTCCAAAACCTTTGTAGGAACTCTTTTCCAACCTTTTGGAGTTAGTTAGACCAAAAAAAAAAATGAAAAATGAAAAAAAAATATTTGGGGTGTTCAGGCTTCCTAAAAGTAATACCCGGGTATTAGGTTATGGGGCTATGGGAAGGTTTAACGTTTTGGCGTTATGTTTAAAATCACTGTCCAAAACCTTTGTAGGAACTCTTTTTCAAACTTTTGGAGTTAGTTAGACCAAAAAAAATGAAAAATTAAAAAAAATATATTTGGGTTGTTCAGGCTTCCTAAAAGTAATACCCGGGTATTAGGTTATGGGGCTATGGTAAGGTTTAAGGTTTTTGGCGTTAGGGTTAAAATCACTGTCCAAAACCTTTGTAGGAACTCTTTTCCAACCTTTTGGAGTTAGTTAGACCAAAAAAAAATGAAAAATGAAAAAAAAAATATTTGGGGTTTACGGGCTTCCTGAAAAGTAATACCCGGGTATTAGGTTTTAAGGCCAGGGAAAGGTTTAAGTTTTTTGGCGTTAGGGTTAAAATCACTGTCCAAAACCTTTGTAGGAACTCTTTTCCAACCTTTTGGAGTTAGTTAGACCAAAAAGTATGAAAAAAGAAAAAAATATTATTGGGGGTTTTCGGGCTCCCTGAAAGTAATACCCGGGTATTAGGTTTTGGGGCTATGGTAAGGTTTAAGTTTTTTGGCGTTAGGGTTAAAATCACTGTCCAAAACCTTTGTAGGAACTCTTTTCCAACCTTTTGGAGTTAGTTAGACCAAAAAAAAAAAAGAAAAATGAAAAAAAATATATTTGGGGTGTTCAGGCTTCCTAAAAGTAATACCCGGGTATTAGGTTATGGGGCTATGGTAAGGTTTAAGGTTTTTGGCGTTAGGGTTAAAATCACTGTCCAAAACCTTTGTAGGAACTCTTTTCCAACCTTTTGGAGTTAGTTAGACCAAAAAAAAATGAAAAATGAAAAAAAAATATTTGGGGTTTACGGGCTTCCTGAATGTAATACCCGGGTATTAGATTTTAAGGCCAGGGAAAGGTTTAAGTTTTTTGGCGTTAGGGTTAAAATCACTGTCCAAAACCTTTGTAGGAACTCTTTTCCAACCTTTTGGAGTTAGTTAGACCAAAAAATATGAAAAAAGAAAAAAATATTATTTGGGGTGTTCAGGCTTCCTAAAAGTAATACCCGGGTATTAGGTTATGGGGCTATGGTAAGGTTTAAGGTTTTTGGCGTTAGGGTTAAAATCACTGTCCAAAACCTTTGTAGGAACTCTTTAACAACCTTTTGGATTTAGTAAGACCAAAAAAAAATGAAAAATTAAAAAAAATATATTTGGGGTGTTCAGGCTTCCTAAAAGTAATACCCGGGTATTAGGTTATGGGGCTATGGTAAGGTTTAAGGTTTTTGGCGTTAGGGTTAAAATCACTGTCCAAAACCTTTGTAGGAACTCTTTTTCAACCTTTTGGAATTAGTTAGACCAAAAAAAAAATGAAAAATGAAAAAAAAAATATTTGGGGTTTACGGGCTTCCTGAAAGTAATACCCGGGTATTAGGTTTTAAGGCCAGGGAAAGGTTTAAGTTTTTTGGCGTTAGGGTTAAAATCACTGTCCAAAACCTTTGTAGGAACTCTTTTCCAACCTTTTGGAGTTAGTTAGACCAAAAAGTATGAAAAAAGAAAAAAATATTATTGGGGGTTTTCGGGCTCCCTGAAAGTAATACCCGGGTATTAGGTTTTGGGGCTATGGTAAGGTTTAACGTTTTGGCGTTAGGTTTAAAATCACTGTCCAAAACCTTTGTAGGAACTCTTTTCCAACCTTTTGGAGTTAGTTAGACTAAAAAAAAAAAGAAAAATGAAAAAAAAATATTTGGGGTGTTCAGGCTTCCTAAAAGTAATACCCGGGTATTAGGTTATGGGGCTATGGTAAGGTTTAACGTTTTGGCGTTAGGTTTAAAATCACTGTCCAAAACCTTTGTAGGAACTCTTTAACAACCTTTTGGATTTAGTAAGACCAAAAAAAAATGAAAAATTAAAAAAAATATATTTGGGGTGTTCAGGCTTCCTAAAAGTAATACCCGGGTATTAGGTTATGGGGCTATGGTAAGGTTTAAGGTTTTTGGCGTTAGGGTTAAAATCACTGTCCAAAACCTTTGTAGGAACTCTTTTTCAACCTTTTGGAATTAGTTAGACCAAAAAAAAAATGAAAAATGAAAAAAAAAATATTTGGGGTTTACGGGCTTCCTGAATGTAATACCCGGGTATTAGATTTTAAGGCCAGGGAAAGGTTTAAGTTTTTTGGCGTTAGGGTTAAAATCACTGTCCAAAACCTTTGTAGGAACTCTTTTCCAACCTTTTGGAGTTAGTTAGACCAAAAAATATGAAAAAAGAAAAAAATATTATTGGGGGTTTTCGGGCTCCCTGAAAGTAATACCCGGGTATTAGGTTTTGGGGCTATGGTAAGGTTTAAGTTTTTTGGCGTTAGGGTTAAAATCACTGTCCAAAACCTTTGTAGGAACTCTTTTCCAACCTTTTGGAGTTAGTTAGACCAAAAAAAAAAAGAAAAATGAAAAAAAAATATTTGGGGTGTTCAGGCTTCCTAAAAGTAATACCCGGGTATTAGGTTATGGGGCTATGGTAAGGTTTAACGTTTTGGCGTTAGGTTTAAAATCACTGTCCAAAACCTTTGTAGGAACTCTTTTCCAACCTTTTGGAGTTAGTTAGACCAAAAAAAAATGAAAAAATTAAAAAATATATATTTGGGGTGTTCAGGCTTCCTAAAAGTAATACCCGGGTATTAGGTTATGGGGCTATGGTAAGGTTTAAGGTTTTTGGCGTTAGGGTTAAAATCACTGTCCAAAACCTTTGTAGGAACTCTTTTCCAACCTTTTGGAGTTAGTTAGACCAAAAAATATGAAAAAAGAAAAAAATAATATTGGGGGCTTTCGGGCTCCCTGAAAGTAATACCCGTGTATTAGGTTTTGGGACTAGGGAAAGGTTTAAGGTTTTTGGCGTTAGGGTTAAAATCACTGTCCAAAACCTTTGTAGGAACTCTTTTCCAACCTTTTGGAGTTAGTTAGACCAAAAAAAAAAAGAAAAATGAAAAAAAAATATTTGGGGTGTTCAGGCTTCCTAAAAGTAATACCCGGGTATTAGGTTATGGGGCTATGGGAAGGTTTAACGTTTTGGCGTTAGGTTTAAAATCACTGTCCAAAACCTTTGTAGGAACTCTTTAACAACCTTTTGGATTTAGTTAGACCAAAAAAAATGAAAAATTAAAAAAAATATATTTGGGTTGTTCAGGCTTCCTAAAAGTAATACCCGGGTATTAGGTTATGGGGCTATGGTAAGGTTTAAGGTTTTTGGCGTTAGGGTTAAAATCACTGTCCAAAACCTTTGTAGGAACTCTTTTTCAACCTTTTGGAATTAGTTAGACCAAAAAAAAAATGAAAAATGAAAAAAAAAATATTTGGGGTTTACGGGCTTCCTGAATGTAATACCCGGGTATTAGATTTTAAGGCCAGGGAAAGGTTTAAGTTTTTTGGCGTTAGGGTTAAAATCACTGTCCAAAACCTTTGTAGGAACTCTTTTCCAACCTTTTGGAGTTAGTTAGACCAAAAAGTATGAAAAAAGAAAAAAATATTATTGGGGGTTTTCGGGCTCCCTGAAAGTAATACCCGGGTATTAGGTTTTGGGGCTATGGTAAGGTTTAAGTTTTTTGGCGTTAGGGTTAAAATCACTGTCCAAAACCTTTGTAGGAACTCTTTTCCAACCTTTTGGAGTTAGTTAGACCAAAAAAAAAAGAAAAATGAAAAAAAAATATTTGGGGTGTTCAGGCTTCCTAAAAGTAATACCCGGGTATTAGGTTATGGGGCTATGGTAAGGTTTAAGGTTTTTGGCGTTAGGGTTAAAATCACTGTCCAAAACCTTTGTAGGAACTCTTTTTCAACCTTTTGGAATTAGTTAGACCAAAAAAAAAATGAAAAATGAAAAAAAAAATATTTGGGGTTTACGGGCTTCCTGAATGTAATACCCGGGTATTAGATTTTAAGGCCAGGGAAAGGTTTAAGTTTTTTGGCGTTAGGGTTAAAATCACTGTCCAAAACCTTTGTAGGAACTCTTTTCCAACCTTTTGGAGTTAGTTAGACCAAAAAGTATGAAAAAAGAAAAAAATATTATTTGGGGTGTTCAGGCTTCCTAAAAGTAATACCCGGGTATTAGGTTATGGGGCTATGGTAAGGTTTAACGTTTTGGCGTTAGGGTTAAAATCACTGTCCAAAACCTTTGTAGGAACTCTTTTCCAACCTTTTGGAGTTAGTTAGACCAAAAAAAATGAAAAATGAAAAAAAATATATTTGGGGTGTTCAGGCTTCCTAAAAGTAATACCCGGGTATTAGGTTATGGGGCTATGGTAAGGTTTAAGGTTTTTGGCGTTAGGGTTAAAATCACTGTCCAAAACCTTTGTAGGAACTCTTTTTCAACCTTTTGGAATTAGTTAGACCAAAAAAAAAATGAAAAATGAAAAAAAAAATATTTGGGGTTTACGGGCTTCCTGAATGTAATACCCGGGTATTAGATTTTAAGGCCAGGGAAAGGTTTAAGTTTTTTGGCGTTAGGGTTAAAATCACTGTCCAAAACCTTTGTAGGAACTCTTTTCCAACCTTTTGGAGTTAGTTAGACCAAAAAGTATGAAAAAAGAAAAAAATATTATTGGGGGTTTTCGGGCTCCCTGAAAGTAATACCCGGGTATTAGGTTTTGGGGCTATGGTAAGGTTTAAGTTTTTTGGCGTTAGGGTTAAAATCACTGTCCAAAACCTTTGTAGGAACTCTTTTCCAACCTTTTGGATTTAGTAAGACCAAAAAAAAATGAAAAATTAAAAAAATATATTTGGGGTGTTCAGGCTTCCTAAAAGTAATACCCGGGTATTAGGTTATGGGGCTATGGTAAGGTTTAAGGTTTTTGGCGTTAGGGTTAAAATCACTGTCCAAAACCTTTGTAGGAACTCTTTTTCAACCTTTTGGAATTAGTTAGACCAAAAAAAAATGAAAAATGAAAAAAAAAATATTTGGGGTTTACGGGCTTCCTGAATGTAATACCCGGGTATTAGATTTTAAGGCCAGGGAAAGGTTTAAGTTTTTTGGCGTTAGGGTTAAAATCACTGTCCAAAACCTTTGTAGGAACTCTTTTCCAACCTTTTGGAGTTAGTTAGACCAAAAAATATGAAAAAAGAAAAAAATATTATTGGGGGTTTTCGGGCTCCCTGAAAGTAATACCCGTGTATTAGGTTTTGGGACTAGGGAAAGGTTTAAGGTTTTTGGCGTTAGGGTTAAAATCACTGTCCAAAACCTTTGTAGGAACTCTTTTCCAACCTTTTGGAGTTAGTTAGACCAAAAAAAAAAAGAAAAATGAAAAAAAAATATTTGGGGTTTACGGGCTTCCTGAATGTAATACCCGGGTATTAGGTTATGGGGCTATGGGAAGGTTTAACGTTTTGGCGTTATGTTTAAAATCACTGTCCAAAACCTTTGTAGGAACTCTTTAACAACCTTTTGGATTTAGTTAGACCAAAAAAAATGAAAAATTAAAAAAAATATATTTGGGTTGTTCAGGCTTCCTAAAAGTAATACCCGGGTATTAGGTTATGGGGCTATGGTAAGGTTTAAGGTTTTTGGCGTTAGGGTTAAAATCACTGTCCAAAACCTTTGTAGGAACACTTTTCCAACCTTTTGGAGTTGGTTAGACCAAAAAAAAAAGAAAAATGAAAAAAAAATATTTGGGGTGTTCAGGCTTCCTAAAAGTAATACCCAGGTATTAGGTTATGGGGCTATGGTAAGGTTTAAGTTTTTTGGCGTTAGGGTTAAAATCACTGTCCAAAACCTTTGTAGGAACTCTTTTCCAACCTTTTGGAGTTAGTTAGACCAAAAAAAAAATGTAAAATGAAAAAAAAATATTTGGGGTTCAGGCTTCCTAGAAGTAATACCAGGGTATAATATTATGGGGCTATGGTAAGGTTTAAGGTTTTTGGTATTAGGGTTAAAATCACTGTCCAAAACCTTTGTAGGAACTCTTTTCCAACCTTTTGGAGTTGGTTACACCAACAAAAATGTAAAATGAAAAAAAAAATATTTGGGGTGTTCGGGCTTCCTGAAAGTAATACCCGGGTATTAGGTTATGGGGCTATGGTAAGGTTTAAGGTTTTTGGCATTAGGGTTAAAATCACTGTCCAAAACCTTTGCAGGAACTCTTTTCCAACCTTTTGGAGTTGGTTACACCAACAAAAATGTAAAATGAAAAAAATATATATTTTGGTTGTTCGGGCTTCCTGAAGTAATACCCGGGTATTAGGTTATGGGGCTATGGTAAGGTTTAAGGTTTTTGGCATTAGGGTTAAAATCACTGTCCAAAACCTTTGTAAGAACTCTTTTCCAACCTTTTGGAGTTAGTAAGACCAAAAAAAGAATGAAAAATGAAAAAAAATATATTTGGGGTTTCCGGGCTTCCTGAATGCAATACCCGGGTATTAGATTTTAAAGCCAATGTAAGGTTTAAGTTTTTTGGCGTTAGGGTTAAAATCACTGTCCAAAACCTTTGTAGGAACTCTTTTTCAACCTTTTGGAGTTAGTTAGACCACAAAAAAAAGAAAAATGAAAAAAAAATATTTTGGGTGTTCAGGCTTCCTCAAAGTAATACCCGGGTATTAGGTTATGGGGCTATGGTAAGTATTAGGGTTTTTGGCATTAGGGTTAAAATCACTGTCCAAAACCTTTGTAAGAACTCTTTTCCAACCTTTTGGAGTTAGTTAGACCAAAAAAAAATGAAAAATGAAAAAAAAAATATTTGGGGTTTTCGGGCTTCCTGAATGTAATACCCGGGTATTAGATTTTAAGGCTAGGGTAAGGTTTAAGTTTTTTGGCGTTAGGGTTAAAATCACTGTCCAAAACCTTTGTAGGAACTCTTTTCCAACCTTTTGGAGTTAGTTTGACCAAAAAAAAAAAAGAAAAATGAAAAAAAAATATTTGGGGTGTTCAGGCTTCCTAAAAGTAATACCCGGGTATTAGGTTATGGGGCTATGGTAAGGTTTAAGGTTTTTGGCGTTAGGGTTAAAATCACTGTCAAAAACCTTTGTAGGAACTCTTTTCCAACCTTTTGGAGTTGGTTACACCAACAAAAATGTAAAATGAAAAAAAAAATATTTGGGGTGTTCGAGCTTCCTGAAGGTAATACCCGGGTATTAGGTTATGGGGCTATGGTAAGGTTTTATTGTTTGGCGTTAGGTTTAAAATAAAAAAACAAACAAACAAACAAAAAAAAATCTCAAACCAAAAGTTCAAACAAGACACAAACTCAAGATCAAAAAACACCACAAACTCAAGTTCAACCAACACCCAAATCTCAAGTTTAACAATTGCCACAACCTCTAGTTCAAAAACAACACAAACTCAAGTTCAAACAGGACACAAACTCAGGTGCAAAAACACCACAAACTCAAGTTAAACAATTGCCACCAACTAAAGTTCAGAGAAAAATACAGACTCAAGTTCAACAATTGCCACAAACTCAAGTTCAACAAACACCACAATCTTAAGTTCAACAAATTCCAAAATTTCAAGTTCAACAAATGACCTAAACTCACATTTAACAATTGCCAAAAACTTAAAAGTTAAAAAAGTGCCACAAACTGAAGTTCAAAAACACCACAAACTGAAGTGTGTGAGGACATGCAAACCACCAGACTGCACCTGTCTCAGCAATGGGCTGAAGTGCACAAACCTGTGCAAATTACAAACTTGTGCCAACCAGTACAGTGAGGAAGAGCCCCTTGCACACCGGCAGATTCAGATGTAGAAGAAGATACAGATACTGATGTCGATTACTGATGTTGATTAATAAGTGATGACCAAAGGGAGCTATGTTAGCAGACCCACTGTGACTCAGTGACAGAATTATGTGCTAAGCCAAAACTTGACAGTCATATTTGCCGTCACTGTTCCTTATGGAAAGAATAGGACTTTGAATAGGAATTGGAGTTTTTCTCAGATGATTGTATAGAGTGTATACATCAGTAGATCTTATTTTGTTGCTAATGTCTTCTTGCCCTGCACCAGCCAGGATGATTGTATATTGAGTGCCTACATTTAAAATATGTCAGTGTCATATTAAAGTTGTGTTATTATAATGCTATTAGTCTGCATTTATTTTATTTCTACTTCTAAGTCAAAAAATATCCTTAATTTAGACCTTGATTTAGACCTGACAATTAGCTAATTGAAGCTTATATATACACACCTGTATTAGATAAATTACTTGAAATACTACTTAGGGGGTTAATACAAGTCTCTATGGCTAGCCAATAGTTCAAACACACCTAAATGAGAGGTTAAAATGAAAGAAAGCTCATTTTGAAGGAAGGCGATTTTTCGTTTTTGAACAGCTGCACTCTATTACTTCAATGAGTAATAACTACAATAAAGCTACCAGTTACCAAGGTCTATCAAATAAAAACTTATTGTAGGGATGTATAAAAAAATCACAACTAGAATTTGCCCACCTAGGTGGTACCGATATGTGAAATTTTGGTTCTTGGCTCAAGGACTAAAACTCAAGTTCAACAAACACAACAAGTCAAGTTCAAGCAACACCCGATCCTCAAGTTCAACAATTTCCACAAACTTAAGTTAAAAAACACCAGAACCTCTAGTTCAAAAAACATGATAAACTCAAGTTCAAATATGCCACAAACTCAAGTTCAATGAACACCACAAACTCAAGTTCAACCACCACCCGATTCTCAAGTTTAACAATTGCCACAACCTCAAGGTTAAAAAAAACACAAACTCAAGTTCAAACACTTCACAAACTCAAGTTAAAAAACACCACACAAACTCAAGTTCAACAAACACCACAAACTCAAGTTAAACAAACACAACAAGTCAAGTTCAAGCAACACCCGATCCTCAAGTTCAACAATTTCCACAAACTTAAGTTAGAAAACACCAGAACCTCAAGTTCAAAAAACATAATAAACTCAAGTTCAAATATGCCACAAACTCAAGTTCAATGAACACCACAAACTCAAGTTCAACGAACGCCACAAACAAAAGTTCAACAATTGCCACCAACTAAAGTTCACTAAAAACCATAGACTCAAGTTCAACAATTGCCAAAAAATCAAGCCAAACAAACTCAAGTTCATAAGTTGCCACAAACTTCAAACACGACACAAACTCAAGTTCAAAAACACCACAAACTCAAGTTCAAAAACGACACAAACTCAAGTTCAACAAACAAAACTAACTATTTAGAGTAATTTTGAGGTGTTTGAGAGGTTTTTTGTAGACTTACCCTAGTGGTCCTAAGTTGTTGTTGATGTGAGGGGTTTCTTTTCCAGTAGTCTAAAATCTGTTGGAGGGGGGAAAAGGTTCCAGCTGTCCATCCGCGGTGGCAGCGGTGTGTCTGAAGTCCGGGGTCCTCGGCGGGGGAAAGAAGATCAGCGCTCCGCGGGAAGGTTTGCTGGGACTCGGTGCTGTCGGCGGGTCGAAGCTCGGTGGTGGGCGGCTTGGAGTGATGGAGGTGCGGCGCCTTCCTCGATGGTGGTCCGTCTTCTTGGTCCAGAGGTCAGTGCTTTGTCTCAATAACTGGAACAGGAATTGCTCTTTAGTGCACGGCACTTAAATGTGCTCTTCACACGAGACGACATCCCCAGAGTTGGGCTCGAGTCATGGTTTGTGCTGTTCCTCTCAGACATGGTTGTGTTCTCTTCACGATGTTTGTATTGCAGAATGGATGTCTCTTGGTTGTATTTTAAACCTTCAAGTTGTTTTAAGTTAATTTTAATGTAGTTTATTGTTTTAAATTGAGTTTTGCTACATTCAATTTGTATGCAATCGCAAGGGATTGTGGGTATTTTAGTTCTGAGGGATGAGAGCCTAAGGAATCAATCTTCCTGTTACAGCAAAGGATTGTGGGTAAAACCGTGAGGGAGTGAGGTACTTCCTTTCTGGCATGAGAGCCTTGGGAATCAATCTCCCTGTTGCAGCAAAGGATTGTGGGTAAAACCGTGAGTGAGGGAGGTACATTTTTCCTGGCATGAGAACCTCAGGAGTCAGTCCTTCCTAAGAAAAAAGAGGGGAGAGGGGAAGAAAAACAAAAGCACAGGAACCCTAAAATAAAATAAAATAATATAAAACAATGAAAAAATAAAAGAAGAACAAAAGTGGAATAAAAAGGGAAAGGGGAAGAAAAAAGGAAAAAAAGAAATGTCAAGAGCAAATAGCAAAAATCAGAAGTGAGCTTAAAAACAGAGAACAGTTCCCTAAAAGAAAGACAGAAATGTAAATCTGATCAATGTCCTAAGGGAAAATCTGTACGTGTGTGTGTGTGTTCTTTTTTGCTAACTTAGTCTGGTGTCACTGATGGTCAGTTATTGATAAGTATTTATTATTTAAATTTTTGATGAAGTTGTTTGTAGTGGGGTTAGCTGGCTAATTTTAGAGTGTTAAAAAAGATGTTAGAGGGGGAGGATTTAGGGGGCACGGCGGTTCCCCTTCAGGTCTCTCTTAATCCTCCATATAGGTGACCCAACAGGGGTTACCCCCCGGCCGGGGTAGGCCGAGGCTGAAGATCACCTATTTGTCCTCTGTGAAGGTGAAAATAAAGGGGCAGGGGAGGGAATAAGAAAGGGGGGGTGTTAGAGAGAGGGGGAGAGATGAGGGAGAGAGATGAGGGAGAGAGAGAGAGAGAGAGAGAGAGAGAGAGAGAGAGGTGTGTGTGTGTGTGTGTGTGTGTGTGTGTGTGTGTGTGTGAGAGAGAGAGAGAGAGAGAGAGAGAGAGAAGGGAAGAGGGAGAGGGGGGTTTAAGGGAGAGGTGGAGATGGTGGAAAATAAAGATTGGTGAGGGGGATGTTGACATATCACATGTTCCCAGTCAAGTCTCCAAGCTCAATCTGTGTGTAAAAATTATGTGTTGGTAGGAAGTTTAATGACTCCACTCAATTGGTATGCCATGCTGTCTATCTTTTAGACTATGTGTTTGTAAATTATGTATATATTATATTACAGGGCTAGGGTAAGGTTAAAGGTTTTTGGCGTTAGGGTTAAAATCACTGTCCAAAACCTTTGTAGGAACTCTTTTCCAACCTTTTGGAGTAAGCTAGACCAAAAAAAAAAAAATGAAAAATGAAAAAAAAAATGTTTGGGGTGTGAAGGCTTCCTTAAGTTAATACCCGGGTATAAGGTTCGGGAATAGGGTAAGGTTGAAGGTTTTTGGCGTTAGGGTTAAAATCACTGTCCAAAACCTTTGTAGGAACTCTTTCCCAACCTTTTGGAGTTAGTTAGACCAAAAAAAAATGAAAAATGAAAAAAAAATGTTTGGGGTTTTCGGGCTTCCTGAATGTAATACCCGGGTATTAGATTTTAAGGCTAGGGTAAGGTTTAAGTTTTATGGCGTTAGGGTTAAAATCACTGTCCAAAACCTTTGTAGGAACTCTTTTCCAACCTTTTGGAGTTAGTTAGACCAAAAAAAAATGAAAAATGAAAAAAAACATATTTGGGGTGTTCAGTCTTCCTAAAAGTAATACCCCGGTATTAGGTTATGGGGCTATGGTAAGGTTTAAGGTTTTTGGCGTTAGTGTTAAAATCACTGTCCAAAACCTTTGTAGGAACTCTTTTCCAACCTTTTGGAGTTAGCTAGACCAAAAAAATATGAAAAAGGAAAAAAATATATTTGGGGTTTTCGGGCTTCCTGAAGGTAATACCCGGGTATTAGGTTTTGGGGCTAGGGTAAGGTTTAAGGTTTTTGGCGTTAGGGTTAAAATCACTGTCCAAAACCTTTGTAGGAACTCTTTTCCAACCTTTTGGAGTTGGTTACACCAACAAAAATGTAAAATGAAAAAAAATATTTGGGGCTTTCGGGCTTCCTGAAGGTTATACCCGGGAATTAGATTTTATGGCTAGGGTAAGGTTTAAGGTTTTTGGCGTTAGGGTTAAAATCACTGTCCAAAACCTTTGTAGGAACTCTTTTCCAACCTTTTGGAGTCAGTTAGACCAAAAAAAAACGAAAAATGAAAAAAAAATATTTGGGGTGTTCAGGCTTCCTAAAAGTAATACCCGGGTATTAGGTTATGGGGCTATGGTAAGGTATAAGGTTTATGGCCTTAGGGTTAAAATCCCTGTCCAAAACCTATGTAGGAACTCTTTTCCAACCTTTTGGAGTTAGTTAGACCAAAAAAAATGAAAAATGAAAAAAAAAACAGAAATGTAAATCTGATCAATGTCCTAATGGAAAATCTGTACGTGTGTGTGTGTGTTCTTTTTTGCTAACTTAGTCTGGTGTCACTGATGGTCAGTTATTGATAAGTATTTATTATTTAAATTTTTGATGAAGTTGTTTGTAGTGGGGTTAGCTGGCTAATTTTAGAGTGTTAAAAAAGATGATAGAGGGGGAGGATTTAGGGGGCACGGCGGTTCCCCTTCAGGTCTCTCTTAATCCTCCATATAGGTGACCCAACAGGGGTTACCCCCCGGCCGGGGTAGGCCGAGGCTGAAGATCACCTATTTGTCCTCTGTGAAGGTGAAAATAAAGGGGCAGGGGAGGGAATAAGAAAGGGGGGGTGTTAGAGAGAGGGGGAGAGATGAGGGGGAGAGATGAGGGAGAGAGATGAGGGAGAGAGAGAGAGAGAGAGAGAGAGAGAGAGAGAGAGGTGTGTGTGTGTGTGTGTGTGTGTGTGTGTGTGTGTGTGTGTGTGTGTGTGAGAGAGAGAGAGAGAGAGAGAGAGAAGGGAAGAGGGAGAGGGGGGTTTAAGGGAGAGGTGGAGATGGTGGAAAATAAAGATTGGTGAGGGGGATGTTGACATATCACATGTTCCCAGTCAAGTCTCCAAGCTCAATCTGTGTGTAAAAATGATGTGTTGGTAGGAAGTTTAATGACTCCACTCAATTGGTATGCCATGCTGTCTATATTTTAGACTATGTGTTTGTAAATTATGTATATATTATATTACAGGGCTAGGGTAAGGTTAAAGGTTTTTGGCGTTAGGGTTAAAATCACTGTCCAAAACCTTTGTAGGAACTCTTTTCCAACCTTTTGGAGTAAGCTAGACCAAAAAAAAAAAAAATGAAAAATGAAAAAAAAAATGTTTGGGGTGTGAAGGCTTCCTTAAGTTAATACCCGGGTATAAGGTTCGGGAATAGGGTAAGGTTGAAGGTTTTTGGCGTTAGGGTTAAAATCACTGTCCAAAACCTTTATAGGAACATGTTTCAGACCTTTTGGAGTTGGTTACACCAAAAAAAATGTAAAAAGAAGAAAAAATAATTGGGGTGTTTGGGCTTCCTGAAGGTAATACCCAGGTATTAGGTTATGGGGCTATGGTAAGGTTTAAGGTTTTTGGCGTTAGGGTTAAAATCACTGTCCAAAACCTTTTTAGGAACATGTTTCAGAACTTTTGGAGTTAGATAGACCAAAAAAAAAAAGAAAAAAAAAAAAAGTATTTTGGGTGTTAAGGCCTCCTGAAGGTTATACAGGTATAATATTAGGTTATGGGGCTTGGGTAAGGTTTAAGGTTTTTGGCGTTAGGGTTAAAATCACTGTCCAAAACCTTTGTAGGAACTCTTTTCCAACCTTTTGGAGTTAGCTAGACCAAAAAAAAAAAAAAAAGAAAAATGAGAAAAAAAATGTTTGGGGTGTGAAGGCTTCCTTAAGTTAATACCCGGGTGTTAGGTTCGGGAATAGGGTAAGGTTGAAGGTTTTTGGCGTTAGGGTTAAAATCACTGTCCAAAACCTTTTTAGGAACATGTTTCAGACCTTTTGGAGTTGGTTACACCAAAAAAAATGTAAAATGAAAAAAAAATTTGGGGGGTTTTCGGGCTTCCTGAAGGTAATACCCAGGTATTAGGTTATGGGGCTATGGTAAGGTTTAAGGTTTTTGGCGTTAGGGTTAAAATCACTGTCCAAAACCTTTTTAGGAACATGTTTCAGACCTTTTGGAGTTAGTTAGACCAAAAAAAAAAAGAAAAAAAAAAAAGTATTTTGGGTGTTCAGGACTCCTGAAGGTTATACAGGTATTATATTAGGTTATGGGGCTTGGGTAAGGTTTAAGGTTTTTGGCGTTAGGGTTAAAATCACTGTCCAAAACCTTTGTAGGAACTCTTTTCCAACCTTTTGGAGTTAGTTAGACCAAAAAATATGAAAAAAGAAAAAAATATTATTGGGGGTTTTCGGGCTCCCTGAAAGTAATACCCGTGTATTAGGTTTTGGGACTAGGGAAAGGTTTAAGGTTTTTGGGGTTAGGGTTAAAATCACTGTCCAAAACCTTTGTAGGAACTCTTTTCCAACCTTTTGGAGTTAGTTAGACCAAAAAATAAAGAAAAAAGAAAAAAAATATCTGGGGTTTTCGGGCTTCCTGAAGGTAATACCCCGGTAATAGGTTATGGTGCTAGGGTAAGGTTTAAGGTTTTTGGTGTTAGAGTTAAAATCACTGTCCAAAACCTTTTTAGGAACATGTTTCAGACCTTTTGGAGTTAGTTAGACCAAAAAATAACGAAAAATAAAAAAAAATATTTGGGGTTTTCGGGCTTCCTGAAGGTAATACCCGGGTATTAGGTTTTGGGGCTAGGGAAAGGTTTAAGGTTTTTGGCATTAGGGTTAAAATCACTGTCCAAAACCTTTGTAGGAAAACTTTCCCAACCATTTGGAGTTAGTTAGACCAAAAAATAAAGAAAAAAGAAAAAAAAATATTTGGGGTTTTCGGGCTTCCTGCAGGTAATACCCGGGTATTAGGTTTTGGGGCTAGGGAAAGGTTTAAGGTTTTTGGCATTAGGGTTAAAATCACTGTCCAAAACCTTTGTAGGAACATGTTTCAGACCTTTTGGAGTTAGTTAGACCAAAAAAAAAAAGAAAAAAAAAAAAGTATTTTGGGTGTTCAGGACTCCTGAAGGTTATACAGGTATTATATTAGGTTATGGGGCTAGGGTAAGGTTTAAGGTTTTTGGCGTTAGGGTTGAAATCACTGTCTAAAACCTTTGTAGGAACTCTTTTCCAACATTTTGGAGTTAGTGAGACCAAAAAATATGAAAAAAGAAAAAAATATTATTGGGGGTTTTCGGGCTCCCTGAAAGTAATACCCGTGTATTAGGTTTTGGGACTAGGGAAAGGTTTAAGGTTTTTGGGGTTAGGGTTAAAATCACTGTCCAAAACCTTTGTAGGAACTCTTTTCCAACCTTTTGGAGTTAGTTAGACCAAAAAATAAAGAAAAAAGAAAAAAAATATCTGGGGTTTTCGGGCTTCCTGAAGGTAATACCCCGGTAATAGGTTATGGTGCTAGGGTAAGGTTTAAGGTTTTTGGTGTTAGAGTTAAAATCACTGTCCAAAACCTTTTTAGGAACATGTTTCAGACCTTTTGGAGTTAGTTAGACCAAAAAATAACGAAAAATTAAAAAAAATATTTGGGGTTTTCGGGCTTCCTGAAGGTAATACCCGGGTATTAGGTTTTGGGGCTAGGGAAAGGTTTAAGGTTTTTGGCATTAGGGTTAAAATCACTGTCCAAAACCTTTGTAGGAAAACTTTACCAACCTTTTGGAGTTAGTTAGACCAAAAAATAAAGAAAAAAGAAAAAAAATATTTGGGGTTTTCGGGCTTCCTGAAGGTAATACCCGGGTATTAGGTTTTGGGGCTAGGGAAAGGTTTAAGGTTTTTGGCATTAGGGTTAAAATCACTGTCCAAAACCTTTGTAGGAAAACTTTCCCAACCATTTGGAGTTAGTTAGACCAAAAAATAAAGAAAAAAGAAAAAAAAATATTTGGGGTTTTCGGGCTTCCTGAAGGTAATACCTGGGTATTAGGGTTATGGGGCTAGGGTAAGGTTTAAGGTTTTTGGCATTAGGGTTAAAATCACTGTCCAAAACCTTTGTAGGAACTCTTTTCCAACCTTTTGGAGTTTGTTACACCAAAAAAAAAAATGTAAAATGAAAAAGAAATATTTGGGGTTTTCGGGCTTCCTGAAGGTAATATCCGGGTATTAGGTTATGGGGCTATGGTAAGGTTTAAGGTTTTTGGCGTTAGGGTTAAAATCACTGTCCAAAACCTTTGTAGGAACTTTTTTCAAACCTTTTGGCGTTAGTTAGACCAAAAAAAAAAGGAAAAATGAAAAAGAAATATTTGGGGTGTTCGGGCTTCCTGAAGGTAATACCCGGGTATTAGGTTTTGGGGCTAGGGTGGGGTTTAAGGTTTTTGGCATGAGGGTTAAAATCACTGTCCATTATTTTTTAAGGAACATGTTACAGACCTTTTGGAGTTGGTTAGACCAAAAAAAATGAAAAATGAAAAAAAAATATTTGGGGTTTTCGGGCTTCCTGAAGTTAATACCTGGGTATTAGTTTATGGGTCTATAGTAAGGTTTAAGGTTTTTGGCGTTAGGGTTAAAATCACTGTCCAAAACCTTTTTTGGAACATGTTTCAGACCTTTTGGAGTTGGTTACACCAAAAAAAAATGAAAAATGAAAAAGAAATATTTGGGGTGTTCGGCTTCCTGAAGGTAATACCCGTATTAGTTTATGGGGCTATGGTAAGGTTTAAGGCTTTTGGCGTTAGGGTTAAAATCACTGTCCAATATTTTTTAAGTAACATGATTCAGACGTTTTGGAGTTGGTTTGACCAAAAAAAAATGAAAAATGAAAAAAAAATATTTGGGGTGTTGGGGCTTCCTGAAGGTAATATTAGGTTATGGGGCTAGGGTAAGGTTTAAAGTTTTTGGCGTTAGAGTTAAAATCAGTGTCCAAAACCTTTGTAGGAACTCTTTTCCAACCTTTTGGAGTTAGTTAGACCAAAAAATAAAGAAAAAAGAAAGAAAAATATTTGGGGTGTTCGGGCTTCCTGAAGGTAATACCCGGGTAATAGGTTATGGGGCTAGGGTAAGGTTTAAGGTTTTTGGCATGAGGGTTAAAATCACTGTCCAATATTTATTAAGGAACATGTTACAGACCTTTTGGAGTTAGACCAAAAAAATATGAAAAATGAAAAAAAATATTTGGGATTTTCGGGCTTCCTGAAGGTAATACCCGTATTAGGTTATGGGGCTAGGGTAAGGTTTAAGGTTTTTGGCGTTAGGGTTAAAATCACTGTCCAATATTTTTGAAAGAACATGTTTCAGACCTTTTGGAGTTAGTTAGACCAAAAAAAATGAAAAATGAAAAAAAATATATTTGGGGTTTTCAGGCTTCCTGAAGGTAATACCCGGGTATTAGGTTATGGGGCTAGGGTAAGGTTTAAGGTTTTTGACATGAGGGTTAAAATCACTGTCCAAAACCTTTGTAGGAACTTTTTTCAAACCTTTTGGCGTTAGTTAGACCAAAAAAAAAGGAAAAATGAAAAAGAAATATTTGGGGTGTTCGGGCTTCCTGAAGGTAATACCCGGGTATTAGGTTTTGGGGCTAGGGTGGGGTTTAAGGTTTTTGGCGTTAGGGTTAAAATCACTGTCCAAAACCTTTTTAGGAACATGTTTCAGACCTTTTGGAGTTGGTTACACCAAAAAAAATGTAAAATGAAAAAAAAATTTGGGGGGTTTTCGGGCTTCCTGAAGGTAATACCCAGGTATTAGGTTATGGGGCTAGGGTAAGGTTTAAGGTTTTTGGCGTTAGGGTTAAAATCACTGTCCAAAACCTTTTTAGGAACATGTTTCAGACCTTTTGGAGTTAGTTAGACCAAAAAAAAAAAGAAAAAAAAAAAGTATTTTGGGTGTTCAGGACTCCTGAAGGTTATACAGGTATTATATTAGGTTATGGGGCTTGGGTAAGGTTTAAGGTTTTTGGCGTTAGGGTTAAAATCACTGTCCAAAACCTTTGTAGGAACTCTTTTCCAACCTTTTGGAGTTAGTTAGACCAAAAAATATGAAAAAAGAAAAAAATATTATTGGGGGTTTTCGGGCTCCTGAAAGTAATACCCGTGTATTAGGTTTTGGGACTAGGGAAAGGTTTAAGGTTTTTGGGGTTAGGGTTAAAATCAGTGTCCAAAACCTTTGTAGGAACTCTTTTCCAACCTTTTGGAGTTAGTTAGACCAAAAAATAAAGAAAAAAGAAAAAAAAATATTTGGGGTTTTCGGGCTTCCTGAAGGTAATACCCGGTATTAGGTTATGGTGCTAGGGTAAGGTTTAAGGTTTTTGGTGTTAGAGTTAAAATCACTGTCCAAAACCTTTTTAGGAACATGTTTCAGACCTTTTGGAGTTAGTTAGACCAAAAAATAACGAAAAATAAAAAAAAATATTTGGGGTTTTCGGGCTTCCTGAAGGTAATACCCGGGTATTAGGTTTTGGGGCTAGGGAAAGGTTTAAGGTTTTTGGCATTAGGGTTAAAATCACTGTCCAAAACCTTTGTAGGAAAACTTTCCCAACCATTTGGAGTTAGTTAGACCAAAAAATAAAGAAAAAAGAAAAAAAAATATTTGGGGTTTTCGGGCTTCCTGAAGGTAATACCCGGGTATTAGGTTTTGGGGCTAGGGAAAGGTTTAAGGTTTTTGGCATTAGGGTTAAAATCACTGTCCAAAACCTTTGTAGGAAAACTTTCCCAACCATTTGGAGTTAGTTAGACCAAAAAATAAAGAAAAAAGAAAAAAAATATTTGGGGTTTTCGGGCTTCCTGAAGGTAATACCCGGGTATTAGGTTATGGGGCTATGGTAAGGTTTAAGGTTTTTGGCGTTAGGGTTAAAATCACTGTCCAAAACCTTTTTAGGAACATGTTTCATACCTTTTGGAGTTAGTTACACCAAAAAAAAAAAAAATGAAAAAAAAATATTTGGGGTTTTCGGGCTTCCTGAAGGTAATATCCGGGTATTAGGTTATGGGGCTATGGTAAGGTTTAAGGTTTTTGGCGTTAGGGTTAAAATCACTGTCCAAAACCTTTGTAGGAACTTTTTTCAAACCTTTTGGCGTTAGTTAGACCAAAAAAAAAGGAAAAATGAAAAAGAAATATTTGGGGTGTTCGGGCTTCCTGAAGGTAATACCCGGGTATTAGGTTTTGGGGCTAGGGTGGGGTTTAAGGTTTTTGGCATTAGGGTTAAAATCACTGTCCATTATTTTTTAAGGAACATGTTACAGACCTTTTGGAGTTGGTTAGACCAAAAAAAATGAAAAATGAAAAAAAAATATTTGGGGTTTTCGGGCTTCCTGAAGTTAATACCTGGGTATTAGTTTATGGGTCTATAGTAAGGTTTAAGGTTTTTGGCGTTAGGGTTAAAATCACTGTCCAAAACCTTTTTTGGAACATGTTTCAGACCTTTTGGAGTTGGTTACACCAAAAAAAAATGAAAAATGAAAAAGAAATATTTGGGGTGTTCGGCTTCCTGAAGGTAATACCCGTATTAGTTTATGGGGCTATGGTAAGGTTTAAGGCTTTTGGCGTTAGGGTTAAAATCACTGTCCAATATTTTTTAAGTAACATGATTCAGACGTTTTGGAGTTGGTTTGACCAAAAAAAAATGAAAAATGAAAAAAAAATATTTGGGGTGTTCGGGCTTCCTGAAGGTAATACACGGGTAATAGGTTATGGGGCTAGGGTATGGTTTAAGGTTTTTGGCATTAGGGTTAAAATCACTGTCCAAAACCTTTTTAGGAACATGTTTCAGACCTTTTGGAGTTAGTTAGACCAAAAAATAACGAAAAATTTAAAAAAATTTTTGGGGTGTTCGGGCTTCCTGAAGATAATACCCGGGTATTAGGTTATGGTGCTAGGGTAAGGTTTAAGGTTTTTGGCGTTAGAGTTAAAATCAGTGTCCAAAACCTTTGTAGGAACTCTTTTCTAACCTGTTGGAGTTAGTTTGACCAAAAAAAATGAAAAATGAAAAAAAATATATTTGGGGTTTTCAGGCTTCCTGAAGGTAATACCCGGGTATTAGGTTATGGGGCTAGGGTAAGGTTTAAGGTTTTTGACATGAGGGTTAAAATCACTGTCCAATATTTTTTAAGGAACATGTTACAGACTTTTTCGAGTTAGTTAGACCAAAAAAAAAATGAAAAATGAAAAAAAAATATTTGGGATTTTCGGGCTTCCTGTAGGTAATACCCATATTAGGTTATGGGGCTAGGGTAAGGTTTAAGGTTTTTGGCGTTAGGGTTAAAATCACTGTCCAATATTTTTGAAAGAACATGTTTCAGACCTTTTGGAGTTAGTTACACCAAAAAAAAAAAAGAAAAATGAAAAAAATATATTTGGGGTGTTCGGGCCTGCTGAAGGTAATACACGGGTAATAGGTTATGGGGCTAGGGTATGGTTTAAGGTTTTTGGCATTAGGGTTAAAATCACTGTCCAAAACCTTTTTAGGAACATGTTTCAGACCTTTTGGAGTTGGTTACACCAAAAAAATGTAAAATGAAAGAAAGGTATTTGGGATATTCGTGCTTCCTGAAGGTAATACCCGGGTATTAGGTTATGGTGCTAGGGTAAGGTTTAAGGTTTTTGGCGTTAGAGTTAAAATCAGTGTCCAAAACCTTTGTAGGAACTCTTTTCCAACCTTTTGGAGTTAGTTAGACCAAAAAATAAAGAAAAAAGAAAAAAAAATATTTGGGGTTTTCGGGCTTCCTGAAGGTAATACCCGGGTAAAAGGTTATGGTGCTAGGGTAAGGTTTAAGGTTTTTGGTGTTAGAGTTAAAATCACTGTCCAAAACCTTTTTAGGAACATGTTTCAGACCTTTTGGAGTTAGTAAGACCAAAAAAAAAATAGAAAAGAAAAACAAATATTTGGGGTTTTCGGGCTTTCTGAAGATAATACCCGGGTATTAGGTTATGGGGCTAGGGTAAGGTTTAAGGTTTTTGGCGTAAGAGTTAAAATCACTGTCCAAAAACTTTGTAGGAACTCTTTTCCAACCTTTTGGAGTTAGTTAGACCAAAAAAATGAAAAATGAAAAAAAAAATATTTGGGGTTTTCGGGCTTCCTGAAGGTAATACCCGGGTATTAGGTTATGGGGCTAGGGTAAGGTTTAAAGTTTTTGGCGTTAGAGTTAAAATCACTGTCCAATATTTTTTAAGGAACATGTTACAGACCTTTTGGAGTTAGTTAGACCAAAAAAAAAATGAAAAATGAAAAAAAAATATTTGGGATTTTCGGGCTTCCTGAAGGTAATACCCATATTAGGTTATGGGGATAGGGTAAGGTTTAAGGTTTTTGGCGTTAGGGTTAAAATCACTGTCCAATATTTTTGAAAGAACATGTTTCAGACCTTTTGGAGTTAGTTACACCAAAAAAAAAAGAAAAATGAAAAAAAAATATTTGGGGTTTTCCGGCTTTCTGAAGGTAATACCCGTATTAGTTTATGGGGCTATTTTTGGCGTTAGGGTTAAAATCACTGTCCAATATTTTTTAAGGAACATGATTCAGACGTTTTGGAGTTGGTTTGACCAAAAAAAAATGAAAAATGAAAAAAAATTTTTTGGGGTTTTCGGGCTTCCTGAAGGTAATATTAGGTTATGGGGCTAGGGTAAGGTTTAAAGTTTTTGGCGTTAGAGTTAAAATCAGTGTCCAAAACCTTTTTAGGAACATGTTTCAGACCTTTTGGAGTTAGTTAGACCAAAAAAAAAAAAAATGAAAAAGGAAAAAAATATTTAGGGTTTTCGGGCTTCCTGAAGGTAATACCCGGGTATTAGGTTTTGGGGCTAGGGTAAGGTTTAAGGTTTTTGGCGTTAGAGTTAAAATCAGTGTCCAAAACCTTTTTAGGAAAATTTTTCAGACCTTTTGGAGTTAATTAGACCAAAAAAAAACGAAAAATGAAAAAAAAATATTTGGGGTTTTCGGGCTTCCTGAAGGTAATACCCGGGTATTAGGTTATGGGGTTTTGGAAAGGTTTAGGTTTTTGGCGTTAGGGTTAAAATCACTGTCCAAAATTTTTTAAGGATCATGTTTCAGACCTTTTGGAGTTAGTTAGACCAAAAAAAAAAGAAAAAAGAAAAACCTTTTTAGGAACATGTTTCAGACCTTTTGGAGTTGGTTACACCAAAAAAAAAATGTAAAATGAAAGAAAAGTATTTGGGATGTTCGGGCTTCCTGAAGGTAATACCCGGGTATTAGTTTATGGTGCTAGGGTAAGTTTTAAGGTTTTTGGCGTTAGAGTTAAAATCAGTGTCCAAAACCTTTTTAGGAACATTTTTCAGACCTTTTGGAGTTAGTTAGACCAAAAAAAAACGAAAAATGAAAAAAAAATATTTGGGGTTTTCGGGCTTCCTGAAGGTAATACCCGGGTATTAGGTTATGGGGTTTTGGAAAGGTTTAGGTTTTTGGCGTTAGGGTTAAAATCACTGTCCAATATTTTTTAAGGATCATGTTTCAGACCTTTTGGAGTTAGTTAGACCAAAAGAAAAAAAAAGGAAAGAAAAACAAATATTTGGGGTTTTCGGGATTCCTGAAGGTAATACCCGGGTATTAGGTTATGGGGCTAGGGTAAGGTTTAAGGTTTTTGGCGTTCAGGTTAAAATCACTGTCCAAAACCTTTGTAGGAACTCTTTTCCAAGCTTTTGGAGTTAGTTAGACTAAAACAAAAAATTAAAAATTAAAAAAAAAGTATTTGGGAATGTTCGGGCTTCCTGAAGGTAATACCCGGGTATTAGGTTACGGGGCTAGGGTAAGGTTTAAGGCAGGGGTGTCAAAGTCAAATGGACGGAGGACCAAATAAAAAATTTAGCTACAAGCCGAGGGCCGGACTGATTGAATGTTCATTGAAAATTTTTTAAATGACGCATATAGTCTAGTGAACCTAATTGAACCTACTGAAAACCTAACAAATATATTCCATTATGATCAGATAAATAAAGCAATATTTTCTTATGGCTCTGTCAGTAATCTTTAATTTTCAACAGACACAAAAGACAAATTTCCTTTATATAAAAATCCCCATAACATGAACATTAAATGAAAGAAACCGGTATTATTCAAGGCACCATCAGTATATTTTCTATTTTAGCAAAAGTGGGCTAAATTTACTTCAAAGAAAAAAATAATAATAGCAATTTTCTATCATCCATTTTTGAACAGAGCCTGTCGAGATTTGAGGCCTCGTTTTAATTCCTCGGCCTTCTGTAGCCTTTGTTCCATGTCCATATTCTTGTTTTTGTCCGCGTGTTTCGTTTCATAATGTCGTCTCAGATTATACTCTTTCAGTACCGCCACACTTTCTCCACACAGAAGACACACAGGTTTTCCAGCTACCTCCGTGAACATATACTCCGACTCCCACCTTGTTTGAAACCCCCGGTTCTCAGTGTCCACCTTCCGTTTTGCCATTTTTGATGGGTATCTGAAAGTTAATTTTACTGTTATGCTGACGACTGCTGTGCTAATAAATATTGAAATGAAGCAGCCTACTGCTCAGTGCGTCACCGTTGCATTGTGGGAAATGTAGTATTGGTGCGTGTAAAAGATCTGCGGGCTGCCGGCTTGCTGCGGTCTGCGGGCCGGTTCTAATAATAAATCAAGATCATCCCAGGGGCCGTAAAAAAACCTTCTCACGGGCCGGATGTGGCCCGCGGGCCTTGACTCTGACATATGTGGTTTAAGGTTTTTGGCGTTAGAGTTAAAATCAGTGTCCAAAACCTTTGTAGGAACTCTTTTCCAACCTTTTGGAGTTAGTTAGACCAAAAAAAAAAAAAAAAAGAAAAAAATATTTGGGGTTTTCGGGCTTCCTGAAGGTAATACCCAGGTATTAGGTTACGGGGCTAGGGAAAGGTTTAAGGTTTTTGGCATTAGGGTTAAAATCAGTGTCCAAAACCTTTGTAGGAACACTTTTCCAACCATTTGGAGTTAGTTAGACAAAAAAATAAAGAAAAAAGAAAAAAAAATATTTGGGGTTTTCGGGCTTCCTGAAGGTAATACCTGGGTATTAGGGTTATGGGGCTAGGGTAAGGTTTTAGGTTTTTGGCGTTAGGGTTAAAATCACTGTCCAAAACCTTTGTAGGAACTCTTTTCAAACCTTTTGGCGTTAGACCAAAAAAAAAGGAAAAATGAAAAAAAAATATTTGGGGTGTTCGGGCTTCCTGAAGGTAATACCTGGGTTTTAGGTTATGGGTCTATAGTAAGGTTTAAGGTTTTTGGCGTTAGGGTTAAAATCCCTGTCCAAAACCTTTTTAGGAACATGTTTCAGACCTTTTGGAGTTGGTTACACCAAAAAAAAATGAAAAATGAAAAATGAAAAAAAAATATTTGGGGTGTTCGGGCTTCCTGAAGGTAATACCCGTATTAGTTTATGGGGCTATGGTAAGGTTTAAGGTTTTTGGCGTTAGGGTTAAAATCACTGTCCAATATTTTTTAAGGAACATGATTCAGACGTTTTGGAGTTGGTTTGACCAAAAAAAAATGAAAAATGAAAAAAAAATATTTGGGGTTTTCGGGCTTCCTGAAGGTAATATTAGGTTATGGGGCTAGGGTAAGGTTTAAAGTTTTTGGCGTTAGAGTTAAAATCAGTGTCCAAAACCTTTTTAGGAACATGTTTCAGACCTTTTGGAGTTAGTAAGACCAAAAAAAAAAAAAAAAAAAAAGAAAAAAATATTTAGGGTTTTAGGGCTTCCTGAAGGTAATACCCGGGTATTAGGTTATGGGGTTTTGGAAAGGTTTAGGTTTTTGGCGTTAGGGTTAAAATCACTGTCCAATATTTTTAAGGATCATGTTTCAGACCTTTTGGAGTTAGTTAGACCAAAAAAAAGAAAGAAAAGAAAAACAAATATTTGGGGTTTTCGGGATTCCTGAAGGTAATACCCGGGTATTAGGTTATGGGGCTAGGGTAAGTTTTATGGTTTTTGGCGTTCAGGTTAAAATCACTGTCCAAAACCTTTGTAGGAACTCTTTTCCAATCTTTTGGAGTTAGTTAGACTAAAAAAAAAATGAAAAATGAAAAAAAAAGTATTTGGGATGTTCAGGCTTCCTAAAGGTAATACCCGGGTATTAGGTTACGGGGCTAGGGTAAGGTTTAAGGTTTTTGGCGTTAGGGTTAAAATCAGTGTCCAAAACCTTTTTAGGAACATTTTTCAGACCTTTTGGAGTTAGTTAGACCAAAAAAAAAACGAAAAATGAAAAAAAAAAATTTGGGGTTTTCGGGCTTCCTGAAGGTAATACCCGGGTATTAGGTTATGGGGCTAGGGAAAGGTTTAAGGTTTTTGGCGTTAGGGTTAAAATCACTGTCCAATATTTTTTAAGGATCATGTTTCAGACCTTTTGGAGTTAGTTAGACCAAAAAAAAAGAAAAAAGAAAAACAAATATTTGGGGTTTTCGGGATTCCTGAAGGTAATACCCGGGTATTAGGTTATGGGGCTAGGGTAAGGTTTAAGGTTTTTGGCGTTAGGGTTAAAATCACTGTCCAAAACCTTTGTAGGAACTCTTTTCAACCCTATGGAGTTAGTTAGACCAAAAAAAAAATGTAAAATGAAAAAGAAATATTTGGGGTGTTCGGGCTTCCTGAAGGTAATACCGGGTATTAGGTTATGGGGCTAGGGTAAGGTTTAAGGTTTTTGGCGTTAGGGTTAAAATCACTGTCCAAAACCTTTGTAGGAACTCTTTTCAAACCTTTTGGCGTTAGTTAGACCAAAAAAAAAGGAAAAATGAAAAAAAAATATTTGGGGTGTTTGGGCTTCCTGAAGGTAATATCCGGGTTTTAGGTTATGGGGCTAGGGTAAGGTTTAAGGTTTTTGGCATTAGGGTTAAAATCACTGTCCAAAACCTTTTTAGGAACATGTTTCAGACCTTTTGGAGTTGGTTACACCAAAAAAAAATGAAAAATGAAAAAAAAATATTTGGGGTGTTCGGGCTTCCTGAAGGTAATACCCGTATTAGTTTATGGGGCTATGGTAAGGTTTAAGGTTTTTGGCGTTAGGGTTAAAATCACTGTCCAATATTTTTTAAGGAACATGTTTCAGACGTTTTGGAGTTAGTTTGACCAAAAAAAAATGAAAAATGAAAAAAAAATATTTGGGGTTTTCGGGCTTCCTGAAGGTAATATTAGGTTATGGGGCTAGGGTGGGGTTTAAGGTTTTTGGCATGAGGGTTATAATCACTGTCCATAATGTTTTAAGGAACATTTTACAGACCTTTTGGAGTTGGTTAGACCAAAAAAAAATTAAAAGTGAAAAAAAAATATTTGGGGTTTTCGGGCTTCCTGAAGGTAATACCTGGGTATTAGGTTATGGGTCTATAGTAAGGTTTAAGGTTTTTGGCGTTAGGGTTAAAATCACTGTCACAAACCTTTTTAGGAACATGTTTCAGACCTTTTGGAGTTGGTTACACCAAAAAAAATGAAAAATGAAAAAAAAATATTTGGGTGTTCGGGCTTCCTGAAGGTAATACCCGTATTAGTTTATGGGGCTAGGGTAAGGTTTAAGGTTTTTGGCGTTAGGGTTAAAATCACTGTCCAATATTTTTTAAGGAACATGATTCAGACGTTTTGGAGTTGGTTTGACCAAAAAAAAATGAAAAATGAAAAAAAAATATTTGGGGTTTTCGGGCTTCCTGAAGGTAATATTAGGTTATGGGGCTAGGGTAAGGTTTAAAGTTTTTGGCGTTAGAGTTAAAATCAGTGTCCAAAACCTTTTTAGGAACATGTTTCAGACCTTTTGGAGTTAGTAAGACCAAAAAAAAAAAAAAAAAAAAAAAGAAAAAAATATTTAGGGTTTTCGGGCTTCCTGAAGGTAATACCCGGGTATTAGGTTATGGGGTTTTGGAAAGGTTTAGGTTTTTGGCGTTAGGGTTAAAATCACTGTCCAATATTTTTAAGGATCATGTTTCAGACCTTTTGGAGTTAGTTAGACCAAAAAAAAGAAAGAAAAGAAAAACAAATATTTGGGGTTTTCGGGATTCCTGAAGGTAATACCCGGGTATTAGGTTATGGGGCTAGGGTAAGGTTTAAGGTTTTTGGCGTTAGGGTTAAAATCACTGTCCAAAACCTTTGTAGGAACTCTTTTCCAATCTTTTGGAGTTAGTTAGACCAAAAAAAAAATGAAAAATGAAAAAAAAAGTATTTGGGGTTTTCAGGCTTCCTAAAGGTAATACCCGGGTATTAGGTTATGGGGCTAGGGTAAGGTTTAAGGTTTTTGGCGTTAGGGTTAAAATCAGTGTCCAAAACCTTTTTAGGAACATTTTTCAGACCTTTTGGAGTTAGTTAGACCAAAAAAAAAACGAAAAATGAAAAAAAAAAATTGGGGGTTTTCGGGCTTCCTGAAGGTAATACCCGGGTATTAGGTTATGGGGTTTTGGAAAGGTTTAGGTTTTTGGCGTTAGGGTTAAAATCACTGTCCAATATTTTTTAAGGATCATGTTTCAGACCTTTTGGAGTTAGTTAGACCAAAAAAAAAGAAAAAAGAAAAACAAATATTTGGGGTTTTCGGGATTCCTGAAGGTAATACCCGGGTATTAGGTTATGGGGCTAGGGTAAGGTTTAAGGTTTTTGGCGTTCAGGTTAAAATCACTGTCCAAAACCTTTGTAGGAACTCTTTTCCAAGCTTTTGGAGTTAGTTAGACTAAAAAAAAAATGTAAAATGAAAAAGAAATATTTGGGGTGTTCGGGCTTCCTGAAGGTAATATCCGGGTATTAGGTGTTGGGGCTATGGTAAGGTTTAAGGTTTTTGGCGTTAGGGTTAAAATCACTGTCCAAAACCTTTGTAGGAACTCTTTTCAAACCTTTTGGCGTTAGTTAGACCAAAAAAAAAGGAAAAATGAAAAAAAAATATTTGGGGTGTTCGGGCTTCCTGAAGGTAATATCCGGGTTTTAGGTTATGGGGTTAGGGTAAGGTTTAAGGTTTTTGGCATTAGGGTTAAAATCAGTGTCCAAAACCTTTTTAGGAACATGTTTCAGACCTTTTGGAGTTGGTTACACCAAAAAAAATGAAAAATGAAAAAAAAATATTTGGGGTGTTCGGGCTTCCTGAAGGTAATACCCATATTAGTTTATGGGGCTATGGTAAGGTTTAAGGTTTTTGGCGTTAGGGTTAAAATCACTGTCCAATATTTTTTAAGGAACATGATTCAGACGTTTTGGAGTTGGTTTGACCAAAAAAAAATGAAAAATGAAAAAAAAATATTTGGGGTTTTCGGGCTTCCTGAAGGTAATATTAGGGTATGGGGCTAGGGTAAGGTTTAAAGTTTTTGGCGTTAGAGTTAAAATCAGTGTCCAAAACCTTTTTAGGAACATGTTTCAGACCTTTTGGAGTTAGTTAGACCAAAAAATAACGCAAAATTAAAAAAATATATTTGGGGTGTTCAGGCTTCCTGAAAAAAATACCCGGGTATTAGGTTTTGGGGCTAGGGTAAGGTTTAAGGTTTTTGGCGTTAGAGTTAAAATCAGTGTCCAAAACCTTTTTAGGAACATTTTTCAGACCTTTTGGAGTTAGTTAGACCAAAATAAAAACGAAAATGAAAAAAAAAAATTGGGGTTTTCGGGCTTCCTGAAGGTAATACCCGGGTATTAGGTTATGGGGTTTTGGAAAGGTTTAGGTTTTTGGCGTTAGGGTTAAAATCACTGTCCAATATTTTTTAAGGATCATGTTTCAGACCTTTTGGAGTAAGTTAGACCAAAAAAAAAAGAAAAAAGAAAAACAAATATTTGGGGTTTTCGGGCTTCCTGAAGGTGATACCCGGGAATTAGGTTATGGGGCTAGGGTAAGGTTTAAGGTTTTTGGCGTTCAGGTTAAAATCAGTGTCCAAAACCTGTGTATGAACTCTTTTCCAACCTTTTGGAGTTGGTTACACCAAAAAAAAATGTAAAATGAAAAAGAAATATTTGGGGTGTTCAGGCTTCCTGAAGGTAATATCCGGGTATTAGGTTATGGGGCTATGGTAAGGTTTAAGGTTTTTGGCGTTAGGGTTAAAATCACTGTCCAAAACCTTTGTAGGAACTCTTTTCAAACCTTTTGGAGTTGGTTTGACCAAAAAAAAATGAAAAATGAAAAACAAATATTTAGGGTGTTCGGGCTTCCTGAAGGTAATATTAGGTTATGGGGCTAGGGTAAGGTTTAAAGTTTTTGGCGTTAGAGTTAAAATCAGTGTCCAAAACCTTTTTAGGAACATGTTTCAGACCTTTTGGAGTTAGTTAGACCAAAAAATAACGCAAAATTAAAAAAATATATTTGGGGTGTTCAGGCTTCCTGAAAGTAATACCAGGGTATTAGGTTTTGGGGCTAGGGTAAGGTTTAAGGTTTTTGGCATGAGGGTTAAAATCACTGTCCAATATTTTTTAAGGAACATGTTACAGACCTTTTGGAGTTAGTTAGACCAAAATAAAAATGAAAAATGAAAAAAAAAAATTTGGGGTTTTCGGGCTTCCTGAAGGTAATACCCGGGTATTAGGTTATGGGGTTTTGGAAAGGTTTAGGTTTTTGGCGTTAGGGTTAAAATCACTGTCCAATATTTTTTAAGGATCATGTTTCAGACCTTTTGGAGTTAGTTAGACCAAAAAAAAAGAAAAAAGAAAAACAAATATTTGGGGTTTTCGGGATTCCTGAAGGTAATACCCGGGTATTAGGTTATGGGGCTAGGGTAAGGTTTAAGGTTTTTGGCGTTAGGGTTAAAATCACTGTCCAATATTTTTTAAGGAACATGTTACAGACCTTTTGGAGTTAGTTAGACCAAAAAATAAAGAAAAAAGAAAAAAATATATTTGGGGTTTTCGGGCTTCCTGAAGGTAATACCCGGGTAAAAGGTTATGGTGCTAGGGTAAGGTTTAAGGTTTTTGGTGTTAGAGTTAAAATCACTGTCCAAAACCTTTTTAGGAACATGTTTCAGACCTTTTGGAGTTAGTTAGACCAAAAAATAACGAAAAATTAAAAAAATATATTTGGGGTGTTCAGGCTTCCTGAAAGTAATACCAGGGTATTAGGTTTTGGGGCTAGGGTAAGGTTTAAGGTTTTTGGCATGAGGGTTAAAATCACTGTCCAATATTTTTTAAGGAACATGTTACAGACCTTTTGGAGTTAGTTAGACCAAAATAAAAATGAAAAATGAAAAAAAAAAATTTGGGGTTTTCGGGCTTCCTGAAGGTAATACCCGGGTATTAGGTTATGGGGCTAGGGTAAGGTTTAAGGTTTTTGGCGTTAGGGTTAAAATCACTGTCCAAAACCTTTTAAGGAACATGTTTCAGACCTTTTGGAGTTAGTTAGACCAAAAAAAAAGAAAAAAGAAAAACAAATATTTGGGGTTTTCGGGATTCCTGAAGGTAATACCCGGGTATTAGGTTATGGGGCTAGGGTAAGGTTTAAGGTTTTTGGCATGAGGGTTAAAATCACTGTCCAATATTTTTTAAGGAACATGTTACAGACCTTTTGGAGTTAGTTAGACCAAAAAATAAAGAAAAAAGAAAAAAAATATTTGGGGTTTTCGGGCTTCCTGAAGGTAATACCCGGGTATTAGGTTATGGGGCTAGGGTAAGGTTTAAGGTTTTTGGCGTTAGGGTTAAAATCACTGTCCAAAACCTTTTTAGGAACATGTTTCAGACCTTTTGGAGTTGGTTACACCAAAAAATAACGAAAAATTAAAAAAAAAAAAATATTTGGGGTTTTCGGGCTTCCTGAAGTTAATACCCGGGTATTAGGTTTTGGGGCTAGGGAAAGGTTTAAGGTTTTTGGCATTAGGGTTAAAATCACTGTCCAAAACCTTTTTAGGAACATGTTTCAGACCTTTTGGAGTTGGTCACACCAAAAAAAAGTGTAAAATGAAAGAAAAGTATTTGGGATGTTCGGGCTTCCTGAAGGTAATACCCGGGTATTAGGTTTTGGGGCTAGGGAAAGGTTTAAGGTTTTTGGCATTAGGGATAAAATCACTGTCCAAAACCTTTGTAGGAACACTTTTCCAACCATTTGGAGTTAGTTAGACCAAAAAATAAAGAAAAAAGAAAAAAAAATATTTGGGGTTTTCGGGCTTCCTGGTTATGGGGCTAGGGTAAGGTTTAAGGTTTTTGGTATTAGGGTTAAAATCACTGTCCAAAACCTTGTTAGGAACATGTTTCAGACCTTTTGGAGTTGGTTACACCAAAAAAAAAAACGAAAAATGAAAAAAAAAAATATTTGGGGTGCCAAGGCTTCCTTAAGGTAGTATTAGGTTTTGGGGCTAGGGTAAGGGTTAAGGTTTTTGGCATTAGGGTTAAAATCACTGTCCAAAACCTTTGTAGGAACTCTTTTGCAAGCTTTTTGAGTTCGTTAGACCAAAAAAAAAAAGAAAAATGAAAAAAAAATATTTGGGGTTTTCAGGCTTCCTGAAGGTAATACGTAGTTTTTTTGGGTATCGAGTATTAGGTTATGGGGCTAGGGTAAGGTTTAAGGTTTTTGGTATTAGGGTTAAAATCACTGTCCAAAACCTTTGTAGGAACAAGTTTAGAACCTTTTGGAGTTCGTTACACCAAACAAAAAATGAAAAATGAAAAAAAATATTTGGGGTGTTCGGGCTTCCTGAGGGTAATTCTCGGGTATTAGGTTTTGGGGCTATGGTAAGGTTTAAGGTTTTTGGCATTAGGGTTAAAATCACTGTCCAAAACCTTTGTAGGAACTCTTTTCCAACCTTCTGGAGTTAGTTAGACCAAAAAACAACGAAAAATTTAAAAAAAAATATTTGGGGTGTTCGGGCTTCCTGAAGGTAGTATTAGGTTTTGGGGCTAGGGTAAGGTTTAAGGTTTTTGGCATTAGGGTTAAAATCACTGTCCAAAACCTTTGTAGGAACACTTTTCCAACCATTTGGAGTTAGTTAGACCAAAAAATAAAGAAAAAAGAAAAAAAAAATTGGGGTTTTAAGGCTTCCTGAAGGTAATACCTGGGTATTAGGTTATGGGGCTAGGGTAAGGTTTAAGGTTTTTGGCGTTAGGGTTAAAATCACTGTCCAAAACCTTTGTAGGAACATGTTTCAGACCTGTTGGAGTTAGTTAGACCAAAAAAAATGAAAAATGAAAAAAAAAAGGTTTGGGGTGTTAAGGCTTCCTTAAGGTAATACCCGGGTATTAGGTTTCGGGGCTAGTGTTAGGTATAAGGTTTTGGCATTAGGGTTAAAATTACTGTCCAAAACCTTTTAAGGACCATGTTTCAGACCTTTTGGAGTTGGTTAAATCAAAAAAAATATAAAATGAAAAAAAATTATTTGGGGTGTTAAGGCTTCCTGAAGGTAATTCTCGGGTATTAGGTGATGGGGCTAGGGTAAGGTTTAAATTTTTTGGCGTTAGGGTTAAAATCACTGTCCAAAACCTTTTTAGGAACTCTTTTCCCACCTTTTGGAGTTAGTTAGACAAAAAAAAAATGAAAAATGAAAAAAAAAATTTTTGGGGTGTTAAGGCCTCCTTATGGTAATACCCAGGTATTAGGTTCCGGGGCTAGGGTATGGTTTAAGGTTTTTGGCGTTCAGGTTAAAATCACTGTCCAAAACCTTTGTAGGAACTCTTTTCCAAGCTTTTGGAGTTAGTTAGACTAAAAAAAAAATGTAAAATGAAAAAGAAATATTTGGGGTGTTCGGGCTTCCTGAAGGTAATATCCGGGTATTAGGTTATGGGGCTATGGTAAGGTTTAAGGTTTTTGGCGTTAGGGTTAAAATCACTGTCCAAAACCTTTGTAGGAACTCTTTTCAAACCTTTTGGCGTTAGTTAGACCAAAAAAAAAGGAAAAATGAAAAAAAAATATTTGGGGTGTTCGGGCTTCCTGAAGGTAATATCCGGGTTTTAGGTTATGGGGCTAGGGTAAGGTTTAAGGTTTTTGGCATTAGGGTTAAAATCACTGTCCAAAACCTTTTTAGGAACATGTTTCAGACCTTTTGGAGTTGGTTACACCAAAAAAAAATGAAAAATGAAAAAAAAATATTTGGGGTGTTCGGGCTTCCTGAAGGTAATACCCGTATTAGTTTATGGGGCTATGGTAAGGTTTAAGGTTTTTGGCGTTAGGGTTAAAATCACTGTCCAATATTTTTTAAGGAACATGATTCAGACGTTTTGGAGTTAGTTTGACCAAAAAAAAATGAAAAATGAAAAAAAAATATTTGGGGTTTTCGGGCTTCCTGAAGGTAATATTAGGTTATGGGGCTAGGGTAAGGTTTAAAGTTTTTGGCGTTAGAGTTAAAATCAGTGTCCAAAACCTTTTTAGGAAGATGTTTCAGACCTTTTGGAGTTAGTAAGACCAAAAAAAAAAAAAAAAAAAAAAAAAAAAAATATTTAGGGTTTTCGGGCTTCCTGAAGGTAATACCCGGGTATTAGGTTATGGGGCTATGGTAAGGTTTAAGGTTTTTGGCGTTAGGGTTAAAATCACTGTCCAAAACCTTTGTAGGAAATCTTTTCAAACCTTTTGGCGTTAGTTAGACCAAAAAAAGAGGAAAAATGAAAAAGAAATATTTGGGGTGTTCGGGCTTCCTGAAGGTAATACCCGGGTATTAGGTTATGGGGCTAGGGTGGGGTTTAAGGTTTTTGGCATGAGGGTTAAAATCACTGTCCATAATTTTTTAAGGAACATTTTACAGACCTTTTGGAGTTGGTTAGACCAAAAAAAAATTAAAAGTGAAAAAAAAATATTTGGGGTTTTCGGGCTTCCTGAAGGTAATACCTGGGTATTAGGTTATGGGTCTATAGTAAGGTTTAAGGTTTTTGGCGTTAGGGTTAAAATCACTGTCACAAACCTTTTTAGGAACATGTTTCAGACCTTTTGGAGTTGGTTACACCAAAAAAAAATGAAAAATGAAAAAAAAATATTTGGGGTGTTCGGGCTTCCTGAAGGTAATACCCGTATTAGTTTATGGGGCTATGGTAAGGTTTAAGGTTTTTGGCGTTAGGGTTAAAATCACTGTCCAATATTTTTTAAGGAACATGATTCAGACGTTTTGGAGTTGGTTTGACCAAAAAAAAATGAAAAATGAAAAAAAAATATTTGGGGTTTTCGGGCTTCCTGAAGGTAATATTAGGTTATGGGGCTAGGGTAAGGTTTAAAGTTTTTGGCGTTAGAGTTAAAATCAGTGTCCAAAACCTTTTTAGGAACATGTTTCAGACCTTTTGGAGTTAGTTAGACCAAAAAATAACGCAAAATTAAAAAAATATATTTGGGGTGTTCAGGCTTCCTGAAAGTAATACCCGGGTATTAGGTTTTGGGGCTAGGGTAAGGTTTAAGGTTTTTGGCGTTAGAGTTAAAATCAGTGTCCAAAACCTTTTTAGGAACATGTTTCAGACCTTTTGGAGTTAGTTAGACCAAAAAATAACGAAAAATGAAAAAAAAATATTTGGGGTGTTCGGGCTTCCTGAAAGTAATACCCGGGTATTAGGTTTTGGGGCTAGGGTAAGGTTTAAGGTTTTTGGCGTTAGGGTTAAAATCACTGTCCAAAACCTTTTAAGGAACATGTTTCAGACCTTTTGGAGTTAGTTAGACCAAAAAAAAAAACGAAAAATGAAAAAAAAAAATATTTGGGGTGCCAAGGCTTCCTTAAGGTAGTATTAGGTTTTGGGACTAGGGTAAGGGTTAAGGTTTTTGGCATTAGGGTTAAAATCACTGTCCAAAACCTTTGTAGGAACTCTTTTCCAACCTTTTGAGTTCGTTAGACCAAAAAAAAAAAGAAAAATGAAAAAAAAATATTTGGGGTTTTCAGGCTTCCTGAAGGTAATACGTAGTTTTTTTGGGTATCGAGTATTAGGTTATGGGGCTATGGTAAGGTTTAAGGTTTTTGGCGTTAGGGTTAAAATCACTGTCCAATATTTTTTAAGGAACATGATTCAGACGTTTTGGAGTTGGTTTGACCAAAAAAAAATGAAAAATGAAAAAAAAATATTTGGGGTTTTCGGGCTTCCTGAAGGTAATATTAGGTTATGGGGCTAGGGTAAGGTTTAAAGTTTTTGGCGTTAGAGTTAAAATCAGTGTCCAAAACCTTTTTAGGAACATGTTTCAGACCTTTTGGAGTTAGTTAGACCAAAAAATAACGCAAAATTAAAAAAATATATTTGGGGTGTTCAGGCTTCCTGAAAGTAATACCCGGGTATTAGGTTTTGGGGCTAGGGTAAGGTTTAAGGTTTTTGGCGTTAGAGTTAAAATCAGTGTCCAAAACCTTTTTAGGAACATGTTTCAGACCTTTTGGAGTTAGTTAGACCAAAAAATAACGAAAAATGAAAAAAAAATATTTGGGGTGTTCGGGCTTCCTGAAAGTAATACCCGGGTATTAGGTTTTGGGGCTAGGGTAAGGTTTAAGGTTTTTGGCGTTAGGGTTAAAATCACTGTCCAAAACCTTTTAAGGAACATGTTTCAGACCTTTTGGAGTTAGTTAGACCAAAAAAAAAAACGAAAAATGAAAAAAAAAAATATTTGGGGTGCCAAGGCTTCCTTAAGGTAGTATTAGGTTTTGGGACTAGGGTAAGGGTTAAGGTTTTTGGCATTAGGGTTAAAATCACTGTCCAAAACCTTTGTAGGAACTCTTTTGCAAGCTTTTTGAGTTCGTTAGACCAAAAAAAAAAAGAAAAATGAAAAAAAAATATTTGGGGTTTTCAGGCTTCCTGAAGGTAATACGTAGTTTTTTTGGGTATCGAGTATTAGGTTATGGGGCTAGGGTAAGGTTTAAGGTTTTTGGTATTAGGGTTAAAATCACTGTCCAAAACCTTTGTAGGAACAAGTTTAGAACCTTTTGGAGTTCGTTACACCAAACAAAAAATGAAAAATGAAAAAAAATATTTGGGGTGTTCGGGCTTCCTGAGGGTAATTCTCGGGTATTAGGTTTTGGGGCTATGGTAAGGTTTAAGGTTTTTGGCATTAGGGTTAAAATCACTGTCCAAAACCTTTGTAGGAACTCTTTTCCAACCTTCTGGAGTTAGTTAGACCAAAAAATAACGAAAAATTAAAAAAAAAATATTTGGGGTGTTCGGGCTTCCTGAAGGTAGTATTAGGTTTTGGGGCTAGGGTAAGGTTTAAGGTTTTTGGCATTAGGGTTAAAATCACTGTCCAAAACCTTTGTAGGAACACTTTTCCAACCATTTGGAGTTAGTTAGACCAAAAAATAAAGAAAAAAGAAAAAAAAATTTGGGGTTTTAAGGCTTCCTGAAGGTAATACCTGGGTATTAGGTTATGGGGCTAGGGTAAGGTTTAAGGTTTTTGGCGTTAGGGTTAAAATCACTGTCCAAAACCTTTGTAGGAACATGTTTCAGACCTGTTGGAGTTAGTTAGACCAAAAAAAATGAAAAATGAAAAAAAAAAGGTTTGGGGTGTTAAGGCTTCCTTAAGGTAATACCCGGGTATTAGGTTTCGGGGCTAGTGTTAGGTATAAGGTTTTGGCATTAGGGTTAAAATTACTGTCCAAAACCTTTTAAGGACCATGTTTCAGACCTTTTGGAGTTGGTTAAATCAAAAAAAAATATAAAATGAAAAAAAAATATTTGGGGTGTTAAGGCTTCCTGAAGGTAATTCTCGGGTATTAGGTGATGGGGCTAGGGTAAGGTTTAAATTTTTTGGCGTTAGGGTTAAAATCACTGTCCAAAACCTTTGTAGGAACTCTTTTCCCACCTTTTGGAGTTAGTTAGACAAAAAAAAAATGAAAAATGAAAAAAAAAATTTTGGGGGTGTTAAGGCCTCCTTATGGTAATACCCAGGTATTAGGTTCCGGGGCTAGGGTAAGGTTGAAGGTTTTTGGCGTTAGGGTTAAAATCACTGTCCAATATTTTTTAGGAACATGTTTCAGACCTTTTGGAGTTAGACCAAAAAAAAAACGAAAAAATGAATAAAAAAATATTTGGGGTTTTTAGGCTTCCTTAAGGTAATACCCGGGTATTAGGTTACGGGGATAGGGTAAGGTTTAAAGTTTTTGGCGTTAGGGTTAAAATCACTGTCCAAAACCTTTGTATTAACAAGTTTCAGACCTTTTAGAGTTAGACCAAAAAAAAAAGAAAAATAATAAAAAAAAATTTGGGGGTGGTAGGGCTTCCTTTAGGTAATACCCGGGTATTAGGTTTCGGGGCTAGGGTAAGGTTTAAGGTTTTTGGCGTTAGGGTTAAAATCACTGTCCAAAACCTTTTTAGGAACTCTTTTCCAACCTTTTGGAGTTAGTTAGACAAAAAAAAACAAAAAATGAAAAAAAAAAAATGTTTGGGGTGTTAAGGCTTCCTTAAGGTAATACCCGGGTATTAGGTTACAGGGCTAGATAAAGTCAGGCCCGGATTAAACCTTCTGTGGCCCCTGAGGCTTAGCAAACCTAATGGCCCCCCTTTGTCCCGCGCGCAGAAAAAATTGGCAGTTTTTATTGGTCATTTTGTGGAAATTACTGCAGTTATGGGTGGTTATTTAACGGTTCCACTAGCCACCACCTTTAGCCAAACCACTGGGTTAATACAACTGTGTGTCTGAACTCAATTCAACAAGAGGTAGTGAAAAAAGTCTTCAAAGAAAGCACAGAGGCTGGTGTACAGTTCACTTTTTTACAGTAGAAAACCTCAGGCATTTTAAATCATAAGTATGTAGCAAGCATTATAAACAAAAGTGCAAGGCATGATATGAAGGCCTGTTATGGTTATACAATTTGTTTTGTTTAAAGGATTGCTACACTGAGATTTGAGATTTATATTATTTTATATTTGTTCTACATTTGTCTGCGTTTGTGTTTTGATCTTTCTTTTCATATTCTGTAGGGACTGATAAATGTCAGAGGTTATGACACTGTGATACTTGAATAAATGTTTTATACCATATTTTGAATTAATTCAGACCTTTTGTGCATTTATTTTTGTCTTGTTACATTTTTCCATTATTCCAATTTTGGGGAGCGTGGTAGCAATTTGATTGACTTTCAGCCATTTATGGCCATGATGTGCTGTTTATATTTTATTGCTTTTATTACACAGTAGGTTGTGTCATTTTTATGTATGAAACATAAGCTTTTAACTAAATTTACTGTATATATTTCATTGTGCTGGGTGCAATTCACTTGAGTTGAGACGTTTTCTTCAAGAAATTTGCTACATTTCATAATCTGAATTCACTTATTCATATACTAAGGCACAAATAACTGTTTCAGATGTTAGGTAGATGTATTTATGACATCTGAGAAAGATTTTGTCTTGTCAGAATCAACATAGCAGTTTCTACAGGCAAAAACTGCAGCACCATGTAATCGTTTTTTGTGTTACTCACATATATGTACATTTCTGGCTGGTCTTTTGTCTCACCCTGTAGAGAAAGCCACTTTCTAATACTAGTTCTGTAAGTTTTCCCAACGTGTCCTTGTGAAGTCGAGAACGTCTTCACTCTGGACAGATGATAGATGCATATGGCATTGTTTCGTTCCTTTTTGATGCACTTTTGAAGGCTGTTTTCTTTTTTTCCTGTTCTTTTCTTCCTCTTCGCTTGTCTGGCTGCTAGATGCGCTCGTCGCCATGTTTGTGTATTTCTGATACTATGGCAACGAGACTCGGCTCCTATTGGTCCACGTGACAAAAATCGTTTCACCCCTCTGCATATTCGATTGCGCGTGTGCAAGTATCACTGCGCCGCAGAAAGGAAATAGTTCGACACCGAAACACTGATTACTAAAAATCGACAGGATGGCATGAGTAGATATTTTTTTTTAGTACTCACTATCAATATAGCTATTTTATGAATCACAGTTTATGTTGCCCCACTGAGGTGGAATGAGATTCACTTTCTAGGCACTTTTTCCTCTGTCCCAATACAGCCTAATCCTTCTCACACTGGGCACAGCTCATCAGCGTCATAGCGGCTTCTGCTCGGGCTGAGTGGCCCCCCATAGGCAAACGCCCTGAGGCTTCAGCCTCACTATGCCTCATGGTTAATCCGGCTTTGGGTAAAGTATGAAAACTTGGATGAGTGGCCAAAAGTACTTTGTCTGCTGTGAAATCAAATTGGATTAATATTTTTTCCAGATTTTTCTTTTGTACATCTATTGTTTTACTTCTTCCCTGTTCAAAACTAGCAAATGTTTCATTGAAAATAATTTTTTTAACCCTTTAATAGCCCATTTAAGACATAAAATCACTAATATAGCAAAAATTTGAGCCTTTTAACTTTTTCTGTAGCATCAGATTTAATAGACAACACCCTTTGGCGCCACCCAGTGGCCATAACGACTTTTTCTGCTGTTAATAGACAACTCCCTTCGGCGCCAGTCAGTGGCCAAAACGACTTTTAAGAATGTGGATTTTTGGCTTATCTTTGGCGCCCCCTAGAACGTAGACCGTGGGGTGCAGCATCATGATTTTTATAACTTTGAATGGCCACGGGGTGTAGATTGGCCTGAGCAAATTTGGTGTCAGTGGGACGAAAGCCTTAGGAGGAGTTAGCCACATTCCAATGTGTGCGAAGTAGCAAAAAATGCGAAATAGCCCTTTAACCGTAAATTTGACAGATACGTGCCCATTGACTTTTTCGTAGATCTTATTGAGATACACGTGATTGTCAAATTTTGTGTCAATATGACAAAGCGTACAGGCGTGACACTCAACAATGTGTATTTTCGCCTTAGGGGACAAGAAAAAATGGACTTTTTTCTCCTGCCATGGGGGGGCGCTCTTTTGGCGAGTAAAAATTCCTTCACAAATATGTTAATTGCTGGACATTGCATCATCCTAGAGAACTTGGAGGCCAGTGAGGACAAAAATAAAAAGTTATAAGACTTTTAAGACTGTGGATTTTTGGGTTATCTTTGGCGCCCCCTAGAACCTAAACCGTGGGGTGCAGCGTCATGATTTGTACAACTTTGAATGGCCATGGGGTGTAGATTGGCCTGAGCAAATGTGGTGCCGGTGGAACGAAAGCCTTCGGAGGAGTTAGCGAAATTCCAATGTGTGCGGATCAGCAAAAAATGCGAAATAACCCTTTAACCGTACATTTGACAGATACGCCCGCACTGACTTTTTTGTAGATCTTATTGAGATACATGTGTGTGTCAATTTTTGTGTCAATATGACAAAGCGTACAGGCGTGACAGTCAATAGTGTGAATTTTCACCTTAGGGGGCGCTATGGAGCCGTTTTGCATTTTATTGTTTGGGCGACTTCAGAATATTGAATTTTTCACCAGGCCCGGTCGTCCTGCCTAATTTCATGAGTTTTCGCAAGTGGGAAGTGGGCCATTCTCCAGTTCAAAGGGGAGGAAAAAGAAGACTAGGGCCCCGTTGGGGCACTGGCGGGCCCGAGCCGTGTCGCGCTGCCCCCCCCAACGCGCTGCCTCCCCGTCCCATTCGCGTCCTCTGGCCATCGTCCTCTCTGGTAACGCCCATCACTGCAAAGACCCTTTCCTTCATCGGCGTTTGCTGTTCTTCCTGCCAGTGCGTGTTGCTTTCACTTACACTTGCCACAGCCAGCCTCGTGAGTGCCTAGCCTATTGGATATCACTGTCATCTACACAGGACAGTCATAACCTTTCTATTAATACTTTGTTTTTTAATTTCACATTAATTTCCATATTGTATAAATGACTGGAAAAAACTTGAGCCCCTGCCCCTGTATAATCATGTGCACGTCCCTGTTCTAGCTCCAAGGTGAATCTTCACTGCTCATGTTCTCCTCAGAAATAGTCACCTCACTCCCCTCAGGTTACTGTACACATGCACCAACTATCTGCTTCAGGTTTGGATGGAGCTTCATGGTTGTCTTTTGGAGAAATGAACAGTCAAGTTGTGTTTGAAATTTGATTTTTTTCAGGGGCAAAAGGAAGCCTCTGCATTCTTGTCAAATATGTAAACAGCATGTTTTTGCAGGTGCTAAAAAACAGACTCTGAGTGTGTGTGTGTGTGTGTGTGTGTGTGTGTGTGTGTGTGTGTGTGTGTGTGTGTGTTGGCGTGTGTGTATATGTGTGTGTATCCTGCAGTACTCTGTACTCCTGCAGTGGCCAAAAAGACTTTTAAGAATGTGGATTTTTGGGTCATCTTTGGCGCCCCCTAGAACTGCAGTACTCTGTACTCCTGCAGTGGCCAAAATGACTTTTAAGAATGTGGATTTTTGGGTCATCTTTGGCGCCCCCTAGAACGTAAACCGTGGGGTGCAGCATCATGGTTTTTACAACTTTGAATGGGCATGGGGTGTAGATTGCCCTGAGCAAATTTGGTATCAGTGGGACGAAAGCCTTAGGAGGAGATAGCCACATTCCAATGTGTGCGAATCGGCAAAAAATGCGAAATAGCCCTTTAACCGTACATTATACAGATACGTGCTCTTTGACTTTTTCGTAGATCTAATTGAGATACACATGATTGTCAATTTTTGTGTCAATATGACAAAGCGTTCAGGCGTGACACTCAACAATGTGTATTTTCATGTAAGGGGACAAGAAAAAATTGACTTTTTTCTCCTGCCATGGGGGGGCGCTCTTTTGGGGAGTAAAAATTCCTTCACAAATGTGTTGATGGCTGGACATTGCATCATCCTAGAAAACTTGGAGGGCAGTGAGGACAAAAATAAAAAGTTATAAGACTTTTAAGAATGTGGATTTTTGGGTTATCTTTGGCGCCCCCTAGAACCTAAACCGTGGGGTGCAGCGTCATGATTTGTACAACTTTTAATGGCCATGGGGTGTAGACTGGCCTGAGCAAATGTGGTGCCGGTGGAACGAAAGCCTTCGGAGGAGTTAGCGAAATTCCAATGTGTGCGGATCGGCAAAAAATGCGAAATAACCCTTTAACCGTACATTTGACAGATACGCCCGCACTGACTTTTTTGTAGATCTTATTGAGATACATATGTGTGTCAATTTTTGTGTCAATATGACAAAACGTACAGACGTGACAGTCAATAGTGTGAATTTCCACCTTAGGGGGCGCTATGGAGCCATTTTGCATTTTATTGTTTGGGCGACTTCAGAATATCGAATTTTTCACCAGGCCCGGTCGTCCTGCCAAATTTCATGAGTTTTCGCCAGTGGGAAGTGGGCCATTTTCCAGTTTAAAGCGGAGGAAAAATAATAATAATAACTAGGACCCCGTTGGGGCACTGGCGGGCCCGAGCCGTGTCGCGTCTCCCCCCCCCCCAACGTGCTGCCTCCCCGTCCCATTTGTGTCCTCTGGCCATCGCCCTCTCTGTTAACGCCCATCACTGCAAAGACCCTTTTCCTTCATCGGCGTTTGCTGTTCTTCCTGCCAGTGCATGTTGCTTTCACTTACACTTGCCACAGCCAGCCTCGTGAGTGCCTAGCCTATTGGATATCACTGTCACCTACACAGGACAGTCATTACCTTTCTATTAATACTTTGTGTTTTAATTTCACATTAATTTCCATATTGTATAAACGACTGGAAAAAACTTGAGCCCCTGCCCCTGTATAATCATGTGCATGTCTCTGTTCTAGCTCCAAGGTGAATCTTCACTGCTCATGTTCTCCTCAGAAGCACTCACCTCACTCCCCTCAGGTTACTGTACACATGCACCAACTGCCTGCTTCAGGTTTGGATGGAGCTTCATGGTTGTCTTTTGGAGAAATGACCAGTCAAGTTGTGTTTGAAATTTGATTTTTTTCAGGGGCAAAAGGAGCCTCTGCATTCTTGTCAAATATGTAAATAGCATGTTTTTGCAGGTGCTAAAAACCAGACTCTGAGTGTGTGTGTGTGTGTGTGTGTGTGTGTGTGTGTGTGTGTGTGTGTGTGTGTGTGCGTGTGTGTGTGTCTGAGGTTAGGTTTGATTATGTGTCCCAGCGTTCAAGTCACATGACATATTTAACCGGATGTAGCTGCAAGACGGAGCCTCGTTGACTCTCCGTTTCAACTTATCTCAAAAGTGAGGACCTCAACCTATATACCAGTTTTTAAATTGTGTTGATAGGCCAAATAAAACCAGAGTTATGATAAATTATGTCCGCGATACTTTTTTTCTGCTTATTTTGATCACGTTCGGCGCTCGATCGCGCTGTATGAGACAGGAAAACATAGCATGCAGACATTAGCGACAGGTCTTACAGGCGGAAAAGGCTTGCCAAAAGAAAAAAAAAACACACCACAACATCTCTCCTATTGGTGGAAAACTTCACCACAACAACCAATCCAAAATTATATGGTGACTGATTGACAAGGGGCGGGCGCTTACGTTCTTCCTGCAACATGAGAAGGGAGGGAGGGACTCTCAGCAGGGATGCAGTCTGGGACACGTAGTTGCAAACCTAGCGACTTTGTTGTTAGATTCAATGACTTTTCAGACACCCTAACGACTTTTTTAGAAAGAAAGGGACTTTTATCGACTTCTTCTGGAGTTTAGAGACTCTGACATGAAGCAGGCTTTCCTTACTGAGGAGTTAGCAACGCTGCTAAGGGTGCAGAGCCACACATGCGCTCAGAGCTCTGCATGGGAGACTGAAGCTGACAGAGCTGCAGCAGTTAGCAGGTTTCACCCTCAGAGACCACCAGGGGTTCATGTTGAGGCATTTTAATTTTTTTTTTTTTTGTGCCATAGACACTGTCAGCACAATCTGCAGTTACACTAACAAAAATGCTGCAAAAAACAAAGAATTATGGAAAAATTACACATGGACTGACATAGAGGAGGATCTACACAAGTTTTTTACATCATGTTTTACATCATGCATCATTTACATCATGTTTTTTTGTAGTGGCATAAATAAAAAGTGACATTTGTGAGACTATACAGTGTTTTGTAAATAATTTTACAAAGAACGCCTGGGCCATTGCCTGCATTTTGATGTAAATAGAGGTAAATCACTATGTTCTTTGTTAAAAATTTGCATATGTTTTGAAGTTTACAATTTTTATTTGAAGTTTAAGTTTTAAAAACAGTTCATCACACATATTTGTGGTTTAATTTCACATTAATTTCCATATTGTATAAATGACTGGAAAAAACTTGAGCCCCTGCCCCTGTATAATCATGTGCACGTCCCTGTTCTAGCTCCAAGGTGAATCTTCACTGCTCATGTTCTCCTCAGAAATAGTCACCTCACTCCCCTCAGGTTACTGTACACATGCACCAACTATCTGCTTCAGGTTTGAAATGGAGCTTCATGGTTGTCTTTTGGAGAAATGAACAGTCAAGTTGTGTTTGAAATTTGATTTTTTTCAGGGGCAAAAGGAAGCCTCTGCATTCTTGTCAAATATGTAAACAGCATGTTTTTGCAGGTGCTAAAAAACAGACTCTGAGTGTGTGTGTGTGTCTGTGTGTGTGTGTGTGTGTGTGTGTGTGTGTGTGTGTATGTTGGCGTGTGTGTATATGTGTGTGTATCCTGCAGTACTCTGTACTCCTGCAGTGGCCAAAAAGACTTTTAAGAATGTGGATTTTTGGGTCATCTTTGGCGCCCCCTAGAACTGCAGTACTCTGTACTCCTGCAGTGGCCAAAATGACTTTTAAGAATGTGGATTTTTGGGTCATTTTTGGCGCCCCCTAGAATGTAAACCGTGGGGTGCAGCGTCATGATTTTTACAACTTTGAATGGGCATGGGGTGTAGATTGCCCTGAGCAAATTTGGTATCGGTGGGACGAAAGCCTTAGGAGGAGATAGCCACATTCCAATGTGTGCGAATCGGCAAAAAATGCAAAATAGCCCTTTAACCGTACATTATACAGATACGCGCTCTTTGACTTTTTCGTAGATCTAATTGAGATACACATGATTGTCAATTTTTGTGTCAATATGACAAAGCGTTCAGGCGTGACACTCAACAATGTGTATTTTTATGTAAGGGGACAAGAAAAAATTGACTTTTTTCTCCTACCATGGGGGGGCGCTCTTTTGGGGAGTAAAAATTCCTTCACAAATGTGTTGATGGCTGGACATTGCATCATCCTAGAAAACTTGGAGGCCAGTGAGGACAAAAATAAAAAGTTATAAAACATTTAAGAATGTGGATTTTTGGGTTATTTTTGGCGCCCCCTAGAACCTAAACCATGGGGTGCAGCATCATGATTTGAATAACTTTTAATGGCCATGGGGTGTAGATTGGCCTGAGCAAATGTGGTGCCGGTGGAACGAAAGCCTTCGGAGGAGTTAGCGAAATTCCAATGTGTGCATATCGGCAAAAAATGCGGAATAACCCTTTAACTGTACATTTGACAGATACGCGCGCATGGACTTTTTTGTAGATCTTATTGAGTTACATGTGTGTGTCAATTTTTGTGTCATTTTGACAAAGCGTATAGGCGTGACACTCAACAATGTGTATTTTCACCTTAGGGGACAAGAAAAAATGGACTTTTTTCTCCTGCCATGGGGGGGCGCTCTTTTGGGGAGTAAAAATTCCTTCACAAATGTGTTGATGGCTGGACATTGCATCATCCTAGAAAACTTGGAGGCCAGTGAGGACAAAAATAAAAAGTTATAAGACTTTTAAATATGTGGATTTTAGTGTTATCTTTGGCGCCCCCTAGAACCTAAACCTTGGGGTGCAGCGTCATGATTTTGATAACTTTTAATGGCAACGGGGTGTAGATTGGCCTGAGCAAATGTGGTGCCGGTGGAACGAAAGCCTTCGGAGGAGTTAGCGAAATTCCAATGTGTGCGGATCGGCAAAAAATGCGAAATAACCCTTTAACCGTAATTTTGACAGATACGGCCGCACTGACTTTTTTGTAGATCTTATTGAGATCCATATGTGTGTCAATTTTTGTGTCATTTTGACAAAGCGTACACGCGTGACAGTCAATAGTGTGAATTTCCACCTTAGGGGGCGCTATGGAGCCATTTTGCATTTTATTGTTTGGGCGACTTCAGAATATCAATTTTTCACCAGGCCCGGTCGTCCTGCCAAATTTCATGAGTTTTCGCCAGTGGGAAGTGGGCCATTTTCCAGTTCAAAGGGGAGGAAAAAGAAGAAAGAAAGAAAGAACTAGGACCCCGTTGGGGCACTGGCGGGCCCGAGCCGTGTCGCGTCCCCCCCCCCCCCCCCCAACGTGCTGCCTCCCCGTCCCATTTGTGTCCTCTGGCCATCGCCCTCTCTGGTAACGCCCATCACTGCAAAGACCCTTTTCCTTCATCGGCGTTTGCTGTTCTTCCTGCCAGTGCGTGTTGCTTTCACTTACACTTGCCACAGCCAGCCTCGTGAGTGCCTAGCCTATTGGATATCACTGTCACCTACACAGGACAGTCATTACCTTTCTATCAATACTTTGTGTTTTAATTTCACATTAATTTCCATATTGTATAAACGACTGGAAAAAACTTGAGCCCCTGCCCCTGTATAATCATGTGCATGTCTCTGTTCTAGCTCCAAGGTGAATCTTGACTGCTCATGTTCTCCTCAGAAGCAGTCACCTCACTCCCCTCAGGTTACTGTACACATGCACCAACTGCCTGCTTCAGGTTTGGATGGAGCTTCATGGTTGTCTTTTGGAGAAATGACCAGTCAAGTTGTGTTGTGAAAATTGTGAAATTTGATTTTTTTCAGGGGCAAAAGGAGCCTCTGCATTCTTGTCAAATATGTAAATAGCATGTTTTTGCAGGTGCTAAAAACCAGACTCTGAGTGTGTGTGTGTGTGTGTGTGTGTGTGTGTGTGTGTGTGTGTGTGTGTGTGTGTGCGTGTGTGTGTGTCTGTGTGTGCGTTCAAGTCACATGACATATTTAATCGGATGTAGCTGCAAGACGGAGCCTCGTTGACTCTCCGTTTCAACTTATCTCAAAAGTGAGGACCTCAACCTATATACCAGTTTCTAAATTGTGTTGATAGGCCAAATAAAACCAGAGTTATGATAAATTATGTCCGCGATACTTTTTTTCTGCTTATTTTGATCACGTTCGGCGCTCGATCGCGCTGTATGAGACAGGAAAACATAGCATGCAGACATTAGCGACAGGTCTTACAGGCGGAAAAGGCTTGCCAAAAGAAAAAAAAAAACACACCACAACATCTCTCCTATTGGTGGAAAACTTCACCACAACAACCAATCCAAAATTATATGGTGACTGATTGACAAGGGGCGGGCGCTTACGTTCTTCCTGCAACATGAGAAGGGAGGGAGGGACTCTCAGCAGGGATGCAGTCTGGGACACGTAGTTGCAAACCTAGCGACTTTGTTGTTAGATTCAATGACTTTTCAGACCCCCTAACGACTTTTTTTTAGAAAGAAAGGGACTTTTATCGACTTCTTCTGGAGTTTAGAGACTCTGACATGAAGCAGGCTTTCCTTACTGAGGAGTTAGCAACGCTGCTAAGGGTGCAGAGCCACACATGCGCTCAGAGCTCTGCATGGGAGACTGAAGCTGACAGAGCTGCAGCAGTTAGCAGGTTTCACCCTCAGAGACCACCAGGGGTTCATGTTGAGGCATTTTAATTTTTTTTTTTTTTGTGCCATAGACACTGTCAGCACAATCTGCAGTTACACTAACAAAAATGCTGCAAAAAACAAAGAATTATGGAAAAATTACACATGGACTGACATAGAGGAGGATCTACACAAGTTTTTTACATCATGTTTTACATCATGCATCATTTACATCATGTTTTTTTGTAGTGGCATAAATAAAAAGTGACATTTGTGAGACTATACAGTGTTTTGTAAATAATTTTACAAAGAACGCCTGGGCCATTGCCTGCATTTTGATGTAAATAGAGGTAAATTACTATGTTCTTTGTTAAAAATTTGCATATGTTTTGAAGTTTACAATTTTTATTTGAAGTTTAAGTTTTAAAAACAGTTCATCACACATATTTGTGGTTTAATTTCACATTAATTTCCATATTGTATAAATGACTGGAAAAAACTTGAGCCCCTGCCCCTGTATAATCATGTGCACGTCCCTGTTCTAGCTCCAAGGTGAATCTTCACTGCTCATGTTCTCCTCAGAAATAGTCACCTCACTCCCCTCAGGTTACTGTACACATGCACCAACTATCTGCTTCAGGTTTGAAATGGAGCTTCATGGTTGTCTTTTGGAGAAATGAACAGTCAAGTTGTGTTTGAAATTTGATTTTTTTCAGGGGCAAAAGGAAGCCTCTGCATTCTTGTCAAATATGTAAACAGCATGTTTTTGCAGGTGCTAAAAAACAGACTCTGAGTGTGTGTGTGTGTCTGTGTGTGTGTGTGTGTGTGTGTGTGTGTGTGTGTGTATGTTGGCGTGTGTGTATATGTGTGTGTATCCTGCAGTACTCTGTACTCCTGCAGTGGCCAAAAAGACTTTTAAGAATGTGGATTTTTGGGTCATCTTTGGCGCCCCCTAGAACTGCAGTACTCTGTACTCCTGCAGTGGCCAAAATGACTTTTAAGAATGTGGATTTTTGGGTCATCTTTGGCGCCCCCTAGAACGTAAACCGTGGGGTGCAGCGTCATGATTTTTACAACTTTGAATGGGCATGGGGTGTAGATTGCCCTGAGCAAATTTGGTATCGGTGGGACGAAAGCCTTAGGAGGAGATAGCCACATTCCAATGTGTGCGAATCGGCAAAAAATGCAAAATAGCCCTTTAACCGTACATTATACAGATACGCGCTTTTTGACTTTTTCGTAGATCTAATTGAGATACACATGATTGTCAATTTTTGTGTCAATATGACAAAGCGTTCAGGCGTGACACTCAACAATGTGTATTTTTATGTAAGGGGACAAGAAAAAATTGACTTTTTTCTCCTACCATGGGGGGGCGCTCTTTTGGGGAGTAAAAATTCCTTCACAAATGTGTTGATGGCTGGACATTGCATCATCCTAGAAAACTTGGAGGCCAGTGAGGACAAAAATAAAAAGTTATAAAACATTTAAGAATGTGGATTTTTGGGTTATTTTTGGCGCCCCCTAGAACCTAAACCATGGGGTGCAGCATCATGATTTGAATAACTTTTAATGGCCATGGGGTGTAGATTGGCCTGAGCAAATGTGGTGCCGGTGGAACGAAAGCCTTCGGAGGAGTTAGCGAAATTCCAATGTGTGCGTATCTGCAAAAAATAGGGAATAACCCTTTAACTGTACATTTGACAGATACGCACGCATGGACTTTTTTGTAGATCTTATTGAGTTACATGTGTGTGTCAATTTTTGTGTCATTTTGACAAAGCGTATAGGCGTGACACTCAACAATGTGTATTTTCACCTTAGGGGACAAGAAAAAATGGACTTTTTTCTCCTGCCATGGGGGGGCGCTCTTTTGGGGAGTAAAAATTTCTTCACAAATGTGTTGATGGCTGGACATTGCATCATCCTAGAAAACTTGGAGGCCAGTGAGGACAAAAATAAAAAGTTATAAGACTTTTAAATATGTGGATTTTAGTGTTATCTTTGGCGCCCCCTAGAACCTAAACCTTGGGGTGCAGCGTCATGATTTTGATAACTTTTAATGGCCACGGGGTGTAGATTGGCCTGAGCAAATGTGGTGCCGGTGGAACGAAAGCCTTCGGAGGAGTTAGCGAAATTCCAATGTGTGCGGATCGGCAAAAAATGCGAAATAACCCTTTAACCGTAATTTTGACAGATACGGCCGCACTGACTTTTTTGTAGATCTTATTGAGATACATATGTGTGTCAATTTTTGTGTCAATATGACAAAGCGTACAGGCGTGACAGTCAATAGTGTGAATTTCCACCTTAGGGGGCGCTATGGAGCCATTTTGCATTTTATTGTTTGGGCGACTTCAGAATATCGAATTTTTCACCAGGCCCGGTCGTCCTGCCAAATTTCATGAGTTTTCGCCAGTGGGAAGTGGGCCATTTTCCAGTTCAAAGGGGAGGAAAAAGAAGAAAGAAAGAAAGAACTAGGGCCCCGTTGGGGCACTGGCGGGCCCGAGCCGTGTCACGCCGCCCCCAGCGCGACCGCCTCCCCCACCCGATCGCGTCACACTCAAGGTCCAAAGATGGTGTGCGCACTTGTTTGTGGTCATTTACCATTATAATGAACGGGAGGCGCAGTTTCTACCAAAACGCTCGCTGCAGAAAAACTCCATGTCCTATTTGAAAAAAGTCTGGACCATGAGTGAGGGCACAAACACAGCTAAGATATATCCAAATGGCAAGTTGCTCCTCCTTCCGCTTTTGCCGAGAGAGCAGTGCGTTTGAGCCATTGAATGATGAACAGGAAAAACTTGACTTTATTCTCCTGCCATGGGGGGCGCTCTTTTAAAGAGAAAAAACTCCTTCACAAATGTGTTGATGGCTGGACATTGCATCATCCTAGAAAACATGGAGGCCAGTGAGGACAAAAATAAAAAGTTATAAGACTTTTAAATATGTGGATTTTAGGGTTATATTTGGCGCCCCCTAGAACCTAAACCGTGGGGTGCAGCGTCATGATTTGAATAACTTTTAATGGCCATGGGGTGTAGATTGGCCTGAGCAAATGTGGTGCCGGTGGAACGAAAGCCTTCGGAGGAATTAGCGAAATTCCAATGTGTGCGAATCTGCAAAAAATGCAAAATAACCCTTTAACCGTACATTTTACAGATACGTGGCCATTGACTTTTTCGAAGATCTTATGTAAATACACGTGTATGTAAAATTTTGTGTCAATACGACAAAACATACAGGCGTAGCACTCAACAATGTGTATTTTCACCTTAGTGGACAAGAAAAAATTGACTTTTTTCTCCTGCCATGGGGGGCGCTCTTTTGCCGAGTAAAAATTCCTTCACAAATGTGTTGATGGCTGGACATTGCATCATCCTAGAAAACTTGGAGGCCAGTGGGGACAAAAATAAAAAGTTATAAGACTTTTAAATATGTGGATTTTACGGTTATCTTTGGCTCCCCCTAGAACCTAAACCGTGGGGTGCAGCGTCATGATTTGAATAACTTTTAATGGCCATGGGGTGTAGATTGGCCTGAGCAAATGTGGTGCCGGTGGAACGAAAGCCTTCGGAGGAGTTAGCGAAATTCCAATGTGTGCGGATCGGCAAAAAATGCGGAATAACCCTTTAACCGTACATTTGACAGATACGCGCGCATTGACTTTTTCGTAGATCTTATTGAGATACATGTGTGTGTCAATTTTTGTGTCATTTTGCCAAAGCGTACAGGTGTTACACTCAACAATGTGTATTTTCACCTTAGGGGACAAGAAAAAATGGACTTTTTTCTCCTGCCATGGGGGGGCGCTCTTTTGGGGAGTAAAAATTCCTTCACAAATGTGTTGATGGCTGGACATTGCATCATCCTAGAAAACTTGGAGGCCAGTGAGGGCAAAAATAAAAAGTTATAAGACTTTTAAATATGTGGATCTTAGGGTTATCTTTGGCGCCCCCTAGAACCTAAACCGTGGGGTGCAGCGTCATGATTTGAATAACTTTTAATGGCCATGGGGTGTAGATTGGCCTGAGCAAATGTGGTGCCGGTGGAACGAAAGCCTTCGGAGGAGTTAGCGAAATTCCAATGTGTGCGGATCGGCAAAAAATGCGAAATAACCCTTTAACCGTACATTTGACAGATACGCCCGCACTGACTTTTTTGTAGATCTTATTGAGATACATGTGTGTGTCAATTTTTGTGTCATTTTGACAAAGCGTACCGGCGTGACAGTGAATAGTGTGAATTTTCACCTTAGGGGGCGCTATGGAGCCATTTTGCATTTTCTTGTTTGGGCGACTTCGGAATATCAAATTTTTCACCAGGCCCGGTCGTCCTGCCAAATTTCATGAGTTTTCGCCAGTGGGAAGTGGGCCATTTTCCAGTTCAAAGGGGAGGAAAAATAATAATAATAACTAGGGCCCCGTTGGGGCACTGGCGGGCCCGAGCCGTGTCGCGCCGCCCCCAGCGCGACCGCCTACCCCTCTTGATCGCGTCACACTCAAGGTCCAAAGATGGTGTGCGCACTTGTCTGTGGTCATTTACCATTATAATGAATGGGAGGCGCAGTTTCTACCAAAACGCTCGCTGCAGACAAACTCCATGTCCTTTTTGAAAAAAGTCTGGACCATGAGTGAGGGCACAAACACAGCTAGTATATATCCAAATGGCAAGTTGCTCCTCCTTTCGGTTTTGCCGAGAGAGCGATGCTTTTGAGCCATTGAGCGATGGGCAGGAAAAACTTGACTTTTTCTCCTGCCATGGGGGGGCGCTCTTTTGGGGAGAAAAAATTCCTTCACAAATGTGTTGATGGCTGGACATTGCATCATCCTAGAAAACTTGGAGGCCAGTGAGGACAAAAATAAAAAGTTATAAGACTTTTAAAAATGTGGATATTTGGGTCCTCTTTGGCACCCCCTAGAACGTAAACCGTGGGGTGCAGCGTCATGATTTGTACAACTTTGAATGGCCATGGGGTGTAGATTGACCTGAGCAAATTTGAAGCCGATGGGACAAAAGCTTTAGGAGGAGTTAGCCACATTCCAATGTGTGCGAATCGGCAAAAAATGCAAAATAGCCCTTTAACCGTACATTGAACAGATACGCTCGCATTGACTTTTTCGTAGATCTTATTGAGATACATGTGTGTGTCAAATTTTGTGTCATTTTGACAAAGCGTAAAGGCGTGACAATCAACAATGTGTATTTTCGCCTTAGGAGACAAGAAAAAATGGACTTTTTTCTCCTGCCATGGGGGGGCGCTCTTTTGGCGAGTAAAAATTCCTTCACAAATGTGTTGATGGCTGGACATTGCATCATCCTAGAGAACTTGGAGGCCAGTGAGGACAAAAATAAAAAGTTATAAGACTTTTAAGACTGTGGATTTTGGGTTATCTTTGGCGCCCCCTAGAACGTAAACCGTGGGGTGCAGTGTCATGATTTGTACAACTTTTAATGGCCATGGGGTGTAGATTGGCCTGAGCAAATGTGGTGCCGTTGGAACGAAAGCCTTCAGAGGAGTTAGCGAAATTCCAATGTGTGCGGATCGGCAAAAAATGCGAAATAACCCTTTAACCGTACATGTGACAGATACGCCCGCACTGACTTTTTTGTAGATCTTATTGAGATACATGTGTGTGTCAAATTTTGTGTCATTTTGACAAAGCGTAAAGGCGTGACAGTCAACGATGTGTATTTTCGCCTTAGGAGACAAGAAAAAATGGACATTTTTCTCCTGCCATGGGGGGGCGCTCTTTTGGCGAGTAAAAATTCCTTCACAAATGTGTTGATGGCTGGACATTGCATCATCCTAGAGAACTTGGAGGCCAGTGAGGACAAAAATAAAAAGTTATAAGACTTTTAAGACTGTGGATTTTTGGGTTATCTTTGGCGCCCCCTAGAACGTAAACCGTGGGGTGCAGCGTCATGATTTGTACAACTTTTATTGGCCATGGGGTGTAGATTGGCCTGAGCAAATGTGGTGCCGGTGGAAGGAAAACCTTCGGAGGAGTTAGCGAAATTCCAATGTGTGCGGATCGGCAAAAAATGCGAAATAAACCTTTAACCGTACATTTGACAGATACGCCCGCACTGACTTTTTTGTAGATCTTATTGAGATACACGTGTGTGTCAAATTTTGTGTCATTTTGACAAAACGTACAGGCGTGACACTCAATCATGTGAATTTTTCACCTTAGGGGGCGCTATGGAGCCATTTTGCATTTGATTTTTTGGGCGACTTCAGAATATCGAATTTTTCACCAGGCCCGGTCGTCCTGCCAAATTTCATGACTTTTCACCAGTGGGAAGTGGGCCATTTTCCAGTTCAAAGGGGCAGAAAAATAATAAGAAGAAGAAGAAGAAGAAAGAAGAATCCATCAGGAATAATAGGGCTCTCGCAGCTGCTTAGCAGCTACGCTCGGGCCCTAATAACAAAAGAAGAATCCATCAGGAACAAGAGGGCTCTCGCAGCTGCTTAGCAGCTACGCTCGGGCCCTAAAGAAGAACTAGGGCCCCGTTGGGGCACTGGCGGGCCCGAGCCGTGTCGCACCCCCCCCCCCCCAATGCGCTGCCTCCCCGTCCCATTCGTTTCCTCTGGCCATCGCCCTCTCTGGTAACGCCCATCACTGCAAAGACCCTTTTCCTTCATCGGCGTTTGCTGTTCTTCCTGCCAGTGCGTGTTGCTTTCACTTACACTTGCCACAGCCAGCCTCGTGAGTGCCTAGCCTATTGGATATCACTGTCACCTACACAGGACAGTCATACTTTGTTTTTTAATTTCACATTAATTTCCATATTGTATAAACGACTGGAAAAAACTTGAGCCCCTGCCCCTGTATTATCATGTGCACGTCCCTGTTCTAGCTCCAAGGTGAATCTTCACTGCTCATGTTCTCCTCAGAAGCAGTCACCTCACTCCCCTCAGGTTACTGTACACATGCACCAACTGCCTGCTTCAGGTTTGGATGGAGCTTCATGGTTGTCTTTTGGAGAAATGAGCAGTCAAGTTGTGTTTGAAATTTGACTTTTTTCAGGGGCAAAAGGAAGCCTCTGCATTCTTGTCAAATATGTAAATAGCATGTTTTTGCAGGTGCTAAAAAACAGACTCTGAGTGTGTGTGTGTGTGTGTGTGTGTGTGTGTGTGCGTGTGTCTGTGTGTGTGTGTGTGTGTATCCTGCAGTACTCTGAGAAGAATAATAAGCATATTTCTGAGGTGAATTTTGAAGATTCATCTGAGAGTTAGGTTTGATTCGATTCGATTGACTCTCCCCAGCGTTCAAGTCACATGACATATTTAACCGGATGTAGCTGCAAGACGGAGCCTCGTTAACTCTCCGTTTCAACTTATCTCAAAAGTGAGGACCTCAACCTATATACCAGTTTTTAAATTGTGTTGATAGGCCAAATAAAACCAGAGTTATGATAAATTATGTCCGCGATACTTTTTTTCTGCTTGTTTTGATCACGTTCGGCGCTCGATCGCGCTGTATGAGACAGGAAAACATAGCATGCACACATTAGCGACAGGTCTTACAGGCGGAAAAGGCTTGCCAAAAGAAAAAAAAAACACACCACAACATCTCTCCTATTGGTGGAAAACTTCACCACAACAACCAATCCAAAATTATATGGTGACTGATTGACAAGGGGCGGGCGCTTACGTTCTTCCTGCAACATGAGAAGGGAGGGAGGGACTCTCAGCAGGGATGCAGTCTGGGACACGTAGTTGCAAACCTAGCGACTTTGTTGTTAGATTCAATTACTTTTCAGACCCCCTAACGACTTTTTTTTAGAAAGAAAGGGACTTTTATCGACTTCTTCTGGAGTTTAGAGACTCTGACATGAAGCAGGCTTTCCTTACTGAGGAGTTAGCAACGCTGCTAAGGGTGCAGAGCCACACATGCGCTCCGAGCTCTGCATGGGAGACTGAAGCTGACAGAGCTGCAGCAGTTAGCAGGTTTCACCCTCAGAGACCACCAGGGGTTCATGTTGAGGCATTTTCAGTTTTTGTTTTTTTTGCCATAGACTGTCAGCACAATCTGCAGTTACACTAACAAAAATGCTGCAAAAAACAAAGAATTATGGAAAAATTACACATGGACTGACATAGAGGAGGATCTACACAAGTTTTTTACATCATGTTTTACATCATGCATCATTTACATCATGTTTTTTTGTAGTGGCATAAATAAAAAGTGACATTTGTGAGACTATACAGTGTTTTGTAAATAATTTTACAAAGAACGCCTGGGCCATTGCCTGCATTTTGATGTAAATAGAGGTAAATTACTATGTTCTTTGTTAAAAATTTGCATATGTTTTGAAGTTTACAATTTTTATTTGAAGTTTAAGTTTTAAAAACAGTTCATCACACATATTTGTGGTTTAATTTCACATTAATTTCCATATTGTATAAATGACTGGAAAAAACTTGAGCCCCTGCCCCTGTATAATCATGTGCACGTCCCTGTTCTAGCTCCAAGGTGAATCTTCACTGCTCATGTTCTCCTCAGAAATAGTCACCTCACTCCCCTCAGGTTACTGTACACATGCACCAACTATCTGCTTCAGGTTTGGATGGAGCTTCATGGTTGTCTTTTGGAGAAATGAACAGTCAAGTTGTGTTTGAAATCTGATTTTTTTCAGGGGCAAAAGGAAGCCTCTGCATTCTTGTCAAATATGTAAACAGCATGTTTTTGCAGGTGCTAAAAAACAGACTCTGAGTGTGTGTGTGTGTGTGTGTGTGTGTGTGTGTGTGTGTGTGTGTGTGTGTATGTGTGTGTATCCTGCAGTACTCTGTACTCCTGCAGTGGCCAAAAAGACTTTTAAGAATGTGGATTTTTGGGTCATCTTTGGCGCCCCCTAGAACTGCAGTACTCTGTACTCCTGCAGTGGCCAAAATGACTTTTAAGAATGTGGATTTTTGGGTCATCTTTGGCGCCCCCTAGAACGTAAACCGTGGGGTGCAGCGTCATGAGTTTTACAACTTTGAATGGGCATGGGGTGTAGATTGCCCTGAGCAAATTTGGTATCGGTGGGACGAAAGCCTTAGGAGGAGATAGCCACATTCCAATGTGTGCGAATCGGCAAAAAATGCGAAATAGCCCTTTAACCGTACATTATACAGATACGCGCTTTTTGACTTTTTCGTAGATCTAATTGAGATACACATGATTGTCAATTTTTGTGTCAATATGACAAAGCGTTCAGGCGTGACACTCAACAATGTGTATTTTCATGTTAGGGGACAAGAAAAAATGGACTTTTTTCTCCTGCCATGGGGGGGCGCTCTTTTGGGGAGTAAAAATTCCTTCACAAATGTGTTGATGGCTGGACATTGCATCATCCTAGAAAACTTGGAGGCCAGTGAGGACAAAAATAAAAAGTTATAAGACTTTTAAGAATGTGGATTTTTGGGTTATCTTTGGCGCCCCCGAGAACGTAAACCGTGGGGTGCAGCGTCATGATTTGAATAACTTTTAATGGCCATGGGGTGCAGATTGGCCTGAGCAAATGTGGTGCCGGTGGAACGAAAGCCTTCGGAGGAGTTAGCGAAATTCCAATGTGTGCGGATCGGCAAAAAATGCGGAATAACCCTTTAACCGTACATTTGACAGATACGCGCGCATTGACTTTTTCGTAGATCTTATTGAGATACATGTGTGTGTCAATTTTTGTGTCATTTTGCCAAAGCGTACAGGTATTACACTCAACAATGTGTATTTTCACCTTAGGGGACAAGAAAAAATTGACTTTTTTCTCCTGCCATGGGGGGGCGCTCTTTTGGGGAGTAAAAATTCCTTCACAAATGTGTTGATGGCTGGACATTGCATCATCCTAGAAAACTTGGAGGCCAGTGAGGGCAAAAATAAAAAGTTATAAGACTTTTAAATATGTGGATCTTAGGGTTATCTTTGGCGCCCCCTAGAACCTAAACCTTGGGGTGCAGCGTCATGATTTGAATAACTTTTAATGGCCATGGGGTGTAGATTGGCCTGAGCAAATGTGGTGCCGGTGGAACGAAAGCCTTCGGAGGAGTTAGCGAAATTCCAATGTGTGCGGATCGGCAAAAAATGCGAAATAACCCTTTAACCGTACATTTGACAGATACGCCCGCACTGACTTTTTTGTAGATCTTATTGAGATACATGTGTGTGTCAATTTTTGTGTCATTTTGACAAAGCGTACAGGCGTGACAGTCAATAGTGTGAATTTTCACCTTAGGGGGCGCTATGGAGCCATTTTGCATTTTCTTGTTTGGGCGACTTCGGAATATCAAATTTTTCACCAGGCCCGGTCGTCCTGCCAAATTTCATGAGTTTTCGCCAGTGGGAAGTGGGCCATTTTCCAGTTCAAAGGGGAGGAAAAATAATAACTAGGGCCCCGTTGGGGCACTGGCGGGCCCGAGCCGTGTCGCGCCCCCTCCCCAACGCGATCGCCTCCCCGTCCCATTCTCTTCCTCTGGCCATCGCCCTCTCTGGTAACGCCCATCACTACAAAGACCCTTATCCTTCATCGGCGTTTGTGGTTCTTCCCGCCAGTGTGTGTCCAACGCTTTTGCGCGTTGAAAGGTTAGGGTCTCCACTAAAGGTCAGAGGTCAAATAACATTTGTATCTCAAACTGTGACGTCACAGTCAGGGTCCAAAGATGGTGTGCGCAACTGTCTTTGGTCATTTCCCATTATAATGAATGGGAGGCACAGTCTCTACCAAAACGCTCGCTGCAGAAAAACTACGTGTCCTTTTTGAAAAAAGTCTGGACCATGAGTGAGGGCACAAACACAGCTAGTATATATCCAAATGGCAAGTTGCTCCTCCTTTCGGTTTTGCCGAGAGAGCGATGCGTTTGAGCCATTGAGCGATGGGCAGGAAAAACTTGACTTTTTCTCCTGCCATGGGGGGCGCTCTTTTGGGGAGAAAAAATTCCTTCACAAATGTGTTGATGGCTGGACATTGCATCATCCTAGAAAACTTGGAGGCCAGTGAGGACAAAAATAAAAAGTTATAAGACTTTTAAAAATGTGGATATTTGGGTCCTCTTTGGCGCCCCCTAGAACGTAAACTGTGGGGTGCAGCGTCATGATTTGTACAACTTTGAATGGCCATGGGGTGTAGATTGACCTGAGCAAATTTGAAGCCGATGGGACAAAAGATTTAGGAGGAGTTAGCCACATTCCAATGTGTGCGAATCGGCAAAAAATGCGAAATAGCCCTTTAACCGTACATTGAACAGATACGCTCGCATTGACTTTTTCGTAGATCTTATTGAGATACATGTGTGTGTCAAATTTTGTGTCATTTTGACAAAGCGTAAAGGCGTGACAGTCAACAATGTGTATTTTCGCCTTAGGATACAAGAAAAAATGGACTTTTTTCTCCTGCCATGGGGGGGGGGGGCGCTCTTTTGGCGAGTAAAAATTCCTTCACAAATGTGTTGATGGCTGGACATTGCATCATCCTAGAGAACTTGGAGGCCAGTGAGGACAAAAATAAAAAGTTATAAGACTTTTAAGACTGTGGATTTTTGGGTTATCTTTGGCGCCCCCTAGAACGTAAACCGTGGGGTGCAGCGTCATGATTTGTACAACTTTTAATGGCCATGGGGTGTAGATTGGCCTGAGCAAATGTGGTGCCTTTGAAACGAAAGCCTTCGGAGGAGTTAGCCACATTCCAATGTGTGCGGATCGGCAAAAAATGCGAAATAGCCCTTTAACCGTACATTTGACAGATACGCCCGCACTGACTTTTTTGTAGATCTTATTGAGATACATGTGTGTGTCAATTTTTGTGTCATTTTGCCAAAGCGTACAGGTATTACACTCAACAATGTGTATTTTCACCTTAGGGGACAAGAAAAAATTGACTTTTTTCTCCTGCCATGGGGGGGCGCTCTTTTGGGGAGTAAAAATTCCTTCACAAATGTGTTGATGGCTGGACATTGCATCATCCTAGAAAACTTGGAGGCCAGTGAGGGCAAAAATAAAAAGTTATAAGACTTTTAAATATGTGGATCTTAGGGTTATCTTTGGCGCCCCCTAGAACCTAAACCGTGGGGTGCAGCGTCATGATTTGAATAACTTTTAATGGCCATGGGGTGTAGATTGGCCTGAGCAAATGTGGTGCCGGTGGAACGAAAGCCTTCGGAGGAGTTAGCGAAATTCCAATGTGTGCGGATCGGCAAAAAATGCGAAATAACCCTTTAACCGTACATTTGACAGATACGCCCGCACTGACTTTTTTGTAGATCTTATTGAGATACATGTGTGTGTCAATTTTTGTGTCAAATGACAAAGCGTACAGGCGTGACAGTCAATAGTGTGAATTTTCACCTTAGGGGGCGCTATGGAGCCATTTTGCATTTTATTGTTTGGGCGACTTCAGAATATCGAATTTTTCACCAGGCCCGGTCGTCCTGCCAAATTTCATGAGTTTTCGCCAGTGGGAAGTGGGCCATTTTCCAGTTCAAAGGGGAGAAAAAAAGAAAGAAAGAAAGAAAAAGAAAGAACTAGGGCCCCGTTGGGGCACTGGCGGGCCCGAGCCGTGTCGCGCCCCCTCCCCAACGCGATCGCCCTCCCCGTCCCATTCTCTTCCTCTGGCCATCGCCCTCTCTGGTAACGCCCATCACTACAAAGACCCTTATCCTTCATCGGCGTTTGTGGTTCTTCCCGCCAGTGTGTGTCCAACGCTTTTGCGCGTTGAAAGGTTAGGGTCTCCACTAAAGGTCAGAGGTCAAATAACATTTGTATCTCAAACTGTGACGTCACAGTCAGGGTCCAAAGATGGTGTGCGCAACTGTCTTTGGTCATTTCCCATTATAATGAATGGGAGGCACAGTCTCTACCAAAACGCTCGCTGCAGAAAAACTACGTGTCCTTTTTGAAAAAAGTCTGGACCATGAGTGAGGGCACAAACACAGCTAGTATATATCCAAATGGCAAGTTGCTCCTCCTTTCGGTTTTGCCGAGAGAGCGATGCGTTTGAGCCATTGAGCGATGGGCAGGAAAAACTTGACTTTTTCTCCTGCCATGGGGGGGCGCTCTTTTGGGGAGAAAAAATTCCTTCACAAATGTGTTGATGGCTGGACATTGCATCATCCTAGAAAACTTGGAGGCCAGTGAGGACAAAAATAAAAAGTTATAAGACTTTTAAAAATGTGGATATTTGGGTCCTCTTTGGCGCCCCCTAGAACGTAAACTGTGGGGTGCAGCGTCATGATTTGTACAACTTTGAATGGCCATGGGGTGTAGATTGACCTGAGCAAATTTGAAGCCGATGGGACAAAAGATTTAGGAGGAGTTAGCCACATTCCAATGTGTGCGAATCCGCAAAAAATGCGAAATAGCCCTTTAACCGTACATTGAACAGATACGCTCGCATTGACTTTTTCGTAGATCTTATTGAGATACATGTGTGTGTCAAATTTTGTGTCATTTTGACAAAGCGTAAAGGCGTGACAGTCAACAATGTGTATTTTCGCCTTAGGATACAAGAAAAAATGGACTTTTTTCTCCTGCCATGGGGGGGGCTCTTTTGGCGAGTAAAAATTCCTTCACAAATGTGTTGATGGCTGGACATTGCATCATCCTAGAGAACTTGGAGGCCAGTGAGGACAAAAATAAAAAGTTATAAGACTTTTAAGACTGTGGATTTTTGGGTTATCTTTGGCGCCCCCTAGAACGTAAACCGTGGGGTGCAGCGTCATGATTTGTACAACTTTTAATGGCCATGGGGTGTAGATTGGCCTGAGCAAATGTGGTGCCTTTGAAACGAAAGCCTTCGGAGGAGTTAGCGAAATTCCAATGTGTGCGGATCGGCAAAAAATGCGAAATAGCCCTTTAACCGTACATTTGACAGATACGCCCGCACTGACTTTTTTGTAGATCTTATTGAGATACATGTGTGTGTCAATTTTTGTGTCAATATGACAAAGCTTAAAGGCGTGACAGTCAATAGTGTGAATTTTCGCCTTAGGAGACAAGAAAAAATTGACTTTTTTCTCCTGCCATGGGGGGGCGCTCTTTTGGCGAGTAAAAATTCCTTCACAAATGTGTTGATGGCTGGACATTGCATCATCCTAGAGAACTTGGAGGCCAGTGAGGACAAAAATAAAAAGTTATAAGACTTTTAAGACTGTGGATTTTTGGGTTATCTTTGGCGCCCCCTAGAACGTAAACCGTGGGGTGCAGCGTCATGATTTGTACAACTTTTAATGGCCATGGGGTGTAGATTGGCCTGAGCAAATGTGGTGCCGGTGGAACGAAAGCCTTCGGAGGAGTTAGCGAAATTCCAATGTGTGCGGATCGGCAAAAAATGCAAAATAACCCTTTAACCGTACATTTGACAGATACGCCCGCACTGACTTTTTTGTAGATCTTATTGAGATACATGTGTGTGTCAATTTTTGTGTCAATATGACAAAGCGTAAAGGCGTGACAGTCAATAGTGTGAATTTTCACCTTAGGGGGCGCTATGGAGCCATTTTGCATTTTATTGTTTGGGCGACTTCAGAATATCGAATTTTTCACCAGGCCCATTCGTCCTGCCAAATTTCATGAGTTTTCGCCAGTGGGAAGTGGGCCATTTTCCCCTTCAAAGGGGAGGAAAAATAAGAAGAAAGAAAGAAAGAAAGAAAGAACTAGGGCCCCGTTGGGGCACTGGCGGGCCCGAGCCGTGTCGCACCCCCCCCCCCCCCCAACGCGCTGCCTCCCCGTCCCATTTGTGTCCTCTGGCCATCGCCCTCTCTGGTGACGCCCATCACTGCAAAGACCCTTTTCCTTCATCGGCGTTTGCTGTTCTTCCTGCCAGTGCGTGTTGCTTTCACTTACACTTGCCACAGCCAGCCTCGTGAGTGCCTAGCCTATTGGATATCACTGTCACCTACACAGGACAGTCATACTTTGTTTTTTAATTTCACATTAATTTCCTTATTGTATAAACGACTGGAAAAAACTTGAGCCCCTGCCCCTGTATTATCATGTGCACGTCCCTGTTCTAGCTCCAAGGTGAATCTTCACTGCTCATGTTCTCCTCAGAAGCAGTCACCTCACTCCCCTCAGGTTACTGTACACATGCACCAACTGCCTGCTTCAGGTTTGGATGGAGCTTCATGGTTGTCTTTTGGAGAAATGAGCAGTCAAGTTGTGTTTGAAATTTGATTTTTTTCAGGGGCAAAAGGAAGCCTCTGCATTCTTGTCAAATATGTAAATAGCATGTATTTGCAGGTGCTAAAAAACAGACTCTGAGTGTGTGTGTGTGTGTGTGTGTGTGTGCGTGTGTGTGTGTGTGTCTGTGTGTGTGTGTGTGTGTGTATCCTGCAGTACTCTGAGAAGAATAATAAGCATATTTCTGAGGTGAATTTTGAAGATTCATCTGAGAGTTAGGTTTGATTCGATTCGATTGACGCTCCCCAGCGTTCAAGTCACATGACATATTTAACCGGATGTAGCTGCAAGACGGAGCCTCGTTAATTCTCTGTTTCAACTTATCTCAAAAGTGAGGACCTCAACCTATATACCAGTTTTTAAATTGTGTTGATAGGCCAAATAAAACCAGAGTTATGATAAATTATGTCCGTGATACTTTTTTTCTGCTTATTTTGATCACGTTCGGCGCTCGATCGCGCTGTATGAGACAGGAAAACATAGCATGCACACATTAGCGACAGGTCTTACAGGCGGAAAAGGCTTGCCTAAAGAAAAAAAAAACACACCACAACATCTCTCCTATTGGTGGAAAACTTCACCACAACAACCAATCCAAAATTATATGGTGACTGATTGACAAGGGGCGGGCGCTTACGTTCTTCCTGCAACATGAGAAGGGAGGGAGGGACTCTCAGCAGGGATGCAGTCTGGGACACGTAGTTGCAAACCTAGCGACTTTGTTGTTAGATTCAATTACTTTTCAGACCCCCTAACGACTTTAGAAAGAAAGGGACTTTTATCGACTTCTTCTGGAGTTTAGAGACTCTGACATGAAGCAGGCTTTCCTTACTGAGGAGTTAGCAACGCTGCTAAGGGTGCAGAGCCACACATGCGCTCCGAGCTCTGCATGGGAGACTGAAGCTGACAGAGCTGCAGCAGTTAGCAGGTTTCACCCTCAGAGACCACCAGGGGTTCATGTTGAGGCATTTTCAGTTTTTGTTTTTTTTGCCATAGACACTGTCAGCACAATCTGCAGTTACACTAACAAAAATGCTGCAAAAAACAAAGAATTATGGAAAAATTACACATGGACTGACATAGAGGAGGATCTACACAAGTTTTTTACATCATGTTTTACATCATGCATCATTTACATCATGTTTTTTTGTAGTGGCATAAATAAAAAGTGACATTTGTGAGACTATACAGTGTTTTGTAAATAATTTTACAAAGAACGCCTGGGCCATTGCCTGCATTTTGATGTAAATAGAGGTAAATTACTATGTTCTTTGTTAAAAATTTGCATATGTTTTGAAGTTTACAATTTTTATTTGAAGTTTAAGTTTTAAAAACAGTTCATCACACATATTTGTGGTTTAATTTCACATTAATTTCCATATTGTATAAATGACTGGAAAAAACTTGAGCCCCTGCCCCTGTATAATCATGTGCACGTCCCTGTTCTAGCTCCAAGGTGAATCGTCACTGCTCATGTTCTCCTCAGAAATAGTCACCTCACTCCCCTCAGGTTACTGTACACATGCACCAACTATCTGCTTCAGGTTTGGATGGAGCTTCATGGTTGTCTTTTGGAGAAATGAACAGTCAAGTTGTGTTTGAAATCTGATTTTTTTCAGGGGCAAAAGGAAGCCTCTGCATTCTTGTCAAATATGTAAACAGCATGTTTTTGCAGGTGCTAAAAAACAGACTCTGAGTGTGTGTGTGTGTGTGTGTGTGTGTGTGTGTATATGTGTGTGTATCCTGCAGTACTCTGTACTCCTGCAGTGGCCAAAAAGACTTTTAAGAATGTGGATTTTTGGGTCATCTTTGGCGCCCCCTAGAACTGCAGTACTCTGTACTCCTGCAGTGTCCAAAATGACTTTTAAGAATGTGGATTTTTGGGTCATCTTTGGCGCCCCCTAGAACGTAAACCGTGGGGTGCAGCGTCATGATTTTTACAACTTTGAATGGCCATGGGGTGTAGATTGCCCTGAGCAAATTTGGTATCGGTGGGACGAAAGCCTTGGGAGGAGATAGCCACATTCCAATGTGTGCGAATCGGCAAAAAATGCGAAATAGCCCTTTAACCGTACATTATACAGATACGCGCTTTTTGACTTTTTCGTAGATCTTATTGAGATACACGTGTGTGTCAAATTTTGTGTCAATATGACAAAGCGTTCAGGCGTGACACTCAACAATGTGTATTTTCATGTAAGGGGACAAGAAAAAATTGACTTTTTTCTCCTGCCATGGGGGGGGCGCTCTTTTGGGGAGTAAAAATTCCTTCACAAATGTGTTGATGGCTGGACATTGCATCATCCTAGAAAACTTGGAGGGCAGTGAGGACAAAAATAAAAAGTTATAAGACTTTTAAGAATGTGGATTTTGGGTTATCTTTGGCGCCCCCTAGAACGTAAACCGTGGGGTGCAGCGTCATGATTTGTACAACTTTTAATGGCCATGGGGGGTAGATTGGCCAGCGCAAATGTGGTGCCGGTCGAACGAAAGCCTTCGGAGGAGTTAGCGAAATTCCAATGTGTGCAGATCTGCAAAAAATGCAAAATAACCCATTAACCGTACATTTGACAGATACGCCCGCACTGACTTTTTTGTAGATCTTATTGAGATACATGTGTGTGTCAATTTTTGTGTCAATATGACAAAGCGTACAGCCGTCATGTGAATTTTCACCTTAGGGGGCGCTATGGAGCCATTTTGCATTTTATTGTTTGGGCGACTTCAGAATATCGAATTTTTCACCAGGCCCGGTCGTCCTGCCAAATTTCCTGAGTTTTCGCCAGTGGGAAGTGGGCCATTTTCCAGTTTAAAGCGGAGGAAAAATAATAACGAAAGAAGGAAACATGCAGGAACAAGAGGGCTCTCGCAGCTGCTTAGCAGCTACGCTCGGGCCCTAAAGAAAGAAGAAAGAAAAACCCATACAGGAACAATAGGGCTCTCGCAGCTGCTTAGCAGCTACGCTCGGGCCCTAATAACGAAAGAAGAATCCATCAGGAACAAGAGGGCTCTCGCAGCTGCTTAGCAGCTACGCTCGGGCCCTAAATATATTTTTGCAGTGTTAAGGCTTCCTTAAGGTAATACCCGGGTATTAGGTCACGGGGCTAGGGTAAGGTTTAAGGTTTTTTATCGTGAGGGTTAAAATCACTGTCCAATATTTTTTAGGAATATGTTTAAGACCTTTTGGAGTTAGTAAGACCAAAAAAATGTAGAATGAAAAAAAACAATTTGGGGTTGTAGGGCTTCCTTAAGGTAATACCCGGGTATTAGGTTATGGGGCTAGGGTAAGGTTAAAGGTTTTTGGCGTTAGGGTTAAAATCACTGTCCAAAACCTTTGTAGGAACATGTTTCAGACCTTTTGGAGTTAGTTAGACCAAAAAAAACGAAAAATAAAAAAGATACTTTGGGGCATGTAGGGCTTCCTTTAGGTAATACCCGGATATTAGGTTACACGGCTAGGTAAAGTTTAAAGGTTTTTGGCGTTAGGGTTAAAATCACTGTCCAAAACCTTTGTAGGATCTCTTTTCCAACCTTTTTGCGTTAGTTTGACAAAAAAAAAAAAAAAAAACGAAAAATGAAATAAAAATTTTTTGGGGTGTGGGTAAGAGATACAGTGATAGCCCCCGCATTCGTCAGTTGACTTGGCGGTTTGGGGTAGGCTGATCAAGGGCTTGCACTGGCCGGCGCATGTCGACCTGTCACATGTTCCCAGTCGAGTCTCTGAGCTCAATCTGTGTGTAAAAATTATGTGTTGGTAGGAAGTTTAATGACTCAGCTCAATTGGTATGCTATGCTGTCTATCTTTTAGACTATGTGTTTGTAGAGCAATTATTTTTGGAGGTTCAGTTAGGGATTAGAGTTGGTATGGTTAAGTGTGAAAATAATAATAACTAGGGCCCCGGTGGGGCACTGTCGGGCCCGAGCAGCGTCGCGCCGCCCCCAGCGCGACCGCCTCCCCCTCCCGATCGCGTCACACTCAAGGTCCAAAGATGGTGTGCGCACTTGTCTGTGGTCATTTCCCATTATAATGAATGGGAGACGCAGTTTCTACCAAAACACTCGCTGCAGACAAACTACATGTCCTATTTGAAAACAGTCTGGACCATGAGTGAGGGCACAAACACAGCTAGGATATATCCAAATGGCAAGTTGCTCCTCGTTACGGTGTTGCCGGGAGAGCGATGCGATTGAGCCATTGAGCGATGGGCAGGAAAAACTTGACTTTTCCTCCTGCCTTGGGGGGGGGGGGATTCTTTTAAGAATGTGGATATTTGGGTCATCTTTGGCGCCCCTTAGAACGTAAACCGTGGGGTGCAGCGTCATGATTTTTACAACTTTGAATGGCCATGGGATGTAGATCTGCTTGAGCAAATTTGGTGTCGGTGGGACGAAAGCCTTAGGAGGAGTTAGCGAAATTCCAATGTGTGCGGATCGGGAAAAAATGCGAAATAGCCCTTTGACTGTACATTTTACAGATGCGTGCACATTGACTTTTTCGTAGATCTTATTGAGATACACGTGTGTGTCAAATTTTGTGTCATTTCGACAAAGCGTATAGGAGTGACACTCAACAATGTGTTTTTTCACCTTAGGGGACAAGAAAAAATGGACTTTTTTCTCCTGCCATGGGGGGGGGGCGCTCTTTTCGAGAGTAAAAATTCCTTTACAAATGTGTTGATGGCTGGACATTGCATCATCCTAGAAAACTTGGAGGCCAGTGAGGACAAAAATAAAAAGTTATAAGACTATTAAGAATGTGGATTTTAGGGTTATGTTTGGCGCCCCCTAGAACCTAAACCGTGGAGTGCAGCATCATGATTTGTACAACTTTGAATGGCCATGGGGTGTAGATTGGCCTGAGCAAATTTGGTGGCGGTGGAACGAAAGCCTTCGGAGGAGTTAGCGAAATTCCAATGTGTGCGGATCGGGAAAAAATGCGAAGTAACCCTTTAACCGTACATTTTACAGATACGTGCCCATTGACTTTTTCGTAGATGTTATTGAGATACACGTGATTGTCAAATTTTGGGTCAATATGACAAAGCGTATAGGCGTGACACTCAACAATGTGTATTTTCACCTTAGGGGACAAGAAAAAATTGACTTTTTTCTCCTGCCATGGGGGGCGCTCTTTTGGGGAGTAAAAATTCCTTCACAAATGTGTTGTTGGCTGGACATTGCATCATCCTAGAAAACTTGGAGGCCATTGAGGACAAAAATACAAAGTTATAAGACTTTTAAGACTGTGGATTTTTGGGTTATCTTTGGCGCCCCCTAGAACGTAAACCGTGGGGTGCAGCGTCATGATTTGTACAACTTTTAATGGCCATGGGGTGTAGATTGGCCTGAGCAAATGTGGTGCCGGTGGAACGAATGCCTTCGGAGGAGTTAGAGAAATTCCAATGTGTGCAGATCTGCAAAAAATGCGAAATAACCCTCTAACCGTACATTTCACAGATGCGCCCGCACTGACTTTTTCGTAGACCGTATTGCGATACACGTGTGTGTCAATTTTTGTTTCAACATGACAAAGCGTACAGGCGTGACAGTCAATAGTGTGAATTTTCACCTTAGGGGGCGCTATGGAGCCATTTTGCATTTTATTGTTTGGGCGACTTCAGAATATCGAATTTTTCACCAGGCCCGGTCGTCCTGCCAAATTTCATGAGTTTTCGCCAGTGGGAAGTGGGCCATTTTCCCCTTCAAAGGGGAGGAAAAATAAGAAGAAAGAAAGAAAGAACTAGGGCCCCGTTGGGGCACTGGCGGGCCCGAGCCGTGTCACGCCGCCCCCAGCGCGACCGCCTCCCCCACCCGATCGCGTCACACTCAAGGTCCAAAGATGGTGTGCGCACTTGTTTGTGGTCATTTACCATTATAATGAACGGGAGGCGCAGTTTCTACCAAAACGCTCGCTGCAGAAAAACTCCATGTCCTATTTGAAAAAAGTCTGGACCATGAGTGAGGGCACAAACACAGCTAAGATATATCCAAATGGCAAGTTGCTCCTCCTTTCGCTTTTGCCGAGAGAGCAGTGCGTTTGAGCCATTGAATGATGAACAGGAAAAACTTGACTTTATTCTCCTGCCATGGGGGGGCGCTCTTTTAAAGAGAAAAAACTCCTTCACAAATGTGTTGATGGCTGGACATTGCATCATCCTAGAAAACATGGAGGCCAGTGAGGACAAAAATAAAAAGTTATAAGACTTTTAAATATGTGGATTTTAGGGTTATATTTGGCGCCCCCTAGAACCTAAACCGTGGGGTGCAGCGTCATGATTTGAATAACTTTTAATGGCCATGGGGTGTAGATTGGCCTGAGCAAATGTGGTGCCGGTGGAACGAAAGCCTTCGGAGGAATTAGCGAAATTCCAATGTGTGCGAATCTGCAAAAAATGCGAAATAACCCTTTAACTGTACATTTTACAGATACGTGGCCATTGACTTTTTCGAAGATCTTATTGAAATACACGTGTATGTAAAATTTTGTGTCAATACGACAAAACATACAGGCGTAGCACTCAACAATGTGTATTTTCACCTTAGTGGACAAGAAAAAATTGACTTTTTTCTCCTGCCATGGGGGGGCGCTCTTTTGGGGAGTAAAAATTCCTTCACAAATGTGTTGATGGCTGGACATTGCATCATCCTAGAAAACTTGGAGGCCAGTGGGGACAAAAATAAAAAGTTATAAGACTTTTAAATATGTGGATTTTAGGGTTATCTTTGGCGCCCCCTAGAACCTAAACCGTGGGGTGCAGCGTCATGATTTGAATAACTTTTAATGGCCATGGGGTGTAGATTGGCCTGAGCAAATGTGGTGCCGGTGGAACGAAAGCCTTCGGAGGAGTTAGCGAAATTCCAATGTGTGCGGATCGGCAAAAAATGCGGAATAACCCTTTAACCGTACATTTGACAGATACGCGCGCATTGACTTTTTCGTAGATCTTATTGAGATACATGTGTGTGTCAATTTTTGTGTCATTTTGCCAAAGCGTACAGGTGTTACACTCAACAATGTGTATTTTCACCTTAGGGGACAAGAAAAAATGGACTTTTTTCTCCTGCCATGGGGGGGCGCTCTTTTGGGGAGTAAAAATTCCTTCACAAATGTGTTGATGGCTGGACATTGCATCATCCTAGAAAACTTGGAGGCCAGTGAGGGCAAAAATAAAAAGTTATAAGACTTTTAAATATGTGGATCTTAGGGTTATCTTTGGCGCCCCCTAGAACCTAAACCGTGGGGTGCAGCGTCATGATTTGAATAACTTTTAATGGCCATGGGGTGTAGATTGGCCTGAGCAAATGTGGTGCCGGTGGAACGAAAGCCTTCGGAGGAGTTAGCGAAATTCCAATGTGTGCGGATCGGAAAAAAATGCGAAATAACCCTTTAACCGTACATTTGACAGATACGCCCGCACTGACTTTTTTGTAGATCTTATTGAGATACATGTGTGTGTCAATTTTTGTGTCATTTTGACAAAGCGTACAGGCGTGACAGTGAATAGTGTGAATTTTCACCTTAGGGGGCGCTATGGAGCCATTTTGCATTTTCTTGTTTGGGCGACTTCGGAATATCAAATTTTTCACCAGGCCCGGTCGTCCTGCCAAATTTCATGAGTTTTCGCCAGTGGGAAGTGGGCCATTTTCCAGTTCAAAGGGGAGGAAAAATAATAACTAGGACCCCGTTGGGGCACTGGCGGGCCCGAGCCGTGTCGCGTCCCCCCCCCCCACCCCCACCCCCCAACGTGCTGCCTTCCCGTCCCATTTGTGTCCTCTGGCCATCGCCCTCTCTGGTAACGCCCATCACTGCAAAGACCCTTTTCCTTCATCGGCGTTTGCTGTTCTTCCTGCCAGTGCGTGTTGCTTTCACTTACACTTGCCACAGCCAGCCTCGTGAGTGCCTAGCCTATTGGATATCACTGTCACCTACACAGGACAGTCATTACCTTTCTATTAATACTTTGTGTTTTAATTTCACATTAATTTCCATATTGTTTAAACGACTGGAAAAAACTTGAGCCCCTGCCCCTGTATAATCATGTGCATGTCTCTGTTCTAGCTCCAAGGTGAATCTTCACTGCTCATGTTCTCCTCAGAAGCACTCACCTCACTCCCCTCAGGTTACTGTACACATGCACCAACTGCCTGCTTCAGGTTTGGATGGAGCTTCATGGTTGTCTTTTGGAGAAATGACCAGTCAAGTTGTGTTTGAAATTTGATTTTTTTCAGGGGCAAAAGGAGCCTCTGCATTCTTGTCAAATATGTAAATAGCATGTTTTTGCAGGTGCTAAAAACCAGACTCTGAGTGTGTGTGTGTGTGTGTGTGTGTGCGTGTGTGTGTGTCTGTGTGTGCGTTCAAGTCACATGACATATTTAACCGGATGTAGCTGCAAGACGGAGCCTCGTTGACTCTCCGTTTCAACTTATCTCAAAAGTGAGGACCGCAACCTATATACCAGTTTTTAAATTGTGTTGATAGGCCAAATAAAACCAGAGTTATGATAAATTATGTCCGCGATACTTTTTTTCTGCTTATTTTGATCACGTTCGGCGCTCGATCGCGCTGTATGAGACAGGAAAACATAGCATGCAGACATTAGCGACAGGTCTTACAGGCGGAAAAGGCTTGCCAAAAAAAAAAAAAACACACCACAACATCTCTCCTATTGGTGGAAAACTTCACCACAACAACCAATCCAAAATTATATGGTGACTGATTGACAAGGGGCGGGCGCTTACGTTCTTCCTGCAACATGAGAAGGGAGGGAGGGACTCTCAGCAGGGATGCAGTCTGGGACACGTAGTTGCAAACCTAGCGACTTTGTTGTTAGATTCAATGACTTTTCAGACACCCTAACGACTTTTTTTTAGAAAGAAAGGGACTTTTATCGACTTCTTCTGGAGTTTAGAGACTCTGACATGAAGCAGGCTTTCCTTACTGAGGAGTTAGCAACGCGGCTAAGGGTGCAGAGCCACACATGCGCTCAGAGCTCTGCATGGGAGACTGAAGCTGACAGAGCTGCAGCAGTTAGCAGGTTTCACCCTCAGAGACCACCAGGGGTTCATGTTGAGGCATTTTAATTTTTTTTTTTTTTTTGTGCCATAGACACTGTCAGCACAATCTGCAGTTACACTAACAAAAATGCTGCAAAAAACAAAGAATTATGGAAAAATTACACATGGACTGACATAGAGGAGGATCTACACAAGTTTTTTACATCATGTTTTACATCATGCATCATTTACATCATGTTTTTTTGTAGTGGCATAAATAAAAAGTGACATTTGTGAGACTATACAGTGTTTTGTAAATAATTTTACAAAGAACGCCTGGGCCATTGCCTGCATTTTGATGTAAATAGAGGTAAATTACTATGTTCTTTGTTAAAAATTTGCATATGTTTTGAAGTTTACAATTTTTATTTGAAGTTTAAGTTTTAAAAACAGTTTATCACACATATTTGTGGTTTAATTTCACATTAATTTCCATATTGTATAAATGACTGGAAAAAACTTGAGCCCCTGCCCCTGTATAATCATGTGCACGTCCCTGTTCTAGCTCCAAGGTGAATCTTCACTGCTCATGTTCTCCTCAGAAATAGTCACCTCACTCCCCTCAGGTTACTGTACACATGCACCAACTATCTGCTTCAGGTTTGGATGGAGCTTCATGGTTGTCTTTTGGAGAAATGAACAGTCAAGTTGTGTTTGAAATTTGATTTTTTTCAGGGGCAAAAGGAAGCCTCTGCATTCTTGTCAAATATGTAAACAGCATGTTTTTGCAGGTGCTAAAAAACAGACTCTGAGTGTGTGTGTGTGTCTGTGTGTGTGTGTGTGTGTGTGTGTGTGTGTGTATGTTGGCGTGTGTGTATATGTGTGTGTATCCTGCAGTACTCTGTACTCCTGCAGTGGCCAAAAAGACTTTTAAGAATGTGGATTTTTGGGTCATCTTTGGCGCCCCCTAGAACTGCAGTACTCTGTACTCCTGCAGTGGCCAAAATGACTTTTAAGAATGTGGATTTTTGGGTCATTTTTGGCGCCCCCTAGAACGTAAACCGTGGGGTGCAGCGTCATGATTTTTACAACTTTGAATGGGCATGGGGTGTAGATTGCCCTGAGCAAATTTGGTATCGGTGGGACGAAAGCCTTAGGAGGAGATAGCCACATTCCAATGTGTGCGAATCGGCAAAAAATGCAAAATAGCCCTTTAACCGTACATTATACAGATACGCGCTCTTTGACTTTTTCGTAGATCTAATTGAGATACACATGATTGTCCATTTTTGTGTCAATATGACAAAGCGTTCAGGCGTGACACTCAACAATGTGTATTTTTATGTAAGGGGACAAGAAAAAATTGACTTTTTTCTCCTACCATGGGGGGGCGCTCTTTTGGGGAGTAAAAATTCCTTCACAAATGTGTTGATGGCTGGACATTGCATCATCCTAGAAAACTTGGAGGCCAGTGAGGACAAAAATAAAAAGTTATAAAACATTTAAGAATGTGGATTTTTGGGTTATTTTTGGCGCCCCCTAGAACCTAAACCATGGGGTGCAGCATCATGATTTGAATAACTTTTAATGGCCATGGGGTGTAGATTGGCCTGAGCAAATGTGGTGCCGGTGGAACGAAAGCCTTCGGAGGAGTTAGCGAAATTCCAATGTGTGCGTATCGGCAAAAAATGCGGAATAACCCTTTAACTGTACATTTGACAGATACGCGCGCATGGACTTTTTTGTAGATCTTATTGAGTTACATGTGTGTGTCAATTTTTGTGTCATTTTGACAAAGCGTATAGGCGTGACACTCAACAATGTGTATTTTCACCTTAGGGGACAAGAAAAAATGGACTTTTTTCTCCTGCCATGGGGGGGCGCTCTTTTGGGGAGTAAAAATTCCTTCACAAATGTGTTGATGGCTGGACATTGCATCATCCTAGAAAACTTGGAGGCCAGTGAGGACAAAAATAAAAAGTTATAAGACTTTTAAATATGTGGATTTTAGTGTTATCTTTGGCGCCCCCTAGAACCTAAACCTTGGGGTGCAGCGTCATGATTTTGATAACTTTTAATGGCCACGGGGTGTAGATTGGCCTGAGCAAATGTGGTGCCGGTGGAACGAAAGCCTTCGGAGGAGTTAGCGAAATTCCAATGTGTGCGGATCGGCAAAAAATGCGAAATAACCCTTTAACCGTAATTTTGACAGATACGGCCGCACTGACTTTTTTGTAGATCTTATTGAGATACATATGTGTGTCAATTTTTGTGTCAATATGACAAAGCGTACAGGCGTGACAGTCAATAGTGTGAATTTCCACCTTAGGGGGCGCTATGGAGCCATTTTGCATTTTATTGTTTGGGCGACTTCAGAATATCGAATTTTTCACCAGGCCCGGTCGTCCTGCCAAATTTCATGAGTTTTCGCCAGTGGGAAGTGGGCCATTTTCCAGTTCAAAGGGGAGGAAAAAGAAGAAAGAAAGAAAGAAAGAAAGAAACAAAGAAAAACCACTTGGGGAATAATAGGGCCTACGCCCGGCTGCTCTGCAGCTGGCTCGGGCCCTAATAACAAAAGAAGGAAACTACAGGAACAAGAGGGCTCTCGCAGCTGCTTAGCAGCTACGCTCGGGCCCTAAAGAAAGAACTAGGGCCCCGGTGGGGCACTGTCGGGCCCGAGCCGCGTCGCGCCGCCCCCAGCGCGACCGCCTCCCCCTCCCGATCGCGTCACACTCAAGGTCCAAAGATGGTGTGCGCACTTGTCTGTGGTCATTTCCCATTATAATGAATGGGAGGCGCAGTTTCTACCAAAACACTCGCTACAGACAAACTACATGTCCTATTTGAAAAAAGTCTGATCCATGAGTGAGGGCACAAACACAGCTAGGATATATCCAAACGGCAAGTTGCTCCTCGTTACGGTGTTGCCGGGAGAGCGATGCGATTGAGCCATTGAGTGATGGGCAGGAAAAACTTGACTGTTTCTCCTGCCATGGGGGATGGGGGATGGGGGATGGGGGGGGGGGGGGAAATGTGGATTCTTTTAAGAATGTGGATATTTGGGTCATCTTTGGCGCCCCCTAGAACGTAAACCGTGGGGTGCAGCGTCATGATTTTTACAACTTTGAATGGCCATGGGGTGTAGATTGGCCTGAGCAAATTTGGTGTCAGTGGGACGAAAGCCTTAGGAGGAGTTAGCCACATTCCAATGTGTGCGAATCGGCAAAAAATGCAAAATAGCCCTTTAACCGTACATTTTACAGATACGCGCGCATTGACTTTTTCGTAGATCTTATTGAGATACATGTGATTCTCAAATTTTGTGTCAATATGACAAAGCGTACAGGTATGACAGTCAACAATGTGTATTCTCACCTTATGGGACAAGAAAAAATGGACTTTTTTCTCCTGCCATGGGGGGGCGCTCTTTTGGGGAGTAAAAATTCCTTCACAAATGTGTTGATGGCTGGACATTGCATCATCCTAGAAAACTTGGAGGCCAGTGAGGACAAAAATAAAAAGTTATAAGACTTTTAAATATGTGGATTTTAGGGTTATCTTTGGCGCCCCCTAGAACGTAAACCGTGGGGTGCAGCGTCATGATTTGAATAACTTTGAATGGCCATGGGGTGTAGATTGGCCTGAGCAAATGTGGTGCCAGTGGAACGAAAGCCTTAGGAGGAGTTAGCCACATTCCACTGTGTGCGGATCGGCAAAAAATGCGGAATAACCCTTTAACCGTACATTTGACAGATACGCACGCATTGACTTTTTCGTAGATCTTATTAAGATACATGTGTGTGTCAATTTTTGTGTCATTTTGACAAAGCGTACAGGCGTGACACTCAACAATGTGTATTTTCACCTTAGGGGACAAGAAAAAATGGACTTTTTTCTCCTGCCATGGGGGGGCGCTCTTTTGGGGAGTAAAAATTCCTTCACAAATGTGTTGATGGCTGGACATTGCATCATCCTAAAAAACTTGGAGGCCGGTGAGGGCAAAAATAAAAAGTTATAAGACTTTTAAATATGTGGATTTTAGGGTTATCTTTGGCGCCACCTAGAACCTAAACCGTGGGGTGCAGCGTCATGATTTGAATAACTTTTAATGGCCATGGGGTGTAGATTGGCCTGAGCAAATGTGGTGCCGGTGGAACGAAAGCCTTCGGAGGAGTTAGCGAAATTCCAATGTGTGCGGATCGGCAAAAAATGCGAAATAACCCTTTAACCGTAAATTTGACAGATACGCCCGCACTGACTTTTTTGTAGATCTTATTGAGATACATGTGTGTGTCAATTTTTGTGTCATTTTGACAAAGCGTACAGGCGTGACAGTCAATAGTGTGAATTTTCACCTTAGGGGGCGCTATGGAGCCATTTTGCATTTTATTGTTTGGGCGACTTCAGAATATCAAATTTTTCACCAGGCCCGGTCGTCCTGCCAAATTTCATGAGTTTTCGCCAGTGGGAAGTGGGCCATTTTCCAGTTCAAAGGGGAGGAAAAATAATAACTAGGACCCCGTTGGGGCACTGGCGGGCCCAACCGTGTCGCGTCCCCCCCCCCCGTCCCCCCCCCCCCCCAACGTGCTGCCTTCCCGTCCCATTTGTGTCCTCTGGCCATCGCCCTCTCTGGTAACGCCCATCACTGCAAAGACCCTTTTCCTTCATCGGCGTTTGCTGTTCTTCCTGCCAGTGCGTGTTGCTTTCACTTACACTTGCCACAGCCAGCCTCGTGAGTGCCTAGCCTATTGGATATCACTGTCACCTACACAGGACAGTCATTACCTTTCTATTAATACTTTGTGTTTTAATTTCACATTAATTTCCATATTGTATAAACGACTGGAAAAAACTTGAGCCCCTGCCCCTGTATAATCATGTGCATGTCTCTGTTCTAGCTCCAAGGTGAATCTTCACTGCTCATGTTCTCCTCAGAAGCACTCACCTCACTCCCCTCAGGTTACTGTACACATGCACCAACTGCCTGCTTCAGGTTTGGATGGAGCTTCATGGTTGTCTTTTGGAGAAATGACCAGTCAAGTTGTGTTTGAAATTTGATTTTTTTCAGGGGCAAAAGGAGCCTCTGCATTCTTGTCAAATATGTAAATAGCATGTTTTTGCAGGTGCTAAAAACCAGACTCTGAGTGTGTGTGTGTGTGTGTGTGTGTGTGCGTGTGTGTGTGTGTGTGCGTTCAAGTCACATGACATATTTAACCGGATGTAGCTGCAAGACGGAGCCTCGTTGACTCTCCGTTTCAACTTATCTCAAAAGTGAGGACCTCAACCTATATACCAGTTTTTAAATTGTGTTGATAGGCCAAATAAAACCAGAGTTATGATAAATTATGTCCGCGATACTTTTTTTCTGCTTATTTTGATCACGTTCGGCGCTCGATCGCGCTGTATGAGACAGGAAAACATAGCATGCAGACATTAGCGACAGGTCTTACAGGCGGAAAAGGCTTGCCAAAAGAAAAAAAAAACACACCACAACATCTCTCCTATTGGTGGAAAACTTCACCACAACAACCAATCCAAAATTATATGGTGACTGATTGACAAGGGGAGGGCGCTTACGTTCTTCCTGCAACATGAGAAGGGAGGGAGGGACTCTCAGCAGGGATGCAGTCTGGGACACGTAGTTGCAAACCTAGCGACTTTGTTGTTAGATTCAATGACTTTTCAGACCCCCTAACGACTTTTTTTTAGAAAGAAAGGGACTTTTATCGACTTCTTCTGGAGTTTAGAGACTCTGACATGAAGCAGGCTTTCCTTACTGAGGAGTTAGCAACGCTGCTAAGGGTGCAGAGCCACACATGCGCTCAGAGCTCTGCATGGGAGACTGAAGCTGACAGAGCTGCAGCAGTTAGCAGGTTTCACCCTCAGAGACCACCAGGGGTTCATGTTGAGGCATTTTAATTTTTTTTTTTTTTGTGCCATAGACACTGTCAGCACAATCTGCAGTTACACTAACAAAAATGCTGCAAAAAACAAAGAATTATGGAAAAATTACACATGGACTGACATAGAGGAGGATCTACACAAGTTTTTTACATCATGTTTTACATCATGCATCATTTACATCATGTTTTTTTGTAGTGGCATAAATAAAAAGTGACATTTGTGAGACTATACAGTGTTTTGTAAATAATTTTACAAAGAACGCCTGGGCCATTGCCTGCATTTTGATGTAAATAGAGGTAAATCACTATGTTCTTTGTTAAAAATTTGCATATGTTTTGAAGTTTACAATTTTTATTTGAAGTTTAAGTTTTAAAAACAGTTCATCACACATATTTGTGGTTTTCACAGTAAAAATGTTACTTTTTTCCACTCGGATTTTATGTTTTGTGTGTGAATTTGGGTCCATTGTGTAAATTCAGTATGTCAACATGATAAAATAACTGTAAATTCGCACAGGTGAGGTTGTGCTGAAAAAAATGATACCAGGCAAGGCACGTGATTGTCAAATTTTGTGTCAATATGACAAAGCGTATAGGCGTGAATCTCAACAATATGTATTTTCACCTTAGGGGACAAGAAAAAATGGACTTTTTTCTCCTGCCATGGGGGGGCGCTCTTTTGGGGAGTAAAAATTCCTTCACAAATGTGTTGATGGCTGGACATTGCATCATCCTAGAAAACTTGGAGGCCAGTGAGGACAAAAATAAAAAGTTATAAGACTTTTAAATATGTGGATTTTAGGGTTATCTTTGGCGCCCCCTAGATCCTAAACCGTGGGGTGCAGCGTCATGATTTTGATAACTTTTAATGGCCATGGGGTGTAGATTGGCCTGAGCAAATGTGGTGCCGGTGGAACGAAAGCCTTAGGAGGAGTTAGCCACATTCCAATGTGTGCGGATCGGCAAAAAATGCGGAATAACCCTTTAACCGTACATTTGACAGATACGCGCGCATTGACTTTTTCGTAGATCTTATTGAGTTACATGTGTGTGTCAATTTTTGTGTCATTTTGACAAAGCGTATAGGCGTGACACTCAACAATGTGTATTTTCACCTTAGGGGACAAGAAAAAATGGACTTTTTTCTCCTGCCATGGGGGGGCGCTCTTTTGGGGAGTAAAAATTCCTTCACAAATGTGTTGATGGCTGGACATTGCATCATCCTAGAAAACTTGGAGGCCAGTGAGGACAAAAATAAAAAGTTATAAGACTTTTAAATATGTGGATTTTAGTGTTATCTTTGGCGCCCCCTAGAACCTAAACCTTGGGGTGCAGCGTCATGATTTTGATAACTTTTAATGGCCACGGGGTGTAGATTGGCCTGAGCAAATGTGGTGCCGGTGGAACGAAAGCCTTCGGAGGAGTTAGCGAAATTCCAATGTGTGCGGATCGGCAAAAAATGCGAAATAACCCTTTAACCGTAATTTTGACAGATACGGCCGCACTGACTTTTTTGTAGATCTTATTGAGATACATGTGTGTGTCAATTTTTGTGTCATTTTGACAAAGCGTACAGTCGTGACAGTGAATAGTGTGAATTTTCACCTTAGGGGGCGCTATGGAGCCATTTTGCATTTTATTGTTTTGGCGACTTCAGAATATCAAATTTTTAACCAGGCCCGGTCGTCCTGCCAAATTTCATGAGTTTTCGCCAGTGGGAAGTGGGCCATTTTCCAGTTCAAAGGGGAGGAAAAAGAAAAAAGAAAGAAAGAAACAAAGACTAGGGCCCCGTTGGGGCACTGGCGGGCCCGAGCCGTGTCGCGCTGCCCCCCCCAACGCGCTGCCTCCCCGTCCCATTCGCATCCTCTGGCCATCGTCCTCTCTGGTAACGCCCATCACTGCAAAGACCCTTTCCTTCATCGGCGTTTGCTGTTCTTCCTGCCAGTGCGTGTTGCTTTCACTTACACTTGCCACAGCCAGCCTCGTGAGTGCCTAGCCTATTGGATATCACTGTCATCTACACAGGACAGTCATAACCTTTCTATTAATACTTTGTTTTTTAATTTCACATTAATTTCCATATTGTATAAATGACTGGAAAAAACTTGAGCCCCTGCCCCTGTATAATCATGTGCACGTCCCTGTTCTAGCTCCAAGGTGAATCTTCACTGCTCATGTTCTTCTCAGAAATAGTCACCTCACTCCCCTCAGGTTACTGTACACATGCACCAACTATCTGCTTCAGGTTTGGATGGAGCTTCATGGTTGTCTTTTGGAGAAATGAACAGTCAAGTTGTGTTTGAAATTTGATTTTTTTCAGGGGCAAAAGGAAGCCTCTGCATTCTTGTCAAATATGTAAACAGCATGTTTTTGCAGGTGCTAAAAAACAGACTCTGAGTGAGTGTGTGTGTGTGTGTGTGTGTGTGTGTGTGTGTTGGCGTGTGTGTATATGTGTGTGTATCCTGCAGTACTCTGTACTCCTGCAGTGGCCAAAAAGACTTTTAAGAATGTGGATTTTTGGGTCATCTTTGGCGCCCCCTAGAACTGCAGTACTCTGTACTCCTGCAGTGGCCAAAATGACTTTTAAGAATGTGGATTTTTGGGTCATCTTTGGCGCCCCCTAGAACGTAAACCGTGGGGTGCAGCGTCATGATTTTTACAACTTTGAATGGGCATGGGGTGTAGATTGCCCTGAGCAAATTTGGTATCAGTGGGACGAAAGCCTTAGGAGGAGATAGCCACATTCCAATGTGTGCGAATCGGCAAAAAATGCGAAATAGCCCTTTAACCGTACATTATACAGATACGCGCTCTTTGACTTTTTCGTAGATCTAATTGAGATACACATGATTGTCAATTTTTGTGTCAATATGACAAAGCGTTCAGGCGTGACACTCAACAATGTGTATTTTCATGTAAGGGGACAAGAAAAAATTGACTTTTTTCTCCTGCCATGGGGGGGCGCTCTTTTGGGGAGTAAAAATTCCTTCACAAATGTGTTGATGGCTGGACATTGCATCATCCTAGAAAACTTGGAGGGCAGTGAGGACAAAAATAAAAAGTTATAAGACTTTTAAGAATGTGGATTTTTGGGTTATCTTTGGCGCCCCCTAGAACCTAAACCGTGGGGTGCAGCGTCATGATTTGTACAACTTTTAATGGCCATGGGGTGTAGACTGGCCTGAGCAAATGTGGTGCCGGTGGAACGAAAGCCTTCGGAGGAGTTAGCGAAATTCCAATGTGTGCGGATCGGCAAAAAATGCGAAATAACCCTTTAACCGTACATTTGACAGATACGCCCGCACTGACTTTTTTGTAGATCTTATTGAGATACATACGTGTGTCAATTTTTGTGTCAATATGACAAAACGTACAGACGTGACAGTCAATAGTGTGAATTTCCACCTTAGGGGGCGCTATGGAGCCATTTTGCATTTTATTGTTTGGGCGACTTCAGAATATCGAATTTTTCACCAGGCCCGGTCGTCCTGCCAAATTTCATGAGTTTTCGCCAGTGGGAAGTGGGCCATTTTCCAGTTTAAAGCGGAGGAAAAATAATAATAATAATAACAAAAGAAGAATCCATCAGGAACAAGAGGGCTCTCGCAGCTGCTTAGCAGCTACGCTCGGGCCCTAAAAAACCACTTGGGGAATAATAGGGCCTACGCCCGGCTGCTCTGCAGCTGGCTCGGGCCCTAACTAGGACCCCGTTGGGGCACTGGCGGGCCCGAGCTGTGTCGCGTCCCCCCCCCAACGCGCTGCCTCCCCGTCCCATTTGTGTCCTCTGGCCATCGCCCTCTTTGGTAACGCCCATCACTGCAAAGACCCTTTTCCTTCATCGGCGTTTGCTGTTCTTCCTGCCAGTGCGTGTTGCTTTCACTTACACTTGCCACAGCCAGCCTCGTGAGTGCCTAGCCTATTGGATATCACTGTCACCTACACAGGACAGTCATTACCTTTCTATTAATACTTTGTTTTTTAATTTCACATTAATTTCCAAATTGTATAAACGACTGGAAAAAACTTGAGCCCCTGCCCCTGTATAATCATGTGCACGTCTCTGTTCTAGCTCTAAGGTAAATCTTCACTGCTCATGTTCTCCTCAGAAGCAGTCACCTCACTCCCCTCAGGTTACTGTACACATGCACCAACTGCCTGCTTCAGGTTTGGATGGAGCTTCATGGTTGTCTTTTGGAGAAATGACCAGTCAAGTTGTGTTTGAAATTTGATTTTTTTCAGGGGCAAAAGGAGCCTCTGCATTCTTGTCAAATATGTAAATAGCATGTTTTTGCAGGTGCTACAAACCAGACTCTGAGTGTGTGTGTGTGCGTGTGTGTGTGTCTGTGTGTGTGTGTGTGTGTGCGTTCAAGTCACATGACATATTTAACCGGATGTAGCTGCAAGACGGAGCCTCGTTGACTCTCCGTTTCAATTTATCTCAAATGTGAGGACCTCAACCTATATACCAGTTTTTAAATTGTGTTGATAGGCCAAATAAAACCAGAGTTATGATAAATTATGTCCGCGATACTTGTTTTCTGCTTATTTTGATCACGTTCGGCGCTCGATCGCGCTGTATGAGACAGGAAAACATAGCATGCAGACATTAGCGACAGGTCTTACAGGCGGAAAAGGCTTGCCAAAGGAAAAAAAATACACACCACAACATCTCTCCTATTGGTGGAAAACTTCACCACAACAACCAATCCAAAATTATATGGTGACTGATTGACAAGGGGCGGGAACTTACGTTCTTCCTGCAATATGAGAAGGGAGGGAGGGACTCTCAGCAGGGATGCAGTCTGGGACACGTAGTTGCAAACCTAGCGACTTTGTTGTTAGATTCAATGACTTTTCAGACCCCCTAACGACTTTTTTTTAGAAAGAAAGTGACTTTTATCGACTTCTTCTGGAGTTTAGAGACTCTGACATGAAGCAGGCTTTCCTTACTGAGGAGTTAGCAACGCTGCTAAGGGTGCAGAGCCACACATGCGCTCCGAGCTCTGCATGGGAGACTGAAGCTGACACAGCTGCAGCAGTTAGCAGGTTTCACCCTCAGAGACCACCAGGGGTTCATGTTGAGGCATTTTCAGTTTTTTTTTTTTTTTTTTGCCATAGACACTGTCAGCACAATCTGCAGTTACACTAACAAAAATGCTGCAAAAAACAAAGAATTATGGAAAAATTACACATGGACTAACATAGAGGAGGATCTACACAAGTTTTTTACATCATGTTTTACATCATGCATCATTTACATCATGTTTTTTTGTAGTGGCATAAATAAAAAGTGACATTTGTGAGACTATACAGTGTTTTGTAAATAATTTTACAAAGAACACCTGGGCCATTGCCTGCATTTTGATGTCAATAGAGGTAAATTACTATGTTCTTTGTTAAAAATTTGCATATGTTTTGAAGTTTACAATTTTTATTTGAAGTTTAAGTTTTAAAAACAGTTCATCACACATATTTGTGGTTTTCACAGTAAAAACGTTACTTTTTTCCACTCTGATTTTATGTTTTGTGTGTGAATTTGGGTCCAATGTGTAAATATAGTATGTCAAAATGGTAAAATAACTGTAAATTGACACAGGTGAGGTTGTGCTGAAAAAAATGATACCAGGCAAGGCAAGGTAAAAATTTTGTAAGAGGAAATATAAAGGTAAAATCTAAAGTAGTCAAAAACGGCCAATAGTGACTCACAGACTCCACAGACAAGTCCCTTTGGCGCCACTCAGTGGGCAAAACTACTTTGTCTACTGTAATGTATATTTGGGTCATCTTTGGCGCCCCCTAAAACGTAAACCGTGGGGTGCAGCGTCATGATTTTTACAACTTTGAATGGCCATGGAGTGTAGATTGGCCTGAGCAAATTTGGTGTCAGTGGGACGAAAGCCTTAGGAGGAGTTAGCGAAATTCCAATGTGTGCGAATCGGCAAAAAATGCAAAATAGCCCTTTTACCGTACATTATACAGATACGCGCTCTTTGACTTTTTCGTAGATCTAATTGAGATACACATGATTGTCAATTTTTGTGTCATTTTGCCAAAGCGTACAGGCGTGACAGTCAACAATGTGTATTTTCACCTTAGGGGACAAGAAAAAATGGACTTTTTTCTCCTGCCATGGGGGGGCGCTCTTTTGGGGAGTAAAAATTCCTTCACAAATGTGTTGATGGCTGGACATTGCATCATCCTAGAAAACTTGGAGGCCAGTGAGGACAAAAATAAAAAGTTATAAGACTTTTAAAAATGTGGATTTTTGGGTTATCTTTGGCGCCCCCTAGAACGTAAATCGTGGGGTGCAGCGTCATGATTTGAATAACTTTTAATGGCCATGGGGTGTAGATTGGCCTGAGCAAATGTGGTGCCGGTGGAACGAAAGCCTTCGGAGGAGTTAGCGAAATTCCAATGTGTGCGGATCGGCAAAAAATGCGAAATAACCCTTTAACCGTACATTAGACAGATACGCGCGCATTGACTTTTTTGTAGATCTTATTGAGATACATGTGTGTGTCAATTTTTGTGTCATTTTGACAAAGCGTACAGGCGTGACAGTCAATAGTGTGAATTTTCACCTTAGGGGACAAGAAAAAATGGACTTTTTTCTCCTGCCATGGGGGGGCGCTCTTTTGGGGAGTAAAAATTCCTTCACAAATGTGTTGATGGCTGGACATTGCATCATCCTAGAAAACTTGGAGGCCAGTGAGGACAAAAATAAAAAGTTATAAGACTTTTAAATATGTGGATTTTAGTGTTATCTTTGGCGCCCCCTAGAACCTAAACCTTGGGGTGCAGCGTCATGATTTTGATAACTTTTAATGGCCACGGGGTGTAGATTGGCCTGAGCAAATGTGGTGCCGGTGGAACGAAAGCCTTCGGAGGAGTTAGCGAAATTCCAATGTGTGCGGATCGGCAAAAAATGCGCAATAACCCTTTAACCGTACATTTGACAGATACGCCCGCACTGACTTTTTTGTAGATCTTATTGAGATACATGTGTGTGTCAATTTTTGTGTCATTTTGCCAAAGCGTACAGGCGTGACAGTCAATAGTGTGAATTTTCACCTTAGGGGGCGCTATGGAGCCATTTTGCATTTTCTTGTTTGGGCGACTTCGGAATATCAAATTTTTCACCAGGCCCGGTCATCCTGCCAAATTTCATGAGTTTTCGCCAGTGGGAAGTGGGCCATTTTCCAGTTCAAAGGGGAGGAAAAAGAAAAAAGAAAGAAAGAAACAAAGAACTAGGGCCCCGGTGGGGCACTGTCGGGCCCGAGCCGCGTCGCACCGCCCCCAGCGCGACCGCCTCCACCTCCCGATCGCGTCACACTCAAGGTCCAAAGATGGTGTGCGCACTTGTCTGTGGTCATTTCCCATTATAATGAATGGGAGGCGCAGTTTCTACCAAAACACTCGCTGCAGACAAACTACATGTCCTATTTGAAAAAAGTCTGGACCATGAGTGAGGGCACAAACACAGCTAGGATATATCCAAACGGCAAGTTGCTCCTCGTTACGGTGTTGCCGGGAGAGCGATGCGATTGAGCCATTGAGTGATGGGCAGGAAAAACTTGACTGTTTCTCCTGCCATGGGGGGTGGGGGATGGGGGGGATGTGGATTCTTTTAAGAATGTGGATATTTGGGTCATCTTTGGCGCCCCCTAGAACGTAAACCGTGGGGTGCAGCGTCATGATTTTTACAACTTTGAATGGCCATGGGGTGTAGATTGGCCTGAGCAAATTTGGTGTCAGTGGGACGAAAGCCTTAGGAGGAGTTAGCCACATTCCAATGTGTGCGAATCGGCAAAAAATGCAAAATAGCCCTTTAACCGTACATTTGACAGATACGCGCGCATTGACTTTTTCGTAGATCTTATTGAGATACATATGATTGTCAATTTTTGTGTCAATATGATAAAGCGTACAGGCGTGACAGTCAACAATGTGTATTTCCACCTTAGGGGACAAGAAAAAATTGACTTTTTTCTCCTGCCATGGGGGGGCGCTCTTTTGGGGAGTAAAAATTCCTTCACAAATGTGTTGATGGCTGGACATTGCATCATCCTAGAAAACTTGGAGGCCAGTGAGGACAAAAATAAAAAGTTATAAGACTTTTAAATATGTGGATTTTAGGGTTATCTTTGGCGCCCCCTAGAACCTAAACCGTGGGGTGCAGCGTCATGATTTGAATAACTTTTAATGGCCATGGGGTGTAGATTGGCCTGAGCAAATGTGGTGCCGGTGGAACGAAAGCCTTCGGAGGAGTTAGCGAAATTCCAATGTGTGCGGATCGGCAAAAAATGCGGAATAACCCTTTAACCGTACATTTGACAGATACGCGCGCATTGACTTTTTCGTAGATCTTATTGAGATACATATGTGTGTCAATTTTTGTGTCATTTTGCCAAAGCGTACAGGCGTGACACTCAACAATGTGTATTTTCACCTTAGGGGACAAGAAAAAATTGACTTTTTTCTCCTGCCATGGGGGGGCGCTCTTTTGGGGAGTAAAAATTCCTTCACAAATGTGTTGATGGCTGGACATTGCATCATCCTAGAAAACTTGGGAGGCCAGTGAGGGCAAAAATAAAAAGTTATAAGACTTTTAAATATGTGGATCTTAGGGTTATCTTTGGCGCCCCCTAGAACCTAAACCGTGGGGTGCAGCGTCATGATTTGAATAACTTTTAATGGCCATGGGGTGTAGATTGGCCTGAGCAAATGTGGTGCCGGTGGAACGAAAGCCTTCGGAGGAGTTAGCGAAATTCCAATGTGTGCGGATCGGCAAAAAATGCGAAATAACCCTTTAACCGTACATTTGACAGATATGCCCGCACTGACTTTTTTGTAGATCTTATTGAGATACATGTGTGTGTCAATTTTTGTGTCATTTTGACAAAGCGTACACGCGTGACAGTCAATAGTGTGAATTTTCACCTTAGGGGGCGCTATGGAGCCATTTTGCATTTTCTTGTTTGGGCGACTTCGGAATATCAAATTTTTCACCAGGCCCGGTCGTCCTGCCAAATTTCATGAGTTTTCGCCAGTGGGAAGTGGGCCATTTTCCAGTTCAAAGGGGAGGAAAAATAATAATAATAATAACAAAAGAAGGAAACATGCAGGAACAAGAGGGCTCTCGCAGCTGCTTAGCAGCTACGCTCGGGCCCTAAAAACCACTTGGGGAATAATAGGGCCTACGCCCGGCTGCTCTGCAGCTGGCTCGGGCCCTAATAATAACAAAAGAAGGAAACATGCAGGAACAAGAGGGCTCTCGCAGCTGCTTAGCAGCTACGCTCGGGCCCTAAAGAAAGAAAGAAGAAAGAAAAACCACTACAGGAATAATAGGGCTCTACGCCCGGCTGCTCTGCAGCTGGCTCGGGCCCTAATAATAATAATAACTAGAAAAATTGCATTTCCTTGCAGAAAATGCGTGGAAATGCTGAGTGCTGAAAGCTGAAAAAGCAATGCTGAACTGCTAATAAAACATGGAGAAAGGTATAAATGTTAAAGCTGTTAAAGGGGTGAAGTGTTATAAGTAGAAGTTGTATGAATGTTTCAACCGTAACAGAACTGAAGAAGAAGATGATGAAAAAGAGATGAGTTGTATGGATGTAAAAACACTGGGAGAGGTAAACCAGTAGCTGTATGAATATTCAAATTGCTAAAGAACTGAACTTGAACATTACAGAAAATATGGTAAAGAATTTTTAAGATGGCTGAAAAGGCGTTCATGTTGGAAGAAGTAGAAATGAATGTAGATGAGAAAATTGAATACATTACTCAAATATTTTTAATTTAAAATTTGAATCAACTTGAAAATTCAAATTGAGTTTTTACATAAGTAAAACCAAAACAAAGAAAAAAAGAAAAATATTTTTGTCAATTCTTTAACATTTTGTGAGCAATGAAATGATTAATCATAAAATATAAAAAAAATAATTAAAAAAAAAAAATCAAAACATAAACACATAAAGAAATAGTGCTCCATAGTGCCTTAAATCAAATTATAAACAATTTGTTTGTGAACAGGTTTTGGAAGCAGAAATCTTTACATGGGTGACCAATCTGTCTCTTAAGCTGAAGGTTTTAAGATTGTAGTTGCTGTGATTGTTGATGGACAAAGGTATCACATTTTCAGTTGTTTCTAAAATTGTTTAGCCCAATCATTAAAGGCTCTTCACACAGTTGTTAGACTGAGGCTAACACCCTGGATTATTTACTGGATTCAAACTCCAGCAGCCCTGTACCCACATTCACCTCTTTTCTTGTGTTTTCGGATTACTAAGCCTTAACAAAAGTTGGCTCATAAAATTTGTCATGGCCCATTGAGCCAAGTCCTGTGTTGTGGGCTTTAAAAACAGACCTTGAAATTTGATTTCAAAGTCTGATACAGGACTGTTATGTGTGTTTTTAAGGGTTTAGATTAGCCTAAGACTAAGTTCGCACATCTGAAAAACCTTTACACCTATACATTAAAAAAATATATGAAAATGGTGACTTGAGAGTTATAAAAAAAATTGTTACTAAAATCGGTCTGCAGTATTACAAAGTATTGCAAAGTTATCCAGGCTTGTGGAAATATACAGGCAAAGTAAGGTGAAAGGCATATGAATTAAATACGGCATTGTAGTATTTTTTAAAGCTAACTGCAGTGAAATGTGGGCCTTCTCATGTAGAAAAAAAAGAAAATTATAGAATAATAAATGATTATAATAATAAAAAATTAAATGATATGAAACTGAAACATTAAACAAAATCTAAAATGATCAGATTAAAAAGTAGATTTGATAACTTGAAATAAATTGATGTAATGAATTGGTCCACCTTACCACCAAAAGGCTTTTCACAGTAGACCAAGGCTATTACTGTCATCAGCTCATTGTCATCTGCTCATTTGTTTGCAAAAATAATAACTCAGCAGTTTACTGTACAATGTGGTACAGAAGTATTTTACAGAAATTAAAATATATATATTTTTAATTAAATGTAAATTAAAATTTTTAAATAATGTGGAGGGTAAGGAAAAGAATGCAAATGCAAAAGATGCAGTCCTCCAGGCTTGCGGAAATATACGGGCAAAGTAAGGTGAAAGGTTAATAACTTAAATATGGCACTGAAGTATTTTTTATAGCATGTATTGGTCCACCTTACCACCCAAAAGGCTTTTCACAGTAGTTTAGACCAAGGCTAATACTGTCATCAGCTCATTGCAGTGGACTGACAATCTGGTCAGCATTTTAGATCCCAGTGTTTTCTTATCCAAACATTCACACTACTCTGTCTTACTGAAATGCTGGATTGGGAACTTTGTTCCTCTATGAAATCCCTTCACACAGTTCGTTTAACCAAGCCCTGTGTTTGATGATTGTGACGACAACCTTCAGCAGGGATTGTTTCACACTGTAATGCTGGGATCACTGCTGTCCAAAACATTAGCCCAAGACTAAGCACACGTGAAAAACCTGCAGTGTACCTACCAGCTGAAACCCAAAGTACATCATTTATTTCTAAAAACACGTCTTCTCTTGTAGGTAAATTTGAGGGCTATGGTGAGCATATTAAAACGAGAAATTCAGCTGCCTGCAACAACTGAAGTAACTGGTATTTTTTCCCTTCATCAGTGTTGGTCATCTTTTGATATAAGGACAGATACACAGTAAAAGGGAAAGAAAATACTAAAATAAGATAGAACAAATTAAGTCCAAGAAACAGGAAACTTAAAATATTAACAGATATCGACAACCGATCACTTAATGTAGAAAACAGGATTCAAAATAATATAAGAGTAATAGTTGTCCTGTCCTGAAGACAATCAGTCAGTTCCTCAAGTGAGTACTGTGTTCTGTCTGGGCACTTTTTTTCAAAACCAAAAGCCGAGCCCGGTACAATTCAGAGTGAAGGTTTTGAGTGAGGTAATGTTTTGACCTTTGACCTGTGGTTGTAGAATCACTGTGTGCAGTTATCAGTTTTCGAGTTGATAGCATTACCGGAGTCAGAGGCAGGAGGAGGAGAGGTCTGAAAAAAAACAAACAAAATCCCCTTCACTTTAACTGTATATCAATACAATTGATTGTAGGATCACCATTAGTTAGCTGCACTTGCTACATCGTGGATGAACAGACAGTGACTTGAAGTAGGAGAATGTAGCTGGTTCAAAACAGGAAATAAACAGAAACATTTGTGTTGATAATCTGTGAAACTAAACATGTTGAATAAATACACACATCATTACAATGAATACCTTCAGCACTGCAGCAGAGCAACTTCACCAGGTCTGCAGCAGCAAAGCTTCCTCACACAGAGAGGCTCAAGGCTCAGGGTGGCTGCATGATGTCCACCTTTGGTGTGTTCAGCTGTCTGAGTGGCTAAGCTGTTCTTCCTCTCTTAACTGGCTTAAAGAAGACATGGGAGAAAACACTGCTGTTAAAGACGATGGTATCAGCAGAGCTGTACATGAATGAACACAAGTTCACCAAGACATTACCTCAGACTTTCTTGAAGAGGGGTTTATTTCTTGGGGGTTCAGCAGGAACGAGCCCAGTGAGTGACAGGTACTACAGCATCAGTTCTGCTTCAGCCTGGTGTCTGGTGGTCCTTGAGAGCTGCTTCAGGACATCTGGAGCACAAGCAGGTAAAACACATGTTTGTGTAGTCCATGAGAGAACGGTCCTGGTGGGTGCTGCAGTCTGTCCAGCACAGCGATGATGGTTGTTGAGAGCAGCAGGGGGATGGTGTGGAGGATGTAATCTCTTCTTCACCTCTGACCAAAGACTGGGTTAAACAGCAGGTAGACTGTGTCTTTGAGTGGTCCAAAGTGATGTGTTTACTTCTGGTTGATGGTTTGATAATTTTTTTCTGCTCATAAGTGAGCTAGTCAGTACAGCACTAATGGTCAGGACAAAGATGGCAGAGACAACTGAAGAAGAAAAAAAAATACCCAAACAAAAGGAAACTTCGCTTTACTCTACTGCATCCACGGGTGATGTGTTTACTTTTGGTTGACAGTTTGATAATTTTTTTCAGTTTACAGTGAGCTAGTCAGGATAGTACTAATGGGGGTCAGGTTAAAGATGGTGGGGACAACTGAAATAATAATAATAAAAAATTAAAACTAAAAACATACCCAAAGAAAAGGAAACTTAGGTTTGCTCTAGTGTACTTACAGCCACCCATGCTAAGAGAGTGGTGTAAAGTTGGGTGGAGAAAAGGGGGGTTTCAGCTGGTAGGTAATAGAACATCAGAAAGTGTGTGTTCATTAGGGAACACACACTTTCTGATGGAGGTTTTTAATTTTAGCTGCTGTATACATTATTGTACACAGCAGCTGAGAGTTTTGGCCTGTGCATTTATCAATCCGCACCCACCCTCCCTATGTCCAGTCAAGTCAAGTTAAATGGATTAACTTGACTTGACTGGACTTGATAAATGCACAGGCCAAAAATTGTCATTTATAACATTTGAATAGTTGGAAAATTTTACAACCTGAAAAATATTTTCTATATAAAAATTCTGAACCATAAGAATATTTTTTGCACGAGTAAAATTTACAATGACCAAACACATTTCAATCTGTACTGAAAATATGAGCATAACATTAGCCACAGCTTCTGTAGTTTGTCTTTCCCTTCAGAGCAGTTTCTTCTATGACCTGTTGGATGAAATAACACAGTAAGTGGCATTGTGGTAACTGTAGTATGTCTGCACGATACCTGAGGAGAGACATAGCTGAGGTCTTGATATGAAAATCAGGTCCAGCAGTGTGTTCTTGTCCGTTGTACCAGCAGTGATTAGCTGACCATATCCCTTGGACTGAAAGAAATCCAAAATTGGCTTACTTGCATTAGAAAACAGATTCTCATTGAAGTCGCCACAGACAATGATAGGATGACAGTCCATGATCTCAAGTGAGTCCAGAAGGCCTCCCAGATTGGACAGGAAAGACGGCACACTGTAGTCTGGAGGTCTGTACACAGCTGCAATCAGAGCACTTACAGGAGATTCAACCTTCAAAGCCACAAACTCAAGGTCAGTCACATTATTCAGGTATTGTTTCTCCACAACCTGCAAATGGTTTTTCACATAAACAGCGACTCCACCACCTCCTTTACTGGCCATCTGTGGAAAGTTAGTGTAGGACAAATGTCTGTTGCGTTTGAACATGGTGTAGCCCTCAAACTGGAGACTGTCTGCTACAAAAGAGCCCTGTAAGTGAGTTTCTGTCAGACACAAAACATCTGCAAGACACAGTTCATGATGGCTTTTGATGTCATTCACATGAGCAGGTAATCCTTCGGTGTTGTGATGAATGATGCTCACAGTGTCCTGTCTGCTGAGAGAATGCTGGATCTGGAGAAAAGGCATGAGGTGATCAAAGTTAGCTTGTGTCATGGTCTCCAAAGATACAGTGACTTCAGGGTTAGCATAGATTTTACTCTCATCCAAATCAAGCATGTACAGTCCGCTGAGAGAGGTCACTCGACTGACAGCTACATAGGCCATGCCGGGCTCAAAAATGTGCTTCAGTGAGACAACAGCTGATTTTCTGGTCATACCTTGAACCTTGTGTATTGTGCATGCAAAGGCAAGTTTCACAGGAAACTGTCTGCGTACCACTCCTTTCTGTTGCAGAGCCTCCTCAGATCTCTCGATGTACACAAGATTGTCTCCTCGAGTACGATAGCTCCTGCCAGCTGTTTCATCATCCATCCTGAGACCAAGCATAGTGACAAGAGCAGAACTGTTGTTTTCAGAGCTTATGAGTCGGCCTACTGTAGCAAATGATCCGTTCACCAATCCTTGAGACACATCTATGTTTCTGATGAGCATGACTCGAGCACCAACTGCAACATCTAGTGTGTCAGGTAGATCATTTCTGCTTCCATGACATGGTGCACCTTGTCTTTTCATGTGTCCAGTGTGTGGATCCTTTTTAAAGTCATCTGCATCAATGGTGGTGATATCAGAATGAAGCCGAGACAGTGTAGCAGAGTTGTGTGCTGCGACTTGTTTGTTGGTAGCAAAAATGTGCAGGACATCAGAGGGACACAGTTGTGGTTCAGTGACACGCTGTGACAGCAGAGTTCTGTCAGCTTCAGAAAGCTCATCTGACCTTGTTTTCACACGGAGTCTGTTCAGCATCTCGGCAAAAGTTTTGTCATCCTTTTGTCGCATGATCTCATCTAAAGTGATCACCTGGAAGTTGTCTCTCCAGAGGTCAAGCTCACTTGGATCATAGACACACAGTGGTTTGGACTGTCGTACAGGCGGTAGCTGGTAAAAGTCTCCCACAGCAATGACTGACATTCCTCCAAAGGGTCTGTGGCTGCCTTTAATCTGTTTCAGTCTCACATCCACATAGGCAAACAGAGGCTTCGACACCATGGAGATTTCATCAATGATGATGATTTCAGCATTTAAAAGCTCACACCTGATTTCATCAAGTTGGTTCCCAAGACCTTGAAAAGGAGGTTTCAAACTTCTGGGCAGCTTGAGGAGAGAGTGCAGTGTTGTTCCAGAGATGTTAAAGGCTGCAGTTCCAGTGAAAGCAGTCAACAGCACAGTCGGGTTTGAGATGTCAGCTTCTTCTGCACGTCTAGGTAGAGTTCTCAGTATCTTTGATGCTTCTGAATGAATGCATTTAATGAGATGTGACTTTCCAGTGCCAGCACCACCATTGATGTAGTAGAAAAACTGCTCTGGTTGTCGTCCACAGACTGGTTTTATGCACCAGTCTCTTACTGCATAGAACACACATGCCTGTTTCTGGTTCAGACTCTGATACATTTGTCGTAACTGTGTGGGATCGATTGTAGGGGGCTCTCTCATGACTCTGGCCTCTGTAGCAGCATTTGCTTGTCTACTGTAATCTGGTACATCCTCTTGGACATTTTCACACTGTCTGGCATCCAGTTCATCGATACACTCCAACCTCACAAGTTCAGATTCAGGTGCCAAATTACACCATTCATCGACCACACCTCTGTTCTGTTCAAAGTCCTCGAGAGCAGAGTCAATTTCCTCACAGTTTTTTCACATCTCTCTCTGTTTCTTTTCACAATGAGTTTCACACTCAGGGGTCAGTCAGAATACGGCAGCTGAACCACACCTCTCTCATAGAATGACTCATACGTGGGTAGATATGGTCTTTTCAGCTCATCGTCTGATCTGTATGGAAGATACAGCTCAAGCAATGTGCTGTAAAACTGCTCAGGGTATTTCTCTTTCGATATGCGGCGATACCTGATGACAGCAGGGTTGTCACTTTCTCGTCTCTGTATAAAGCCTAGTTCATTCAGCAAAGGTACCACTTTTTTGCCCTTGGTCTGTTTCCCATACACCAATCTGCAGGTGGAAGCAAAATCAGCCATGCACATCTCTTCAAACTCTGGTGTTTCAGGTCTGGATTTGTACTTGTCTGTTAAGGATGTCATCCACACATTCAAGCTGTCTGGTGTTGTGTTGTCAAGGCTTGACACAGGCAGACTCATTTTCACTGGGTTGTCATCAGTTGGGACGAAAACCACACTGCGTGAACTCTTTTTCATGTTCAGAGAAGTCACTCGGGCAACAGCTTCTTGTGCTGATACTTCTCGTTTTTTGGAATACGCCTGCATGACCGCTTTTATTTCATCACATTCATTGACACATTCTCTGTCGGAGTTCTGAATGAGTGTTTGCAGGTACTGGCTCACAGAGTTCTCACTTTTACACATGTACGTACATATGTAATGGATCAGACTGTAGTAGCTGAGAATGAACTGCACATCAATGTTTGCATCCCAAGCTTTGAGCAGGTGAGGGTTGTAGGTGTTTACCCAGCAGTCTTTAGGCTCACGCTTCAGAATGATGTTGTTGGACTGACTCATCACATTCATGTGTTTCTCATACTCATCAGCGGTTAAGTCACAGACAGACAGGAGCTGTTGAAAACTCATGGATTCAGTTTCAGGTTTATTCAGCAGCTGATTCAGTGGTGCAAGTTTCTCTTTGGCTCTCTTAAGTCTCTCTGACTCCTCATCATCATCCACAGGTCTTGTTATCATTGTCTGTCTGGAGGGTGGTTTTGGGAATCCAAATCGGCATCCAGAACTTGCACTTTTGAAACATGTCTTTGAGTGGTTCTTACTGTGTATTTGCACTTCTTTGACCTTTTTGTACAGTTCAGGCTGTTTATTTGGGTCAGGGAGCTGAGCAGAGATGTGTTTGGACACAAAGTCACACACAGTTTTGTCAGAGTCTCTCTCAAACACAGGTGCACCTTCTACCCACAAAAGACCATGAATGTGAGGACTTCCTCTGTGTTGAAACTCAAGACGCCAAAAGAAGTCAAAAACTTTGCCCAGGGGTTGTGCAGGAGACATGATCAGATCTCTGTACAGTGCTTCAACACGCTTATCAAACATGCGCATCGTTGTCACAGGATTGCTTCTCAGAATGTCACACTTTGTGGACCAGTCGAGCTCCTCAAAATTCACTTCCTCACCTTGTTGTGATTTTATTGCAATAATCACCTCAGGCCAACGCATTTCTGCTGCAGAAAATGTGACAAAGAAAGTAGGACTGCCCAACTGTCTGATCATAGCAAACAGATCTTTTGTAGTTTTGTCCCAGTAGGCTGGTGTTCCTCTGAGCGGCTGCATAAATCTGATAGCATCTCTGTTTCTCACCAATCTCTCCACTTCATATTTGTCTCTCAACATTCTGGATGTTATTTTACGTCCGTCTCTGGTAAAAGGTTTGCCTTTGCGTAACTGTATGGACATGCTGGAGGTAGCCAAGTGTATTTCAGTCACAAACTGTGCAAAGAACAGGTAGTTGGTATCTCTGGCAAAGCGATCATCAACACCAAAGAGCCTTGCTTTGAAATAACTACTGGGTGATAGTTTCATGGTTCTGTTTTGATCCAGTGTATTCTCACCAGTAGGAAACTGAACGGGGAACGCCATGGCCTCTAGTTTGGGAGTTTTGAAAAAACTGACTGGATTGTTTCTCTCTGCTGGAGCTACTGAGTATGTAGAGTCACTGAAGCACAATATCTCCTCAGAAACATCACGTGGCTGAAGGCACGACTCCAAAACAACACCACCATTATGCATGTCTGCGTCCTGTTGTTGTGTCTGATCATCATTGTCCTGGGTCTGACTTTTATCACACAGCTCTGTGTTTTCATCCTCAGTTTCAACATTAGTTTCAGCCTCATACATGGCAGCAGCCTCAATTCTATCAATTTCCATCAAATCCGCATCATCATAGTCGTCATCATTCATTGTAATATCATTACCATCATCGTCCTCATCACCATCATCAGGAAGTGTGGGGTCACATAACTCCTCCTCATCTCTAATAGTGATGTCTTCATACTGGGGGTGTATCTCTTTCAGTTTATGCAGAGCCTGCACTAGCTTGGACCAGGTAACAGTCTGAAACAGATGGTGACCTCTGTAACTCAAACGTCTCTTCAGTTTTACTCTCATCACCTGAGACTCATTTCTCAATCTGGGTAGAGCCTGAATTGTTTCCTGGACTTCAGAGGGAACACATACAACATTACCATGTGTAGCTCTCTGTCTGCCTTTGGGAAGAGGAATGATTTTGGCAAATGTTATGCACTTTGCTATCAGATGTCTCTCCAGAATGTTGAGGCCACACAGTTCAGGTGGTATGTCAGCAAGCTCCAAGTTGTTTGCTATGGCAAGTTTGGGCATGGATCCATTTTTCAGATGATCATGGCAGGTGTGACAAATCCACTCAGTCTTCCTCTCATCAGGGACAGTGCACTTATTTCTGCAGTCATCATTACATGCATGGACGTACTGACCTTTGAGACAAGCTGAAACCATGATTGGATTTTTCACATAATTGGACCTCTTACACTTTTGTACCTGGTTTGGAAATGAGGCTTTGTGACAAACTGTGCAAACATGGGTGGGACCAGCTTTAATGTGTGATCTGAAAATATTTATGGCACTTTCAATAAGTGGGTTTTCTCTCTCTCTGTCAGTCTTACATGTTTGTTTACTTATCTGTTTGTATTTCTTTAATATTTTCAATGCACATCTCATTTTGTACATAGTCCTGTTTGTAAGATTTTTCTTATACCTGTCTCGCATCATTTGTCTCATCAGCTGTCTGTGTCGGTGACAGAATATTTCATCATTTGCATATCGATGATTGATATATGATCGCTGTCTTTGCCGGAAATTAATGTCCTCTGAGTACTTTTTCCTGATATATTCCTTTTGACTGCCTTTAAAATCAACATTTTCTCTGTATTTTTTCCTGATATATTCTTTTTGTCTGTCTTTGAAGTCAACATTTTCTCTGTATTTTTTCCTGATATTTTCTTTTTGTCTGTCTTTGAATTCAACATTTTCTCTGTATTTTTTCCTGATATTTTCTTTTTGTCTGTCTTTGAATTCAACATTTTCTCTGTATCTTTTAGTGATATAGTCTTTTTGCTTAAGTCTGAAGTCTGTGCTTTCTCTATATTTAGTTGTGATTTTTTGTCTTTTCTTTGACTGTATTTCAGGGTTGTCAGAATATCTGTTACTTGAATAAGACTTTTTCTTTTTTTTATATGTTTCATCCTTAGCATACTTTTCTCTCTCTTTCATTTTTTTATCCTCTTTCCCTTGTGTTGTCTTTTTAGATGCCATTTGTCTCCTCTCGTATTTTTTCCTCTTTTTTTTTTCCAGTTTTGAAAGTTTACTGGAGATGTCATGGACAACATTTTCACTGGCAAACGGGATAGTTATACATGGTTGTGTCAAATTTGATTGTGTCTCCTGAATTTCCTCTAGTGTGATGGAATTATTGCTGATTTGACCTGGTTGATGAGCCTGTGTTTCCATCAAAGTTGAGATTTTCTGTGATGTGTCATGACAGTCATCACTTACAGTAGTGTTCATCTCTGGAGCGAGAGATTCAGGACCAGTTAATGTGACAGAACACTGGCTGAAGTTGATCAGTGGTTCTGGTTCAGTTTTCATGTCATGTACAATGTGTTCATGGACATCAGAGTTCATCTGTGGGGCACTTGTGTCATCATTTATCTCAGTGGTTGTTACAGAGGGACTTGAGGACTGACTTTCTGTGGCTGGGATAGCATCACTTGGGTTTTCATCATAGAACACAACTGGTTTGAGCTCATAGCGACAGGACGCTGCAGTGCCCAATATGCGGTGATATCTGATGAGCCTGTTAATCATGTCACTGAGGCGTGTGAATGTTACCATGACAGCGGTACCAGGAGTTGGTGTGGCCTGAAGCAGAGGCAACCCGTTAGCTGTCCGAGCATGTGGGTCAAAGAAACCGTACCTGCCATCTCTGGTTCTGAAAACTGCAATGCACAGTGAAGTCATCAGCAGCAAAGCATACTGCACATCTGATAATAAGCAGCTCAGCCCTGAAACGAGGTCCAGAAAGGTATCAACAGCTCTGGGATCCGGATCTCCAAACGTACCGTATCTAGACAGCTGTGACATGTCAACACTCTGCGTGTGCCTGCGTGCAGGAACCTGGTTAGGGAGCTCATCGGTTGTCAGATGGGCGTGATCAACAGTTTTTCTGATTTCTCTGTACATCACATCACCTTTATCCAAAACACGGTCCAGATCTGCTCTGGTGATGTGTTCTCTCTCATACAGGAATGCTAGAAATGTCAGTGAGTTACAGGTGCACTGCTGGTTTCTGGATCGGCCGTATTTCAGAGACGCTTGGCTGCGTGACGCACAGACATTTTGTTCACCTGACGGATTAACAGCGTTAACATTTGTTGCCCGAGAAGAGGCTGATACAGACTGATAATTACTGTGGTTTCCCTTCTTAGCAGTGTCTGCAATGGATACCTGGGTTGAAAATGGCTCGTCAGTTTGGGCTGCGTAGTTCACCTGAGAGTCGGACGGACCGGCAGTACATGACACCCGAGGAAGTTTTCTCTTCAACATGTTTGCATGTGTTACCTGTTGTATACCTGGATCATTAGTTTCACCTCTGTGGTTTACCTGTTCAGAGTTAGACAGACCTGCTGCAGGTGACTCACTTACACGTCTCCTCTTAAGTATGTCTGCATAAGATACCTGTGGTTGACATGATGCACTCTCACCTCCCTGTTTCACAGCATCAGACACTTCAGACCTCTTTACCTCTCCACTGCTCTGAGGAACACCATCTGCTTGTCCAGTACTTACACAGTCAATGTCATTAAACCTCTGCCAGCGCTGGCTTGCAACCTGCGACTTCATACTCTTCCTTGGCATTGTAGCTATCCTTGCACAACAATGTGTTTATGCAATAATTTAAAGTTAATGATAAGCACCAGTATAGACAAAAATAATTTATTTTTTAAAGAGAGGACCTTATTTAACAGTTCTTATACTCTCAAAAAAATTAATTTATAACTGTGTGTATACCAACAATAGTCAACTTTTTTATATAAAAATCCTAGGCAAGACTGTATAAATGTTTTTAATAAAAACACAGATCAACAGCAATTTGTAAATCTTAGGACTTTGTGCTTGAAATAATATTTAACTCAAATATTCTATATGAAATGTGTTTTTTTTTCCTTGAAAATCAGGGATGCAGATGTAGTGGTGGCTAAGGACACTTCTTCAGGTGAAACTCTGGATCCACAAACAGGACAGGACCTAGACCTAGAACAATCAGACTCTTGCAAAAGTAGTGTTTTTTCAAAATAGTGGTTGTATTAAACGTGTAAGTTTTTCAAAAGGTTTCTCAAAGAAAGGTAGGTTGTTTCAATAGTTACTCAAAAAATGTAGCTTGTTTCAGTAGGTTTCTGAGAGATGTTTATTACAATTGTTTCTAAGATATGTTTATCACAATAGTTTCTCAGAGATGTTTATTACAATAGTTTCTCAGATATGTTTATTACAGTGGTTTCTAAAAAGGCTTGTCTCAAATGGTTTCTTAAAGATGGCAGTTTCAATTGGTCTCTTGAAAAGATGGCAATTTCAAATAGTTTCTGAAAGGCTTGTTCCAAAAAGATTTCTCAAAAGGTTGTTCCAGAAGGGTTTATAACGATGGCAATTTCAAATGGTTTCTCAAAGGATGGCAATTTCAAAAGGTTTCTCAAAGGCTTATTCCAAAAAGGTTTCTCAAAGGCTTGTTCCAGAAAGGTTTCTCAAAGGCTTGTTCCAGAAAGGTTTCTCAAAGGCTTTTCAATTAGACAGAGTGGTAGAGGAGACAGGAAAGTCAGAGTAACCAAACTTAGCAAGAGGGATAGAGACAAGGGGGACACAAGATAGAGTGGCTTTTCAATAAGACAGAGTGGTAGAGGAGACAGGAAAGTCAGAGTGGCCAAAATGATAGGGGAGAGTGGGGAGACTGGACAGGGTACCTGTAAGACACAATGGAAACAAACATTAGTCTTTTTCAAAAAAAGGAATAAAATAAAATGAATGATTTTCCCACTTAATTGTCAAAATCAAGATTTAGACTTTCCAAGCAAGTTAAAATGTTTCAAATAAGTTAATTTAATAGAGTTGTAATATTTTTAGCACACTGTTGTCTACAAGGAAAAAACTGTATCCCATCTATAATTCTCAGATAAGATATGCAACAGTGTTACAGATAGATCAACATTTCTTATCACTTTGAGCTCAGTATTTGAAAAATGCAGCATATGTTGTAAATTATCTTGAATGAAATGTTGTTTAACATTAGTCCAGTTATTTTTATTTTGTTTGTTGTCAGTCTTGGTCAAAACACTTATACTTACCAACAAATGCACTGGAGTGTATGTATCTTCTGTTTGTTTGAGAAAAGAAACAATACATTAGTGTTGTCTGACAGATAGTACATTGAAAACAATAGGCCTATAAAGAAAACTAACATTGTTACAGTATTTGGGCTAACTGAAAACTAAACAGCTCCAACAGATCACCTGGCTGTTAGCTGTGGCTTAACATGTCTGTATTAAAGTATTTATACCTCAGATAAAGTATCTTTGCTGTGGTGTTAACACATCACCAATATCCAAATTAACAGCTTGTTAGCAAAGGTAAATTAGATGCAGTAGAAGGTGAAGTTCAGTAGCAGCCAGTAAGACAGAGACAGACCAGGAGCAGGTTCACCAACTTCAAGGCAGCTAACTATCCATCCATTAACTCACTATTTCGATAAGAAAAGCTTTATTGATCCCTAAAGGGAAATTCAATAGAACTATATTTATTAATTGGAACATCATATTGTTAAACATGAAATACTGAATTAATTTTATGTTTTGCAATCTAAATATCTTGATCATCCCCATCATGAATAAAACCTTCAATAATAGAGGACCATCTAGCGCCATTCTGACACATAAAAAAAGAAAAAACACTCACAAACGTGTTATACCTGGATGCTTGCTAAATGCAGCCTATATTTTTAATACATCTAAAATGACTGATAAAAAGTGACCAGGAGCTAAACAGCTGACGTCTCCAGACCAGTTCCCCAGCAATGACTCAGTCACAGTAATGAACTGAACCTGTAGCAATGGCGCTAGCGTCAGTAGTTAGCTAGTAAGTCAGTTAATACTTGACAGAATGAGTATTCTTGTCAGTCCCATTGTCAGTAAACTCTACAGCCTGTACATCATTTGGCATGCTGTATAGTACCGCAGCGGCTTACATATTCACTTTATTTTGTGCATTTCTCAGCTGGCTAATGATTCAGCCTCATAACTGACAGTATCTTAGCTTTAGCTCGACGCTAACAGTGTTAGCGTAAGCTTTTTCAAGTCAACATCTCGACCACTTCAATCATGAATAAACTCTTCGTCGATTATAACAGAAACCAGTGCAATTTTGAAACGTTAAATCGCCGTTTGAAGTGTTTAGACGTTAGAGAGACTGTGCTCTGACTCACCTTCGTCGAGGTCGGAGAAGGATAGCGCGAGCCACCAGTGAGTCACGGTAGAAATGTTTGAGGCGTTCAGGGACACTCGGAAATGTCATACTTTACACAACGGAAAGGCAGTGGTTCAATCAATTCATTTGAATTATTTTCTAGTATTAACGGTAGCAAGACTAGTTGAAGTAGAAGTGATGTAAGTAGTAGTTGTAGAAGTGGAAGTGGGATTTTGTTTGAAGAATTGAAATATGCATGAATAGTGACAATGATTAAAAATGGGGAAAATATAACTATTAAAAAATTCCTTCAGTATTAGAAAGGGTTGAAGAATCAGAGAGGTTTGAATCAGTTAGAATGAGTTTAAATTTGTTCGAAAAATGGAATAATGCATAAATAATGAGAATGATTTTTAAAAAAGATTTAAATGAATAGAAATCCTCTGTAGACTCCATAATGTCCTCATTGAGCTGAATTTTTGAAGCCCTAAATGTCTCTGTAACTCAAAGTTTGTGGGAGAAGATAGGTGGCGAAGCAAACACATGGTCATAGTGTGTGCATGTAGGTCTCATAGACAGAGACTCAAGCATACACATATTTACTGTGTGTACCTGAAGGTCTCATAGAGAGAAAGAGACTGACGCACACACATTGGCTGTGTGTGTGTGTGCGCGTGTGTGTCTGTTAATTAATGCATTTAACAGGTGTTATACATCATAGGCATTACCTGACCTACTGTTTGAGAAGCTGCTGAAATGCAGTGAATTTAGGGCCTCTGAACTTCTTCCCATAGCGTAATTTCCTTAAATCCCAGAATGAAAATAAGAACATCGTACGAATCCTCCGCCTTTCATGAACACAATCATGTGTTTTTCATGTCTGTACTCCAAAAAATGTGGCCACAACAGCGAGTTAAAAAAGTCTGAGCCTGAGTGACGATAAGGATTTTCTTGGAGAAAAATTACATTAGGGCTAATGGGAGAGATTTCCGCCTAATTGGACAGTTGGTCACCTGCTGGCTAAGGGGTATGATTTAATGATTTGAAATCTCTTTTGTGAGAAGCAGGACACATATACCTCCATTTTGATGAATTTTGATGGCTGTGGAGTGAAATTTTTGGGCGTGGGAGGGATATATTCGAGTGAGGTTCTGTCCAAAAAAGGGGAGCTGTCCACTCTAGCGATGACATCATCACTCTAGCCTCTCCAATACACACCCATTATAAAACCTGAAATTTGCTGAAAACCAGGAGTTGCTTAAAGCTAAATTGTGGAAAAACTGTAGGAGATATAAAAAAATTGTATACAAGTTTAATAGTCGACAAGTGAATGAACATTTTAAAGCAAAAATGAGGTCTCTAGGTGAAAGTATGCTGAAGTTTTAAGGTTTAGAAGGTGGAAGAAGAAAAGGAAGAATTGGAAGATTTCCCCATTGACTTCAATGTTAAAATTTTTGCACAAAAAGTTAAAAAAAACAAAAAGTATAAAGGGTAGAAAGGTAAAAAGTACGAGCCCTCATGTCCTGAAGGAGTGGAATAGTTTAAAGTTTGAACGGTTTAAATAGCACAAAGCAGGAAGGAGTTAGAAGCGGACGAAAATTGGCGGAAGAATAATAATAATAATAATAATAAAGAAAAATGGCCGACAGGAAGAACAATAAGTGGAAATGCTTAATCAGCATTTCCACTTAATAATTTTTCTTATTGAGAAGGACTAGGTGGTGTTAGTAGGGAGGGAATAGGGTGAATTTTATCTATAGGAGTAGGGTTAGGGTGCATTAGTGCAAAGTCTCAGAGGATGGGGGATAGAGAAACAGGTTGTTGGGACTGCAACCATTCTGCTTCTACAGGGATTCGAGTGATAGAGAGAGAATAGAACTTGCCACAGTGACTAGCCAGAGAAACTCTCCTCACCTGTTGGTTTTCATCCTCTGATATGAAAAAAGAGGGTGGGGTGACTAAGCTAAGACAGAGGTTAGTAAGGTTAGGGTTAGGGGTTAAGGTTAGATTTAGGGTTTGAGGTTAGGGTTAGGGTTAGGGGTTAGGGTTTAGAGGTTAGGGTTAGGGTCAGGGGTTAGGGTTAGATTTAGGGTTTAGAGGTTAGGGTTAGGGTTAGGCTAGGGTTAGGGGTAGGAGTTAGGGTTAGGGTTAGGGTTAGGGGTTAGGGTTAGGGTTAGATATAGGTTCTAGAGGGTTACGGTTAGGGTGAGGGTAAGGTAAGGGTTAGTGTCTGTAGGGAGCTAACCGTGGCTATTTGGAAGAATTGAAATTCATTAAGGAATACGACACTTCAGATTGTCTAGACTCTGGACTCTGTTAAAGGTAGCAAAGCTATGGTTGGAAGTAATGAAATTGAAGTATAAAATATAAGGTTAGTTATAAATTGTTATTGATAAAGTATTATTTCAGAGTCAAAAGTGGACAGTTCCGTCTGGAACTCCTTCCACCCAGGCCTGTCTAGGCCATAGACTCTGCTAAACTCCCTAACGCTGTGACCTAAAAATTATTTAGATTAAATTGGAAATATTTATGAATTATTATTTAGAAAGTATTAATTCAGAGTCAAAAGTGGACAGTTATGTCTTGAACCGCTTCCACTCAGGCCTGTCTAGGCTTTAGACTCTGCTAAACTCCCTAACGCTGTGACCTAAAATTATTTTAGATTAAATCGGAAATATTTATAAATTATTCTTTATAAATTATTATTCAGAGTCAAAAGTGGATGGTTCTGTCTGGAACCCCTTCCACCCAGGCGTGTCTAGGCCATAGACTCTGCTAAACTCCCGAACGCTGTGACCTAAAAATATTTTAGATTAAATCGGAAATATTTATAAATTATTCTTTATAAATTATTATTCAGAGTCAAAAGTGGACGGTTCTGTCTGGAACCCCTTCCACTCGGGCATGTCTAGGCCATCGACTCTGCTAAGCTCCCTAACGCTGTGACCTAAAATTATTTTAGATTAAATTGCAGATATTTATAAATTATTATTTCAAAATTATTTCAAAATGTATTATTTCTTATTTCAGAGTCAAAAGTGGATGGTTCTGTCTGGAACCCCTTCCACTCAGGCCTGTCTAGGTCATAGACTCTGCTAAACTCCCTAACACTGTGACATAAAATTATTTTAGATTAAATCGGAGATATTTATTAATTGTTATTTATAAAGTATTATTGTTCAGAGTGAAAAGTGGATGGTTCTGTCTGAAACCCCTTCCACTCAGGCCTGTCTAGGCCATAGACTCTGCTAAGCTCCCTCAAGGCTATGATTAAAAATTATTTAAGATTTAATTGCAAATATTTATAAATTATTTCAAAATATATTATTTCTTATTTCAGAGTCAAAAGTGGATGGTTCTGTCTGGAAGCCCTTCCACTCAGGCCTGTCTAGGCTTTAGACTCTGCTAAGCTCCCTCAAGGCTGTGACCTAAAATTATTTTAGATTAAATTGGAAATATTTATAAATTATTCTTTATAAATCATTATTCAGAGTCAAAAGTGGATGGTTCTGTCTGGAATACCTTCCACCCAGGCCTGTCTAGGACACAGACTCTGCTAAACTCCCTAACACTGTGACCTAAAATTATTTTAGATTAAATCGGAGATATTTATTAATTATTATTTATAAATTATTATTCAGAATCAAAAGTGGACGGTTCTGTCTGGAACCCCTTCCACTCAGGCCTGTCTAGGCCATAGACTCTGCTGAACTCCCTAACGCTGTGATCTAAAATAAATCTTGAAGGTTAGTTATAAATTATTATTTGGAAATTATTATTTCAGAGTCAAAAGTGTCAATTTCATTAATAATTGCATAATTTAATTTTGTTATATTATTAATTTTTGATCAATAAATAGAATTATTGGTCCAGAGTATCGACTTTTCAGAAGGTTGCATTGTTTTAGATGGATAAGTATGGAGTTAAGTGGAGATTTTTTTTATAGATTATTTATAGATTATAGGACCTAGGGTTCACTGTAAATTATTATTTCAGAGTTAGAAAGTGAGTTGGAATTGTAGTTTATTTAGGTATTGGACTATTCTAAAGTTGTAATCCATGAGTTAAACAATTTTGAGTTTAATTAGTAAGGTTAGCTCCCAAATTGTTGCTTACGGGTGTAAATTAGAATGTTGTATAAAATTGTGTCATCACTTTCTACACTGTTTATTTTGTTAAAAAGTACAAACAGGAACTGTTAAAGTTATACCCAACATTGAATTGATATTACAGTAAAACTGAGAGAAAATAGTGTTGACTTATGTATAACAAAGGAAAACTGTAATTTTGATTGCACTGGAACCAAATGTATTATATTTAAATCGCAAATTTAAATAATAAAAAAATGGTGATATAAATACACAAAATTGAATTATAAAGTAAATTAGTATGAGAAAAAAAGGTGGAATAAAAATTGAGTGTATAGTTGTTCCAAAACATTTTTTATTTGTTCAAAACAGGTACAATATAAAGGTAGGGGGAAATTAATAGGAAAATAAAAATAAAAATAAAAATAAAAAATAAAAAATAAAAACTGGGATAAAATATGGAATGTACAATGTTTACCAAATTAGAAAGTGGGAAATACGAGAGTGGCAAAAACGAAAAGGTGAAAAAAGGAAACTGTAAAAAACTGGACCCTGGGATCAAGAGGTGGGAAATACGAGTTTGGTAAATGGACAAATGCTGAAATGCTATGTTAGAGTAGAAATTAAAGTAAACCATAAAAGGTGCGGGTCTTATGGACCTTTATTCATGCACCAGGATAAACCAACACTCAAAATAGAAGACCAGAGGACCAGATTGTGTTGAGGTAAGTGCTTGATTAATTATTTTGGAAAATCTTATTTGTTTGAAAAATTCTTCAAATAAACCATTACATTGACCCAGCGCTGGTATTGGACATTAAATTTCAGGACACGTCCTCAGTAGTGAACCCCGAAATCATCGGATGTTTCGGCCGTTTTAACACTAGATATCCTCATTCAAGGAAGGCCCCACGGAGTCGATCAACTTCCGTGTTGTGCCCTGTAGCCAATTGTAGCTATTTTAGTCCTATTTAGTTTTGGTGCTGTGAAGTTTTAGTTGTATGCTAGTTTGGTAGTTGCTATTCTGTAACTGTTTAGAGTAATTTTGAGGTGTTTGAGAGGTTTTTTGTAGACTTACCCTAGTGGTCCTATGTTGTTGTTGATGTGAGGCGTTTCTTTTCCAGTAGTCTAAAATCTGTTGGAGGGGGGAAAAGGTTCCAGCTGTCCAGCCGCGGCGGCGGCGTGTCTGAAGTCCGGGGTCCTCGGCGGGGGAAAGAAGATAAGCGGTCCGCGGAAAGGTTTGCTGGGACTCGGTGCCGTCGGCGGGTCGAGGCTTGGTGGTGGCCGGCTTGGAGTGAAGGAGGTGCGGCGTCTTCCTCGAGGCGGTAGTCCATCTTCTTGGTCGAGTGGTCAGGGCTTTGTCTCAATTACAGGAACAGGAATTGCTCTTTAGTGCACAGCACTTATAAGTCCTTATAACATAAGCAGACATTCCCAGAGTGGGGCTCGAGTCATGGTTTGTGTTGTTCCTCTCAGACATGGTTGTGTTCTCTTCTCGCTGTTTGTTCTCCAGAATCGATGTCTCTTGGTTGTATTTTAAACTTTCAAGTTGTTTTAAGTTAATTTTAAAGTGGTTTATTTGTTTTAAATTGAGTTTTGCTACATTAAATTTGTATGCAATCGCAAGGGATTGTGGGTATTTTAGTTCTGAGGGATGAGAGCCTAAGGAATCAATCTTCCTGTTACAGCAAAGGATTGTGGGTAAAACCGTCAGTGAGTGAGGTACTTCCTTTCTGGCATGAGAGCCTTGGGAATCAATTGCTGCGTCCGAACTGCCCGCTCGGATACTACATGCTACTGCTACGTGCTACTGCTCGATCCTACTCCTACATACTAAAAACGTTGGCCCAATTCGGACACACTAGACGAGCGGTGGGGAAAGACGACCCCCGCAGGCAGAGAGTAGGTACTGCGCCCGTGCAGACAGTGGTAACTGAAGCCCCTCATCTGCAGGCCTGGCTGTAGTACTGCAGCTGTGCAGTTTAATGATGGAATAAGTGAGCTTTACCTCCATGATGTCGCCACTTGCTCATAAAATGATTACTTGGGCAAATATGACACCATGACATGATAAAGAGATACAAACGCACATTTTTTAGGACAGTGTGTGAAGTTACATGAAACTTACATCTGTACTGCTGCGGTCCCGCCTGCTGCTGCTGCTGCTGCTGCTGCTCCGACATGGTGCGCGCTGCTGTGGCCAGCCGGCGTTCGCGACACATTTACATAGGCAGAGCAGCTGGTGGCGCTAGCATCACATGCGCTTCTACAACTTTTAAGAGGACAAAGAAGAAGCCCGCGGTGCATTTTGGGTCAGTAGCATGCCCGTAGGATGCACCGAGACCAACCTACAATGTGGGCCTGTCTAGCATCTGAAGTAGTATCTGAAGTAGCATGCTACTCGCTCCGGTGGCCAATTCGGACATGCTAGATACTACTTCGACTACTACTTCGACTACTACTTGGCAATTCGGACGCAGCTAATCTCCCTGTTGCAGCAAAGGATTGTGGGTAAAACCGTGAGTGAGGGAGGTACATTTTTCCTGGCATGAGAACCTCAGGAGTCAGTCCTTCCTAAGAAAAAAAGAGGAGAGGGGGGAAGAAAAACAAAAGCACAGGAACCCTGAAATAAAATAAAATAAAATAATAAAATATAAAACAATGAAAAATTAAAAAAATAAAAGAAGAACAAAAGTGGATTGCAAAAAGGGAAGGGGAAGAAAAAAGGAAAAAAAGAAGTGTCAAGAGCAAATAGCAAAAATCAAAAGTGAGCTTAAAAACAGAGAACAGTTCCCTAAAAGACAGACAGAAATGTAAATTTGATCAATGTCCTAAGGGAAAATCTGTACGTGTGTGTGTGTGTTCTTTTTTGCTAGCTTAGTCTGGTGTCACTGATGGTCAGTTATTGATAAGTATTTATTATTTAAATTTTTGATGAAGTTGTTTGTAGTGGGGTTAGCTGGCTAATTTTAGAGTGTTAAAAAAGATGTTAGAGGGGGAGGATTTAGGGGGCACAGCGGTTCCCCTTCAGGTCTCTCTTAATCCTCCATATAGGTGACCCAACAGGGGTGACCCCCTGGCCGGGGTAGGCCTAGGCTGAAGATCACCTATTTGTCCTCTGTGAAGGTGAAAATAAAGGGGCAGGGGAGGGAATAAGAAAGAGGGGGTGTGTTAGAGAGAGGGGGAGAGATGAGGGAGAGAGATGAGGGAGAGAGAGAGCGAGAGAGAGAGAGAGAGAGAGAGAGAGAGAGTGAGAGAGAGGGGAAAGAGGGAGAGAGAGGGGGGGAGAGTGTGTGTGTGTGTGTGAGAGAGAGAGAGAGAGAGAGAGAGAGAGTGAGTGAGAGAGAGGGGGAAGAGGGAAAGAGGGAGAGAGAGAGGGGGGGGGGAGTGTGTGTGTGTGTGTGTGAGAGAGAGAGAGAGAGAGAGAAGGGAAGAGGGAGAGGGGGGTTTAAGGGAGAGGTGGAGATGGTGGAAAATAAAGATTGGTGAGGGGGATTTGGTGGCGGATGAAACATCCCATAGCTCCCCAGCTCTCACCATCCATGTGAGGAGAGTGAGCAAGGGATATAGTCCCCCTACCCGACTAGGTCTAGGCTCTGCTCTCCTCACGGTCCTCACGAGATACAAAGAGATATGTAAACGTGGAAGTGAGAGTTCTCTAGGCAGAGTTTTGGGTTTGGTTTGAGCTGAGTTGGTCAGTTGATTATTGATTACTATTTCAAGTTCTAAAAGTGGATAGAGTCAAAAAGAGAGGTTGTGTGCACAGAAGGAGCATGGGCTCAGACTATTCTCGGAATGATATTGTTATAAGTCTGTCCGAAGGCAACTGGCTGGTTAGGTGTGGGTAAGAGATACAGTGATAGCCCTCGCTTTCGTCAGTTGACTTGGCGGTTTAGGGTAGGCTGATCAAGGGCTTGCACTGGCCGGCGCATGTCAACCTGTCACATGTTCCCAGTCGAGTCTCCGAGCTCAATCTGTGTGTAAAAATTATGTGTTGGTAGGAAGTTTAATGACTCAGCTCAATTGGTATGCTATGCTGTCTATCTTTTAGACTATGTGTTTGTAGAGCAATATTATGTATACATTATGTTACAGGGCTAGGTAAAGGTTAAAGGTTTTTGGCGTTAGGGTTAAAATCACTGTCCAAAACCTTTGTAGGAACTCTTTTCCAACCTTTTGGAGTTAGCTAGACCAAAAAAAATTATGAAAAATGAAAAAAATATTTTGGGGGGTGTTAAGGCTTCCTTAAGGAAATACCCGGGTATTAGGTCACGGGGCTAGGGTAAGGTTTAAGGTTTTTGGCGTTAGGGTTAAAATCACTGTCCAAAACCTTTTTAGGAACATGTTTCCAACCTTTTGGAGTTAGCTAGACCAAAAAAAAAAAACGAAAAATGAAAAAAAAATGTTTGGGGTGTGAAGGCTCCCTGAAGGTAATACCCGGGTATTAGGTTATGGGGCTAGGGTAAGGTTTAAGGTTTTTAGCGTTAGGGTTAGGGTAAAAATCACTGTCCAATATTTTTTAAGGAACATGTTTCAGACCTTTTGGAGTTAGTTAGACCAAAAAGAAAAAGAAAAAGAAAAAATTTTGGTGTGGTAGGGCATCCTTTAGGTAATACCCGGGTATTAGGTTGCAGGGCTAGGTAAAGGTTAAAGGTTTTTGGCGTTAGGGTTAAAATCACTGTCCAGTATTTTTAAGGAACATGTTTCAGACATTTTGGAGTTAGTTAGACCAAAAAAAATAACGAAAAATGAAAAAAAAAAATTGTTTGGGGTGTTAAGGCTTCCTTAAGGTAATACCCGGGTATTAGGTTACGGGGTTGGGAAAGGTTTAAAGTTTTTGGCGTTAGGGTTAAAATCACTGTCCAAAACCTTTGTAGGAACTCTTTTCCAACCTTTTGGAGTTAGTTAGACCAAAAAAAATGAAAAATTAAAAAAAAATGTTTGGGGTGTTAAGGCTTCCTTAAGGTAATACCAGGGTATTAGGTTACCTTTTTGAGTTAGTTAGACCAAAAAAAAGAAAAAAGAAAAAAAAATATCTGGGGTTTTCGGGCTTCCTGAAGGTAATACCCGGGTATGAGGTTATGGGGCTATGGTAAGGTTTAAGGTTTTTGGCGTTAGGGTTAAAATCACTGTCCAAAACCTTTTTAGGAACAAGTTTCAGAGCTTTTGGAGTTATTTAGACCAAATAAATGTAAAATGAAAAAAAATATTTGGGGTGTTCGGGCTTCCTGAAGGTAATACCCAGGTATTAGATTATGGGGCTAGGGGAAGGTTTAAGGTTTTTGGCGTTAGGGTAAAAATCACTGTCCAAAACGTTTGTAGAAACTCCTTTCCAACTGTTAGAATAATGTGCATAAATGTATATAGAAGTTTTCATTTTTCTTATATTCTTATGTAAGAGTTTATACTACAAGTATGAACTGCTTTGACATCTTTTTATACATTATATAACAGTATTTTTATCATATAAGAGTGTTTCCTAACTTCTCTCTCCAATAGCTTTACTACACAGACATCAATGTTTCTTTCAGTTTTCTGTGACCGTGTTTTTTCCTATCAGCAGGTGTGGGTGTGGGGGTGACGTTTCCTCCGAGGATGAATCGTGGGAAGGTTCTGGGAAGGATACACGCTTATCAGAAGGAGCTCGTTAGATGCCACCTTGACCTTCACATATTCACAAATTGTTCATTATTATGTTCTATGAAATGCTTACTTTGCAGCACATTTACCCCCACCCTTTAGAAACATTGTGTAACCAGGGACAACCCTAAATAAAAGAGGCCGGACAGAGAAAGTACCCTTAGAGTGGTATTGAGATAGCTAAAAAAAAGATCTCTGTCCATTCTCCTCGAGTATATTCCATTGTCTTTCTCCTTTTTTATGTGTTTTCAGGTATTTGGGCAGGTTTTAGACCCAACACCAACCTTTTGGAGTTAGTTAGACCAAAAAAAAAGAAAAAAGAAAAAAAAAATATTTGGGGTGTTCGGGCTTCCTGAAGGTAATACCCTTGTATTAGGTTATGGGGCTAGGGTAAGGTTTAAGGTTTTTGGGGTTAGGCTTAACATCACTGTCCAAGCCCTTTTTCGGAACATGTTTCAGACCTTTTGGAGTTAATTAGACAGTTAATTTTATTTCATTTCATTTCATTTCATGTTCATTTATTTCATTTCATTCATGATACATAATATAATACATTGCACTCATCCTTTTTTTATGTGTAATCATGTGAAATGAAAAGGAGCAGACATAAGACAAGTCTTATATGTGACTGCCCCTTCACTACAACACCTTTATCTATGGCAACCAGCCAGCAATTGATCAAAATATTATATATTTAAGGTCCAAAAATACCACAAACAAACAAAAGAAAAAAACCAAACAAAAAAACAATAACAAAAAACAAACTGACACATCATCAGTCATCCACTTCATCCAGTTCATAATTTTTGATTTTCCCTCTTTTAAACTTTTTCTTAAACTGAAACATTGTTGTACAACTCTTCAACTCAGTATTTTGCGAATTCCATAACTTAATACCTGCAACAGAAATACACATCTGCATTAGCGTCGTCCGAGCAAACTGGTGTTTAAAATCCTGTGGTTTTCACTCTCTGAACTAATCTCAAATAACCCTTGCAGCTGTTTTGGTAAAACTTTGTCTTTCACCACCAGAAGTGTTCTTAGCTCCATTAAGTGTGTTATTATTAGTAAACCTGACAACATGAAAAGTCTATTGGTATGTGCTCTGTAATCTTCTTTATAAATGATTCTCAATGCTCTTTTTTGTAACTTAATCAGGGGAGTAATATTCGTCTTGTACGTATTGCCCCATACTTCCAAACAATAAGTAAAATACGGTAAAACCAGTGTACAATACAACATTCTCAAAGTGCTTGTATCCAAATCATATTTGCCACTTTGGCTTTTATATGTGATATATGGTTTTTCCATGTCAATTTGTCATCTAATATGATCCCCAAAAACTTAAATTCATAAACTCTCTCAATGTTTATATCATCTATAGTAAGTTGAATTTCATTCTTTTTTCGATTAGAGAAAATCATAAACTTACGATAACTTGTTTCTATTAAACCACTTTTTAATTTTAACCATCTCATTTTTTATATTTTTTGCTATCTCATTTAAATTATCCCCTGAACAAAAAAAGTTAGTATCATCTGCGAATAACACAAAATGCATTAAATTGGACACTTGACAAATATCATCAATATATAAAATAAAAGGTTGGGTCCCAAAACTGAGCCCTGTGGTACTCTACATTCCAGCTTCATACATTCTGATTTACAACCCTCTAACATAACATATTGCTGCCTGTTGTAAAGATAACTGATCAACCAGTCTAGTACTACATCTCTCACACCAAAATTATTCAATTTGCTTATTAATATTGTATGATTGATTGTATCAAAGGCTTTCTTTAAATCGATAAAAACCCCAATTGTGTGTTTATGATCATCTATTGCTTGTGTTATTTCTTCAGTTATTCTCATGAGTGCTAATGCTGTGGACCGTTTGGTTCGAAAACCATACTGACTCTCACTTAGCAGATTATTCTTTTTGATAAATGAATCCAATCTTTGTACGTACAACTTTTCCAACACTTTTGAAAACTGGGGGAATAACGACACCGGTCTATAATTTGTAAAATCATGTTTGTCTCCAGTTTTGAAAAGAGGAATAACCTTGGCAGTTTTCATGCGATCTGGGAAAACACCTGTACTAAACGAATGATTACAAATATACCTTAAGGGCTTGATAATACAGTCAATAGTTTTTTTCTAAATACTCGTATCTATCCCATTACTATCTGTTGATATTTTATTCTTTAATTTAACCACAATGGATATGATTTCATCTTCACTCACTTCTTCTAAATACATGGACTGCATTATCTTACTTCCTCTCTCATATCCACCATCTTCTTGTCCTTTTTCATGTGGAATGGCATTGGCCAAGCTTGGCCCCACATTTACAAAGAATGAATTAAATTCATTTACAACTTCATTTATATTTTTAATAACTATCTTGCTGTCATTAATAAGATGGGTGGGAAGCTCTGTAGAAACATACATATTTCCTATCATTTGATTCAAGATTTTCCACGTACCTTTTAAATCATTTTTATTCTCATCAAGTCTCTTGTTGTAGTATTCTTTCTTTGCTTGCCTCAATATAATTGTCAATTTATTTTTGTACACCTTGTATTTAATTTCTGCAGCTCTTGTTCTAAATCTAATAAAATCTCTATAAAGTTTATTTTTCTTTTTGCAGGCGTTTTGCAAGCCCTTTGTTATCCAAGGCTTTTTATTGTAATTACTCTTGTTTTTACATTGCGTTATTGGGCAATGCCTATCATAATGAAATAAAAAACAATTCAGAAAAGACTCATATGCATCATTCACACCATCCACGTATACCCCTTCCCACTCTTCACTTAAAAGGTCCTTTCTTAATTTATTTATTGCTTCCTCTGTTCTTACCCTCCTGTATCTTGGACATTTTTGATCTCTGTAAGTCTTTATTTGGCTATCTTTGTATGTTACAAATATGGGTAAATGGTCACTTATATCGTTAAATATTAGTCCACTTTTAATATCGTTCTCCAGTGTGTTGTCAATTATGTTGTCAATTAGAGTTGCACTGGTCGTGGTAATCCGACTAGGCCTAGTGATTAATGGGTAAAAACCTCTGCTGTATAATGAATCCAAAAAATCTGATGTTGCTTGTGTTTTAATACGTTAATTAGGTCAATATTGGTATCACCACAAATTAAGCATGTTTTACTCTTATCATTTAATCTCTTCATTAACTCTTCCAAATTGTCTTTGAACGTCTCAACATTAGACCCAGGGGTTCTGTTAATACACATAACTACAATGTTTCTCCCTCCTTCTATTTCTATTTCCACCGTCATTCCATTAAATCATCAATTGTAGGTGTCATGTTTTTTATCCTTCTTCACCCCAGGTTACCGTCAACATACAAGGCCACACCCCCACCCCTTTTGTTGGCCCTATTGACATGACATAATTCATAACCCTCAAGATAAAAATCAGAACCTCTGTTTTCGTTCAAATATGTTTCAGACAACGCAATGACCTTGAATTTATTATTGAATGTGTCCAAATAATCCCTAATGTCCATAAAATTTGCGTACATACTTCTGTAATTAAAGTGAATAAGAGAAAATGAATTGTCCAGTTCTACATTATCATTAATTTGTTCGTTACTATAGCATTTACAAGTGTCTCCAACATAACTAAATAAATGATTCTCAGGGTCTACATCATATAAATTATACATATTTTCTTCATCGGAACCTGTGAGGATTTGACTCCCAACCATCTGTCATTTTCACCTTTAGGGTGGCTGTAGCCTATCCCTCTGTCGGGAAGCAAACCCCTACACATTTTTGCTTCTTTGTGCAGACCCGAACCTTTAGTCCTTGTCCTTTCTATGCCGGTTCCAAGGGTCCAGTAGTGTCTTGACACTTGCCATTAGTTCATCTTCACTTTCTCTCGTCCTCCTCTTCCCAGCGCCTGCTGTCTGCCATCCTGCTGCCTTTAGAGTAGTCTCAAAGTCTGGTTTGGTGGCTGGGATATCCACCGTAACGCCGTACGCTCGTACGCCCTCTGCTGCTGCTTACGGGTTATCAGACAACTTGTATTGTCCATCCATCTCAAATACTTTCAATTTAGCGGGGTACACAATTCTTGACTTTAAGTTCTTTTCTAGGAGTTGTTTTCTTATCCTTCCACATTGTCCACGTTCCTTATAAACCCATGCCGCCCATAACGGCTTTAGAGTTTTTTGGGGTGTTAGGGCTTCCTTTAGGTAATACCCAGGTATTGGGTTACGGGGCTAGGGTTAGGGTTAGGGTTTTCGGATAAGGGTTAATATCACTGTCCAAAAACCTTTGAGGAACATGTTTCAAACCTTTTGGAGTAAGTTAGACCAAAAAAAAAAAAAAAACGAAAAAAAAATGTTTGGGGTGTTAGGGCTTCTTTTCTGTTATACCCGGGTATTGGTTTAAAGGTCCTGGGTTTGGGTTTGGGGGTTAGGATTAAAATCAATCTGCCAGACGTTTTTTAGGAGCATGTTTCAGACCTTTTGAGCGTGAATTTGCGGGGTTACTTATAGAAGTGGATGTGTGTGTGTGTGTGTGTGTGTGTGTGTGTGGGGGGGGTGGGGGGGGGGCTTAAGGGTGGGAGTGCAGGGGCCCAATTGAGGGCTGGGTAAATGGGGTGTGCAGGGGCCAGAGGGAGGGCTGGGTTTCAAAGGTGTTCAGGGGCCTGAGGAAGATCCTGGGGCCGGGGAGGGGGTTGCTGGAGAACAGGGTATTGGGTGACAGGGCTAGGGTTAGGGTAAAAAATCACTGTCCTAGACCTTTTTAGGAACATGTTTCAAACCTTTATGAGTTCGTTAGAACAAACAAAAGAGGATAAATGTCAATCTTTTTTTGGGGGGTGTCAGGGCTTCCTTTCTGTAACACCTGGGTATTGGGTTACAGTGCTAAGGTTAGGATTATAGGGTCAGGGTTAAAATCACTGACCAGAACCTTTATAGGAGCATGTTTCAGACCTTTTTGAGTAAGTTTGAACAAAAAAACGGAAAAATGTCAAAAAAAATTGGGGGGGGGGTTTAGGGCTTCCTTTATGTAACACCCGGGTATTGGGTTACGGCGCTAGGGTAAGGTTTAAGGTTTTTGGGGTTAGGGTTAAAATCACTGACCAGGGGCCTCATTTATAAAGCTTGCTTACGCACAAAACCTGGCTAGAAATTGCGTACGCCACTTCTTACGCAAGAGTTGGGATTTATAAAAGAAAAACTAGTGTAGGAATGTGCGCAACTTTAAGCAAACTCCACACCTTGCTTACGCACTTTTTGGAGACAATCGGAGCAAGGTGAGAATAGTCGGGGTGATGCGTTCAGCACAACGGATGACTCAAAGCAGCCTTTCTGTCCTGAGAGCTGCAGCTGCCGTACCAGGCAGTGATGCTCGCAGAAAGCGCAGACCCCACTGTGGCGGTGTAGATAGTTTGCCAATTTGAATTTACAAATGTGCAAAAAAACAAATTCCATTTACATGCATTTGTTTTAAGTTTATATGACTAAATCTTTTTGGTTTACGAACTTTCACCACATAAGCAGCGGTGGATAACGGAGCGGTTTTTTTTTTTAACACATGCACGAGTGTCACACGTGCATGTTTTTTCTGATTCTCACCTGTCGCCGCCACGCTCTGATGGTGCAAAGCCACTTTTTTCTTTGCCTCCACCTTTAGATCAGACCACTTCTTCTTGATTTCGGCACAGTGTTGTTTTCGTCTACGTCATCGTCAACGAAAACAAAACTCCACGTGTTTGCGCGCGCGTGCGTGTGTGTCTGTGTGTTGGAGGAGCACAGCAGACTGATGAGAGCTGTCAGAGCGGACAGAAGCTGCTCCTATATGTTTAGCGTTTAACTGACTGAGTTTTGCAACTCTGGTCGTCATTTTCGTCTCGTCCCATCAACGTAAAAGCACTTTCGTCTTGTCACATTTTAGTCATCTCCGACTTATGTTTAGCTCGTCAACGTTACGTCTTCGTCGTGGAAGAAAAGGGAAATATTTCCGTCAACAAAAACAACCAGTGTTGTTCTCGTTGATGAAAATATTTCCTTTTGACGCTGGTGTTGACAAAAATATTCGACGAAATATGACGAAAACAACACTGTAATTCGGCAACGCTGCGCTCAGTGCCAGCCGCAATTGCCACCACGGCAACGGCGTTTTTATTGGTGATGCCACTCGAATGGCCGCCGAATAAGGTCTCCCGTCTCGCCGCCACCTCATTTACAAGAACCTCCACCTCGATCTCTGAAAAGTTTCTTTTTCTACGACTTGCTGATGCCATGGTTAAGCGTGAAATGCCGTGGATCCACCAGGCTTATTTACATGCAAATCACATTCATGAGGTAATTTGCATGACCATACATGGTGAATTTTGGGTGTGGAGAGGGCGGGGAAGAATCAAATCCCTGCTGAGCAACTTTCCAGCTGGTCTGTGATTTATAAAGGGAAAGTGCGTGCAGGTGTGCGTAGGCAGGGTTTTATAAATCAGATTTTTTTTTTGCCTACGCACTTTTCAGCTTTTCAACTTACGTACACTTTTAGTATGGATTCTACGCCAGGTTTTATAAATGAGGCCCCTGGACCTTTATTGGAGCATGTTTCAGACCTTTTTGAGTAAGTTTGAACAAAAAAAAAGGAAAAATGTCATTTTTTTAAATGTTAAGGCTTCCTTTTAGTAACACCCGGGTATTGGGTTTACAGGGCTAAGGTTAGGGATCTGGAGTTAGGGTTAAAATCACTGTCCTAGAGCTTCTTAGGAGGATGTTTCAGACATTTTGGAGTAAGTCAAAGCAAAAAAAAAAATTTTAAATTGTCAAAAATATTTTCTAGGGGTGTTAGGGTTTCCTTTAGGTAATAACCGGGTATTGGGTTACGGGGATAGGGTAAGGTTTAAGGTTTTTGGGGTTAGGGTTAAAATCACTGTCCAAAAACCTTTGAGGAACATGTTTCAAACCTTTTTGAGTTTGATAGAACAAAATGAAAAGAAAAATGCCAAATAATTTTTCTTGGTGTTAGGGCTTCCTTTAAGTAACACCCAGATCTTGGGTTACAGGGCTAGGGTTGGAATTATAGGGTCAGGGTTAAAATCACTGACCAGGACCTTTATAGGAGCATGTTTCAGACCTTTTTGAGCAAGATTGAACAAAAAAACAGAAAAATGTCAAAAAAATTTTGGGGGGTTTTTAGGGCTTCCTTTATGTAACATCCGGGTATTGGGTTTCGGTGCTAGGGTAAGGTTTAAGGTTTTTGGGGTTAGGGTTAAAATCACTGTCCAAGACCTTTTAGGGAACATGTTTCAGATCTTTTGGAATTAGGTAGACCAAAAAAAGACAACAAAGAATGTCAAAAAAATGTTTGGGGTGTTAGGGCTTCCTTTATGTAATACCTGGGTATTGGGTTACGGGGCTAGGGTTGGGTTTAAGGTTTGGGATAAGGGTTAAAATCACTGTCCAAGACCTTTTTAGGAGTACGTTTCAGACCTTTTGGAGTTAGTTAGACCAAAAAAAAAAAGAAAAATGTCAAAAAAAATGTTTGGGGTGTAAGGGCTTCCTTTAGGTATTACTTGGATATTGGGTTAAGGGGCTAGGGTTGGGTTTAGGGTTTTGGGATTAGGGTTAAAATCACTGTCCAAAAACCTTTGAGGAACATGTTTCAAACCTTTTGGAGTTTGTTAAAACAACAAAAAAGAAAAATGTCTGTTTTTTTTGGTGTAAGGGCTTCCTTTAAGTAGCACCCAGATATTGGGTTACAGGGCTTAGGTTAGAAGGTTTAAGGTTTTTGGGGTAAAGGTTAAAATCCCTGACCAGGACCTTTATAGGAGCATGTTTCAAACATTTTGGAGTAAGTTAAAACAAAAAAAAGGAAAAATGTCAAAAAAAATTGTGAGGGGGGGGGGGGTTTAGGGCTTCCTTTAGGTAATACCCAGGTATTGGGTTACAGGGCTAGGGTATTGGGTTATGAGTCTAGGGTAAGGTTTGAGGTTTTTGGGGTTAGGGTTAAAATCACTGTCCAAGACCTTTTTAGGAACATGTTTCAGACCTTTTGGAGTTAGTTAGACCAAAAAAACTGAAAAATGTCAAAAAAAAAAATGTTTGGGGTGTTAGGGCTTCCTTTAGGTAATACCCGGGTATTGGGTTAAGGGGCTAGGGTTAGGTTTAGGGTTTTGGGATTAGGGTTAAAATCACTGTCTTAGAACTTTTGAGGAACAAGTTTCAAAACTTTTGGAGTTTGTTAGAACAAAAAAAAGGAAAATTTTCAAAACAAAATATTTGGGGTGTTGGGGCTTCCTTTTAGGGTTTTGGGATAAGGGTTAAAATCACCGTCCCAGAACCTTTGAGGAACATGTATCAAACCTTTTGGAGTTTGTTAGTAAGGTGAAAGTGATATGCAATTGCCATTTCTTTTGTGTCAACAAACTATTGTCAACATGACATGAGATGGTAATATTTCAAACACAGATTACCTACATGCCGAAATTACTATCTATCTATCTATCTATCTATCTATCTATCTATCTATCTATCTATCTATCTATCTATCTATCTATCTATCTATCTGTACCCTAGTTATGTTACTTCATGACTGCATGTTAAAGAATGAAACAAGGCAAAGTTGAGAAAACTTTTTATAACAAATATTTATAACAACAATAATATAATAATAATAATATTTATAATTAAAATATAATAATAATATAATTATAATATTTATAACAACAATAATATAGTAATGATAATAATAATAATAATAATATATTTATAATATTTATAACAACAATTTATAACAACAAAAAATCAAACAAATTTTACAAAGGCTGCAACAGCAGATATTAATAATATAATAAAATTTATTTTAAAACTATATACAAATGTACAAAGGAGCCTGGCTTGTTCCCCCCCGAGGCTGTCACCCCAGCTAAGGTTCCACTGCTTCCAAATTTAAGGTGAAATCTTGTGCTTCATAAATTAATTTGTATATTTGAAATTTAACATGTTCTTTAGCCTGGGGTGAGAGCCTCGCGAGAGAAGGAACCAGGCTCAAGAGGAACAGTTCGTCCGCTGATGAGCGAGATGCGGGTGGTGGTGGTGGTGGTGGTGCATTGTGTTGCCTCAGCAGGGCCTGAAAGAGGAGCTCCTCAATCTCCTCCAACCTTGAGGTGGGAGGCGTCATCCTCTTCCTCCCTGTCATAAAAAAAAAACTAATCGGTTACTATTTGTTTTATGATTTCTATGTGAATTTGACCTTGAGCAATTTTGTTGTATATATGGTTAATATTTCTTTTCAATACCTTTTGGACTGGCTGCAGTGGCGCCCGAGGCATCACTCGGTGGAGCAGGTGAGGGAGCAGGAGAAGAGGGGACTCATGGTTTAATTTTAATTTTAAAATTTATTTGCTATCTTTTTCACTCATCAACCAACAGTCCATGCTCCACTCCTGAGGGGTCTTCTTCCTCCAGCTCTTCAGGCATCCCAGCAGAAGAAGCAGCATTTTCTGCTGTGACATCTTCCTCGACCTCCCGAGACATGTCGCTGGTAGTCTCCCTCAGGGCAATAAAGGGGTCGAGGAAGGACATCACCGCAGAGAAACGCCAGAAACGCTGGGAGGCCGCTGGCCCATCTTCCTTCTCCCTCCTTTTCTCCCTCATGTAAACATCCCACAGCCCCTTCCAGCGCTTGCGGCACATATCCACTGCAAAGACACACACACACACACGTTGAAACATGTAGCCTAGCAAGCAGGGGCAGTATGCTATGTTTTCAGAAAATAGTCTGCTCACTGAAATAAATAAACAAACAAGCTTACCAGAAAGCCCAACATCATGGGCCACCTTCACCCATGCTTCCTCCTTGGAGGTGCGGTCCCGGTAGAACCCGCACCCCACGTCGTACAGCACTGGGTGATAGCTAACGGCAGTGATGAGCTGCTCCTCCATTGTGTGAATCTTCTTCTCCTCCTCCTTTCTTTGCCGGTTTGTTGACGTCAGCAGAGCCCTGATTGACTGTCGTGGCACGGAGTTGTGGAAAGTCGTGACTTAGGTTAGGGTTAGGGTTTTGCGATTAGGGTTAAATCTCTGTCCAGGACCTTTTTAGGAACATGTTTCAAACCTTTTGGAGTTCATTAGAACAAAAACAAAGGAAAATGTCAATCTTTTTTTGGGGGGGGGGTGTCAGGGCTTCCTTTCTGTAACACCCGTGTATTGGGTTACAGTGCTAAGGTTAGGATTATAGGGTCATGGTTAAAATCACTGACCAGGACCTTTATAGGAGCATGTTTAAGGGTTAATGGGGTGTGCAGGGGCCAGGGGAGGGCTGGGTTTCAAAGGTGTTCAGGGGCCTGAGGAAGATCCTGGGAAAGAGGGGGTTGCTGGAGAAAAGGGTATTGGGTGACAGGGCTAGGGTTAGGGTTATAGGGTTAGGGTAAAAAATCACTGTCCAGGACCTTATTAGGAGCATGTTTCAAACCCTTATGAGTACGTTAGAACAAAAAAAAGAGGAAAAATGTCAATCTTGTTTTAGAGTGTGTCAGGGCTTTCTTTCTGTAACACCTAGGTATTGGGTAACAGTGCCAAGGTAAGGGTTATAGGGTCAGGGTTAAAATCACTGACCAGGACGTTTATAGGAGCATGTCTCAGACCTTTTGGAGTTCGTTAGAACAAAAAAAAATTTTTGTTGTTAGGGCTTCCTTTAAGTAACACCCGGGTATTGGGTTACAGGGCTCGGTTCAGGGTTAGGGTTAAAATCACTGTCCAGGACCTTTTTAGGAGCATGTTTCAGACCTTTTGGAGTTCGATAGAACAAAAAAAATTTTTTGTTGTTAGGGCTTCCTTTAAGTAACACCCGGGTATTGGGTTACAAGGCTAAGGTTAGGGACAGTGGGGGTTCTAGACTAATTGACCCCCCCCCCCCCCCCCCCCACACACACACACACACACACACACACACACACAACTTTTTTGTTGTTAAGATTATAACAACAAAAATAAAATATTTCTTAATTGCACAAATCCTTCAACAAAAAAAAGACTAGTTATTTATCTCCTGCAAGAACAGGAAGGACACTTTTTAAGGTGCATAATTTCCACTTCCAACATAACAACAATAAAAAAGGAAACTTATATCTCAACTGCACAAATCCTTCAATAGAGCATTTACAAAACACTTCCAGAAAATCCAGTTATTACATCAGCAAAGACACTTTTTAAGATGCACATTCTCCACCTCCAACATTGCAAAAGACAATGGGGCAATTCTGCACAAAACAGGTTATCAGAGCTTAAATAATAAATATACACTCTAAACATAAAAGTGGCAAATATTTAACAAAAAAATGTTACAAGACAGTACGAGAAGAGAAGAATAATATAAAATATTAAATAAAATATAGACTAATAATCTTACATAGCAAATCACACAAATTTGAAAACACACTAAAGAAAGTGTGATTGTTCTATTAACAGAAAACACAAACTAAAACTAAAACCTGACCTTTCTTGCCTTCCTTGATGCAAAATCATCAATAATCTCGTCATAAGAAATCTGCTCCCCTATTAACCCATTAAGACCTGAACCCTGTCTGAGCCGCACCTCTGAAATCCTGAGGGCCATTTTAAGAAGGGCCCCAGATCCTTAGGTTTTCTGAAGTGTTTGGGTTTACAAAAAAGCTGATATCTCAGCCTCTGTAGCAGATAGAAACAAAATTAAAAAAGTATTTGAGAGCTTACAGGTGTGGCTTTCAAGATAACTTATCTTTTATTTGTCTAAACCTTCATCACATTATTGAATACCTTGAACAAACAAACTTAAATGAAATAAAGCCGCTGTATAAATAAAAGTAAAGACTGCACTGGAGAATAAGAAACTGATTTCTGTAAAACAAGTGGCAGTCATGATAAAGTGTCAATTTACACTGTGTGCACAATTATTAGGCAAGTGAGTATTTTGATCATATCATCATTTTTATGCATATTTTCCAACTCCAAGCTGTATAAACTTGAATGCTTATTGGATATAAGCATATCAGGTAATGTGTATTAGTGCAATGAGGGAGGCTGGGGCCTAAGGAGATCAAAACCCTATATCAAGGTGTGCATAATTATTCAGCAGCTTCTTTTCTTCAGGTAAAATGGGCCAAAAAAGAGATTTAAATGACTCTGAAAAGTCAAAAATTGTAAAAAGTCTTTCAGAGAGATGCAGCACTCTTGAAATTGCTTAGATATTTGGGTGTGATCACAGAACCAGCAAACATTTTGATGCAAATAGTCAACAGGGTCGCAAGAAATGTTTTTAGAAAAAAAGAAAAAATTTACTGCCAAAGATTTGAGAAGACTCAAACGTAAAGCTACCAGGAATTGCTTATCCTCCGGTGCTGTCATATTCCAGAACTGCAACCTACCTGGAGTGCCCAGAGGTACAAGATGATCAGTGCTCAGAGACATGGCCAAGGTAAGGAAGGCTGAAATCTGACCACCACTGAACTAGACACACAAGTCGAAATGTCAAGACTGGGCCAAGAAATATTTGAAGAGAAATTTTTCAAAGATTTTATGGACTGATGGGATGAGAGTGACTCTTGACGGACCAGATGGATGGGCCCGTGGCTGGATCAGTAATGGGCACAGAGCTCCACTTTGAATCAGACACCAGCAAGGTGGAGGCGGGGTACTGGTATGGGCTGGTATTATTAAAGATGAGCTAGCTGGACCTTTTCCAGTTGAAGATGGACTTAAAATCAACTCCCAAACCTACTGCCAGTTTTTAGAAGACACTTTCTTCAAGCAGTGGTACAGGCAAAAGTCTGCATCTTTCAAGAAAACCATGATTTTTATGCAGGACAATGCTCCATTGCATGCAACAAAGTACTCCACTATGTGGCTCGCCAGTAAAGGCCTTAAAAACGAAAGAAAAATGACATGGCCTCCTTCTTCACCTGACCTAAACCCTGTTGAGAACTTGTGAGCCCTTCTTAAATGGGAAATTTACAGTGAAGGAAGACAGTACACCTCTGAACAGTGTCTGGAACAGTGTCTGGAAGGCTTTGGTTGCTGCAACACAAAAAGTTGATCGTCAACAGATCAAGAAACTGAAAGACTCCATGAATGGAAAGCTTATGACTGTTAATGAAAAGAAGGGTGGCTATATTGGTCACAGATTTTTTTTTTTTAATTTCAACAATTTTTATTTGTAAATTGAGTTGTTTGTTTATCATTCTCACTTTAACAAGTGAAAATAAACAAGTGAGATGGAAAATTTTTCATTTTTAATTTAGTTGCATAATAATTCTGCACACTATAGCTGCCCCCAATAATTGTGCACACATAGATATTCTCCTAAGGAAGCCAAAATCTCACTTTTACTCCCTTAAATATTAAGGTTTGAGGTTTATTAACATTTTGGATTGACCGAGAGCACTGTAGTTGTTCAAAAATAAAATTTATCCTCAAAAATACAACTTGCCTAATAATTGTGCACACAGTGTAATTCAAATGTAAATATAAAAAATAAAGTGTTGAAAGGGTATACACCTGCCCTAGTATAGTGCCAGTACAAAAACAGCACTAAAAACTAAATAAATAAATAAATAAGTGGCTGACAGTGTGTTCAGCTCTGTGCTCACCCAAAGACATGCAACACTCACAGAAATCGCCAATAGTGTGAGCCAAAGCACTCCATATGAAGAGGTCGTTCACACTGTCGGATGTTTCTCCTCCAGAGCTGCTCTCTGCCTCCATCATTGTTTACTTTCCTCACGATGCACGTAGCAAGATCCAAGCATGAATCCGATCACCTTTTTAGCCTATCAGAGGCAGACGGGTATGATGATTTAATAACAATAATAATAATAATGCATCAGATTTTCATATAGCGCTTTATCAGAGACCCCCAAAGCGCTTTACATTGGATACATCATTCATTCGCTCACACAGTCACACTTTGGTGGTGATAAACTACCTTAGTAGTCACAGCTGCCCTGGGGCAGACTGACGGAAACGTGGCTGCCATTTTGCGTCGACGGCCTCTCCGACCACCACCACACAACACTCACAATCATACACCAGTGGAGGACACACACTGGGAGCAAGGTGGGTTAAGTGTCTTGCCCAAGGACACAACAGACAGACTTGGGATAGGGGGGAATCGAACCGCCAACCTTCTAGTTATTGGACGACCGCCCTACCTCCTGAGCTACTGCCGCCGATTTGATTCGCCACGACTCCAGAAATTATTAAAAAACTACAGAATGTTACAAAATGACGTATCCGCGCTTCTGGCTTGAAGACTAGAAATGTGCAGCCGCGCTCCCGGCTTGGAAGGCTGAAATGCATACATACTGTGCCGGTTTAAATGGGTTAAGTGATTAATGCTGATGACGGCAAGGCCAGTGAGCCATTCCTGAGACATGGTTAACCTTAGGTACAACTTTATCAACTTCAGTTTTAAGATGCTCCTCTCTGCTTGAGCCACCGTGACTGGCAGAGTGAGAGCAATCCTGAGAGCAGAGCTGTCCCCCGCGACCCTCTCCCCACCTCGTCTCATACAGTCTGTCAGCCTCTGTGCGGCACCTTTACAGCAAGCAGGGGCACCTGCAACAAGAGTTAATACAATACCGCTTTGCGGCGCAGATTTATAATTATTTTTATCTTTTATTTTATTTTTTTGGAAGTGCTCGTGCCGCCCCCCATTAGTCATGACACAAATGCCGCCCCGGGCAGCTGCCCTGTTCGCCTGTGCCTAGAACCGCTACTGCACGCAACTGAATATTATAATATTCGTATGTGGACCTGACTCTGGATTGAATATTCACAGAATTTTAAGGATGTGAGAACATTAGATAAATGGGTAATTTTGAATGAAAGTTTCTTTTATTGTTTTCTTCAAATTTTCGAAGTAAATAACTTTTCTGATCATTTAAATAAATCATCTGGTCAGCCTTGTCGCCGCAGCAGGACTAGGAGAGGACATGGAGACATGTCTGGAGACATATCCTGGTCAAGCTGCGTGAGAAAGGAGGAGAAAAAGGGGGCAGACAAATTAAATATCTTGATAACTTCATTATGTGTGACTGTTTACTGGATATTTAATTCAGAGCAGTTTCAGCTGTGTTAATTCGGTCAGGTTGAGTGTCCAAACGCCTACCAAACACGCTCATCAAATAAGATATAGATAAGAATATATATAATATAATATATAATATATATACACTCACCGGCCACTTTATTAGGTACACCATGCTAGTAACGGGTTGGACCCCCTTTTGCCTTCAGAACTGCCTCAATTCTTCGTGGCATAAATTCAACAAGGTGCTGGAAGCATTCCTCAGAGAGCTTGGTCCATATTGACATGATGGCATCACACAGTTGCCGCAGATTTGTCGGCTGCACATCCATGATGCGAATCTCCCGTTCCACCACATCCCAAAGATGCTCTATTGGATTGAGATCTGGTGACTGTGGAGGCCATTTGAGTACAGTGAACTCATTGTCATGTTCAAGAAACCAGTCTGAGATGATTCCAGCTTTATGACTTGGCGCATTATCCTGCTGAAAGTAGCCATCAGAAGTTGGGTACATTGTGGTCATAAAGGGATGGACATGGTCAGCAACAATACTCAGGTAGGCTGTGGCGTTGCAACGATGCTCAATTGGTACCAAGGGGCCCAAAGAGTGCCAAGAAAATATTCCCCACACCATGACGCCACCACCACCAGCCTGAACCGTTGATACAAGGCAGGATGGATCCATGCTTTCATGTTGTTGACGCCAAATTCTGACCCTACCATCCGAATGTCGCAGCAGAAATCGAGACTCATCAAACCAGGCAACGTTTTTCCAATCTTCTATTGTCCAATTTCAATGAGCTTGTGCAAATTGTAGCCTCAGTTTCCTGTTCTTAGCTGAAAGGAGTGGCACCCGGTGTGGTCTTCTGCTGCTGTAGCCCATCTGCCTCAAAGTTCGACGTACTGTGCGTTCAGAGATGCTCTTCTGCCTACCTTGGTTGTAACGGGTGGTTATTTGAGTCACTGTTGCCTTTCTATCAGCTCGAACCAGTCTGGCCATTCTCCTCTGACCTCTGGCATCAACAAGGCATTTCCGCCCACAGAACTGCCGCTCGCTGGATATTTTTTCTTTTTCGGACCATTCTCTGTAAACCCTAGAGATGGTTGTGCGTGAAAATCCCAGTAGATCAGCAGTTTCTGAAATACTCAGACCAGCCCTTCTGGCCCCAACAACCATGCCACGTTCAAAGTCACTCAAATCACCTTTCTTCCCCATACTGATGCTCGGTTTGAACTGCAGGAGATTGTCTTGACCATGTCTACATGCCTAAATGCACTAAGTTGCCGCCATGTGATTGGCTGATTAGAAATTAAGTGTTAACGAGCAGTTGGACAGGTGTACCTAATAAAGTGGCCGGTGAGTGTATATATAATATAGATCTAAATGTAAGTGCTGACTCAAATAGCTGCACTGAATATTGGTTGTTGTTGATTATTTATTGCACTGAAATGTGCCTGACACATGTGGAAACTGCCTGTGAGGCATCAGTCATGTATGCGCACTACGCCACCGGACTGCTAAAATACCACAAGACCAGCTCGATCCGTCTGCACTAAAAGCTGACCAGGTTTGAATTGGTGAGCTTTCAGCGCATTTTCCATGCTGCCGGTGAGCACAAAAATGTCACTGCGCCAGCTGATTCTGTCGACATCTCCCCCTACCGCACCACCACGCCCAGCTTGGCGCACCTCAGTATGCCTCAGCCTACGAAAATACCAAACTGGCTGTGTGCCGGGCTTTGCCAGACGAAAATACCACTGCGTGGGGTGCGCCACCCTCCGCCGCGCCGCCAGGGGGCACAAAAATAGAGCCCATTGTGTCAGACCAGTTTTGCTCTTTATTTGAGTGCATGCTTAGCATTTTACAATGACTCATGTCAGGAGGAAGACGTGAGGAGGTGTAACAAGTCACTGGCACTCCAACTTACGAGATTCTCCGCCTCTTTTGCTGGATAGCTTGAAGGTCAGACTCAGGAGCAGCCATGGTCTTCTCCTTTCCCGTAAAAGGAGCCTAAATGAGCAAAAAAAAGGTTTAAAAGGTATAAATAAGAACTAATTCTTGAGACTGAAATGAACACAAATTAATTTAGTTTTGTAAAAGTTTGACATTGCTTATGGTTTGAAATGTGCCAACTTTTTAAATGCTGAAGCATCAATTCACAGCCCACATTGTGAAGCAACATAGACATTCCTGCTAATGCCAAAGTGAATCTTTAAGACACATGACTATGGTTACCTAAACTGTAAAACTGACAAGGTAAATAAAGTTGCTCAAATGAAGCACCTCTTGTTCCTTCTGAGTGTGTGGTGGCAGCTGGCATCCTGCCTGTGTGGCATGGAGTGGTGTCGGGCTGCACAATCAGATAAGCATGATCTGTGATCTGGCTCGATCCATTCAGTTATTTTATACAGTGGTTGACTTTGGTCTCGCTCTGCTGCAGCAGTGTGGTGTGACCGGGAGCTGGGCTGTCTCCCGGAGTCTGTGTGGGCGCGGTGCGCTTCTCGTGGATAAGGTGCTCATCTATCTGCAATATTAGGCTGCGATGGTTTGGTGAGGGTACGGACAAAATCTTCTCTCCCAGCCTTCACTGACGAAGTCGGGGCGGTGCGCGTCCTCCGCCTGTCACCCGATGGTCAATCCTGCCCTCCAGTAGGAACGCTTTAATCTATAGTTTTGATTCATTTGTATCTTTTTCTGGGTTCGGGGTTAATTAGTTAATTAGTTTATTTTACAGTGCCGCTGTGCTGCTGTCTTGGCACTCTCGGCTCTTCGCTCTTCGCTTTTGGCTCTCGCTTTGGGCTTGTTCTGCTGGCGTCTCTGCAGGCTGCAGCCATGTTGTTGGCTCACCGGGACTCCCGGTGCCCTACCTCTCCGGAGGCAAGGGTCGGCTGCTGAGTGGTTGTGGAGAGACCGTGCGGCATCAATTCATTAGTTTGGTTTATTCCTTTTCCTTTACTTCTTTCCTTCTGAATTATTATTAAGCTCGAGTTGGGTTTTTTTTCTTATTTCATTGTTTCTGCATTAATTGTGTCTGATTTTGATGATTTGTTAATTGGTGAGTGTGATTTGGGTAAGTGTTTAAGTATTATTTTTGTTTCTTTACAGTGGTGTGAGGGTTTTCATTATTGCCTGATTTTAATTGTGTGTTTCTTTTTCTTTGACAGGTGCTGTGGGCCCCGAGTGGCAGCAGTCCCCTGGTGGTGGTTCCTGTTTTCACGTTTGCTTTGCTGTCTCACGGGTGACAGCAAAGCAACATAGTTTTTGGATCCTTTCTCCTTATTGTTACCGCTGTCCTGGTAAGCCCCAGCCCTGTCGTGTTTTCTTTCTTTTACAGGCCCTCATACCACTGTTGAGTTGTTTCTGCTTGTTTTAATGATTTTGTCTAATAAAAAAAACATTTGAACTTTTTGAAATCACTGTCTCTTGTCCTGTGGACTAAGTTGAACTGCGTGCCTTGGGTAATATTTCCTTATTTATATCCAGGGGTGCAAGTCCCCAGGTGGCGTTGTTGAAATTGTTAAAATCTTACTGCTCGCCTTGCCACACTAGAATTTGGAGAAATTACATTTAGGGTCATTCATGATGATGAACATAGAGAAGTGGACAGGGGCAATTATAGGATCAGAGCTCTAGGGTTGTTGAGCACCTAAAGTGCTGGCCAAGATAAATTTCACAATTTTTTACATTTTAACGCAATTTTGGACCATCATTTCCACATTTCTAAAAGAAAGGCATAACACATAGAGGATCAGTCTGACTAAACCAACAAATCTCAAAAAAGTTATTTAAATGCTGAGCTACAGCAAAAGATGAATGGATTGGAATCATCGATTAAAGCAGACTTTATTCCTGAACCTGTATGGACAAATGTATGTAGCTCTGGAGGAAGACAACTCATTTTGATACAGCAGCTCCTCAACACATATAGATACACATACACATAAACAGTACATATGTATGTTTCTGGAGTCAAACAGCCCCCCTATAGTGAGTACTAAGAATACCAAAGATGGACCTTTGTCTTATTATTGGACTTTAATTTGAAATGCAATGGAATGCAGAACATATAAAACACATTAACAAAAATTGGCTTTATCAATGTCCTCCAATGTCCTCAATGGCTCACTTCATGTCCTCCTCTGGTTTGCTGTCTCTCATCATCCAGACACTCTCCCTGTTCTCCTCCTTCTTTTAAAGTAAAATTAAGCAAATAGTAAAGAATACATAGTTGATTAGGAAAATGTAAAAAAAAAGTCCTGTTTAGTATGAAGTGCACTGGCGTGTGTTCAGTGTACGTGTGCTTCTGGAAAGCATTAAATGTGGCGATAACTTCCATGATGTACCGTATGTGCAAAATCATATTGTGAGTGGAATGTTTATCTTTCTCAGTTTAACAGTTACTTATTCTCTATATGTTTTTCTTACCTGATTCTATACTCCCTCTCTGCACTGTCAATCATACACAAATATTGTATTCAACTAGATGAAAAATTACATTCATTTGAAAAAAAAAAATACGAATAACAATCCAACTCGAATCATTTAAAAATATTTGGTTGCTGTGGGAAATCAAGTTATAATAATAATAATAATAATAATAATGATACATTTTATTTAAAAGCGCCTTTCTGGACCCTCAAGGACACTGTACAGGGCATTAAAAACACAGTTAAAACACAATTAAAATAAATAAAAACAACACACAGGTATGAAGATGGACAGTTAAAGAGCATATGCAATTTGAAACAGATGTGTTTTGAGTTTTGATTTGAAGTGGGGTAGTGAGTCTATGTTTCTGAGATCCGGGGGGAGAGAGTTCCAGAGTTTGGGAGCAGAGCGACTGAAAGCCCTGCTCCCCATGGTGCTGAGCCGGGCAGAGGGGACAGAAAGGTGGAGGGAGGAGGAGGATCTGAGGGAGCGTGAGGGGGTGGCAATGTGGAGGAGATCGGAGAGGTAAGGGGGGGCAAGGTTATGAATGGCCTTGAAAGTGTACAGTATGATTTTATAGTGGATTCTGGACCTGATAGGAAGCCAGTGAAGCTGCTGAAGGACAGGGGTTATGTGGTGAGAGGAGGGGGTTCTAGTGATGATATGGGCTGCAGAGTTTTGGACAAGTTGAAGTTTATAAAGGGATTTGTGAGGGGCACCGAGGAGGAGTGAGTTGCAGTGGTGTGAGGAGTGAGTGACGGGCGGAGACGGTTGATGTTACGTAGATGGAAGTATGCAGACCGGGTGATGTTACTGATGAGAGAGTGGAAAGATAGTGAGCTGTCGAGGATGACACCCAGACTCTTAACCTGAGGGGAAGGGGACACTGTGGAGTTGTCTATGTAGAGGGAGAAACTGTCAGCTTTGGAGAGAGTGGACTTGGTTCCGACCAGGAGATACCATGTGATCAGACACTCTTACCTGCACCTGGCTCTTTTTTTTCTGAAAAACTATCTTATATCCATGATGATGTCTGTCTGCACACACACACACACACACACACACACACACACACACACACACACACACACACACACACACACACACACACACACACACACACACACACACACACAAAATCAGAGTTACAGTGCCATGAGAAAGTTTGGGCACCCTGTCTGAGGTTGTATAATAATTGACTCTGTCTCCACAGAAAATAATCCTAGTGTCATGTCCTTCATTTGCCCATCAGAGCCAAGTGTTGGGTTGTTTTGCAGACTCTGATTTTAAGTATTGGTGGTATTCTTTTGTATGAAATTAAATCAAATGTGAAAAATAGGCTGTGCAAAAATGTGGGAACCCTTGACATTTTCTTGCTTTGAAGACCTGTAACTAATCATCACAGAGTAATTGGAAACACCAAGTTGGTCAGGTGAGCTCATTGAGCCTTGAACTTAATAGGCAGGTGCATCCAATCATGACAAAGGCTATTTAAGGTGACCAAATGCCAGTTCTTTTTCTCTTTGACTCTCCTCTGAAGAGCTGCAAGATGGGGGCCTCAAAACAACTTTCAAATGACCTCAAAACCAAGATTATCCAGCAGTATGGTTTAGGGGAAGGCTACAAAAAACTTTCCAAAAGATTTCAGCTGTCAGTGTTTACCGTGAGGAACATTGTAAGAAAGTGGAAAGCCACAGGCACAGTCCTTGTCAAGGCCAGAAGTGGTAGGCCAAGTAAAATTTCAGCGAGGCAAAGACGAAGGATGGTGAGAATGGTTAAAGACAACCCACAGACCACCACCAGAGACTTGCAGAGTGATCTAGCTGCAGATGGGGTCACTGTGCACAGGTCAACAATACAGCGCAATTTGCATAAGGAAATGCTGTATGGCAGAGTGATGCGTAAGAAGCCCTTTCTTCACAGTCGCCACAAATTGAGTCGCTTGAACTATGCAAAAGCACATTTGGACAAGCCAGCATCCTTTTGGAATAAGATCCTGTGGACTGACGAAACAAAAATCGAATTATTTGGTCACAACAAGAGGCGATACACATGGCGAAAAAAGAACACAGAATTCCAAGAAAAACATCTGCTACCCACAGTGAAATTTGGTGGAGGTTCCATCATGTTGTGGGGCTGTGTGGCGAGTACTGGTACTGGGAACCTTGTTAAAATTGACGGTCGCATGGATTCCACTCAGTATCAGCAAATTCTTGAAAATAATGTGCAGGAGTCCGTCACAAAGCTGAAGTTGCGCCGGGGATGTTTGTTTCAACAAGACAATGACCCTAAACATTGTTCAAAATCCACTCGGGCATACATGCAGAGGAACAAGTACAGTGTTTTAGAATGGCCATCCCAGTCCCCAGATTTGAATATCATTGAAAATCTGTGGGATGAGTTGAAGCAAGCCGTCCATGCTCGTGGACCTTCAAACCTCAATGAATTAGAGCTGTTTTGCAAGGAGGAGTGGGCCAAGATGCCTTTATCCAGGATCCAGACACTCATTAGTGGCTATAGAAAGCGTCTAGAGGCTGTGATTTCTGCAAAAGGAGGCTCTACTAAATATTGATGTGATGTTTCTGTTAAGGTGCCCAAATTTATGCATGGGCCTATTTTTACTTTGGTGCATATTGCACATTTTCTGTTAGCCCAATAAACTTTACTTCAATGCTGAAATATTATTGGGTCTATGAGTTATTTCATATATCAAAAGTAAGTTGTGGAATCAAACACCCAATGATTGATGAATGAAAATACTGGGATTTGTCAAGGGTGCCCAAACTTTCTCATGGCACTGTATATACTATTAGGCATCAGTTCAGTCAGACTGTTTATTGAGAACAAATGACCTTGTTGCATGAATTGAACCTGAAATTAACAAAGCTTTCAAACCATATTACAACATTAATCATAAAATATATTTTAAAAATCAGGTGGATTCACTTTTTATCTGGAGCTTTTCATATAAATTCCTAATGAAAACATTTTCCCACAGGCTAACAATGTGCAAAAAAATAATTTGAAGAAAAATGAAGCCTCTGTAGCAGCAAGAAAACAAAGTGCAAAAATGAGGCATGTGTCAAAGCTCAGTTTGCCACTTTGTGATGCACAGTAGTCGGTACATGAACCTGGAACTGACAAAGCTTTTAAGACAGTTTGTACCTAAAAACAACAACATTAAACATTAAATTGAAGAAAAATCACTTGTATTTATTTTCTAAAGCTCTTTCTGCAGCTTCTTTGGATTAATTTCTTACTGTCAACATTTTTCTACAGGCTAACAACATCCAAAAAACTATTTCCCTGTAAGAAAAATCAAAAATGTCCTGTAGCAGCCTTTTGCTGCCTTTTTTTGCATGTCCAGATATTACCTGTCTTGATGTTTTGTTGCATAGTGTCCTCTTACGTTGTATTAGGGTGACCATACTCTGAATCCCCAAAAAGAAAACACTAAATTTTGAGGGTTTTTTGGGTCAGGCTGATGTTTTTTTTTAACCCCTTCCATCTCAAACGTATATTTTGAATTACCAAAAAGACACTTAAACAGGCCTCTGATTCTAAAAAAAAAACTCACACAAAGTTGCGTTTATAAACAATATATTCATTTATCTAAAGCATATCTCCTCAACAAAATTATTGGTCACATACAAATATTTTTCCCTTCTATTTTTGCTCACAAGCAGACAGTGCATGCATGCATCACATCAGTGGCTTTGCTGAGAACTGAGCAGCGGGGCAAAGCAGCAGAGAGCACTAATGCGCTGCACTGTTTTATAATGACAACTCATGCTCATGGGCTCTCGAATAATGTGCGAACACGTTGGCAGTGCATTGTGGGATTAGTAGTGTATTAGCAGCACGTCTGGACCAGGTCAGTAGTGATCAAACATTATCATGCGGGCCAAAGATAACTACATCACGGGCCAGACCTAGCCCGCGGGCCTTGAGTTTGACATATATGACCTAAGCTGCGTCCGAATTGCCAAGTAGTAGTCGAAGTAGTAGTCGAAGTAATATCTAGCATGTCTGAATTGGCCACCGGAGCGAGTAGCATGCTACTTCAGATACTACTTCAGATACTAGACACGCCCACATTGTAGGTTGGTCTCGGTGCATCCTACGGGCATGCTACTGACCCAAAATGCACCGCAGGCTTCTTCTTCGTCCGCTTAAAAGTTGTAGAAGCTCATGTGATGCTAGCGCCACCAGCTGCTCTGCCTATTTAAATGTGTCGCGAACGCCGGCTGGCCACAGCAGCGCGCACCATGACGGAGCAGCAGCAGCAGCAGCAGCAGCAGCAGCAGGCGGGACCGCAGCAGTACAGATGTAATTTTAATGTAACTTCACACACTGTCCTAAAAATGTGCGATTGTATCTCTTTGTCATGTCATGGTGTCATATTTGCCCAAGTAATCATTTTATGAGCAAATATGTGGCGACATCATGGAGGTGAAGCTCACTTATTCCATCATTAAACTGCACAGCTGCAGTAATCAGGCAGATCTCATTGAACAAACGAGCACCACGTGAGTGAATGAAGGCTAAAAGTCATGGAAAAGCTACTTTGTGAATTTCTAAAGCAGTGCAGGAATATAATACAGCAGCATCCATCACTTGCACAATTACCATTCAGAGTCTAAAACGGGGGCAGTACCTACTCTCTGCCTGCGGGGGTCGTCTTTCCCCACCGCTCGTCTAGTGTGTCCGAATTGGGCCAACGTGTTTAGTATGTAGGAGTAGGATCTAGCAGTAGTATGTAGCAGTAGCATGGAGTATCTGAGCGGGCAATTCGGACGCAGCACTAGACTAATGATCTGTCTCAGTAGAAGTGAATGGAGCAGATTTCAGTCACAGAAATAAAACTTTATTTATAAACGATTCAAAGACAGACTCAGGGCTCTATTTTCGTGCTTCGCCAGAGACGTGGCACAGGCGCGGTGTAAGTCAGGTCCCAAGCACAATTTGGTATTTTGGTAAGAGGCGCAGCCCGGCGTAAGTATCCCCCCTCCCTAACTCAGCTCCTCCCAGCGGCGTAAGTCGTAGCGAGGGAGGAGAGAGGTTTACAGGACCTGTATTGACCAATAACATCAGCTCCTCTCCTTGCCTTTAAATCTGCAACCGGCGAGGCGTACTACTATTTTCATGAAACAGTCAAAGAGATCAAGAGATGTCTGAAGACAGTAATGCCACACGATGGCGACAGAAGGCAGCTCCTCAACAAGTGTCGCTGTAAACGCCGCAGAGGGCGTCCTTCACACTCTCTCATATCAGCACAGATGGATTTGGTGTGTTGGACCCACTAATAAGACAAAACCCTTTCCACAAATAAAGACACTCACGTAAAGTTGCACATATTCAAACCTCACGTGACAAACGTGGGTTGTGCGCAGAGATCATATCATAAATTCCACTAATGGCATTAAAATCAGAACCATCTGTACTTAAAGGACACATCGTGCTCCGTGGCCTGGCTCTTTCTTTCATAGATGTTGGCATATAAAATAAATTTGGCTCACAAAGCTGAATATTTGTATGTAGGCTTAAAGTAAATAACTCATCTGATCACTGAAACAAATCATCTGTTCAGCCGCCGCAGCAGCAGCTGCAGAAGGATGGGGAGAGGACATGGAGACATGTCCAGGTCAAGCTGTAAGAGAAATGGGAGGAAGAGGAAGAAGAAAAGGAGGGAGACGAATTACATATCTTGTTAACTTCATCATGTGTCTATTTACTAGATATTTAATTTATTTTAATGCGGTTTCAGCAGTGTTAATTTGGTCAGGTTGTGTGTCTAAGTGCGTGCCAAACGCGCTCATCAGATCAGATATAGATCAGAATATATCGATATAGATCTAAATGTATGTGCTGACTCAGATTATTAGTTGTTGATGATTGTTTATTGCACTGAAATGTGCCTGACACTGTGGAAACTTGCCAATGAGGCATCAGTGACGTATGCCGATACGCCGCCAGTCTACCGAAAAACCACTAGACCAGCTGCACTCCGCCTGCGCTGAAAGCTGACCAGGTCTGAATCGGCAAGCTTTCAGCGCACTTTATGCGCCACCAGTGAGCACGAAAAATGTCACTGCGGCTGCTGATTCTGTCGACACCTCCCCCTGCCACACCAACCACGCCCAGCTTGGCGGACCTCGGTGTGCCTCAGTCAACGAAAATACCAAACTTGCTGTACGCCGGGCTCCGCCAGACAAAAATACCACTGCGCGGGGTCCGCCACCTTTTGCCGTCTCACCGGCAGACACGAAAATAGAGCCCTCAGGGTGTATTTTACTTGTCATTCAATTACCTACAGAGAAATATGTTGGTCAGTTAGAAATCAACAAAGTTTGTATATAAACATAAAAACACTTTAAAAGTGAACTTGTGTAATAGTGAGGTTCAGTATAAGTATGCATATCTGTGTGCACAATCAATTTAACATTTAACAAAGTAAAATAAAGAAAACCTTCAAATATAATAAAACATTTATATTTTGTGTGCCTCTGTACACATGTCTTAAAGGTCCCATGGCATGCCAATTTCACACAACTTAAAATAGTCCCCTGGTGTGTTAAAAGCATTTCAGTGACGTCCGTCGGTCAAAATTCGATTTGGATCAATTATTTTAGTGCTCTTTTTATCAGCTAAAAACAGCTCCGCTCAAAATCCTCCGTTTTGGGCCATGTCTCTTTAATGAAATGAGCTGCACCTAAGCCACGTCCACTTTACACCCATCTCTCTGGAAGGGGCTGTGGCTGTGTTCCGATAGCCATGTGCTAATGTTTACACTGGCTCGGTCATGGCTGCAAGAAGATCGCTCGTACAACCCTACCAGTTTGAGCCAGAGTCTGACCCAGAGGGAGAGGCTCTGGAAGAAACTCTTAGCCGCGTTCAGACCAAACGCGACTTGAAGCGACCTAGTCGACACATCCTATATATTATTCAAAGCCGCCTGGAGGGTCACGCTTCAGGAGGACGATATGATGGCCGACCGTCCAGCATTAGCCGGGACGTCCTGTATTTAAGCCAAAAGAGGCGCGTCGCCGCACGGGTAAATGCTAAAGCAACATGCTGCTCCAGGGGGGGATTTTGTCCCCCGCCGGCGGAGTTGTTGGGGAAGGTGCGAGCTGAGAAAATACGGGAGGATCCGGTAAACCGGCGCGGATCCAGTGTGTTTATCAAAGCGTGGTGGCCGTGCTGAGGCACCAGGGGGAATTTAGGCTAAACAGTAAGTCAAAATAAAACGTTCACACTTACAGATGCCACGTTTGTAGTAGGATCACGGATAGTTGGTACGGATCCATTCTTTATCTTCAGACATCTAGCAAATCCAGCGTTGAACTGTCCCTTGTTGATAAAACAGTCCGAAGTGAAATGGTGCGCACATACCACAGATATTTTGGAACTGCAGCGGGTACATTCCCATCAAAAATAAAATCCACCCATTGAGTCCTCAAATCCTCCGACGAGGAGGAGTTTTGTGCTCGTTTGTGCAGCCAACAACAGAGCAAACGCTGCCTCTTTTTCAGATCGTACTTTCGCCATGGTTCTAACCGGAGCATTGCGAGCGAGCGGCCGGGAATAATGGCGCTGTTTTGATAATTTTTTGGGCAGGGCAATGGGCGGCTCCATGGGCAGTACCATCAACCCGCCAGCACTGACATGACGTCATGTCAGTGGAGTTTTCAGAACGGCCGGCTCTGAGCACACAGTTCCTAAATACGGAGATAACAAAAAAACAACTGGATGGAATTTTTTCGAACTTGGGGGGATTGTAGCGGTTTTCTATCCCTGATATGCAGCCCCCTCCCGTTAACAAAGTCAGTTTTTCATGCCATGGCCCCTTTAAATATTTCAGTTTATTGTAGCTCTGCACGTGAAAATAATCTGAAGAGCAGAATTCAAAGTTTGTTCTGAAATTAAAGACAGAAAGTGTAAAAGACACCTAAAAACACAGGAAATGTGATCAACATTGATTTTATGCACCTTCATATTTGTTTGTGTTTCCCTGTGCTTCTTTATGCTCCTGTGTGTTATGCTGTGGAGTTTGTTCAGTGCTGTCTTATAACTATGTTGCGTTTTTAATCACAACATGCTGAAGTGAATGTTGCCCTAATATTTGTGTTAATGTTCATGTTAATTGTGAGGAGGTTTTTTTTAATTTTTTTATGTCCAAAATTAAGATGGTAGAGATGGTTAGATGGTAAGATGGTAAAGATAGTGAAAACGTAGAGAGAGAGGTCAAAATTCGATGTTAAATAAAAGTTGAAATTTTAATTTTTATTTTAATGTTTGTGTTTCCTTTTTTTGGTTCTGATGTCTGAATTTCTTTGCTGGTTTTTATTTTAATGTTCATTTATTTTATTTCTAGCTCATCATCTTGTCACTCTTCTTCAGTTAAAAACATCGACATCAATGAACATTATTGTCGGAATTTTTGTTGAGGAAGTCAACAGCTGTCTTCCTCAAGTTCACCAGAAAAGGAAAAGAAAGGTAGCTTTAGCACCCCTCGGTGATGTTAGAAACCCTGAGTACGAGGTGTTCAGCTTGACCGGTGAATACCAACCAGGATTAATTACAGGATGTGTGTAACTAAAGCTACCAATGACTGACAGGAGACTCTAAGATCAGACCACTGAACCAAACCAACCACTAAGGGTTCAGGTAGCTGCTGACTAACAGCCCATATATAAAATATGTGGTGGGAGTGAGGAAGTTTCTCACTCTGGAAGAGAGTCCCCCTTGAGCAGAGGGCACAGAGACACTGAGGAGTCAGGCAGATCAGACCAGAACCCAAACCCTGGGTACAAAGGTCCAGTGAAGGTGTTATAGAAGGTGTGGATGTGCCTTAGTATGTCTGAGGAGACGCTGTAGAAGGACAGAACGCCAGCTGAGTGATCCACATACACTCCTGCCCTGTTAGGGACAGAAGTCATGGAGGACAGGGTGATGGATGCCCCGTTATTGTTGAACCAGACTGTGTAACCCCCATCAGAGCACTCCAGACTCCAAGACTGATCATTCCACCCAAACTCACAGTCGTTCCTGTGTCCTGTCCTGCTGATACTTTTGTAAGACACTGAAATGTCAACCTGTCCCTTCCACTCCACCTCCCAGTAACAGCGTCCGGTCAGACCGTCTCGGCACAGCAACTGAGGACAGAACTCAAACCTGTCAGGGTGATCAGGGTACGGCTGCTCTTCCTCCACATGTATCAGCTTCTTGTTGTCATTGCACACCAAGATCTCTCTGCTCATGCTGTTGGTGTCAAATGTGAGCTCACAGGCATCTGATGGAGAGGAGAAAATGGTTTTCATTCACACAGGGGTGCAAACTCATCAAGGATGAAAAAGGTGCCAAGTATCTGAACTCCGGTCCAGAGGTATGCCCCCCCAGAAATTTTTAAAAAATATACGCTTTAGAATTTGAGTTTACAGATGACTTTGGTATTCAGACCTTTTACAGAAGCAGTGAAAACAAAATGTTATGAATAGGGCTGTCAATCGATTAAAATATTTAATCGCGATTAATTGAATTGTGATCATAATTAATCATGATTAATCGCAAATTGATCGCATATTTTTGATCCATTCTAAATCGATCTTTTTCAAATTGTTATACTTTTATCAACATAAGAATCAACATGAGGACAGATCGTGGATTTTCATGGTAATGGTGGTCCTACAAGGTAATTCATATGTCCAGTCATTGGATGCGATCAGTATGCGGGGGGGGGGCCTCTCTGCATCAGCTGTGTACTTGGCCGACAAGTGATATTTGAGACTCCACGTACTCCGGTGGTAACTAAATTCAGCTCGACAGGAAACACAAATGACTTTTGTCCTGTCAAGAGAGCCATCTGGCAAGGCTTTGTAGCTGAACTTTCCGTTCAAAATAGTGTTCTTATCCATTATATCCTAGTTACTGCTCACGTGAATTTGTTTATGTCTGCTGCGGTATCAGTCAGTGCTCTACTTCCTGATTCGCGAAACTACGGAGTGCCCCGAGGCTCACATAGCTCACCAACTGTTCCTCTACCCTTTTACAACGGCAAGAATATCCACGCAGTGTGTGTATAGTTTGGTCAAGCCAGGCTAAGGCTTGCGTTAATCGTGCGTCAAAAAAATTAGTGGCGATAAAAGTCACTCGAGTTAACGCGACAATAACGCGTTAACTTTGACAGCCTTAGTTATGAATATAACTTCTGTTGCCTGGAGGAGCAACAAGATACAGTGCATTATGTATGGGATATCACACCCCACGTGGCCTGAGTGAAGAAACATTTATCCATGACTTTATGGCAGATGATCCGTGGTGACGTATGTGAGGCCCCACCTGCACATATAAACGTGCAACACCACAGTCATCCTTCAGTTCGATAGCCGCTCTTCACCGAGCCTAGCTGTGCAGTGGGGCAACCCAGTGTTATACCTCGTTCCTCTCCTTCAGGAACTATATTCATAACATTTCGTTCCCTTTCAGACGATTCACTCAGTAAAACACATATAGGGCTCTATTTTCGTGTCCGCCGGTGAGGCGGCAGAGGGTGGCGGACCCCGCGCAGTTGTATTTTCGTCTGGCGGAGCCCGGCGTACAGCCAGTTTGGTATTTTCGTGAACTGAGGCGAACCGAGATCCGCCAAGCTGGGCGTGGTGGTGTGGCAGGGGGAGCTGTCGACAGAATCAGCGGGCGCAGTGACATTTATGTGCTTGCCAGTGGCGTGTAATTGCGCTGAAAGCTCGCCAATTCAAACCTGGTCAGCTTTCAGTGCGGGCGAAGCGCAGCTGGTCTAGTGGTATTTTGGTAGACCCGCGGCTTATCGGCATACGTCACCGTATCCTCACAGGCAGGTTTCCACAGTGTCAGGCACATTTCAGTGCAATAAATAATCATCAACAACTATGAATCTGAGTCAGCACATACATTCAGATCTATATAGATATATTCTGATCTATATCTGATCTGATGAGTGCGTTTGGCACGCATTTGGAGACACACCTTGACCAAATCAATACAGCTGAAACCGCATTAAATTAAATTAAATTAAATATCTAGTAAATAAACACATGCTGAAGTTAACAAGATATTTGTCTCCCTCCTTTTCTTTCTTCCTCTTCCTCTTATTTCTCACACAGCTCGACCTGGACGTGTCTCCGTGTCCTCTTTCCGTGCTGCTGCAGCTGAACAGATGATTTGTTTCAGTGACCAGATGAGTTATCTACTTTAAGCCTACATACGGATATTATAATCAGTTTTGTGAGCCAAATTTATTTTGTATGCCAACATCTATGAAAGAAAGAGCCAGCCCACGGAGCGTGATGAGCCCATTTACGAATAGATGGTTCTGATTTTAATGCTATTTTTGGAGTTTATGTTGTGATCTGTGCGCTTAACCCACCTTTGTCACGTGAGGTTTGAATATATGCAACTTTATGTGAGTGTCTTTATTTGTGGAAAAGGGTGTTTGTCTTACCAGTGGGTACAACATTACACACACCAAATCCATCTGTGCTCATATGAGAGAGTGTGGAGGACGCACAATGCAGCGCTTACAGTGACACTTGTTGAGGAGCTGCCTTCTGTCGCCATCGTGTGGCATTACTGTCTTCAGAAATCTCTTGATCTCTTTGACTACTTAAAAAAAAATAGTAATACGCCTCGCCGGTGGCGGATTTAAAGGCAAGGAGAGGAGCTTATGTGATTGGTGAAAACAGGTCTCGGCTGTGTTAAACCCACTCCACGCCCTCTGTCCTCCCTCGCTACGACTTACGCCGCTAGGAGGAGCTGAGTTAGGGAGGGGGGATACTTACGCCACCAAAATACCAAATTGTGCTTGGGAACGCCTTGTCAGCGCGGCGGACCTGACTTACACCATGCCTGCGGCACGTCTCCGACGAGGCACGAAAATAGAGCCCATAGTATGGAAGTTATATATACACGCCCCACAGAGCAGCCACCAAACCAGAGTTACAGCATAAAGGACAGAGTGAGCCACTGAAGAGGCTGTCACAGCAGAAGGCACGGCACACGGTGACAAACAGCAGCATTACCAGCGCAGTTTAACCAACAGAGACACAGCCATCATTAACAGAAAAAGAAGAAAAAAAGGAGCTTTACCAAATGAGCTTGGGAGACGTATTTCAGAGCAGATTGATACCCCCCCCCCCCCCCCCTTATTTTTTTTTATCGTTGATCTACTTGAATCAGAGAAATTACCTATTTTGGATCCAAAACTGCAAATACCCGAATGGTGACAAGTTTGCACTACTGTTTACATCAGCTCCTGTACACACTGCTAGTTAAAGCTTAACCTCTCTTGCTTCATCCTGTAACTGTACCCTTGATCTGGGATACACGTCACATTTCAAATGCAGGATGTTGTGGAGGGGATCACTGATTAATATGTTGGTCCCTGATGGTTTGAAGGGGACGTCAGAGGACCTAATGTCATAGTTTACAGGGGGTTAAATGTGTGTTGTTGTTTTTTTACACTCACATTTTCTTAGACCAGGTCTTAGCCATTGAGCTCCAGCAGGACCCATCCTGAAAAAAAAGGAATGGCTGATAAGTTTCACTCATTATTCCACCTGCTGAACAGAAGTTCTGCATTGAAGCAATTGAAGAAAAACAATGGCTGAGTCACACACAAATTATCAACCTATATCCGACCTGCCATGCATCTCTAAATTAGTGGAGAAATTTGATTACTCAAGAATATTAACGCACCTACAAAAATATTTTTTTACATGACATGGCTTATGTAAAAAAACATTCTACTGAGCATGCATTACTTCAGTTAAACAATATTACTTTAACTGCAATGGACCAGAGAACGTTTGCCCTTGGGGTCTTTCTAGACTTCAGCAAGGCTTTCGATACCTTCAATCACAGTGTTCTGATTGCCAAATTAAATAGATATGGTGTGGAGGATATTGCCCTGAATTGGTTCAAAAATGATTTATTAAATAAAAAACATTATGTATTCTTGAATGGTCACTCAAGGCTCAATCTTGGGCCCTTTATTATTTTTGATTTATATAAATGACTTAGCTTTATCCTGTAAACATCTCCTTCCTGTTTTATTTGCTGATGACACCAATCTTATTGCAACTCACAATGATTTCAATTATTTGATTGATTGTGTGAGCGATGATTTATCTAGTATGTCCAAATGGTTTCAACTTTACACTCAAATTAACACTCAATGTAAAGAAATGTACCTTTGTAATCTTTTGCAACATCACCAAGTCTTACCCCAAAAAGCAAGCAAAATTATACATTAATGGAGCAGAAATCATCCAAGTTAAGACCCCCATACTCTTGGAAATATGAGCAGACGAAAGACTTCATTGGACTTACACATAAACCATGTTTGCAAAAGATCAACAAAGATGATGGGCATATTAAGAAAAGTGTGTCCATTATTCCATCTTTCTGCCCATTAACCTTATATCATAGTTTTTTTCCCTTATTTGAACTATTGTAGTATGGTCTGGGCAGCTACATATCCTACGCATCTCAAGAAATTATGTTCTATTCAGAAGAGGTTCTTATGATTCATCTCACATTTAAACAGATATGCTCCGTCAACACCACTAATTACAAAGTATTCTCTTCTACCAATTCACGAACTAAGTAACTATCAGATTTGTTTGTTTATTCACAAGTTTATTTACAGAAACCAAGATCTCCCACTTTTCAAAAATTTCTTTACTTTCACTTATAAGTACATTCTCACCACACTAGACACAGTAATAATCTCACTTTATATATACTCTTTACCCGCACATCACACCATCAGTTTAATATTTCCTATAGAGATCCCATGCTGTGGACTGGTCTACCTCCTTCCCTAAGATCCATATCCTCCTATTCACTCTTTAAAAGCAGCTAAAAATGCATCTTAACTTTTCTTGAATTTCCTGCCCTCTCCATATCCCACATCCTTACTCTGTCCTTTTTTTATGATTTCAATTTTAAGTTTTTTTTAATTTGTTTCTATTGTATTTATCTGTTACTGATCACTTTGTTCTCTAGCTGCTCATATAACCTTGATTATGTATTTATCTCCTTTTTTCCCTCTATGTTTATTTGGTAGCCATAGAAATTGTTCTTTTTTAATTAGTGACAGGGGTGGAACTTATGTTCAAGCCAGTTGGCTTCATTCCCCCCTTGCACCGTCAAAAATGTGCATGTGCTAAATAAATAAACCTTCAACCCTTCATTTCAAATTGATTCCTTTATTTATTCCCTTGTAACATCCCCATTTCTTAGTTTTATTGAATTATTTTGATGAGTGATTGTATAGTCATTGAATGAATGTATATGTAATGTTTTTATTTTCTGTGTCGGACCCCAGGAAGACTAGTCTTGCCTTGACAAAAGCTAATGGGGATCCAAATAAACAATAATCAATGAACAATAAGCAGAAAAATAAAGTCATGCACCCACCTGTTGGCAATTTACTGTGACCAGTTAAAGGTGGGGTAGGCAGGATTTTGTTAAAGAAGCATCTTTTTTGTGGTGTATATACAAAAAAGCTTTTAATATCAGTCAATAGCTATTAGTTATTGCTGACATTTGGTAATATAATGATATCGCTGTGTTTTGTTCTGCAAACACAGTGATTCTGCTGGTATTCTGTTGGCATCTACATGAGCACTGATGCTTTTTACTTTCATGTTGACTGGGCCCCATTTGTAATCATTTTATTTTATTTGTATAGCACTTTTCATACATAGGAGTAGCACAAGGTGCTTTACAGAATGATAAGATAAAAATAAGAAAAAAAAACCCTCCCTCCCACGCCCACACACAGATACACGATCACTTACACACGCACACCCACCCACCCACCTACCCACACACAAACATACACACACAGGACAGTGCTTGGTTGTTTTGTTTTGCATTTTGTCATTTCGTCATGGCTTTGTACTGAGGGTCCCGGTGAGGAAGAACGCATGAAGAGACACTGGAGCTAGGAACTAAAAGATTAAAACACATAAAATAATGTTTTAAATAAAATCAGTTAAACGCTAGGAACTAAAAGATTAAAACACATAAAATAATATTTTAAATAAAATCAGTTAAACGCTAGGAACTAAAAGATTAGAACACATAAAATAATATTTTAAATAAAATCAGTAAAACGCTAGGAAATAAAAGATTAAAACAAATAAAAATAATGTTTTAAATAAGATCAGTTAAACGCCAGACTAAAAAGGTGTGTCTTTAGCCTCTTTTTAAAAATATCAACAGTCTCTGCGGCCCTGAGGGTCTCTGGCAGGCTGTTCCACCGGTAAGGGCCGTAATGGCTGAAGGCAGCCTCACCGTGCGTCTTTGTCGTGGTTCGTGGGACAGTTAAAAGGCCGGTACCAGAGGACCTCAGGGTCTGCAAGGGCTGATATGCTAAAAGCAGATCAGATAAATAAGACGGCTCAAGACCATTAAGACATTTATAAACCAGCAAAAGAATCTTAAAATCGATCCTGAAGCGGACGGGGAGCCAATGCATTGATTTCAAAATGGGTTTAATGTGCTCCCGCCCTCTGGTCCTCGTCAGCACACGAGCGGCTGAGTTTTGTAGTAATTGTAAGCTACTAATGCTTTTTTTGGGAAGACCAGAGAGCAGGGCATTACAATAATCTAGGCGACTCGAAATAAAAGCATGCATGAGCACCTCCGTGCTGGCCTGAGATAGAAACGGGCGGACTCTGGCTATATTCTTGAAATGGTAAAAACCTATCTTCGTGAAGTGAGCTCACAGTCAAAAATAACACCCAGGTTCTTAACACATTGTGAGGGTTTAAAATCTTGTAGTTTTGGTAAAAGTTTCTCTCTCAGGCCTTCAGGACCAATGACTAAAACCTCTGTTTTATTCTGGTTGAGTTGGAGGAAATTATCTGCCATCCATGACTTAAGGCATTTTAAGTATTTGGGCTCTATTTTCGTGCCTCACCGGCGACGCGGCGCATGCGCGGCGTAAGTCAGGTCCGCCGCGCCCACAAGGCGTTCCCAAGCACAATTTGGTATTTTGGTGAGCGGTGCAGCCCGGCGTAAGTATCCCCCCTCCCTAACTCAGCTCCTCCCAGCGGCGTAAGTCATAGCGAGGGAGGAGAGAGGGCGTGGAGTGGGTTTAACACAGCCGAGACCTGTTTTCACCAATCACATCAGCTCCTCTCCTTGCCTTTAAATCCGCCACCGGCGAGGCGTATTACAATTTTCATGAAGTAGTCAAGGAGATCAAGAGATGTCTGAAGACAGTTATGCCACACGATGGCGACAAAGGGCAGCTCCTCAACAAGTGTCACTGTAAGCGCTGCATTGGGCGTCCTCCACACTCTCTCATATGAGCACAGATGGATTTGGTGTGTGTAATGTTTGACCCACTAGTAAGACAAACACCCTTTTCCACAAATAAAGACACTCACATAAAGTTGCTCATATTCAAACCTCACGTGACAGAGGTGGGTTGAGCGCACAGATCACAACATAAATTCCAATAATGGCATTAAAATCGGAACCTTCTGTGCGTAAATGATGCATCGCGCTCCATGGCCTGGCTCTTTCTTTCATAGATGTTGGCATATAAAATAAATTTGGCTCACAAAACTGAATATTATAATATCCGTATGTCGGCTTAAAGTAGATAACGCATCTGAGCACTGAAACAAATCATCTGTTCAGCCGCTGCTGCAGCAGGACAGAGAGAGGACACGGAGACGTGTCCAGGTCGAGCTGTGCGAGAAATAAGAGGAAGAGGAAGAAAGAAAAGGAGGGAGACAAATTACATATCTTGTTAACTTCATCATGTGTGTCTATTTACTAGATATTTAATTTAATTTAATGCGGTTTCAGCTGTGTTGATTCGGTCAGGTTGTGTGTCCAAACGCGTGCCAAACGCGCTCATCAGATTAGATATAGATCAGAATATATCTATATAGATCTAAATGTATGTGCTGACTCAGATTAATAGTTGTTGATGATTATTTATTGCACTGAAATGTGCCTGACACTGTGGAAACCTGCCGGTGAGGCATCGTTGACGTATGCTGATATGCCGCCGGTCTACCAAAATACTACTAGACCAGCTGCGTTCCGCCTGCGCTGAAAGCTGACCAGGTTTGAATCGGCAAGCTTTCAGCGCACTTTACACACTGGTGGCGAGCACGAAAATGTCACTGCGCCCGCTGATTCTGTCGACACCTCCCCCTGCCATGCCACCACGCCCAGCTTGGCGGATCTCGGCTCGCCTCCGTGCGCCTCATTCCACGAAAATACCAAACTGGCTATACACCGGGCTGCGCCAGACGAAAAATACAACTGCGCGGGGCTCGCCGCCCTCTGCCGCCTCACGGGCGTACACGAAAATAGAGCCCTCAATCTGCATTATATAGAATAGAATAGAATAGAATAGAATATTCCTTTATTGATCCCCCATGGGGAAAATTTTTTTGTCACAGCAGCATCACAGACAAGACAGAAAGTGCAAAATGCAGTTATAACAATAAGGGTCCTAATATTAAGAACTTAATAAATGTAATAATTAAGAAAAAAAAAAAAAAAAAAAAAAAAAAAAAAAAAAAATTGAAAAGAGAAAAGGGAGAAGAAAAAATAAAGCTTTCTACAATATACACAATTTAAATGCCATAAAAAAAGTGGTGGTGTAAATCCAGTTTTGTTACTGTTCATTGTAAAGTCTTATTGCAGAGGGGAGGAATGATCTGCGGTAGCGCTCCGTCCTGCAGGGTGGGAGTCTCAGTCTGCTGCTGAAGGAGCTGCCTAAAGCCCCCACAGTCTGGTGCAGTGGGTGAGAGGGATTGTCCATGATGGATATAAGCTTTGTTAACATCCTCCTCTCACCCACCTCCTCCAGGGAGTCCAAAGAGCAGTCCAGGACAGAACCGGCCCTCCTGACCAGTCTATTCAGTCTCTTCCTGTCCCTCTCGGTGCTCCCTGCCCCCCAGCAGACCACTGCATAGAAAAGTGCAGATGCTACCACAGAGTCATAGAAAGTCCTGAGCAGAGTCCTGCACACTCCAAAGGACCTCAGTCTCCTCAGCAGGTGGAGACGACTTTGGCCCTTCTTGTACAGAACGTCTGTGTTTGTTGACCAGTCCAGTTTGTTGTTGAGGTGGACACCCAGGAATCTGTAGGACTCCACCATCTCGATGTCCAGACCCTGTATGTTCACTGGAACTGTTTGAGGTGTCCCCCTCCTGCGGAAATCCACAACCATCTCCTTTGTCTTACTGGCGTTGAGCTGGAGGTGGTTTGTGCCACACCAGTTGACAAAGTCAGTGATGACAGTCCTGTATTCCCGCTCGTCCCCTGACGATACACATCCGACGATGGCTGTGTCATCAGAGAACTTCTGGAGGTGACAGCTCCCAGAGTTGTAGCTGAAGTCTGAGGTGTACAGGGTGAAGAGGAAGGGGGAGAGCACTGTCCCCTGTGGAGCCCCCGTGCTGCAGACCACCATGTCCGATACACAGTTCTGAAGCCTCACAAACTGTGGTCTGTCGGTGAGGTAGTCCACTGTCCATGCGGCTAGGTGACAGTCCACTCCCGCCCGCTCGAGCTTCCCCCTGAGCAGTGAAGGCTGGATGGTGTTGAACGCACTGGAGAAGTCAAAAAACATGACCCTCACAGTGCTGCCAGTGTTCTCCAGGTGAGCCATGGACCTCTGCAGCAGGTAGATGACTGCGTCATCCACCCCGATGTTCGGCTGGTACGCAAACTGCAGAGGATCCAGATGAGAGCTCACCAGGGGGCGGAGGTTCCTCAGCACGATCCTCTCCAGAGTCTTCATCAGGTGAGAAGTGAGGGCCACAGGTCTGAAGTGGTTGGGCTCCCTAGGGTGCGCTGTCTTGGGGACAGGAAAAACGCAGGAAGTCTTCCACAGTGTTGGGACCCTCTCCAGACTCAGGCTCAAGCTGAAGATGTGCAGTAGCACCTCACAGAGCTGGTCTGCACAGTCTTTCAGGAGTCTGGGGCTGATGCCGTCAGGACCCGTGGCTTTCCTTGGCTTCATCTTCCTCAGCTCACTTCTCACCTGGTCAGCTGTTATGGAGAGGCTGGGGGTGGTGCTGGAGGGGGTGGTGGAGGATGAGTGGAGGGGGGTTGATGGTGTCGGTGCCATGGGACTGAGGTGGTGTGAATAAGAATAAGAAGAAGGAGGAGCAGCAGACGGGTCGTTGGTTAGATGAGTCGGGGGAGGAGTGGGAGTAGAGTCAAATCTATTGAAGAACAGATTCAGCTCGTTGGCCCACTCCCTGTCTCCTGCTTCAGATCCCCTCTCATGGCCCCTGCTATGACCTGAGATGGATTTTAGGCCTCTCCAGACCTCCCTTGCGTTGTTCTGTTGCAAAAGGTTTTCCATCTTGGTCTTGTAGCTGGCCTTTCCCTCTCTGATCTTCTTCTTCAACTCCTTCTGCACCCTCCTCAGCTCCTCCTTGTCCCCAGATTTAAAGACCCTCCTCTTCTCCTTCAGGAGGACTTTCAGTTCCGGGGTCACCCAGGGTTTGCTGTTGGAGAAACACCGTACTTTCCTGGTGGGTACGGTGTTCTCAACACAGAAGTTAATATAGTCCGTGATGCAGTCAGTCATGGTGTCGATGTCATCACCATGTGGGCCGCACAGTACATCCCAGTCTGTGGTCTCAAAACAGTCCTGCAGCGCCTCAGTGGCCTCCTCAGACCACCTCTTAACATACCTGATGGTGGGGGGTTGTTTCTTCACCATAGGTATGTAAATGGGCTGCAGTCTCACCAGGTTGTGATCTGAGCGGCCCAGCGGGGGAAGCGGGGAGGAGGTGTATGCATCCTTGGTGTTTGCATACAGTAAGTCCAGAGTTTTATTGTCTCTTGTTGGGCAGTTTACATACTGGCTGAAGGTAGGGAGAGTGGAGGACAGCGATGCATGATTAAAGTCTCCAGAGATGATGATCAGAGACTGAGGGTGTGATGTCTGTAGCTTGGACACTTCGTTATGGAGGAGTTCACAGGCTGCAGCAGCCTCAGCCGAGGGGGGGATGTAAACAGTTAACGCGATGACGTGCGAAAATTCCCTCGGCAGGTAATAAGGCCGCAAACTCACAGCCAGCAGCTCAATGTCCTTAGAGCAGAGCTGCTCTTTAACACTGACGTGCCCAGCATTACACCATCTCTCATTCACATACACCGCTATCCCGCCTCCTTTCTTCTTACCACTCTCCCTCACGCTCCGGTCCGCTCTGACGAGGTGAAATCCGTCCAAAGTTACGAGCGGGTCCGGAGTGAGTTCGTTCAGCCATGACTCCGTGAACATCATGAGGCTACATTCCCTATACTCCCACTGCAGCCGAGTTAGCGCTGTGAGCTCTTCCATCTTGTTGGGGAGAGACCTCACGTTTCCCATGATGATGGACGGGACAGTTGGTTTGTAACGCCTCCGCTTTGCCCGATGCTGAACTCCAGCCCTGCATCCTCTCCTTCTCCTGCGGAGCTTAGCGGGGATGTCCGGTCTCTCCCACGAAGGTGGCCGGGCTTGGCGCAGCGCCAACAGCTGTTCACGGCTGTAAACAATGCGGCCGCTGAAAGGGTCGCCGGTCGCGGACTTAAAAACTCCGAAAAATAAAAGAAAACAAAGTGCTAGAGTCATGAACTGCACATCCATGGCTGGAATATGCAGACACGACACTGCTGAATGAAGAGAAAGATAAAAAGGTGCAAAAAAACAACAATAAGAACGCAAAAACGTGAAGTCGTTGAGGAGCTGCTGTGACTTGCTGCCACTCTCAGGGCGCCCGAGTCATATCTGGATTTAATTGAAACAATGTGAGCGAGCAGGAGCGCCTTTGTTGGCGGGGCTTGCTGGAGCAGAGAGGGAGGGGAGAGAAGGAGCTGAGGGGAAAACTGGTTGGGAGGGTTAGTGTTTACATTCAAGATTTCTCCCAAAAACTGTCACTTCCTCAGATCCTTCCTACCCCACCTTTAACTTGATAAGCATATTTTTGGACTGTAGGAGCAATCTAGGGTACCTAGAGAGAACCCATGCAAACACAAGAAAAGTTTCTCTGGACCTGAGCCCATTTAAGATGGACTGAGGGGAAGAAGAAAACTGTCCTGGGGCCGATTTACAATTTGACATTCTTTTTGGAACTCATATGCGCTATGTCGTCTGCAGAGAAACCACCCAGCTTGAGTTGATGTCATGGGTAGCTTCCACATCTGTGAAGGCTTCATTATGCTGAACAAGATTGACAGGTTTAGGAGCAACATCTGCTGCCACCCAGACAATTTCCTTTTTAGGGAAGACCTTAATATTTCAGCAAGACAACGACAAACCACATTCTGGAGGGATTACAACAGCATGGCTCTGTAGTAGAAGAGTCCTGCCGATAAACTGGCCTGCCTGAAGTTCTGACTTGTCCCCCATTGAAAACATTTGGAGCATCATGACACCAAAAATAGGACAAAGGAGACCCTGAATGTTGGAGCAGCTGAAATCCTGTTTCAGGCAAAAATGGGACAACATTTCACTTTCAGACTTCAGGACCTGGTCTGCTGGGTTCTCCCAGATTTACAGAGGGTTTGAAAAGGAGAACTGATTACCAACAAAGTTAAAATCCATCCTCAACTATGAAAGACAGATGGCGGCACTGAGCCACTGAAAGAATGAGACCATTATTTGATGCATTAAGTCTTTGCAGCCATTGATGTTGATAAACTGGAAACTGCATGAATTGTCTAAAACTCATTCCACGTTCAAAGCGATCACTTGTACCAACAGCAGTCTTCTTCATACCTAAGAGTGTCCGGCCTCCAAGGTAAACCTTTTAGCAGCTTCAGTCCTGAGTCTCTCGGATGGTTGTAGCTCAGATCCAGCTTTCTTAGATGAGGGGGCTTTGAGGTCAGCGCTGATGTTAGAAAGGCAAACCCTTTCTCTGTGATTAGACATCCTGACAGGCTGAAAAATGACAGAACAGCAAATATGGGCAATCATTTAAGAGTGCTGAAGAGATTTAAAATGACCCTCTACAGAGCATTACTTTCATTGTCAAACTTGTTCATACTGTTTAATTTGTATTTGAATAACTCTGACGCTGTTTCTGGTAGGTAGTTTGAAAAGTGAAATGGTGATCAAATAGCCAAGTTAATGAACCCTGACCTGAGAGATTCCAGTGTACAGTTAGGACTCTGCAGTCCAGCAGTCAAAACCCTTACTCCTGAATCCTGCAGGTTGTTGTTGCTCAGGTCTAGCTCTTTTAGACTAGAGGGCTGGGAGCTGAGGACTGAAGACAGAGCTTTACAGCTTCTTTCTGACAGGTTGCAGTTGCTCAGTCTACAGAAAAGGGAAAGGGAAGATTTAACATTTTTTGGTGTAAACAAAACTAGTTCAATAGTGACAAATTCATCTCTTGACTCACAGAGCTTTCCTGGAGGCTTTGACCACTGGCAGCAGCCTAAGAAGAGCCTCCTCTGAATCAGAGTATTTCTTCAGGTCAAACACATCCAGATCTTTTTCTGATGACAGTAAGATAAAGACCAGAGCTGACCACTGAGCAGGAGACAGTTTCTCAGTGGAGAGACTTCCTGATTTTAGGGACTGTTGGACCTCCTCCACTAGAGAATGGTCATTTAGTTCATTCAGGCAGTGGAACAGATTGATGCCTTTCTCTGCAGACAGATTCTCACTGATCCTATCCTTAATGTATCTGATAGTTTCCTGATTGGTGTCTAAGCTATTTTCTGTCTGTGTTGGCTGGCCTTGCAGTAGATTCTGGTTTGCCTCCGATGAAAAGCCCAGAAGGAAGCGGAGGAAAAGGTCCAGGTGTCCATTTTCGCTTTGTAAGGCCTTGTCCACGGCACTCTGGTAGAAGTGCGCCTTTGCAGATTTGTCTTTTTTTGTGGCTGACTTCTGGGGGAGTGGTTGATCTTCTTCCATCAGGTTGACTCCAGAGTTGGTGAAGGTCAGGTGGACATGAAGAGCAGCCAGAAACTCCTGAACGCTCAGATGGACAAAGCAGTACACTTTTTCCTGGTACAGTCCTTGTTGCTCAATAAAGATCTGTGTGAACACTCCTGAGTACACTGCGGCTGCCCTGATATCTATGCCACACTGTGTCAGGTCTGATTCATAGAAGACCAGGTTATCTTTCTGCAGCTGCTCAAAAGCAAGTTTTCCCAAAGACTCAATCATCTTCCTGCTCTCCGGACTCCAATGTGGATCAGTCTCAGCTTCTCCATCATACTTGATGTTCTTCATTTTGGACTGAACCACCAGGAACTGAATATACATCTCAGTCAGGGTCTTTGGGAGTTCTCCCCCCTCTCTGGTCTTTAGCACACTGAGAACGGTAGCAGTGATCCAGCAGAAGACTGGGATGTGGCACATGATGTGGAGGCTTCGGGATGTTTTGATGTGGGAGATGATCCTGCTGGCCTGCTCCTTATCTGTGAATCTCTTCCTGAAGTACTCCTCTTTCTGAGGGTCAGTGAACCCTTTGACCTCTGTCACCAGGTCAATACACTCAGAAGGGATCTGATGGGCTGCTGCAGGTCGAGTGGTTATCCAGAGGCGAGCAGAGGGAAGCAAGTTCCCCCTGATGAGGTTTGTCAGCAACATGTTCACCGAGGTGGACTCTGTAACATCAGTCAGGATCTCATTGTTGTGGAAGTCAAGAGGAGGTCGACACTCGTCCAGACCGTCAAAGATGAACAGAACCTTGAAGTGTTCAAAGCTGCAGATTCCTGCTTCTTTGGTTTCAGTAAAGAAGTGATGAATAAGTTCTACCAGGCTAAGCTTCTTTTTAAGCATATTCAGTTCTCTGAAATTGAATGGAAATGTGAAGTGGATGTCCTGGTTGGCTTTGTCTTCAGCCCAGTCCAGAGTCAATTTCTGTGTTAAGACTGTTTTCCCAATGCCAGCTACTCCCTTAGTCATCACTGTTCTGATTGGTGCAGCTCTGCCTGGTAAGGGTCTAAAGATGTCCTCACATCTAATGATTGTTTCTGGTTGGACTGGTTTCCTGGATGCTGTTTCAATCTGTCTGACCTCATGTTCACTATTGACCCCTCCAGGCCCCCCCTCTGTGATATAGAGTTCTGTGTAGATCTGGTTCAGAGGGGTTGGGTTGCCTGCTTTGGCAATCCCCTCAAACACACACTGGAACTTCTGCTTCAGGTTTGATCGGAGTTTATGTTGATAAACTGGAACAGGATGTTCTGAATGGACACAAGAAGGGATTTATTCCCACACTGTTATTAAGGGTTCTGTCAGCTTCATTATTAAGGGTCTTACTGTATTCAAAGGAATCCACTCACTTCTCTGGAGACAGTCAGCAAGCTCTATCTGGTTCATCGTCCTGAGGAAGTGCTGCATGATCTTCAGAAGAGCATTTCTACTGCTCTTCCTCTCCTCTCCGTCCTCATCATTTTCTTCATCAAACATCCCCTTATCTTTCCACTGGCTGCCAGTACTCTTACAAGAATTGGGATCCAGATCCTTCTGAAATTTCTTTAGCTCTTTCTTCACAAAGGTGACAATTTTGTATTCCAGTTTCTGAAAAAGAATGCATTATAAACACCACATTGTATCATTTATGACAGGCTAAGAATCCACGCATCTTGTGGAGCACACAGATTATCCGAATAAGAATAGAAATTTAAAATGATCTAAGGAAGTTGTACAGACCTGAAATATGGTGTCCAAGTGATTTTTGGACTGACTGGTAGAGATGTCAGAGGTCTGGTCAACTCTGAAAAGGAACCATAAGATTTAGGGTCACATTGTTGGCTGTTTCAGCTGTGAAATCAAACTGCAAAAGATTTATGAAGTGGGTTAGGGTTACTAAGTGAATCAGATGACTTCTTGTGGTGGCAAAATGTGTTACAAGTGTATTGAGGTATTTTTGGTGCAAAAGGTTTGTGCATCTGTAACATGTAATTTGTAGTTGTGTACAGTGATTGTGTATCTGTATTAGTAAATGTGAAATCTGCACTCTATGAGTTGTGTACTTGTAGATTTTTTGTGTTTAGTTGTAATTTTTTTTTTTATTTCCACAAGTACAACACAACATTTACACATTCACTGTTGACCTGGAAGCCACAACCTCTAACAACTACTCCCTCAATAAAACCTTTCAGCTTGGTCCATTTGGATATCATGTGCCCAGCCTCCCACAAGGTGGGGAAGAAATCTTTCTGTGGGTGGGGGCTAAAGACTTCTTGGCTCAGCATCCTTTTCCTGAGCCAGATCTAGAAGTGCTGACCTCATCCTACAAGATGCAGTGGTACCTACGTTGGTAGTCCAGAAATGGATCCCAAGTCCAATACAATAGAAAGGTTTTGTCCTTCAATGCTGTGGAGAAAGCTTTAAAGAGAATAATACTAGTCACAGTTTGTTTCCACTGATTGGCCCTCATTTATCAATCTTGCGCAGATCTGAGAGCAGGATTCATCATACGAAAGGAACACACGTGAGATTTATTTTTATTTAGTTTTTGGTTTTTTTTGTGCAATATGGCATTACAGTGACAGTGCAAGACATACAACAAACAACAGCATTTGTGGTTTTGTGTGTGTGTGTGTGTGTGTGTGTGTGTGTGTGTGTGTGTGTGTGTGTGTGGTGTGTATTATATATGTGAATAATAATGATCAAAAATATTACAATTGTCAGACAAGCAAATGGAAATTATAATATAATAATAATAATAACAATAATAATAATAATAATAATAATAATAATAATAATAATAAGAAGAAGAAGAAGAAGAAGAAGAACAACAACAACAACAACAACAACAAAAACAACAATATTCAATATTAATAAAGATGGTGAATAACAATAATAATAATATGGGTGGAGGGGGGTCTTGAAATTTGTGGACTACCTCGGGTCCCTTTCCACTCGCAAGAGACCTGCCTGCATTCCCCAACCCCTGCATTTAGTCTTTATTATTTACTTAATATACTTTATAATTATTTATTTATTTATTTATTATTATTATTTTTATTATTATTATTATTATTATTATTTTTCTTCCCCCTTTTTTAAAAAAATTTCTCTGATATATGTGCTTTCTAATGTTGTGCATTAAAACCGAGGAGAGGGGTTGTCCTGAACTATAATTTGATGTGATTGAGACCCCTTTCCTCTTCCTAATCTAGTATGATGTGCAATAAAAAAGGTGATGTGCCATCTGAAGACAGTCCAGGGCGGAGAACTGGGGGAGGGGGGAGGCCGGGAGGGCAAGGAGATCACAGGTCATGGCCTAACAGGCGCGACCCAGCAGGGACCCGAGCAGTAAATAATAACTGTAAATGTAAGTATATAAATAAATAAGTATAAATAATAATAGAAAATGACAATGACAATAATATTCATCATAATATGTGTAGTAATATGTAGTAAAAAAAATAAAATAATAATAATAATAAATAGATAAATAAATAAAATAAAAATAAAAAATAAAAATTGGGAATGAAAGTGTCAGAGAACTGAGATGGATGATGTTGGCAGATTATGATTGTAGAAAAGTGATGAATGATAACCAGGTAGAGTTATGATTATTGTCAGAGGAGTTTGTATTTTCTAAGGAGATGTAGTCTGTGAGCAGGTTTTTCCAGTGTATGATGTGTATGGAGTTCCGAGACTTCCAGTTCATAAGGATAGTTTTCCTGGCGACCGTCAGCGCCACTAGAAGTGAACGTGTGTGTGTTTTGTCAAGTTATAATGTAGATAGGTCTCCTAATAAACAGAGGGAAGGGGAAAGTGGGATGTGGCAGCCCATGATCTGGGATAATGTTTCTGTAATGTTTCTCCAGAAGTGGTGAACAGGTGTGCAGTGCCAGGTTGCATGAATATAGGTATCAGTGCAGTTTAGTGAGCAGTGTGAACAGTTTCCAGATGATGAGAAGCCCATTTTTTGCATTTTGTGTCCAGTCAGATGAGTTCTATGAAGGATTTTGTATTGTATGAGTTGTTGGCATTGGCATTTGTAGTCATGGAGAAAATGTTCTTGCAGATTTGGGGCCAGAAGTCAGCATCAGGAGCAATGGAGAGGTCAGTTTCCCACTTTTCTGAAGGTATGGAGGGTGTTGAATCGGCCTGTGATAATAATTTGTATATTTTAGATAAAAGTTTCTTTGAGGAAGGGATGTTAATGAATTTAGAGGGTAACGGGGGGAGGTCTAAGTTTATATTCTTGTTTTTCATTGTTGATTGGATGGATGATGAAACCTGTAGATATTGTAAGAATTGATGGCTCCTGATGCCAAACTTCTGGACCAGGAGAGAGAATGGGACCAGGGTGTTATTGTTGAAGATATGTTTGAGGTGAGTAATCCCTTTCTCTACCCAGGTGCTGAAGTATAGTGATTGTTTATTGCTGATGAAGTCCGGGTTGTGCCAGATCGGGGTGAAAAGCGACGGTGCCAAAGTGGAGTTAGTAATGCTGTGGAATTTCCACCAGGCTGTCAGGGCCGATGATATTGTGGGGTTTTGGAAACAGGGGTGTTTTTTGATAGTTTGACTAAGGAATGGTAAGTCTGAGAGATGGATGTTTTTGCTAACTATTTGTTCTACGTCTAACTCTAACCAAGTGCTATCTGACTGGGTGGGGTGGGTCCATTTGTAGATGTATTGAAGTTGATTTGCTAGTGAGTAATAATGAAAATTTGGAGCATTGAGTCCGCCTAAACTTTTTGATTTTTGAAGAGTGGCCAGTTTGATTCGTGGGGGTTTATTTTTCCAGTAAAATTTGTTGATGGATGAATCGAGGGAATGAACCCAGGTGAGAGGTGGATGAGTGGGAATCATTGAACAAAGGTAACTGATTTTGGGGAGGATTGTCATTTTAACTGTTGCTATTCTGCCTATAATAGATAATGGGAGGTTCATCCATCGTTGGAGATCGTCATTGATTGTTTTTAGGAGTGGAGTGAAATTCAGGTTGATCAACTCTGACAGCCTGGGGGAAATGTGGATGCCTAAGTAGGTGATATGACTTGTGCAGAAGGGGATGGGTGTTGTAAGGGCTGCCACAGCCAGACTGTTGGTGTTTAATGGGAGTATGGAGGATTTGTTCCAGTTTATTGAGTAGTCAGAGAGAAGGGAGAAGGATTTGATGACTCTGATTACTTCTTGTAGTGATGATTCTGGATTCTCCATAAAAAGTAAAATGTCATCTGCTTAGAGGCTGATTTTATGATGCATGTTGGGGGTTTGGATTCCTGTAATGAGGGGGTTCTGACGGATGGCTGCTGCTAGGGGTTCAATGAAAATGGTGAACAAAGAGGGAGAGAGTGGGCAACCTTGCCTGGTCCCCCTGTGAAGAGTGAAGCTTTGTGAGGTTTGTCCGTTAGTAATAACTGTGGCTGTAAGTGAGGTGTAAAGTGTTCTAATCCAGTTGATAAATGATTCCCCAAAGCCGAAACTGTGTAGGGTGTGGATGAGGAATGACCAGTTAACTCTGTCAAAGGCTTTTTCTGCATCCAAGGTGGCTATGATTGAACTATGGTTATGTGTGGTTGAGTGGTGCATTATATTGAACAGTCTGCGTGTGTTATTGGATGAGTTTCTTCCTTTAATAAATCCTGTTTGATCCGGGTGAATAATGGATGGAATAATTTTTTCTAATCGGTGAGAAAGTGCCTTGGTGATAATTTTAATGTCAACGTTGAGAAGTGAAATGGGGCGGTAACTTGAAGGCAGGGTGGGGTCTTTGTTTGGTTTAAGAAGCAGTGAGATGGATGCTGTATTCATGTTGGGTGGAAGTCTGGAGGTTTGTTGTGTTTCTGTTATCATTCTGTGGAAAAGTGGGGCTAAGATGGACCAGAAGTGTTTGTAGAACTCAGCAGGGAAGCCATCAGGACCGGGTGCTTAATTGTTAGGCATTCTGTTGAGGGCAGATTGGATTTCTTCGGTTTTTAGGGGTGTGTCTAATGTGTTTTTTTGTTCAGGGGAGAGTTGGGGTAAATTGAGGCTGGTGAGAAATAGTCTGATGTCTTCTTCCTTAGGGGTGTTATCTGAGGAGTATAGGTTGACATAAAATTCTCTGAATATTTGATTTATTTCATCGGGTGAGTTTGTTGACTTCCCTGCTGAGTTCATGATGGTGGAGATTGTGGATTTTTCTTTTATTTCTTTTGATTTGGTTTGCAAGATATTTGCCGGATTTGTTATTGTGATGGAAGTTTTCCTGTCGGAGCCTGCTGATCATGAAGTTAGTTTTCCTGTTCAGAATTTCATTTATTTCTAGTTTATATTTTCTTAATTTCTTCTCGTTTTCTTCTGTTGGATTAGTTGCATTGACAGTTTCTAGCTGTTTGATTTTTTCTTGTAATTCAGATTCTTGTTTGTTTTCTTTCTTTTTCTTATAGGCTGAATATGAAATGATAATTCCTCTGATGACTGCTTTACCTGTTTCCCATAGAAGTGTGGGGGATGGCTTTGGGGAATCATTTATTTCCAGGAAGGATACCCACTCTCTTTTGATGAGGTTGTTAAATTCAGGATCTTTCAGGAGGGATGTGTTAAAGCGCCATCTGGTGACTGGTTTTTGTGGTCTTGATGGGTTCCATTTGAATGATACTGGGGTATGATCACTGATAATGATGGGGTGGATTTGATGATCAAAAATATTTGACATGATTGAATTGCTGGTAAGGAAGAAATCGATGCGTGAATATGAATGATGTACTGATGAAAAAAATGAGAATTCTCTGACAGTTGGGTGTTGTAGGCGCCAACCGTCGCCAGGACCAAAATCACTCATGAACTGGATTATTGTTTGAGTGGACTGCCAGATGCGTGTATTGCTTGATGTGTTAGATCTGTCTATTGATGGGTTTAATACTGTGTTAAAATCGCCGCCAATTATTATTGGGGAGTCAGAAAAGTTGGATATGGATGAAAAGAATTTATGAAAAAAAGACGGGTCATCAGTGTTTGGGCCATATATATTACCAATTGTCAGTGGGCTATTATTGATTGTTATGTTAATGATGACAAAACGTCCTTCTGGGTCTATTATGGTGGTATTGTGTATAAATGATATTGATTTACTGATTAAAATACAAACTCCTCTTTGTCTTTTATTGAAATGTGATGAGAATGAGTGAATAAACTGAGATGATTGTAATTTGATGTTGTCTGATTCTGAGAGATGTGTTTCCTGTAGTAAACAAATATCTGCATGGAGTGAGGTGAGATGATTAAATACTTTATTTTTCTTAGCCTGAGTACCAATGCCACGGATGTTCCAAGAAACGAATTTTATTGCTGACATGTTGGGTGACTTTGATCAAAAGGAGAGGGATTCATTATGCTGAGTGAGTGAATGTGTGTATGCGTGTGTGTGTGTGTGTGAGTGTGAGAGAGAGAGCGAGAGAGAGAGACTAGACAAGTGAATACAAAACAAAAAGGAACATATACAGTAATGTTTACACACATACGAACAGCAAACAAAACACAAACGTATAACAATAAAGAACACCGAGAGCGCTGCGTATCAGAGCGCATAGAGTGCGGGGCGAGACGTTGGTGCGTGACTATTTATGATTGTCCTTATCAGATATTGCAAACAACGGCGGGAAGGGGGGCAGGGGTCTGTATAGCGGGAGGAGAGAGCGAGAGTGCATGTGTATGAGAAAGGAAAAGAGAGATATCTTGAAGACTTAAACAGGCAACTGGACTGTGTAGAGTTGAGAAGACGTTTCGCCTCTTATCCAAGAAGCTTCTTCAGTTCTAAAAATGCTAGTGTGAGGAGCAGATATTTACTTTGCTGGAGAAAGGGGGAAGATAACGACTGGGTGGAGTTAAAAAGAATGGGTCGTAGAAACCCATCTCTGGGTGTCGCCCCCCCCCCCCCCAAGTCGTTAACCTGAAAGGGTCGTTAGCGACTCCTGTCATGTGACCACATGACTCATGCCCCCTGGGTCATGTGGTTCCAGGTGTGAATGTTTGTGGAGCTTCCTGGGGAGAGAGCTGAGAACAGCATTGTAAGTGCCAGAGAGATTGTGCCTGAGTCCACCCCCTCTGTTCAGAGAAGGTTTCTCCAGCCTGGTAAAGATGGCTTCTTTAACTCCTCTTTCAAACCATCTGTCTTCTCTAGCCAACACCTGGACATTGCTGTCCTCGAAAGAGTGACCCGTGTCCTTTAAGTGAAGGTGGACAGCTGAGTCCTGACCTGAGGAAGTGGCTCTCCTGTGTTGAGCCATGCGCTTGTGAAGCGGTTGTTTCGTTTCCCCAATGTACAGGTCCGAGCATTCCTCGCTGCACTGGACAGCGTACATCACATTACTCTGTTTATGTCTCGGTGTTTTGTCCTTGGGACGGACTAGCTTCTACCTTAGTGTGTTACCAGGTTTGAAGTGAACAGGAATATGGTGTTTGCCAAAGATCCTCTTGAGTTTTTCCGACAGGCCTGCAACGTAAGGGATTACAGTGCTCTTGCGTCTCTCCTCCGTTTCGTGTTCAGTGTTATTTCTCTTTCTGTTCTTTACAAAGGCCCACTTAGGGTATCCACAGGTTGTCAGGGCATTTTTGATGTGCTTCTGTTCCTTTTCCTTACCTTCTTTCTTCGTGGGAATATTCTCAGCCCGGTGGTTGAGTGTTCTGATGACACCCAGTTTGTGCTGTAGAGGATGGTGGGAATCAAAAAGCAGATACTGATCCGTGTGTGTTGGTTTCCTGTACACTTCAACGTTGAGACACCCATCTCAGGGGTAGTATAACCAGGGGGTGATATCCTTGCTGCGGTATAACTGTCCGTTTATGTAAAGTTTGTCCACTGAAATTACTGCTTTCTTTCCTTCTGACATCATTTGTTTGCGAATGGGGAAGAGTTTTTTGCACCTGTCCATGATTTATTTCGGGTATTGATCATTTAATCCATAGTCCGTTCCTTTGAGCTGTTTTCCTTGATGTTTGACCAGTTCTTTCTGTTTAAAGTGTTCGAATTTGGCGACAATCGGGCGGGGTCTGTTGGTGGTGGTGTTTTTCTGTCCTAAACGGTGAACGCGGTGAAATGTGATGTTGTTGACTGTGTCTGCGGGGAGTTTGAGCTGGGATTTCATTAAGTCCTTTACTGATTTCTCTGGGTCTTCTGTGATGTGTTCAGGGATGCCGGAAAATACCAAATTGTCTCTCATACTGCATGCTTGTAAATCCAGAATTGTTTCTTTCATTATTTTATTTTCGGCGGCGGTGGTGGTGGTGAGCTGGGTTGTAACAGAGGTAAGCTGGTCGGTGATGGTATTGACGGTTTTATGGAGGGTTTTGTTTTCCTTGGTGAGTTTTTCGATCTGTCCTTGACTGAATTCTAAGCTCTGACGGAGTGACTGGAATTCTTTGTGTAAAACTTCAATGAGTGCGATTCTGGTGTCGAGTCCGGAGAGTTTCTGGTTTATGGAGATAAAATTTCGCTTACCTCCAAATGATGGGGTGGGCTCAGGGGTGAGGATGGAGATGAGTGTGTGCTGGGTAAGGAACCTGAACAGGGTCTTTTGTAGGCTGGAGAGAAGCTGGATTTTCCGGGGGTGGTTGAAGTGGCCGTATTCATTATGCAGTATTTGGTGAAGTAATAGTCGATGTAGTCCTCTAAAGGGTCCAGGTCGATGATTGAATGAAGTAGTCCGTTAGTGGAGATGGAGCCAAAGTTTATGGGGAGTGAAAAAAAAGAAGAGCTTGCAGAAAAGAAAAATAATGATAATAATTTTAAAGTCCGGAGAGAAAGTTTGTTCTAGCGACTGGTCGCCGCCATGTTGAGTCGCGCACTGTCCGTCACGTGAGTCAGCCTGCCACGTGAGTCAGCCTGCCATTCCCCTTCCCCACACGTGAGATTTATGAAAGGGTTTGTATCTGACCAATCCCAGCATACATATGGTCGGGTCTTGATAAATGCGGCGGCTGAAATCGATCGGCATTTACATGTCATGCCCTTAACTATTCGTGGTTCAGAAGCCTCGCCCACTGAGGTCAAACATGAAAAAGGAGAAATATTACAAAGATGCAAAACTTTTCTGAGCTGAAAGTGGATATCCTCATGTCTGTGGTGGAAACTAACACGGATTTGCTCTTTGGAAGCATCAAAACTGGTATTAAAGCAGTCCAGAAAACTCCTGTCTGGAGCAGGATTATGGGGGCGGTGAACAGCACTGTCACAGAATAGTGGATAAAGTTTGAATAAATCATCATGATTCAATAAGTTGCTCATGATGATAAATTAATATCTCATAGATGTCTCATATTTTTTTATTGCAATGACATAGGGTACGTTGCTCCTATTATTGAAAGTATTTAGTACGTTTTCTGCCGTATGCAAGCTTGATAATTAAGGGCCATAGACACCAAAACCCTGGAGGGCTGGCTGCACAGCGCAAGCCTCAGATTCTGTTGCACCCAAATCAGATTCCCAACGGCCTCTCACTTTACCTGAGTTATCAACATTTAAGTTACAGAGGATCTTGTAAAGCTTCTTTGTGAAAAATTTGAGTTGCATATTATTTACCAATAGAGATTTGATAGGAGAAATAGCCAGGCCTCCAGTGAACTCTTTCAAGTTAGACAAGATAAAGTTCAGAACCTGTAGGAATTTAAAGAAATCCTTATTGGAAACCGTATATTTACTTGTCACTTGTTGGAATGTGAGTTGAATGTCATTTAGCGTGACCATCCTGGAGAGAAGCAATTCTTGTACCTGTCTAATTTCCTGACTTAACGCTAAATGTTCAACATATTCTTTCAAAGCACATTGTCTTTTACTAATGTAGCAGCCCTGTCAGTAGAGGTATACAGTAAATTCTGTAGGGGGATGTTATCTAAAGAGGTAGATAAGCAACTGAGCCAGACAGAATCAGTGTCCTCTATAAAGACTCCAAAATCAGGCAACTGGACTGTGTAGAGTTGAGAAGACATTTTGCCTCTTATCCAAGAAGCTTCTTCAGTTCTAATTATTGCTAGTGTGAGGAGCAGATATTTATCTTACCGGAGAAGGGGACAGACAATACCCAGTTTGTGCTGCAGAGGATGATGGGAATCAAAAAGTAAATATTGATCCATGTGTGTGGGTTTCCTGTACACTTCAATGGTCAGGACTTCCTCAGGTCAGGACTCAGCTGTCCACCTACACTTAAAGGACACAGGTAACTCTTTCGAGGACAGTAATGTACAGGTGTTGGATAGAGAAGACAGATGGTTTGAAAGAGGAGTGAAAGAAGCCATCTTTACCAGACGGGAGAAACCTTCTCTGAACAGAGGGGGGGGGGGGGCACTCAGGCACAATCTCTCCGGCACTTACAATGCTGTTCTTAGCTCTCTTCCCAGGAAACTCCACAAACATTCACACCTGGGACCATATGACTCAGGTGGCATGAGTCATGTGGTCACATGACAAGGGTTGTTAACAACCCTTTCAGGTTAATGACCCTCAGGAGGGAACACCCAGAGATGGGTTTCTACGACCCATTCTTTCAAACTCCTCCCAGTCGTTGTCTGTCCCCTTCTCCAGTAGCAATAACACTAGAAATATACGTCTTCTCAACTCTACACAGTCCAGTTGCCTGATTTTGGAGTCTTCAAGAAAACCATGACCTAGATGAATGAGAATCTACATGGACATGTCCTCTATAAACCATTCCAACAAAAACTGGAACTGTGCAGCCCACAGATAAAATGGAAAAGAAGGTGCAGCCAAGCCACCACCTTTAACAGGTAGACACAGAAAACTGTCTCTCAACCTGGGCCTCTTTTTACACCAAATAAATGAAATAATAGCATTATTTAATTTCGCAAAGACCGTCTTTGACAATACAACTGGCACCATCTGAAAGTAGGACAAGAGACACGGGAGAAGGTTCATTTTAATCAAACGGATACGACCTAAAAGGGACAGGGGCAGGCCACCACCTATCAAGATCTTGTTTTATAGTTTGTTATAGCGGGGCAAAATTTGGTTTATATAAATATTTTAAATATGGTGAGACTTTTATACCTAGATATAAAAAGCCTGCTGGGGACCAGCGAAAAGGTTGTGAGATATTTGGAACTTATGTTTGCGAGTTACAGAGGGGCATGGCTTTAATTTAAAAAAAAAATTCATAACCAGAAAAAGAGCTATAATTATTAATTGGACTGGTCAGTTTCAGGGTAGAATGAGCAGGGGAGCTTAGAAAAATCTAAACGCCTCAGCATATAATGAAATTGTATGCACATGATTATTTAAAGAGATTCCTCTAATAGCAGTGTCTTGTCTTATGGTAGCAGCTAGAGGTTCCATAGCTAGCGCAAATAACAGAGGGCTCAGGGGGCATCTCTGCCTGGTGCAGACCCAGCAGCATGGACGGGCATTGGGGGGCTGTGCCCGCCCTGGACTAAAAGTAAAATCTTCTATTAATCTGATTTGGGGTTTGTTTTTTCCGTCAGAGTAGTCATCTTCAGTTAATCCCATCTTTCTTCACATGTCAATCAGTCCAACCAATTCAATCGATCGAAGCCAACATGTTAGACAATTACAGCTAAAGGGGGGCAGGCCGCTTACCGAGTGAAAGTTCAAACATTCATAGACGAACTTGGTGCAGCAGAAGGCGGACTCCCCAGCAAGCATAAAAAAATGGTTATAAGAGTTTTTTTGTTTGTCAAAAAAGGACGGCTAACACTGACAGGAGCAAGCAGGAAGTAGCGGCAGCGCCACACAGCTCCAGTTTTAGGAAGTTAAGCACCGAAGCCAACTGTCACACCTGGGTAAGTATTCATGCTAGTGGAGGGAGCAACAACCACAATTCATTATTGCAGCTTTGCTGTAACATTACAGTTGTGAGGAACAGCAGCAAGGCAACCAGTGAACAGTGACCAGTGAATCTATCATTTTACATTGTCCTGATAGGAAAAATGTATTTAATATGTATGTTATGATACACAATATTTTGGATCATATGAATGAATTTGGCTGTTTTGTTTTATTTTCCTGCGTCTTGTCATTCATTGTCTCATTTACATTACTTGCAGGCAGGAGGATCACACACTGCTTTGTCCTGCTTGGTGCTTAGGTTCCTAGAATTGGAGCTTGTGTGGCCCTGCTCTCTGAATGCCCCTGCCCTCTGTTTCACTGATAATAAATGAATACAGCACTACAGTCACTACTGTATTTTGTTTGTTTTATTTCAATATATTTAAAGATGAAATGCCTCTTGTTACTGAGAGAAAAAAACAATTCAATACTGTAGGAGCAACCCCAGAGCTGCCGTTAAGCCCAAAGCAGATAAAACTAGGGCCCCGTTGGGGCACTGGCGGGCCCGAGCTGTGTCGCGCCCCCCCCCAACGCGCTGCCTCCCCGTCCCATTCGCGTCCTCTGGCCATCGTCCTCTCTGGTAACGCCCATCACTGCAAAGACCCTTTTCCTTCATCGGCGTTTGCTGTTCTTCCTGCCAGTGCGTGTTGCTTTCACTTACACTTGCCACAGCCAGCCTCGTGAGTGCCTAGCCTATTGGATATCACTGTCACCTACACAGGACAGTCATTACCTTTCTATTAATACTTTGTGTTTTAATTTCACATTAATTTCCATATTGTATAAACGACTGGAAAAAACTTGAGCCCCTGCCCCTGTATAATCATGTGCATGTCTCTGTTCTAGCTCCAAGGTGAATCTTCACTGCTCATGTTCTCCTCAGAAGCACTCACCTCACTCCCCTCAGGTTACTGTACACATGCACCAACTGCCTGCTTCAGGTTTGGATGGAGCTTCATGGTTGTCTTTTAGAGAAATGACCAGTCAAGTTGTGTTTGAAATTTGATTTTTTTCAGGGGCAAAAGGAGCCTCTGCATTCTTGTCAAATATGTAAATAGCATGTTTTTGCAGGTGCTAAAAACCAGACTCTGAGTGTGTGTGTGTGTGTGTGCGTGTGTGTGTGTCTGTGTGTGCGTTCAAGTCACATGACATATTTAACCGGATGTAGCTGCAAGACGGAGCCTCGTTGACTCTCCGTTTCAACTTATCTCAAAAGTGAGGACCTCAACCTATATACCAGTTTTTAAATTGTGTTGATAGGCCAAATAAAACCAGAGTTATGATAAATTATGTCCGCGATACTTTTTTTCTGCTTATTTTGATCACGTTCGGCGCTCGATCGCGCTGTATGAGACAGGAAAACATAGCATGCAGACATTAGCGACAGGTCTTACAGGCGGAAAAGGCTTGCCAAAAGAAAAAAAAAACACACCACAACATCTCTCCTATTGGTGGAAAACTTCACCACAACAACCAATCCAAAATTATATGGTGACTGATTGACAAGGGGCGGGCGCTTACGTTCTTCCTGCAACATGAGAAGGGAGGGAGGGACTCTCAGCAGTGATGCAGTCTGGGACACGTAGTTGCAAACCTAGCGACTTTGTTGTTAGATTCAATGACTTTTCAGACCCCCTAACGACTTTTTTTTAGAAAGAAAGGGACTTTTATCGACTTCTTCTGGAGTTTAGAGACTCTGACATGAAGCAGGCTTTCCTTACTGAGGAGTTAGCAACGCTGCTAAGGGTGCAGAGCCACACATGCGCTCCGAGCTCTGCATGGGAGACTGAAGCTGACAGAGCTGCAGCAGTTAGCAGGTTTCACCCTCAGAGACCACCAGGGGTTCATGTTGAGGCATTTTAATTTTTTTTTTTTTTTTTCTTTTGTGCCATAGACACTGTCAGCACAATCTGCAGTTACACTAACAAAAATGCTGCAAAAAACAAAGAATTATGGAAAAATTACACATGGACTGACATAGAGGAGGATCTACACAAGTTTTTTACATCATGTTTTACATCATGCATCATTTACATCATGTTTTTTTGTAGTGGCATAAATAAAAAGTGACATTTGTGAGACTATACAGTGTTTTGTAAATAATTTTACAAAGAACGCCTGGGCCATTGCCTGCATTTTGATGTAAATAGAGGTAAATCACTATGTTCTTTGTTAAAAATTTGCATATGTTTTGAAGTTTACAATTTTTATTTGAAGTTTAAGTTTTAAAAACAGTTCATCACACATATTTGTGGTTTTCACAGTAAAAATGTTACTTTTTTCCACTCGGATTTTATGTTTTGTGTGTGAATTTGGGTCCATTGTGTAAATTCAGTATGTCAACATGATAAAATAACTGTAAATTCGCACAGGTGAGGTTGTGCTGAAAAAAAATGATACCAGGCAAGGCACGTGATTGTCAAATTTTGTGTCAATATGACAAAGCGTATAGGCGTGAATCTCAACAATATGTATTTTCACCTTAGGGGACAAGAAAAAATGGACTTTTTTCTCCTGCCATGGGGGGGCGCTCTTTTGGGGAGTAAAAATTCCTTCACAAATGTGTTGATGGCTGGACATTGCATCATCCTAGAAAACTTGGAGGCCAGTGAGGACAAAAATAAAAAGTTATAAGACTTTTAAATATGTGGATTTTAGGGTTGTCTTTGGCGCCCCCTAGAACCTAAACCGTGGGGTGCAGCGTCATGATTTTTACAACTTTGAATGGCCATGGGGTGTAGATTGGCCTGAGCAAATTTGGTGTCAGTGGGACGAAAGCTGTAGGAGGAGTTAGCCACATTCCAATGTGTGCGAATCAGCAAAAAATGCAAAATAGCCCTTTAACCGTACATTTTACAGATACATGCCCATTGACTTTTTCGTAGATCTTATTGAGATACATGTGTGTGTCAATTTTTGTGTCAATATGACAAAGCGTACAGGCGTGACAGTCAACAATGTGTATTTTCACCTTAGGGGACAAGAAAAAATGGACTTTTTTCTCCTGCCATGTGGGGGCGCTCTTTTGGGGAGTAAAAATTCCTTCACAAATGTGTTGATGGCTGGACATTGCATCATCCTAGAGAACTTGGAGGCCAGTGAGGAAAAAAATAAAAAGTTATAAGACTTTTAAGAATGTGGATTTTTTGGTTATCTTTGGCGCCCCCTAGAACCTAAACCGTAGGGTGCAGCGTCATGATTTGTACAACTTTCGATGGCCATGGGGTGTAGATTGGCCTGAGCAAATGTGGTGCCGGTGGAACGAAAGCCTTCGGAGGAGTTAGCGAAATTTCAATGTGTGCGGATCGGCAAAAAATGCGAAATAACCCTTTAACCGTACATTTGACAGATACGCCCGCACTGACTTTTTTGTAGATCTTATTGAGATACATGTGTGTGTCAATTTTTGTGTCAATATGGCAAAGCGTACAGGCGTGACAGTCAACAGTGTGAATTTCCACCTTAGGGGGCGCTATGGAGCCATTTTGCATTTTATTCTTTGGGTGACTTCAGAATATCGAATTTTTCACCAGGCCCGGTCGTCCTGCCAAATTTCATGAGTTTTCGCCAGTGGGAAGTGGGCCATTTTCCAGTTTAAAGCGGAGGAAAAATAATAACTAGGGCCCCGGTGGGGCACTGTCGGGCCCGAGCCGCGTCGCGCCGCCCCCAGCGCGACCGCCTCCCCCTCCCGATTGCATTACACTCAAGGTCCAAAAATGGTGTGCGCACTTGTCTGTGGTCATTTCCCATTATAATGAATGGGAGGCGCAGTTTCTACCAAAACGGTCGCTGCAGACAAACTCCATGTCCTATTTGAAAAAAGTCTGGACCATGAGTGAGGGCACAAACACAGCTAGGATATATCCAAATGGCAAGTTGCTCCTCCTTACGGTGTTGCCGGGAGAGCGATGCGATTGAGCCATTGAGCGATGGGCAGGGTTAACTGGACTTTTTCTCCTGCCTTGGGGGGGGGGGGGGGGGGGGGGGGGATGTGGATTCTTTTAAGAATGTGGATATTTGGGTCATCTTTGGCGCCCCCTAGAACGTAAACCATGGGGTGCAGCGGCATGATTTTTACAACTTTGAATGGCCATGGGATGTAGATTGGCTTGAGCAAATTTGGTGTCGGTGGGAAGAAAGCCTTAGGAGGAGTTAGCCACATTCCAATGTGTGCGAATCGGCAAAAAATGCGAAATAGCCCTTTAACCGTACATTTTACAGATACGTGCCCATTGACTTTTTCGTAGATCTTATTGAGATACACGTGTGTGTCAAATTTTGTGTCATTTTGACAAAGCGTATAGGCGTGACAGTCAACAATGTGTTTTTTCACCTTAGGGGACAAGAAAAAATGGACTTTTTTCTCCTGCCATGGGGGGGCGCCCTTTTCGGGAGTAAAAATTCCTTTACAAATGTGTTGATGGCTGGACATTGCATCATCCTAGAAAACTTGGAGGCCAGTGAGGACAAAAATAAAAAGTTATAAGACTATTAAGAATGTGGATTTTTGGGTTATCTTTGGCGCCCCCTAGAACGTAAACCGTGGGGTGCAGCGTCATGATTTGTACAACTTTTAATGGCCATGGGGTGTAGATTGGCCTGAGCAAATGTGGTGCCGGTGGAACGAAAGCCTTCGGAGGAGTTAGCGAAATTCCAATGTGTGCAGATCGGCAAAAAATGCGAAATAACCCTCTAACCGTACATTTCACAGATGCGCCCGCGCTGACTTTTTCGTAGACCGTATTGAGATACACGTGTGTGTCAATTTTTGTGTCAAAATGACAAAGCGTACAGGCGTGACAGTCAATAGTGTGAATTTTTGCCTTAGGGGGCGCTATGGAGCCATTTTGCATTTTATTGTTTGGGCGACTTCAGAATATCGAATTTTTCACCGGGCCCGGTCGTCCTGCCAAATTTCCTGAGTTTTCGCCAGTGGGAAGTGGGCCATTTTCCCCTTCAAAGGGGAGGAAAAATAAGAAGAAAGAAAGAAAGAAAGAAAGAAGAAAGAACTAGGGCCCCGTTGGGGCACTGGCGGGCCCGAGCCGTGTCGCGCCACCCCCAGCGCGACCGCCTACCCCTCCCGATTGCGTCACACTCAAGGTCCAAAGATGGTGTGCGCACTTGTCTGTGGTCATTTACCATTATAATGAATGGGAGGCGCAGTTTCTACCAAAACGCTCGCTGCAGACAAACTCCATGTCCTTTTTGAAAAAAGTCTGGACCATGAGTGAGGGCACAAACACAGCTAGTATATATCCAAATGGCAAGTTGCTCCTCCTTTCGGTTTTGCCGAGAGAGCGATGCGTTTGAGCCATTGAGCGATGGGCAGGAAAAACTTGACTTTTTCTCCTGCCATGGGGGGCGCTCTTTTGGGGAGTAAAAATTCCTTCACAAATGTGTTGATGGCTGGACATTGCATCATCCTAGAGAACTTGGAGGCCAGTGAGGACAAAAATAAAAAGTTATAAGACTTTTAAGACTGTGGATTTTTGGGTTATCTTTGGCGCCCCCTAGAACGTAAACCGTGGGGTGCAGCGTCATGATTTGTACAACTTTGAATGGACATGGGGTGTAGATTGACCTGAGCAAATTTGAAGCCGATGGGACAAAAGCTTTAGGAGGAGTTAGCCACATTCCAATGTGTGCGAATCGGCAAAAAATGCGAAATAGCCCTTTAACCGTACATTGAACAGATACGCTCGCATTGACTTTTTCGTAGATCTTATTGAGATACATGTGTGTGTCAAATTTTGTGTCATTTTGACAAAGCGTAAAGGCGTGACAGTCAACAATGTGTATTTTCGCCTTAGGAGACAAGAAAAAATGGACTTTTTTCTCCTGCCATGGGGGGCGCTCTTTTGGCGAGTAAAAATTCCTTCACAAATGTGTTGATGGCTGGACATTGCATCATCCTAGAGAACTTGGAGGCCAGTGAGGACAAAAATAAAAAGTTATAAGACTTTTAAGACTGTGGATATTTGGGTTATCTTTGGCGCCCCCTAGAACGTAAACCGTGGGGTGCAGCATCATGATTTGTACAACTTTTAATGGCCATGGGGTGTAGATTGGCCTGAGCAAATTTGGTGCCGGTGGAACGAAAGCCTTCGGAGGAGTTAGCGAAATTCCAATGTGTGCGGATCGGCAAAAAATGCGAAATAACCCTTTAACCGTACATTTGACAGATACGCCCGCACTGACTTTTTTGTAGATCTTATTGAGATACATGTGTGTGTCAAATTTTGTGTCATTTTGACAAAGCGTAAAGGTGTGACAGTCAATAGTGTAAATTTTCGCCTTAGGAGACAAGAAAAAATGGACTTTTTTCTCCTGCCATGGGGGGGCGCTCTTTTGGCGAGTAAAAATTCCTTCACAAATGTGTTGATGGCTGGACATTGCATCATCCTAGAAAACTTGGAGGCCAGTGAGGACAGAAATAAAAAGTTAAGACTTGTAAGAATGTGGATTTTTGGGTTATCTTTGGCGCCCCCTACAACGTAAACCGTGGGGTGCAGCGTCATGATTTGTACAACTTTGAATGGCCATGGGGTGTAGATTGGCCTGAGCAAATGTGGTGCCGGTGGAACCAAAGCTTTAGGAGGAGTTAGCCACATTCCAATGTGTGTGAATCAACCAAAAATGCGAAATAGCACTTTAACCGTACATTTTGCAGACACGTGCGCATTGACTTTTTCGTAGATCTTATTGAGATACACGTGATTATCAAATTTTGATTCAATATGACAAAGCGTACAGGCGTGACACTCAACAATGTGTATTTTCACCTTATAGGACAAGAAAAAATGGCCTTTTTTCTCCTGCCATGGGGGGGCGCTCTTTTGGGGAGTAAAAATTCCTTCACAAATGTGTTGATGGCTGGACATTGCATCATCCTAGAAAACTTGGAGGCCAGTGAGGACAAAAATAAAAAGTTATAAGACTATTAAGAATGTGGATTTTTGGGTTATCTTTGGCGCCCCCTAGAACCTAAACCGTGGAGTGCAGCGTCATGATTTTTACAACTTTTAATGGCCATGGGGTGTAGATTGGCCTGAGCAAATTTGGTGGCGGTGGAACTAAAGCCTTCGGAGGAGTTAGCGAAATTCCAATGTGTGCGGATCGGGAAAAAATGCGAAATAACCCTTTAACCGTACATTTTACAGATACGTGCACATTGACTTTTTCGTAGATCTTATTGAGATACACGTGTGTGTCAAATTTTGTATCATTTTGACAAAGTGTATAGGCGTGACAGTCAACAATGTGTTTTTTCACCTTAGGGGACAAGAAAAAATGGACTTTTTTCTCCTGCCATGGGGGGGCGCCCTTTTCGGGAGTAAAAATTCCTTTACAAATGTGTTGATGGCTGGACATTGCATCATCCTAGAAAACTTGGAGGCCAGTGAGGACAAAAATAAAAAGTTATAAGACTTTTAAGACTGTGGATTTTTGGGTTATCTTTGGCGCCCCCTAGAACGTAAACCGTGGGGTGCAGCGTCATGATTTGTACAACTTTTAATGGCCATGGGGTGTAGATTGGCCTGAGCAAATGTGGTGCCGGTGGAACGAAAGCCTTCGGAGGAGTTAGCAAAATTCCAATGTGTGCAGATCGGCAAAAAATGCGAAATAACCCTCTAACCGTACATTTCACAGATGCGCCCGCGCTGACTTTTTCGTAGACCGTATTGAGATACACGTGTGTGTCAATTTTTGTGTCAAAATGACAAAGCGTACAGGCGTGACAGTCAATAGTGTGAATTTTCGCCTTAGGGGGCGCTATGGAGCCATTTTGCATTTTATTGTTTGGGCGACTTCAGAATATCGAATTTTTCACCGGGCCCGGTCGTCCTGCCAAATTTCCTGAGTTTTCGCCAGTGGGAAGTGGGCCATTTTCCCCTTCAAAGGGGAGGAAAAATAAGAAGAAAGAAAGAAAGAAAGAACTAGGGCCCCGGTGGGGCACTGTCGGGCCCGAGCAGCGTCGCGCCGCCCCCAGCGCGACCGCCTCCCCCTCCCGATCGCGTCACACTCAAGGTCCAAAGATGGTGTGCGCACTTGTCTGTGGTCATTTCCCATTATAATGAATGGGAGACGCAGTTTCTACCAAAACACTCGCTGCAGACAAACTACATGTCCTATTTGAAAAAAGTCTGGACCATGAGTGAGGGCACAAACACAGCTAGGATATATCCAAATGGCAAGTTGCTCCTCGTTACGGTGTTGCCGGGAGAGCGATGCGATTGAGCCATTGAGCGATGGGCAGGAAAAACTTGACTTTTCCTCCTGCCTTGGGGGGGGGGGGGGGTGGATTCTTTTAAGAATGTGGATATTTGGGTCATCTTTGGCGCCCCTTAGAACGTAAACCGTGGGGTGCAGCGTCATGATTTTTACAACTTTGAATGGCCATGGGATGTAGATCTGCTTGAGCAAATTTGGTGTCGGTGGGACGAAAGCCTTAGGAGGAGTTAGCGAAATTCCAATGTGTGCGGATCGGGAAAAAATGCGAAATAGCCCTTTGACTGTACATTTTACAGATGCGTGCACATTGACTTTTTCGTAGATCTTATTGAGATACACGTGTGTGTCAAATTTTGTGTCATTTCGACAAAGCGTATAGGAGTGACACTCAACAATGTGTTTTTTCACCTTAGGGGACAAGAAAAAATGGACTTTTTTCTCCTGCCATGGGGGGGGGCGCTCTTTTCGAGAGTAAAAATTCCTTTACAAATGTGTTGATGGCTGGACATTGCATCATCCTAGAAAACTTGGAGGCCAGTGAGGACAAAAATAAAAAGTTATAAGACTATTAAGAATGTGGATTTTAGGGTTATGTTTGGCGCCCCCTAGAACCTAAACCGTGGAGTGCAGCATCATGATTTGTACAACTTTGAATGGCCATGGGGTGTAGATTGGCCTGAGCAAATTTGGTGGCGGTGGAACGAAAGCCTTCGGAGGAGTTAGCGAAATTCCAATGTGTGCGGATCGGGAAAAAATGCGAAGTAACCCTTTAACCGTACATTTTACAGATACGTGCCCATTGACTTTTTCGTAGATGTTATTGAGATACACGTGATTGTCAAATTTTGGGTCAATATGACAAAGCGTATAGGCGTGACACTCAACAATGTGTATTTTCACCTTAGGGGACAAGAAAAAATTGACTTTTTTCTCCTGCCATGGGGGGCGCTCTTTTGGGGAGTAAAAATTCCTTCACAAATGTGTTGTTGGCTGGACATTGCATCATCCTAGAAAACTTGGAGGCCATTGAGGACAAAAATACAAAGTTATAAGACTTTTAAGACTGTGGATTTTTGGGTTATCTTTGGCGCCCCCTAGAACGTAAACCGTGGGGTGCAGCGTCATGATTTGTACAACTTTTAATGGCCATGGGGTGTAGATTGGCCTGAGCAAATGTGGTGCCGGTGGAACGAATGCCTTCGGAGGAGTTAGAGAAATTCCAATGTGTGCAGATCTGCAAAAAATGCGAAATAACCCTCTAACCGTACATTTCACAGATGCGCCCGCACTGACTTTTTCGTAGACCGTATTGCGATACACGTGTGTGTCAATTTTTGTTTCAACATGACAAAGCGTACAGGCGTGACAGTCAATAGTGTGAATTTTCACCTTAGGGGGCGCTATGGAGCCATTTTGCATTTTATTGTTTGGGCGACTTCAGAATATCGAATTTTTCACCAGGCCCGGTCGTCCTGCCAAATTTCATGAGTTTTCGCCAGTGGGAAGTGGGCCATTTTCCCCTTCAAAGGGGAGGAAAAATAAGAAGAAAGAAAGAAAGAACTAGGGCCCCGTTGGGGCACTGGCGGGCCCGAGCCGTGTCACGCCGCCCCCAGCGCGACCGCCTCCCCCACCCGATCGCGTCACACTCAAGGTCCAAAGATGGTGTGCGCACTTGTTTGTGGTCATTTACCATTATAATGAACGGGAGGCGCAGTTTCTACCAAAACGCTCGCTGCAGAAAAACTCCATGTCCTATTTGAAAAAAGTCTGGACCATGAGTGAGGGCACAAACACAGCTATGATATATCCAAATGGCAAGTTGCTCCTCCTTTCGCTTTTGCCGAGAGAGCAGCGCGTTTGAGCCATTGAATGATGAACAGGAAAAACTTGACTTTATTCTCCTGCCATGGGGGGGCGCTCTTTTAAAGAGAAAAAACTCCTTCACAAATGTGTTGATGGCTGGACATTGCATCATCCTAGAAAAAATGGAGGCCAGTGAGGACAAAAATAAAAAGTTATAAGACTTTTAAATATGTGGATTTTAGGGTTATATTTGGCGCCCCCTAGAACCTAAACCGTGGGGTGCAGCGTCATGATTTGAATAACTTTTAATGGCCATGGGGTGTAGATTGGCCTGAGCAAATGTGGTGCCGGTGGAACGAAAGCCTTCGGAGGAATTAGCGAAATTCCAATGTGTGCGAATCTGCAAAAAATGCGAAATAACCCTTTAACCGTACATTTTACAGATACGTGGCCATTGACTTTTTCGAAGATCTTATGTAAATACACGTGTATGTAAAATTTTGTGTCAATACGACAAAACATACAGGCGTAGCACTCAACAATGTGTATTTTCACCTTAGTGGACAAGAAAAATTTGACTTTTTTCTCCTGCCATGGGGGGGCGCTCTTTTGCCGAGTAAAAATTCCTTCACAAATGTGTTGATGGCTGGACATTGCATCATCCTAGAAAACTTGGAGGCCAGTGGGGACAAAAATAAAAAGTTATAAGACTTTTAAATATGTGGATTTTACGGTTATCTTTGGCTCCCCCTAGAACCTAAACCGTGGGGTGCAGCGTCATGATTTGAATAACTTTTAATGGCCATGGGGTGTAGATTGGCCTGAGCAAATGTGGTGCCGGTGGAACGAAAGCCTTCGGAGGAGTTAGCGAAATTCCAATGTGTGCGGATCGGCAAAAAATGCGGAATAACCCTTTAACCGTACATTTGACAGATACGCGCGCCTTGACTTGTTCGTAGATCTTATTGAGATATATGTGTGTGTCAATTTTTGTGTCATTTTGCCAAAGCGTACAGGTGTTACACTCAACAATGTGTATTTTCACCTTAGGGGACAAGAAAAAATGGACTTTTTTCTCCTGCCATGGGGGGGCGCTCTTTTGGGGAGTAAAAATTCCTTCACAAATGTGTTGATGGCTGGACATTGCATCATCCTAGAAAACTTGGAGGCCAGTGAGGGCAAAAATAAAAAGTTATAAGACTTTTAAATATGTGGATCTTAGGGTTATCTTTGGCGCCCCCTAGAACCTAAACCGTGGGGTGCAGCGTCATGATTTGAATAACTTTTAATGGCCATGGGGTGTAGATTGGACTGAGCAAATGTGGTGCCGGTGGAACGAAAGCCTTCGGAGGAGTTAGCGAAATTCCGATGTGTGTGGATCGGCAAAAAATGCGAAATAACCCTTTAACCGTACATTTGACAGATACGCCCGCACTGACTTTTTCGTAGATCTTATTGAGATACATGTGTGTGTCAATTTTTGTGTCATTTTGACAAAGCGTACCGGCGTGACAGTGAATAGTGTGAATTTTCACCTTAGGGGGCGCTATGGAGCCATTTTGCATTTTCTTGTTTGGGCGACTTCGGAATATCAAATTTTTCACCAGGCCCGGTCGTCCTGCCAAATTTCATGAGTTTTCGCCAGTGGGAAGTGGGCCATTTTCCAGTTCAAAGGGGAGGAAAAATAATAACTAGGACCCCGGTGGGGCACTGGCGGGCCCGAGCCGCGTTGCGCCGCCCCCAGCGCGACCGCCTCCCCCTCCCGATCGCGTCACACTCAAGGTCCAAAGATGGTGTGCGCACTTGTCTGTGGTCATTTCCCATTATAATGAATGGGAGGCGCAGTTTCTACCAAAACACTCGCTGCAGACAAACTACATGTCCTATTTGAAAAAAGTCTGGACCATGAGTGAGGGCACAAACACAGCTAGGATATATCCAAACGGCAAGTTGCTCCTCGTTACGGTGTTGCCGGGAGAGTGATGCGATTGAGCCATTGAGTGATGGGCAGGAAAAACTTGACTGTTTCTCCTGCCATGGGGGATGGGGGATGGGGGGGGATGTGGATTCTTTTAAGAATGTGGATATTTGGGTCATCTTTGGCGCCCCCTAGAACGTAAACCGTGGGGTGCAGCGTCATGATTTTTACAACTTTGAATGGCCATGGGGTGTAGATTGGCCTGAGCAAATTTGGTGTCAGTGGGACGAAAGCCTTAGGAGGAGTTAGCCACATTCCAATGTGTGCGAATCAGCAAAAAATGCGAAATAGCCCTTTAACCGTACATTTTACAGATACGCGCGCATTGACTTTTTCGTAGATCTTATTGAGATACATGTGATTGTCAAATTTTGTGTCAATTTGACAAAGCGTACAGGTATGACAGTCAACAATGTGTTTTTTCACCTTAGGCGACAAGAAAAAATGGACTTTTTTCTCCTGCCATGGGGGGGCGCTCTTTTGGGGAGTAAAAATTCCTTCACAAATGTGTTGATGGCTGGACATTGCATCATCCTAGAAAACTTGGAGGCCAGTGAGGGCAAAAATAAAAAGTTATAAGACTTTGAAATATGTGGATTTTAGAGTTATCTTTGGCGCCCCCTAGAACCTAAACCGTGGGGTGCAGCGTCATGATTTGAATAACTTTTAATGGCCATGGGGTGTAGATTGGCCTGAGCAAATGTGGTGCCGGTGGAACGAAAGCCTTCGGAGGAGTTAGCGAAATTCCAATGTGTGCGGATCGGCAAAAAATGCGGAATAACCCTTTAACCGTACATTTGACAGATACGCCCGCACTGACTTTTTCGTAGATCTTCTTGAGATACATGTGTGTGTCAATTTTTGTGTCATTTTGACAAAGCGTAAAGGCGTGACAGTCAATAGTGTGAATTTTCACCTTAGGGGGCGCTATGGAGCCATTTTGCATTTTCTTGTTTGGGCGACTTCGGAATATCAAATTTTTCACCAGGCCCGGTCATCCTGCCAAATTTCATGAGTTTTCGCCAGTGGGAAGTGGGCCATTTTCCAGTTCAAAGGGGAGGAAAAAGAAGAAAGAAAGAAACAAAGAAAAACCACTTGGGGAATAATAGGGCTCTCGCAGCTGCTTAGCAGCTACGCTCGGGCCCTAATAATAACAAAAGAAGGAAACTACAGGAACAAGAGGGCTCTCGCAGCAGCTTAGCAGCTACGCTCGGGCCCTAAAGAAAGAAAGAAAGAAAGAAGAAAGAAAAACCACTACAGGAATAATAGGGCTCTACGCCCGGCTGCTCTGCAGCTGGCTCGGGCCCTAAAGAAGAAAGAAAAACCTATACAGGAATAATAGGGCTCTACGCCCGGCTGCTCTGCAGCTGGCTCGGGCCCTAATAAAGGTTTAAATAAGTGTGCCCCCCTGAAAAAATGTAATGTCCCGCCCCATTTGTTTCTGCAGCCAGGTCTGGCCTGGTGCCTTGTTCAATATTGAAATTACTAGACCTGAGTCCATTTGTAATTACAGCTGAAAGAGACGATGTGTACAAGATCCAAACCCATTTAATAACATCCTCCTCTAGACCTAATTCTTGAAGTGCGAAAAAAATTAAGGCCATTCCAGCCTATCAAAGGCCTTTTCTGCATCAAGAGAAATAACCAGAGCTTCTGTACTGTACATAGAAGAATGCTGAATAATGTTAAGCAGGTGTCTTACATTATGTGAAGAAAGCCTTACCCGAATGAAACCAGTTTGGTTGTTATTAATTACAGTGGGGAGGACCTCTTCCAAACAAGAGGCAAGGATTTTTTCAAGTAGCTTTAAATCCAAATTCAAGACGGATATAGACCTATATGAAGAGCACTCTTCAGATGCTTTCCCCTCTTTTAGTACTAGAGAGCTATTAGCCTCCATAAGAGATGGAAGAAGAGCCCCAGCTGCAAATGTGGACTGTAACATTTCAAGCAAAGGATTAACCAGAGTGGTGTTAAATATTTTATAAAATTCTGCATTGAACCCATCTGGGCCAGGTGCTTTGTTGATCGAGAGTAACTGGATACAATTCTTAATTTCACTGAGCATTATCAGTTTACACAGATCATCTCTCTGCTTATCAGTAATTTTTGGCAAATCTACCTTTGTGCAAAATTCCATCTTGCTGTCATGACCTGGCTCAAAGTCATGACAAAAACGAAGAGACGTATGGCTTCTAAAGTAAAAACAAAACGATTTTATTACAAACAATATCAACTTGGATAATGGGCAACATAATCAAATGCTAATTAAACTAACAAAGAAACCTAACTAAACCAAAACATAATGCGCCGAGGAATCATGGGCGCGGTGAGACAGCCGTGCCAGGTAGGTCCTCAAACAACTCAGCGCTAACTGAAATCTAATGGAAATATGAGTTCCTCAATTTAATCAAAATAAATGCATCTATTTTCCTTTTATATCATTTTTATCATAACACTAAACTATTACAAACTTACCCCAAAAAGTCACTTTGGAAAACACTTGGCTATATTTACTCTACAGGCAGTGGAGGCCAGTATACAAGGGCGCTGCAGAGCCCCACCTGAGCTGCGTGAGCAAAAAGAGATGTCTGCTGTCTCCCTGAAAATTATTCTCAAAGTAAGGAAATGGCACTATTATATTAATCATTCCATTAAATGTGTATTTCAGTCCTTTAGCGATCTCTCCACCCAGCGCCAGGGCGGACTAGGAACGTCTGTTGTCTCACGCATGCTCAGATCACAGTTGTGCATTAACGTTAGGGGCATTAAGGGCCAGCGCCCCAGCTTTCTGCTCCCTCACGCATGCTCAGATCGAAGTTCTGCATTAAAAATTTAGCTTATCCTAGCCACACAAAAAAAATCCTTAAGGGGCGCTCGTCCCGGGCGCCCCAGCGTCCCTAATTTGAATGACGTAAGCACGTTCATTACCAAATTAGCCACAAACGGACGAATAGCTACAGTGTGCGTCTAACGTAGCTAGCTGCTCTACTCGGAGCCGGTCTGCCCCTCACTCTGCACTTGGCTGCTAATGACAGAGGACGTGGGAATGGCTACTGCAAACCCCCTACCGAGTGATTTACCGGAGAACGCTGCGCTGTCTATCAAGTAGGTCCTGTTTGAGAGGAGGACTCTGCAGGACTAACTAAAGCTGGAAGAGCTTGGTCCAGATCGACCAGACGCTTCCGCTCAGCAACTGACCACAGAGAAGAGCAGACAATATACACAGATATTTTCAAGAACATGGTACAGGCACAAAGCATGGCTAACTGGAAGTCTAAATAGTCAGGCTCTTTTTTGTTTCCTGTGTAAATTAATGGTGACAAAAAGAAATCATAAAGCTGGCAAAATATTATTTCAGCAACTGAAACAGTCAATCAGCAAAATCTGTTTGTAGAAAAGTAGGATATATAAAGGTTAAAACCTAATATAAACCATACATTTATTATAGTGAGACACTACATAAAAGCCTGACTTAAAAGAAAGCTAACAAACAATGTTCATGCCACTTTGTTAGAAATCAATAATTTTTAAGGCAGGATGAAAACATCCTGGAAAAGTCCTGGAAAATGATTTCTGGAAAAGAGTGGGAACCCTGTATTTGTTCACCCAGTTTCAATGGGTATGCTACTGTCAGTTTCTATATCATAGGATTACATTGAATGTAGGTAGGCTGTGTGTCGGCTATAATGCCCTATTAATAAGTTGAAATACAGTATCCCCACCCCATTTGTCTCTGTAGGTCAACATCATATGTTTCCTAAATTATTATTATCTTAGAAAGCACCAGAATGCTTTATTTACCTTTATTTGTTTTGTCAGGGCTCTGTTTTCCAAACCTTCAGCCCCACGTATTATTTTTCTCACCAGCTGCCACTGTCTACAGAGGCTCTGGACAATGCGTCTGCCACCACATTGTCAGGCCCTTTTATGTGTTGAATATCAAGCCAGTGAGACTGAAGGAACAGTGACCATCTCACTAATCTTTGATTGGGACACTGTAACAAATTCAAGAAAACAAGAGGGTTATAATCAGTGAAGACCACGACAGGTGCAACACCAGATCCAAGATACACATCAAAATGTTGTGCCGACACTAATTCCAAGGCTTCTTTCTCAATGGTAGAATAGTTAAGTTGGTATTCAGTTAAAACTGTTAGAAAAGGAGCTCACTGGTTTTTCAATACCAAACTCATCATTCTGCAACAGTACCGCCCCCACACCCACGTGACTGGCATCAACTTGGAGAGCAAAGGGATTATCGAACCTTGGAGCAGAGAGAACAGGCGCATTACACAACAAGGATTTAACTTTTTCAAATGCCTGCTGGCAAACAGGAGACCATACAAAAATCACACTTGCCTTACGCAAATCTGTTAATGGTGCGACTACATCAGATAAATTTCTGCAAAAACTCCTGTAATAACCAACAAGACCAAAAAAAGGCATGAGCTCTTTTTTTGGTTGTAGGGACAGGAAAACATGCAACTGCCTTAACTTTCTCCTCAACGGGACGGACAGTACCCTGCCCCACCACAACCGTGATACGTCACCATTGCTTTGGCAAACTCGCACTTTGCGAGGTTAACGTCAGACGCACCTCAGCCAGACGGGAAAACAACGCACACATGCGCTCAACATGAGAATCCCAAGTGTCAGAGAAGACAACCACATCGTCTAAATAGACGGTACACCCCTCCAAGTCCCCCAGAACTTTACATAACATAACATTACATAAATCGTCCTGTTTGGACTCAGCTAAGTGACCTAAGAGGACCTGCAGGTTACTCAGGGACTCAGAGTTTTTAAGGCGACCTTGAAGAACGGTGGGATCAACACAAGGAAAACTATCCTCTACCTCAGTGGACACTGACTGTGGAGAATGAACTGTGGACACTCTCCCCACCGAACAAGCAGAGTGGGAAAGTCCTGAAGCACTCTCGCCGTCTGTGTCATCTAAAACACGAGCATAATAAGGTTTTAACAAGTTGACATGACAAAGCTGCATTTTCTTTCTATGCTCTGGAGAAGAAATCATGTAGTTGTGTTCAGAGACTATTTTTGTCTCACTTCATATGGACCAGAATACTTAGCCTGAAAGGGAGAAGTCACAATAGGTAACAAGACTTGGTTCCCCCACACCAAACACGCGGCATTCAGCACGCCGGTCATACAGTTTTTTCATCTTAGTCTGAGAAAGTGTCACGTTTTTCTTTGCCAATTCTCCGGCAGCAAACAGTCTGTGGCAGAAACCATTCACATAATCAATACGTTTTTTTAGGTGGCTCGGCATCCTTCCACTGATCACTCAGAACATTTAAAAGGACCACGCCATAGACTGTATATAGAATGGACAGTCTGCCTCCTTGCTGGGTGAAGCCACTCTGAGAACAGCACCCTCTGTTGATGGACTGCAGTATAGGTCATAAAAACCGCCTCCGTCAGCAAAGCTTATGGGGCTGTGGACAAACTTTAGAAATTTATTACACAGAACATAAATTTTTCTCCCCCCTGCTTGTGATGTTGACACGTAGTAAAAATTTTTTTTAAAAAACTGTAAAAACAATAAAAGCATAAAACATATAAAAACATAAAACAACAATATAGATAAAGATAGCACATAAAAAAATACCCAATAAAAGCAGCTTTACTTCCCCAAGAGCTAAAGTGAACAGGTGCGTCTTCAGAATTGTTTTAAAAGTGGAAAGGCTGTTAGCAGTGCGCACTGTAAGGGGTACAGTGTCCCAAAAAGTGGGAGCCACGACAGAAAATGCTCTAACTCCTCTAGATTTTAAAAAGGATCGAGGAACGTCTAAAACCACCTGATTAGCTGACCTCAGGGCTCTGGAGGGCTGGCGCAGTTTAACAAGGTCAGGGAGATACTCCGGGGCCAGCCCATTCAGAGACTTAAAAAGGGTTATGTGGCTGATATGAGAGGTGTATGAGAGTGTGCTGTCGAGGATGACACCCAGACTCTTTACCTGGGGGGGGGGGGGGTTGGAATTGTCTATGGATATCGTAAAACTGGGAGATTTGGAAAGGGTGGTTTTTGTGCCAATAAGTAGCATTTCTGTTTTGTTGCTGTTCAGTTTAAGAAAGTTGGATGAAAACCAGGATTTTATTTTAAGGAGGCAGTCAATGAGGGGGGATGATGATGACCTGGATTTTTTGATGATATGGGTGATTTCAAGAACTGAGGGCAGGGTAAATGCTGAAAAGGACTGGGAGGGGAACACAGAGTGAATAGAGGAGATGAACTGTGAGCAGAGCTGGGAGCAAGTTGCTGGTGGATGTTTTGAATTTTGGCAGTGAAAGAGGATAGAATAGTATTGCAGGAGGCAGTAGAGTACATCTGTTGTGGTAGTGAGTCCGGAGGTTGAGTGGTGTTGCTGATGAGTAAAAGGGCTCTTGAGTTGCCATAGTTTGAATTGATTAGTCCAGCGTAGTAAATTGATTTGGTCTTGGAAGTGCAGTCCTTGTAGTGGAAAACGTGGTTGTAATAGACCATGTAGATTCTCATTCATACAGGTTCTAAAATACACTTATGGTGCAACTTAAGACACATCATCAGTGTTGGCACCTGGGTTCACTGGGTGTTTCAGGTCTTGCAACAGACACCCTCGCCCAGGGGACCCAGCCGGGGTGATCAAGTCCCGGCTTGTGTCTTAAGAGCATGTGACCACGGATCACCCCGCTTGATCCACAGCCATCTGGACGCCTTCTCTGCTGCGTCGCAGATGTTCTTAATGGCTCGCCTGTCGTGCAGTCCCCCCATTCCCAGCATCTTGAGAGCCCTGATGAGGGACTGGCCAGCGAATCCTCTGCATCCGACCTCGATGGGGTTGCACCGGGTCCTCCATCCCCTGCTTCGGCATTCACTTGCCAGCTCCTCATACTTGGCTTTCTTTCTCTCAAAGGCCTCCTCCATCCTGTCTTCCCAGGGAACAGTCAACTCCAGCAGGACCACTTGCCTTGTTGTTTCAGACACCAGGACCATGTCTGGCCTGAGCGTGGTCACTGCGATGTTCTCCGGGAATTTGAGCTGTCTCCCTAGGTCGACTTTCAGCTGCCAGTCCCGGGCTGTTGCCAGCAGCCCCCCTGCTTGCCTCCTGAGCTGCTGCGGCTTCTCCCCAGCCTTAACGAAGGCGATGGTCTGCCTTGATGGTTGTATGTGTTTGCTGGTGGCGATGCCTGTGCTGATGGCCTCCGCAATGACCTGTAGCACTTGGTCATGGCGCCAGCGGTAGCACCCCTCTCCCAGTGCTCTTGGGCAGCAGCTCAAGATGTGTTCCAGTGATCCTGCTCTTTGGCAGAGAGGGCACAGTGGGTTCTCAGCCAAGCCCCAGCGGTGGAGGTTGGATAGGCTTGGGAGGACGTCGTAAACCGACTGGATGAGGAACCTGATCCGGTGAGGCTCAGATCGCCATAGCTCTGACCACGAGACCTTCCGGGCAGCTGCCTCCTCCCAACGGGTCCACGCCCCCTGCTGCCGCATCCCCACTGTCTTGCTGCAGCGGGCTTCCTCCACCCCTGCTCGGACCTCCTCCTGGATCAGCTGACACCTTTCCTTCCCCTTGGCCTTGTTATATGAAGGTCTCGGGTTGCTCCCAAGTCCTGCCCGTCCAGATGCCACTGTTCCCACCAGCTCACTGTGCCGCAAGCGGGACTCAGCCTGATCGACTGCCTCTTGGGCACACCACTTCCTGCCTGTCCTCACTTCTACACCAGCCGAGGAGACTTTGGTGTCACTTGAGTCCCTATACAGCAGCACCTCTCTTGCACGGGTAACCATAAACTCCTCCGTCAGACTGCTGAAGGGTAGGTTAAGTTTGTTGCTCTTCCCGTACAATGCGATGCTGCTGAGGCTTCGTGGTCATGGTTATCTTGAAGACTTAAAAACAGGCAACTGGACTGTGTAGAGTTGAGAAGACGTTTCGCCTCTTATCCAAGAAGCTTCTTCAGTTCTAAAATTGCTAGTGAGAGGAGCAGATATTTATCTTACTGGAGAAGGGGACAGACAACTACTGGGAGGAGTTGGAAATTATGGGTCGTAGAAACCCATCTGTGTGTGTGTGTGTGTGTGTGTGTGTGTGTGTGTGTGTCCGAAGTCGTTAACCTGAAGGGGTCGTTAACAACCCCTGTCAGGACTCAGCTGTCCACCTTCACTTAAAGGACACAGGTCACTCTTTCGAGGACAGCAATGTACAGGTGTTGGCTCGAGAAGACAGATGGTTTGAAAGAGGAGTTAAAGAAGCCATCTTTACCAGGCTGGAGAAACCTTCTCTGAACAGAGGGGGTAGACTCAGGCACAATCTCTCTGGCACTTACAATGCAGTTCTCAGCTCTCTGCCCAGGAAGCTCCACAAACATTCACACCTGGGACCACATGACAGGTGGCATGAGTCATGTGGTCACATGACAGGGGTCATTAACAACCCTTTTAGGTTAGAGATGGGTTTCTACGACCCATTCTTTCCAACTCTTTCCAACCCAGTCGTTGTCTGTCCCCTTCTCCAGTAAGATAAATATCTGCTCCTCACACTAGCAATTTTAGAACTGAAGAAGCTTCTTGGATAAGAGGTGAAACGTTTTCTCAACTCTACACAGTCCAGTTGCCTGTTTTTAAGTCTTCAAGGTGGTTGTAATAGATTTCCTTATACAGTTAGACCAGTTTTATTGTAGAGGCGTTCCAGGCGGCGTCCTTTAGATTAGAGTTGTCTGAGAGCTGGCGTGAACCATGGTGAGGAGCAGGTCAGAGTGACAGATCTGGTTTTGAGTGGGGCAAAGTAGTCCAGGAAATCATAAAGACTGTTATTGGAGTGGAATAGTGCATGGGAGACGGATATTAGCGAGTGCAAGGTTGACGTTAAAGGAAACTAACATGTGATCTGAAGGGGAGGGAAGTTGACTTACAGTTGACAGGGGAGAGACCAAAACAGCATATTAAATCCAGCGTGTGTCTTTTTTGATGTGTTGGGAAGTTTGCAAGTTGCTGGGGTCCAAAGCTGTTTATGCAAGAAATAAAATTCCTGGTGAGAGTGTTGTCGACATTGTCCGTGTGGATATTAAAGTCACCCAGGAGTAATATGTTTGGAGATAGTGTGGAAGGATAAGCAAGATCATTTAAGAACTCTTTTTTTGGCTTGGGGGGACGATACACATTGGAACTGATAGTGGGGATGGGGCCAGATAACTGTAAGGTGATGGATTCAAATGTGTGGAGGGCAGGGGTGGAAACTGGTGGGACTCTGGTGCCACGTTTCTGTTAGGCAAAGAAAATCCAAGTTATGGTCCATGATGACATCCTGAATGAGCTGTCCCTTGCTCCTGAGTGAGCAAATGTTTAATAGTCCAAAGTTGGCTGTGGTGTTTTCAAACTTGTGGGATGAAGGGGCAGGGGCACCCAGTTTTATGTAGGAAAGGTTATTTTTATTCACAACTTTGAGAGTAGACTGAGGGCAGAGGGGTCTGACAGTTACATTGGTTGTAATGGGGAAGACAGCAACAGAGGAGTTAAATGAGGGGTATAGTTACAGCAGGGGGCTGTAGGGGGAGTAGGTGGAGAGAGTGGTGCACTGAGAAAGCACAGTAGAAGAAGGGGGGGGGGGGCTTGTGTGGGTGAGTGGGAGCAGTGAGTAAATAGTCAGTCACGTGGGTTTGATTGGACAGCGTGCTGCAGGATGGCTTTTAGCTTGTAGTTGCCAAGTTTGTTTGGATGGATACCATCAGCTTTGAACAGGGATTGGCAATTTTAGAACAAGTTAAAATTATCTATAAAACCAAAGCTGAATTCCCTGCAGACCAAGTGGAGCCAGGAGTTGCACTGGAGGACACTACTGAACTTTTCAATCCCACAGCCGTGAGGAGAGAGCGGTCCGCTGATGAAGATGGATTTGCCGGTGTGAGTTACAGGCTGGAGGAGTTATCTGAACTGTGATTTGGTTACCTTATAGTGTCGGGGAGGAATGTTTCGTTAACTCCAACATGGACCATATTTCTGTGGATGGAGGACGGCAGAGTGTTCAACAAATCAGGGAGTTTTTGGAGGATGACTGGGACTGTGGCTCCGGGGAAGCAATGTGTTACAGTATTAAAAAGCGGATGTGTCGCATAATTGAGTTCTCAAGGATTAGAGTGGTCGGAGGAAAAAGGGAGCGCGGGGATGCCAAGTGTGGGGTGACTTTTAGGGATGGGATGGAAGAAGTGGTAGGTGAGGGAGACTTCACTTCAAGCGATGGACTAGCTAGAGAATGACCGATGGAGGGGGTGGTGGTGTGCCATGGCGCCGGTGTAAACAGCGGCACAGAACGGACAGTATTGCAGTTAGAGGAGTGCTCATGTAATGGAGATGGGGGGCGAGATTATATGACAGATAGGAAAATTAGAAAGAGTTTTAGGTTCAACTCGAACTCAAAATTCATGAAATACTTGGGAGTGAACCTGCCTCAAGATTTATCCCAGTTCAAATCTTTAAATCATGATACATTAATATCAAAAATAAAATTTGATATGGAAAGGTGGAATCTAATCCCCTTCACAAGTTTGGTTTCAAGAGGGAAGTTGTTAAAATTAATGTACTTCCAAGGCTACTATATACAGTGCATCCGGAAAGTATTCAAACCACTTCACTTTTTCCACATTTTGTGTTACAGCCTTATTCCAAAATGGATTAAATTCCTTTTTTCCCTCAAAAATTCTACACAAAATACCCCATAATGACAGAGCAAATAACTTTTTTTAGAACATTTTGCAAATGTATTAAAAATAAGACACTCAAATGTTGCATGTACATAAGTATTTACACCCTTTGCTATAAAACTCAAAATTGAGCTCAGGTGCATCCTGTTTCCACTGATCAGCCTTGAAATGTTCCTCCAACTTGATTGCAGTCCACCTGTGGCAAATTCAGCTGATTGGACATTATTTGGAAAGCCACACCTGTCTATATAAGATCCCACAGCTGACAGAGCACGTCAGAGCACAAACCAAGCCATGAAGTCGAAAGAATTGTCTGTAGACCTCCAAAACAGGGTTGTATCGGCGCACAGATCTGGGGAAGATTACAAAAAAATATCTGCTGCATTGAAGAGCCCAAAAAGCACAGTGGTCTCCATCATTGGTAGAGTGGCCAGACAGAAGCCACTCCTCAGTAAAAAGCACATGACAGCCTGCTTGGACTTTGCTAGAAGGCACCTGAAGGACTCACAGACCAGGAGATACAAAATTCTCTGGTCTGATGAAACGAAGATTGAACTCTATGGCCTGAATGCCAAGCATCATGTCTGGAGGAAACCAGGCACCGCTCACCACCTCGCCAATACCATCCCTACAGTGAAGCATGGTGGTGGCAGCATCATGCTGTGGGGATATTTTTCATTGGCAGGAACTGGGAGACTTGTCAGGATCTAGGGAAAAATGAATGCAGCTAAGTACATCGAAATCCTTGATGAAAACCTGCTCCAGAGCGCTCGAGACTTTCGACTGGGGCAACACTTCATCTTTCAGCATGACAATGACCCTAAGCACACGGCCAAGAAGACAAAGGAGTGGCTTCAGGACAAGTCTCTGAATGTCCTTGAGTGGCCCAGCCAGAGCCCAGACTTGAACCTGATTGAACATCTTTGGAAAGACCTGAAAGTAGCTGTGCACCGACGCTGCCCATCCAACCTCACTGAGCTTGAGAGGATGCGCAAGGAAGAATGGGAAAAACTCCCCAAATCCAGGTGTGCCAAGCTTGTTGCATCATACACAAGAAGACTGGAGGCTGTAATCGCTGCTAAAGGTGCTTCGACCAAGTATTGAGTAAAGGGTGTGAATACTTATGTATATGCAACATTTGAGTGTTCCTATTTTTAATAAATTTGCAAAATGTTCTAAAAAAAGTTTTTCGCTTTGTCATTATGGGATATTTTGTGTAGAATTTTTGAGGGTAAAAGGAAATTTAATCCATTTTGGAATAAGGCTGTAACATAACAAAATGTGGAAAAAGTTAAGTGGTATGAATACTTTCCAGATGCACTGTATATTCCAAACCCTACTGGTAGAACTGCATGGAGGTATGTGTAGCCCCACACTGTTAAATGGCCATTTAAACTGTGTGCACACATAAGGGGGTCATAAACCTAATGCATTGGTTGCCGAAGCAGGGAACAATTGACTTTTGCGTTGAACACTTGTTGCTGTGAACTGCTCATTGATTGTTTGTTCATTATGGAGACTCGCGATGCGGTGTCGGACTTGGTTACCAGGACTAATGTGCAAACTGTGCGTAAACCTCGTACTATGACTGGTGGCGTTGAAACTAAGACCGAAAAATGGGTGGTCAAGCTCACTAAAAAGGCGCTAGTCAATAAATTGGAAAAATTGCAATCTTACAGAAAGGCTTTGTTTAGCAAAGCAGCTAACATAAGGAAAACAATACAAGACTTAAAGGTAAACCATGATAACACAGGGGTACATGATGCTCTCAGACAACTGACTGAAGTGTGTGGTAAGGTAAAAAATGTCCATGATACTCTGTTGGGTCTACTGCCATGTGATGAAAAAGAAAAACATGAAATATGGTTTAAAGCAAAATGTCCAATAATGAGTGTGTTGCAGATGCAAAAAGGTGGATTTCATGTGATGAAGGTAAGAAAAATGGTAATGTTGTGGACGATATTGGTCCTAATGACAGTGTTTCTAATGAAGGTAAATTGAGCTGTAACAGTGGTTGGTCAGTGCACTTGTTGCTCGCGTTGAAGCTTTAAGGCAATAACATGCTCTGGAGGAGCAGGAACAGCAGTTAAGGAGGTAACGAGAGCTACTTGAAATGAAAGCTGAAATCCACTGCTAACTTGGCAGTCCTTCATGCTTCAGCCAGCAGAAATGCTTCTAAAACATCCAGCAATGGCATGAATTCCTACTTGGAAAAGGAAACAAGGAAAAACGAAACCATAACTGTTTTAGATCCTATGGCAGCAGAGTACAAGCCAGAAACATGGAAATCAACACAACAAAATGATATCACAAAATGGTCATTACCACCCAAAGGAACCCTAACACATGAACAACACAAGGAAACTGAGTAATGGGTTAAAGCTGCTTCAAAGTATCAATACAGCCCCAATGGATAGCAACAGGAAAGCAAACCAATGGAAACATCACAGTATTTTCAACAATAAGCCACAAATGCTCAACCTGCATATCATCATCAAATCAGTATTAATCTACTTGGAGATATACTGAACATCATGCACAGGCAGAATGAAATAACGGTGACTCTGGTGCAGCAGCAGCAGTTGATGTCACTGCCACCACTAGATATTCCCACATATGATGGGGACCCTATTCACTACAGGGCATTCTCAAAGCCTTTGAGAAAGGAGTGGAAGAAAAAGCAGGAAGTGCAGACTGTCTTTATTATCTGGAGCAGTTTACCAGAGGACAGCCTCATGAATTAGTGCGTAGCTGCCAGCATATGACTCCTGAATGTGGGTACGCAGTGGCAAAGAAACTTTTAAAGAAACATTTTGGAAATCAGTACAAAATCGCAAGCGCATACATGGAAAAGGCTTTGACCTGGCAGACAATAAAATCTGAGGATGTCAAACCACTCCAAGCCTACTCCTTAGTCTTGCGTGGATGCTGCAATGCTACGGAGGAGCTCCAGTACATGCAGGAATTGGATATGCTAGTCAATATCAGGGCCATTATGTTCAAAGTGCCATTCAAAATGAGGGAGCAATGGAGGACCATAGCTCATAACATAATGGAGAGAACCAGCCAAAGAGCTTGCTTCACTGTTCTGGTCAGTTTTATTGAGCGTCATGTCAGAATTCATTTCGGACCCTCTGTTTGGTGAGATACAGGATCCAGTATCTGGTCTTTCTGGGATGAGGATCAGCACTGGGTTTAAATCACAACCCAGAACCAGTGTTAAGGGAAATATTGTTGCCACCACAGTAACATCTGTGGAAGCTCCTGAAAGAGTTTAAGAGTCACCTACACCAGACTCAGGAGAGAATGAGAAAGCTGGATGCATTTGCTGTGCTCAGAGTCACTTTTTGGAGGAGTGTGAGTAGTTTAATAGAAAGTGGCACAAGGAAAAGATCCCATTTCTGAGAGGGAAGGGGGTTTGTTTTGCATGTCTAGGTGTTGGTCACATGAGTCGTGACTGTGAGAGATGCTTAACATGTAAAGTCTGTGGTCAAACTCATCCCACTGTGCTTCACATCAAAAATAACCAGGTCTGGAAGTGTTGGACACATCGAACCAGACAACTTCAGTGAAAACATGTGGACATACAGGGGCCGGTGAGGACCGGTGTGTTCTGTCCATTCTCCCGGTAAAGGTGAAATGTGCAAAGGGCAATCAAGTCATAGAAACCTATGCCTTCTTGGATCCGGGTAGTTCAGCCACATTCTGCTCTGAGCATCTAATGCGGAAGCTGAATGTCAATAGTAGGAGAACCAGCTTCCTGTTAAGCACAACAGGGCAAAAATCAGTTATGCCAGCCTTTGCATTAGCTGGTTTGGAGGTCTCTGATCTGGACAGCAATGATTGTCATGTGCTCCCAGAGGTTCTTACTCAGAAAAAAATGCCAGGATAACATGGTGACACCTGAGGAATTGGCTAAGTAGCCATATTTGTCGAAGGTGAACATTCCAATCATAGAAGCAATGTCGACCTGTTAATTGGAACCAACGCCCCCAAGATATTGGAACCTTGGGAGGTTATTAACAGTCACAGGAGTGGCCTGTATGCTGACATACAGTGCTGGGATGGGTTGTTAATGGTCCACTGAATGGAAACAGTGGTGCTTTGGAGGCGGAGCTTTCCTTGGCTATGGTGAACAGGATCTCTGTGTGTAAACTTGAGGTAATGCTGGTTGATCAGTACAACCATGAGTTTGATGAGAAGGCCACAAAGGAGAAAGAAATGTCCAGAGAAGATCTCAAATTTCTGGGAAAAAATGGAACACTCAGCAGTGTGTTAGGAAGGAAAGTACTGTCTGAAGTTGCCTGTTTAAAAACAAGGAGATCTGTCTGCCTAACAATTTTGCTTTGGCTAAGCAAAGGATCCAGGGTTTGAAGACAAAGTTCCTGAACAAAAAAACAACTGCACCAGGAGTATGCTGAGTACATGAACACGCTCATAAGTAAAAGCTATGGAGAACAAGTGCATCAGCAACAACTGCAGTGTGAAAAGGGTCAAGTGTGGTACATCCCTCACCATGGTGTCCACCATCCAAGGAAAGGATCCCTCCGTGTGGTGTTTGATTGTGGAGCCACCTTTCAGGGAGCATCTTTGAACAGTGAACTGTTGCAGGGTCCAAACCTCACCAGCTCACTGCTTGGAGTCCTTGTCCGTTCTAGGAAGGAACCAGTGGCATTCATGGGAGACATCCAAGCTATGTTCCACCAGGTGAGGGTCTCTGAGTAGCACAAGCATTTTTTGCGCTTCCTCTGGTGGCCAGATGAAGGAACTTGTAGAATACAGGATGTGTGTGCATTTATTTGGTGCAGTTTCATCTCCTAGTTGCACAGGATATGCACTGAGAAAAACTGCAGATGATAACCAGTCTGAGTTTTTTTTCTAATTTCTATGTGGATGATTGTCTGAAGAGCTTAGCCACTGAAAGCGAAGCTATTCAGATTTTAAGAGATCTGAGTGCTTTGTGTCTGAAGGGAGGCTTCATCCTGGGAAAATGGACCAGCAACAGTCGTGTTGTGTTGCAAGTCATCACAGAGGAGCAAAGGGCCAAAACTGGAATGGCACTGGGACTGTGACTACTCCTCCTGACTGGTGAGCGTGTGCATTGCATCATTCTGTTCCTTGCTGTTGAACTGTTTGTGTAGCGTTTTGCTCCTCCTGATAGCGTTCTTGCTGTTTGGGTTATTTTCTCTCTTTAATCTATCAATACATCTGTTTGTTTAAAAGTCTGTGAGTATATCTTATAGTTTTCACCAAGCACCATCTTTATCTCCATTCCAGGTGATCTCTCTGGTGGTTTACTTTATTAGCTCTTAGTTTCTCTCACTAACGATGGCTTCCCCTTGGTCTCCTGCTTCTCCTGTTCCCTTCTGCTCAGTGTGTCAGATGTTTAGTTACTCCTCGTCCTCCTTAGACGATAATGATACCTGCTTTAAGTGTAGTTTATTCTTAGCTCTAGAGGCAAGGATTACAGAGCTGGAAAAGCGGCTCTGCACTGATGCTAGAGTAGCGGTAGCTAGCCAGGACCCTGTAGCTGGTGCGGGTCGGCCTAGCTCAGATCTTTATGTCCCATATAAGTCACGAACCAGATTTCTCTCTCTCTGAGTGTCTCTGAGTCTCTTAGCTTCCCCTGGACTAATGCTGCAGACAGTCTGCTGTGGAACTGCCTGACCCCCGCTGCATCGTCTTTGATTGTCCACCTCAGGCCCTGAGCTCCTCCATCTCTTAGGCTCCTCTGGACTGTTGCTGCAGACACATACATCAGCCTAACTGACATCAATAAAATAAAACTAGAGTAAACTGCCATTGAGTTTTAACTTGAATCACCTTAAATTCATTTAACATAGTCCATAATTAGTTACTTCATTATCCTGTACATTGAAGTCATTTTCTCCCATCAAATTGCAAACCAGATCTCTCTGTATGTCTCTGAGCCCCCAGTCTCCTAGGTTGCTCTGGACTGATGCTACAGATGAACGGCTGCTGCAGACCTGCCTGACTCCAGCCACATCATCTATGACTGTCCGCCTCAGGCCATGAGCGCCTTCTTCTCTTGGGTTCCTCTGGACTGGTACTGCAGACATGAACATCATGTCTTTCTGCCTGTTAAAAGGAAGTTTTTCCTTGCCACTGTTACTCATGTTAGATGAGATGGGCCAAAACCCATCTTAGGTTGGGTCTTGATAATTTATCAAACAATGAGTGTGGTCTAGACCTGCTCGTGTTCTTTGAAAAGCGTCTTGGGATGACGAGTGCTGTGAATTGGCACTATATAAATAAAATTTGATTGATTTGATTGAATTTGAAAGATCTAAGGGAGTTGGATCTGGATCAAGATACACTTCCAGTGGAAAGGGCTCTTGGTCTACAGTGGTGTGACGAGACCAACTCATTCAAGTTCAAAATGGACATGAAACTACAGTCCCACACCAGACATGGTATGCTGTCAGTTACCAGCTCTGTGTATTACCCATTGGGTTTTTTGTCACCAGTCACCTTGCTTGCCAAAATTATGCTGCAAGGATGGATAGGATGGTGAGTTGCCTCAGGACATCTGACCATGATGGAAAAGGTGGTTGGAGGATTTGGATCAGCTGACTGCATTCAGTGTGGGTCAGTGCATGAGGTCAGTGGAGTTTGGAGAGGTCCAACATGCCCGACTGCATCACTTTGCCGATACCAGTGAAAACGAATATGGAACTGTACCATACCTCCTGATGTTGAATCATGGAAATGACATCCAGGTCTCCTTTCTGCCTGGTAAAGCCAGGGTGACAACACTGAAAGCTGCAACCATTACCTGACTTGGGTTGACCGCAGCTGTTCTTACCGTCAGAGTGGACTGGCTGGAGGGTCCTGCATTCCTTTGGAGGCATGAGGAGGATTGGCCCAAAGCTTTGTTGGACATTTCAATCGACTCTAATGACCAGGAGGTCAAAAAGGAGGCTCTTACTGTTTTGGATGAAGGCAAGGTTCAAGGAGGCTGGAATTCATTGGACTTTTAATCCACCAACAGGCCCACACCACGGTGGTGTGTGGTAATGGATGATACGTCTGGTGAGAAGAGTTCTCAGTTCTGTTCTGCGTCAGCAGAAGCTGGACGGTGATGGGCTGCATATAGTGTTCTGTGAAGTGGAGGCCATCTTGAACGATCGTCCAATTACAAAGCTCTCAGATGATGCCAATGAATAGAATAGAATAGTCCCTTATTGTCATTGTAACCAGTACAAAGAAATTAAAAAAGTGCCAAACAGTCAGTGCATCATTAAAAACAACTACAGAATAAATAGCAGTACTAAATAAATAAATAGAGTACTAAATAAATAAATACATATTCAGTCACACATAACCTTCCTTAAGGCATTGAGGGTAGTTATTGCTGTCGGATAAAAGCTGTTTTTAAGTCTGTTTGTTCTTGATTTGATTGACCTGTAGCATCTGCCTGATGGCAAAAGTTCAAACAAGGAGTGACCAGGATGGAAAGTGTCTCTAACAATGCTCCAAGCTTTTTTAGCACAGCGAGCACTGTGGAGGTCATCCAGTGAGGAATTTCCAATGACTTGGAACCTCTAACACCTAATCATCTTCTTCACTTGAAGGGTAAACTAGCTTTGCCACCAGTATTGTTTGAACCTCATGATGAGTATGTACGGAGGGGCTGCAGACAAATACAGTATCTCTCTGATCTTTTATGAAAGAGATGGATACGAGAGTACTTGCCCCTGCTCCAAGAAAGGCAGAGTGGAATAAAAGGAAAAGGTTTTTGATGGCTGGAGACATGGTTATCATGGATTCTTCAGCTCCACATGATTCCTGGCCACTTGGCAGGGTTCTGGAGGTTTTTCCAGATAAGCAAGGGCTCTCTGGAACTTTTAGAAGAGGTGGAGGAGAGGAGGATTATAGCTGTCAATTTGTCCTCTATGCTGGCCAGACTCCCACCCCCTCCAACACACACTCACTGCACTAAGGAACTCCATAAAGGACAGGATGCTCCTTAAACTTCAGTGTGCAATAAACCATATTTACATGTATATTCTCTGCACATTTATATTCTGTACACATGTATGTATGTACATAGTCATACATGAAAATATCTCAAATTTTCTAACAGTAATATATCAAACATGTACATACCAGCTGTAAATAACACTCGTGTATATATCATATTTTAACTCCTGAGTTTTTTGGAATTTTTCCTGTTGGACCGATAAAGGAATATTTTATCTTATCTTGGGTTCTTCCGTCTTCATCCTCAGAGAAACAAGGAAGAGATCTGTGCTTTTAACCCACAACACACCAAGATGAAATCAGTTACTTACATGCCTTTTGTGTACGGGGCCATTAGGGACCAAGTAGAAGAATTGTCAGTTCGTGGAACTTTTGAGGGTGTAATTGTGTAAGGATGTCGTTATGAGAAGAATTTTTGTGAAGATGTGTATTTTGGTAAGTTAGAAAGGCATAAGCACTGGGGTTTGGGTACAAGTGGAGGGGCCAACGAGGGAAGGGCGGTCCCTCAATGGGTGCGCATTCATTTCATAGGGGCACGAGGGGCACATTTACTGTGTGGAACCTGGCCTGAACTGAATCTTCCACCGAAGTTGAGACACAGCTGCATGCATTCCTCAATCAGATTTTTTGGCTAATTTTAAATACACTGATGTAAAACATTCATCTTTAAAAAAATTATTCTCTTTCTGAGGTGAGTTCTTCTGAAATATTGAAAATTTCCTAACACCTGATGACTCCCAGCATACATTGAGACTGTTTCTGTCCAACCTGAAAAACCTAGTAAAGGTGAACCCTCTACATTAGAATCAGAAAGTTTGTATTAACCAGTCATTCACAGAACAAACTTGGTAAAACCCAGGAATAAGTTGATGTGACCACAGAGACAGCAAGCTGGGATTTCAACCTGCACCTTGAGAATGGAACAACTCAAGACAACAAGGGAGGGACCTCCAGATATGACTACGCTGTAAGCTTTGGAAGGACCCATTCCACCTTAAAAATCTTCAGGGCACAAAGAAATACCTTGCAAAGAGGAGAAGAGTACAAAGCAGAAGATTAACTGCAAACTAGATGCAGGGGGAATTTGTCACTTTTGATTCCCTGAAGCACCCACCTTGAGGCGCACACACTCGGGTGAATGAAAGACGATGAAGGCAAGCTCTTGATGGTGGATAAAGGCAACATTTTAATAGCTGACACTTAAAGATTTTGCCTTTTAGAGGTAAGAGTCCCTGCATCAACACAGAAGGGAGCCAAACTTCATCATGGGATTACCATGCAGTGTCAACAGCATCAGGTACACAACAATGATTACTTCGCCTGGCTTATTGACCATCACCATTGCAAAAACTACGAGACAACTTCTGTTACATTTTTTTAACTTACCAAGGAGGCACAATGTTGACTACAACTATACCTTTCCACGACCCCCCACAAAAATTATCCCCGGAACCCCCATTCATCAACCCAAAAGATTCTTCCTTGATAATCCTGCAATACTGTAACCTAAAACTTGGAAGACTAGTGAATATATGAGTGTCAGACATTGGCCCAAATACAGAGATAGATCTGTGTGAACTACAAAGCCGGAAAACTCAAAACTGAATCTAAGGTAACAAGTAGTTTACTTTACATGATCAGTTTTTGATCCTCACCTATGATCTCTGATGTCGTCACGGTACTTGAAGCCTATTGGACGATCCATGGACCAGTCACTTTTTATGGACCCACACCTGGGATTATGATTGGGACAGACTTCAGTCTGATGGATCCTGAAATTCAAAGATAACAAATAACCAAAATAAAATAATCAGTATAATGATAATAGAAAGACTTTTAGAGAGCTTGATAAATTGTTTATTTGCTGAATCTTTACTTTACTCCTACCAAACCTTTTTACTAATTTCTGACTTTTCATTAATGCTTTTTGAATTCTTGCAGCAGTTTCTAATAATAATAATAATAATAATAATAATAATAATAATGATGATGATGATGATGATAATAAATGTTATTTATATGGCACCTTTCAAGAACAGTTGTCACAAAGTGCTTCAAAGTTATCATATAACAGTCCTTATCTTATGTTATATTTTTTTCCTCTGTGTTGTTTGATTTTATTTCAAGTTTACTTCACGTTTTTAGTGTAGTGTGTGTATGTATGTGTGCAGGTGTTAAAAACAATTTAATGGATTTTTCTGGCTTTTCAGTTTACAAGGTCAAAATCAATCACATCTTAAGTATATGATTAATATGTGCAAATTATTAAAAAAAGATAAATATCTTTTACACAGTTGTCTTTTTAGTATGTTTCTTTATCTTTCCTTTCACATTAATATTAATATTAATATCTTTATTATTTTGTCTAAAGTAATTTGATAAGTTTGGATTGGTCATAAAACCTAAAAGCTAAAAAAACCTACCTTTAGTTATTGGTACACTCATGTTGTTATGTGTCGGCTAACATGAGCTTGGTGTGTCAATGTCAAAACACAAACAGCAGACATGGCTCAGTCCCACATTTTTAAAAACAGCAAGTTGACTCAGAGTTAAAAACAAAAAGACTGATGGATAATTTTAAGACTTGTGATTCAATTTTTCAGATCAGAAAATCCAGAATCTGCTGGTTGAACATGAAGGGCTGACACAATTGATGTGTCTCTATATAAAAAAGCAAATAAAGAAACAATCTGATGCAACAGGTGGGCATTTGTGTGAACTAAGGGTTGTAATAAATCTTGACTCCAACTGACATGTCCAGAGTTTTGTCCATATCTTTTATCTTTATTTATAAGTATGTAATGTTATAATTCATACATCTTTTACATGTTTAATTGGATCTAGCGGGTGTGGTTCTTTATCAACGAACTACCTTTTTTTCCTAAATGTGAAAACACAAGTTAATGGTTCATTATCTTTTTCTGATTTTATCCTCATAAAAAGGCATTATTGGACGTGTTGTCTTTTTTCAATAAAATGTACAAAACACATGAAAAAACTAGGTTCTCAAGAAATGCAGGCTGAAATTAAATATAAAGGGGGAAAAAAATCACAACTTTCACACTAAGTTGAAGTTCTCACCTTTGATTTTTGAAGCCTATCGGACGGTCCATTGACCAGCTGCTCCTGACAGACCCACACCTGGGATGATGATCAGCACAGACTGCAGCCTGGTGCATCCTTAGATAAATAAAGATCATGTATTCAAAAGAACATGTCACTTTAACCAGAAGCTGTACAGAACAAGGTGGGATATTCAGCTGTGCTCATAAGTTTACATACCCTGGCAGAATTTGTAATTTTTGAGCCATTGTTCAGAGAATATGAATGATAAAAGGAAAACTTTTCTTTCACTCATGGTTTGTAGTTAGGTAAAGCCATTTATTGTCAGACAATAGTGTTTACTCTTTTTAAATCATGATGACAACAGAAACTATCAGAAGTTTACATACCCTGGAGATTTTGGCCTGATAACATGCACAGAAGTTGACAAAAACTGGTTTTAATGGCTACAAAAGGTAACCACCCTCACCTGTGATCAGTATGTGTATAAAACGTAAGTGAGTGTTTCTGGGCTCCTTACAGACCCTTGCATCCTGCATCCAGTGTTGCACTGACATTTCTGGATTCTGAGTCATGTTTAAAGCAAACTAATTGTCAATGGATCTGGGGGAAAAGGTAATTGAGGAGAGAGATATAAAAGATATCCAAGAAATTGAGAATGCCAATCAGCAGCATTGTCCAAAATGACAACTCTTTCCCCATCTTCTACTGCAGACTTAAGCATCTCTGTGTTCAGTATACAGGAGTCTGGTTGTCTGGCATGCTAATTATCACATCCCCCTTCTTCACCTATCACCAACCTCGGACATTCTTGTCAATCATGCCCCCACCTCCCTGCTCAGAGTGAAGAAGCAAGTTTGGCCAAGTTTCTTTGTTGCTCTCTCCGTCGTCTCATCAGCATGTTTACAGCTTTAGTATCCTTCTGTCATTACAATCCCTTCACGTGTGCGTTCATAAGACTGTAAGTAATTCTGTTATCACATGTTTAATAACTGATCAGGTTTGTTTATTCACAACTACCGATAATTATACTGCAGCTCACAGATTTATATAATCACTCAGATTTCTGCTATCTTCATAAACTGTTCTTTCAAACATGTTATCCTTCTGCGATAAGCTTAGTTTTCTCCAGATACTCCATACATTGATATTTGTAATCTTAATTGTTGATTTATACCATGTTTATATGCCGTTATTTAAAATTCACAATGCTCAACATGTTGCATGCAGGGTCCACTTACAGACTGACATCAATTTCCCAGGCTCTGCCAGCAGGAATATGTGTAGCAAAGAAGTGACTGGGAAAAACGGTCATTTGTTAACACTCCCTAGGTCCTGAAGAGTGAATTGGTGTTTTCCTCTATGTTTTCCAGTTCATTGATACATTTCTCTGTTTTCTTATCATTTGGCATTTATTTTAGGTTTATGTAGAGTGATTTATCAGTGTTACATTCATAGTATTGTATTTATACACGTTTCTAATTTCTTGTAGAAACCACACACACAACATATCATACCACACATTCAAAGGATCATCAAACAAACAATAAAGAGTGGAAATTGGAAGAGAGTGAGTCATTTTGCCATCATTCATTGTTCTGACCTGACAACCTGTGCCGACCTGACAACCTGTGCTAACTCCATCTATTACATCACCAGCAAATTCAGTTTTATTGAGGTCACAGGTATGGAGTCCAGTTAAACCATTGCCTCTTTTACAAGCATTAAAAAGCATTCTGTTGAAACCAAACCATGGTCAGGTAAACCAACAAAGATGTCCAAGACAGTCTGGCTGCAGACCACTGTGAGGACCCACCTCCACTGAGAGGACTGGAAGTTGACAGGAAGCCTTTCAAAATAAAAGCAAATATGTCAGGTGTACTTTTTTTTTTTAATGTCTGAAGTTGATTCAAAGCTTTTTAAATTAAAAACGATTAGACAGGGAAGTACATATTTTGTTCTCATGTAAATATATTTTATTTTTTAGGGCTTTATTTTATGTATGAAATGTTAATATGACTGAATCTTTAATCTTTTCAAGAACTTTACTATAAATTTCTCACAGGGCTATTTTCAACCAGTATATAAATATCAATTTTTGTTGTCAGGTCGTTTGTCTATGAAAAAGCACAAGGGCTAACTTTAGTTGGATATTTAAGTTGACCCACCGTACACAGTACAATTTGTTTGCCTCTTCAATGTTAGCAGAAGACAGAAGTAATTTATTGTTTCACTTATCTGATTCTGGTTGGTTAGCGGAGGACCGGTGTTATACCGTAGAATGCATCCCCTCCACCCATTAGCTTCTTAAAGTGGAATAAAATGATCTCATATTTAAAAAAACATGAGTATTAGATCATGACAACATGTCAAATGGAGCAGCAAACTTTCGTTTTGTTTTTATGTGTCTCAAAAGTGCACATATAGAGGTGTACTTGGGTGTATAAACTGTACAGTAAGCTGTCGAGGTAGAGAACATTATATTTTCGAGACAGCAAATATTCTGAATCAGAGGGCTATCGTTTTCGGCTTATCTGAATAGCCTGAATGAAATCATTACACGCTTTGGAATCCATCCAACGGTAAGGAAAACTTGGATTATTTCGCCCAGTTAAATACTTTCAATCGCGCTTCCGTCAGGGGTGCATTCTATGGCACGGGTGCATTCTACGTAGGGTTGGGTATCGAGAATCGAGTATCGATGGGGACCGGGACTAACATTTCAATTCTTCCGGTATTGTTCAAATATTAAAATTTCGATTCCAAGTTTCGATGCCAGAGTCCGCCGACCGGAAGAAATAGCAGCTGAAAATCAACGAAGAAGAAGCCACTTAACACCAATGAGGACGGAGCATATGAGACGAAGCCACATATTAAGTGAAGAGAGACAGAGAGAGAAAGTACATTGCAACCCACAGCAATGCAGCCGCTGTGGGTTACAATGCACTCTCTCACTCTCTGTCTCACTTCTCTCTCTGTGGCTTCGTCTCATATGCTCCGTCCTCGTTGGTGTTTGGCGGCTTCTTCTTCGTTGGTCAAAAGTTTGGCTAACTTTAGCAGGAAGAATGAACTCTTATCTCAATGCAACATTAGCAATACAGTTATATCATGCAAAGGAGGGTAAACGACCAACATGATTAAACACCTCAGGATTCATGGAGGAGAAATACCCGAGTGCTTGTCTTTGACACGCTTCGCCGGTGTTGTCCCTCAGAATGCACCCCTGCCGTTGAATGCACCCCTGACCGGAGCGCGGTTAAAAGTACACAACAAGGCGAAACAATTCAAGTTTTTCTTACCGTTGAACTGAATCTAAAGCCTGTGCCTTTAATGATTTCATTCAGGCTATTCAGATATGCCGAAAACAATAACCCTCTGATTCGGAATATTTACTGTCCCGAAAATATAATGTTCTCTACCTTAACAGCTTACTGTACAGTTTATATACCCAAGTACACCTCTATGTGTGCATTTTTGAGACACATAAAAACAAAACGAAAGTTTACTGCTCCATTTGACATGTTTTCATGATCTAATACTCATGTTTTTTTTTAAATACGAGATCATTGTCTTCCACTTTCAGAAGCAAATGAGTGAAGGGGAGGCATTCTACAGCAGGGGTGCATTCTACAGCACAACACCTGTCTTCCGCTAACCAGTCAGGATCAGATAAGTGAAACAATAAATTACTTCTGTCCTCTGCTAACTTTGAAGCGGTAAACAAATTGTACTGTGTACGGTGAGTAAACTTAAATATCTACCTAACGTTAGCCCTTGTACTTTTTCATAGACAAACGACCTGACGACAAGAATTTATATTTGTATACTGGTTGAAAATAGCCCTGTGAGAAATTCATAGTAAAGGTCTTAAAAAGTTAATAGAATTTGAAAATTCATGGAGAAGTTCAGAAATTTCATCCAAAAAGAAGAGTTCCGGTTAGCGCCCTCACTTAAACCATGTTTTTTTTTTTTTTTTGATATCCTGCCTTTTAAAAGAATCGAAATAGAGAATCGATAGGAATCGTTCAAAATCAAACGATGCCCAACCCTAATTCTACGACACAACACCGGCGAAGCGGTCAAAGACAAGCACCCAGGTATTTCTCCTCCATGAATCCTAAGGTGTTTGATCATGTTGGTCATTCACCCTCCTTTGCATGATCTAACTGTGTTGCTAATGTTGCATTGAGATAAGAGTTTTCTTCCTGCTAATGTTAGCCAAACTTTTGACTGCCGCCGCTGTGGGAATCGGAATGTCAGTCTCGGTCCCCATCGATGCTCGGGACTTGATACCCAACCCCAATGATTGGCAATCAGCTTCACCTGCTCCAGAGGGTTTAAAGGCTCGGAGCTCCTTGCAGACTGCAGAAGCATTTGATGGGGAACTGCTGCCTCTCATTTGTGTTTTGAATTCTTGGAGTTTGTCTTGTTAATTTGTTCTTTAGTTAATCTTGGTGAATTATTCAATTTGTTATCTTCAGTTACAATAAATCACAAGATGAACTTTTGAAGATGTGTTCTTGTTGTTTTAATGGGTCAATGTGCGATTAGTTGATAGCCTCATACGTCTGCCTTTGGGCGGGGAGTAAGACACATGAAACTTGGTCAAAATTGATGGAAAGATGAATGCAGCATGTTATCAGAAAATACTGGAGGAAAATTTGCACTGATCAGCCCAGAAGCTGCGCATGGGATGTACTTGGATGTACTAACAAGAAAACAATCCAAAACAAAAGGCCAAGTTGACCTGACATTGGCTACAGCAGAGTAAAGTGAAGGTCCTAGAGTACACCACAAGAATTTACTGTAATTGGGGGCTTTTTGCCAAGAAAAATGGGCAGCTAAGAAATAAAGAACCTTATCCACAACTACTACAAGACTTCAAGCTGTCATTGATTTTAAAGGAGGCAATATATGGTATTAAGAACTGGGGTATGTAAACTTTGGATCAGGGTCATTTGGGTCGTTTCTGTTGTCATTATGATTAAAAAGAGTAAAAACAGGATTTAGAGGAACTTGCTAAAAGGTAGGTGTGGTTTATAAAAAAACTCTGAGTTTTCCCTGCCACCCGGTCATTTTTCAAACCAGTTGAGCTAAATGATAAGAGTAAAACTAAGTCTAGAGTCTGCTGAGGCTCCAGTTAGTCCATCTGAGTGTGTATAGAAAAGGCTCGGTTGATGTATGAGTTTAGTTAAATGTGTGCTCTGTTCAGTGATCAAGAGAGAGGCGCTACCTGCTATTGAGAGAGTGTGTGATGCAGAGTCATAATAAGGTGTGTGGTGAGTGATAAGCTGAAGTGTGAAGTCTGTGAATCTGGTCAAACTCTAAATCAGCGTATAATGATTGATATTTATGATTGAGATTGATATTGATGTCATAATTACCAAACAAGATTATCTTTTAATTTGACACCTGCTTTGCCTGCATTAACATGACATAAAAACTCTTCAAATCTTGAATATTCTCAACTTTTTGAATAACCTGTGTCCCATGATCACCTGTTTGGGTGAAAAAAATGTGGCTGCATCATAAACCACAGAGTTCAGAGAAATAAAACTGAAAGACTCTGAATTTGGGAGAAGGAATCTGGAAGATTTTATAACAGGTTTCTAAGGCTATGTTCACACTGCAGGTCAATTCCAATTTTTTAACCATATGTGACACATATCTGATTTTTTTCATGTAAGGGTGAACAGTGCAATTCTGATTTTTTCAAATCCAACCCAGGCCTCTTTTGTATGTGGATATAAATCGGATATGTATCCGATGTGACTGCAGTGTGGACGCTCAGGTCGCGTTCATCTGACCTATATGTCATCAATATGCAACAAATGTCACCATTGTTCGACAACACAAACAGGTGCGGAAAGCAATGGCGGACGAGGGAACGGAAGGTTCGACGTGACAGAAAGTCAAGTCCTGCTTTGTGCGCATGCGGGTCACTCCACGGACGCATTCTGTTCACATTAGATGCCACATTCGTTGTTGTAATGCCAACAACTGCACAAAAAGATCGGATTTAACAAAAAATCCGAATTGTGCATCATAACCTGCAGTGTGAACGTAGCCTAAATCAAAGTCAGACAGCTTGGTCTCACCTCTGAGATTTGTCTCTCTCATTCAGACTCCCATCAGATAGGAGGAGGACCTCTCCTTTGTCCTCACATTGATCCATCACAGAGCCCCCACTTTCAGACACTAGAGACACCACCTGTGGGAAAGGCCACAAGTTTTTACTCATCTCGAGTCATACTAACAACCTAGAGAGAGAAAGAGAAAGACGGAGAGAGAGCTGCACAATAGACCTCACTGTTGTTATTCTGAACAATCAGTGCTTTTGTTTCTTTCTTGATTACTCAAAAGCTTAGTGTCCTGGCAGTAACGTTGAGTCAATAAAAAGGTATAATCTTAAGGGCCGTGTATATTCAGTGAAATGTGGAGTCAGGGGGTAAAATCTCTAAAATCTGGTGTCATCCAGTGAATCTTGGTTATACCAGCGTCGCCCCCCCCCCCCCCCCCCATTAACAGCACAGACAGCCGCCATGTTCGTTACATATAGATCACTTCCGTATTGTCATCTTAAAACCAGTTTGTGGCAGCACTTTAATTTAAATTTAGACAATTACTGCTGCACCGTTACACTTTTGTCCTACTTAAAACTTACTGTACCTGATCTCAGACCTGTTTACCTGTGAAAATGACCCTCTAATCCACAGAGATGATTACGTCTTCTAAATACAGGCCTATCTGTGTTTTAACCTGTCAGAATTTTATTATCACTGACTCAAACAGGATTTTAATCCACTACGAAGATAAAGAACACCAAAAATTTGACCACACATACTTATTTTAGCAGATTAAACACACTCACCAACGGTGAAATTGAGGAAAACTCGTAGCTGACTGTTACATCAACAAAAAAAAAGCTACCGAAGCCAAAAAAGAGTAAAAATGTCGAGGCCTTATCTGTTTACGGAGAGAGGGATACCGCGTCACCTTCCAAACAAGAGCGAGGCTGCAGACAGCAAAGTGAAAGTTTAGCGACAGTTCAGGCAGTGAAGAGCATAGATATATAGAAAGACTAGATGGACGATGGGACTTTTACCCGCGTCGTCACCGAGCGGCCATCTTACCTAGGGGCACTCCTCCCGCGCACTCAACAGTAGTGGATGGAAGGTGAGCGACCTACACAAACAAAAATACACTTAACTCGCTGAAATCTGGACGGATTTAAAAACGTTTTGGTTTATTAAAAACCTTATTAACGTGGCTATGATTCAGGCCGCGTGGACATGTTGAAAGTGCAGCTTTTCTTTTCGAAAATCAATTTCATTTTGTTGCATAGTTGTGTGTCTGTCACACCAATTTGCAAGGCTGCAATCTGGGGGTTTCAGTTATTATATACGTTTCCGTGAGACCAATAAGAAATTGTGACAACCACATATTTTGTCTAAATGACAATTTGTGTGGATGTAGTTGTGTTTACTAGCTAGCTAGCAAAGTTGTGAATGTGACATAGTGGTCCACTGTGACTATTACAGAGTAGCCTAGACATAATTCTTAAAGGGGACCTGCCATCAAAATTTCATACCCATTTTTATCATTTTTTCATAATCCTTGATGTCCTCTGATCATGTTTGCAACATAATTTTAGCTGAAAAGTTATTTGAAGGTTTGTTTTAGTATGCCTAAAAAACCTTACAGGAAAACCAACTGATTTTGGCTCATTAACATTTATGTTAATGAGCTTTGCTCTGATTGGATCGCTGCTGTGAAGCCTGCTGTGCTCTGATTGGCTCAGCAGTGGAGGTTCGGATTTCGGTTTATCAATTTTGCTAATGTGTGCTAAAGTAAGGTGCCCAGATATCTGTAATGATATCCAGGGATATTCGGTGCGGCGGCGGCGGCGGGTGCAGGGGCTGCAGGGGCTTAGTGATCACAGACAAAATCTCGGTAGGCTACTAGTTAGTAGCAGCGCATGCCCCTTGTAATAACCCCTTAAAAACTGTTGTTCATGACTGCTTACTTGTGCTTCCTACCTATTCGGCTACTGTAATAACCGTTGTTCGAGCCCACACGCAACATTTTTGCTCTCATTCATGCAACGCTTAAATCTGGGACATTTTCGGGGACAGCTTTTGCCGGGGACAGGTCATCCAATACAGGGACTGTCCCCTGTCATCCAATACGGGGACTAAGGTGACGTTTGGTCACCTTATGCTAAAGGCTAAAAATGGCAGGTATTAAACCATATATTTTAGACCCCGAGTCCGAAGAGGAGGTGGAAGTTGAAGAAGAAGCCAGAGATCTCCAGCGGTGTTTTCTTATTCATTCTGCCTAGCTTTAAGTTCATTTTCCTGGCAGTGAACCGAAGGAAACACGGGTCGTTTGGAAGAGACCCATAGCGGATACAGTGGTAGCTGGGTCTTGCTCTGGCTTTGACTGAGTACGAAAACGAGAGAGTGGGCGTGGCTCACTGAGGACGCGCTTGTGAATAATAATGAGCAAGGCCAGCGTGACGTCAGAGGGACCTGCTTTTTCAATTGGCCTGGTTTAACCGTTCCTTTATTTTAAACCTTTACAGAATACAAATGACGTAGCGGTTTATTTTCACATTTACAACATAAGACGAACATAATATGGACCTTATCTGACACAAAAAAACACAGAAAATTACATTTTGATGGCAGGTCCCCTTTAACAAGTGGGATAGGCAGAATTACTCCTTTGTTTTTACAAACATAATATGATTTCCAAGCTGTTTCATTAATAAAATATATCCTTAATTTAGATTCATTGTGATACAGTAAATGCCTGGCTTTGTGTTTACAGAAATACCCCCTACAGTCCAAGATGCCAGACTTTTGTGCACCACATGGATGCTCAAATGAATGTTCTGTTCAAACAAGAGCCCGTGGAATCACCTTTCACTCGTAAGAAATGACTTGAGGGATATATTTAGGATAATTGTTACTAACTTAGTTAAATTTGTACTTGTACAATACAAGTTATTTTTACCCTGACGTTTTAGAAATGTTTCTACCATTTGTTTACATAATAATCATTGAATATTTCTTTTTCACATTTTTTTTACATGTTACTGTTATTGACTTGTTATTTAAGTTTACATAATGGCATTCAAGCATAGGCTATATGAATTACCCCAACAATATCATAATTTAGCTCTAGTTGTGTCCCTTTTTTTAAATTAAGGCTTCACCACATTGCCAAAATGACTACGCTTAGCGTACAGAAAGACAATGTGAGACAAAAGCTCACCAAAACAGTCCTTTTCAAGGGGCAGTAGCTCAAACTGTCCGTGCACTTGTATATATGTTGGTTTTGTTGCGATCATGTGAGTGACTGTTGATTTGGAGTGAATGTTGCATGGTTTAGTGTGACTGTTGGTTTGGAGTGAATGTTGAATTGTTTTGTAATTGTTCACATCTGTTTAATAAAAGAACCTTATGTCATGTTACTGAATGTGTTTATTTTAATTTTAATTTTAAAATATATGTAACAGAACGGGTAAGATGAACAAACCATCCCCTTGATCTTTAAAATTATACACATGAGTTGTTATGTGACCCTAAAATAAGAACACAAACATTTATTCCAACAGGCCATGGAATTTTTTACATTTGTGGTATAATTATTTTTATGTTAAAGCAAAGGGACCCAGGTCTAAACTTATACATCATGCTTGTTAGTGATATTCAATGTTTAGAACTATGTGAGTCATTAAGCAAAATATCATTCTTAAGCATTAAATTAATTAGGTTTTATTAAAACGATGGCCATGGGGCTAGATGAACCAAAAGTCTTGTAAATTGAACCAATATGAATCACAATTTATAGAATTTTTATTAGGTCTTTGCTACTCAAATTAGCAGAATGATCTTTTATTTTTGATAAATACACTCATTCAAGAGAAGTTTTCAATATTATATTAATAATTGCGAATATTAAAAGGTTCTGAAAAACAAACTTTAATTGGTTTTATATTGTTTAATAACCCAAAGAAAATATTTAAGACTATTTAAAAAAGGGAAATGTCTTATAAAATTATTTTTCATCAGTAAATACATTATTTGTTAAAGTTTTAAGATTGAGTTTAAAATATCATGTTGGTCAACTTACCCCTTTATATTTAATATATGTATTAAACAGAGCTATAAAATATCTAATTATTAAATGTTTGATATAAAAAACACTGACAATTTAATTTCACTGTGTGTGTATGTTTGCAGCTATGGCAGGTATTGCTCCACTATCTCCTTTTTTAATTTAATATGAAAGTCCATGGTTATAATTATCCGTAAATATGCAGAAACATAACTACATTTCTGGCGTTTATAACAAACCAATCCGTTTGAAAATCAGTTGAAATTTGAGCAGGACATGGTCATTGAAACAGTACATTAGACATTAATGTTATCAGTGGGCCAGCAGCCCTTAGGTAAGATGGCCGCCGTGTGACGACGTCAGTCCCCATTGGCTCACAGCGTAGGTAAGCTATCTAGTCTTTCTATATATCTATGGTGAGGAGTGTGGTATCCTGACTTAAGGGGGCGGAGCTTCAACACACTGATGAATTCTGGGAAACTGAGTCAAAGAAGGCAACCCAGCTCAAACTCCCGAATCTGAAATGTGGGAAAAGTGAGTACTTTAGTTTAGTTTCAGCCCAAAATTATGATGTAATATTTAAAATGTTGCATTATGGACATTAATTAATTCTGACTTTTGTTACAGCATTATATTAGTAGATAATTTTTCCAGCCAGTGTGGAAAACAAAAATAGAAACTAGAAAAATGAAAATACTCCAAACATACAATGTAACCTGTGGTGTCTGCACCAAGGGTAACCGGTTGTGTCTGACTCTACGTGTGTTTGGAGGAAAGACTCAGATGTGGTTAAAAAGAATAATGACAAATTCATGGGCGGTTCTAGCCCGTTTTGGGGATGCTGCAGCACCCCTAAATTGAACCCAAGCTCCCCTAAACTTTAAGAGATTTTTTTTCTAACAGTCTTTGTTTAATAAGCTGAGGAAATGTCAAAAACATATACAAGATGGGGTTTAAACGTAATATTTTAACAACAGAAATAAAGCAGCACCCCCATGCTTCGAAAATAGTTCGACCCCTACGTTTACCCCTCCCAACCTCTGAGCACTTTACTTACGATGAGGTTTCCCAGTGTGATGTGTAAGTACCAAACAGGGCTGTTCAGTACACGCTGCCTTTCGTCCGTCAGCGGCTGCGGGGTGGGGGTTGGGGCTTGCCGTTCTGGAATTATCCCCGCTTTCCCAATGACTAGCACTAGCAGCACGTTCCTGTCACCAGTCCTTATTTCTGCTGCATTGAATCATAGATAAATGTTTATGTTGTTAGGTAGCAGTTAGCTGACATTTTTTCTTGCTAGGAATACAAGTGGCCAGTCAGCCACTGTCCTCACTCCTCAGTTTGTATGAAGCAAAACTGACTGAACTGATGCCTAATAAAATTATATAACTCAGATTGTGTGTGTGTGTGTGTGTGTGTGTGTGTGCAGACAGACATCATCATGGACATAAGATATATTTTCTGAAAGAAAAAAAAAGAGCCAGGTGCAGGTAAGAGTGTGTGATCACATGGTATGACCTGACTTCCCACACCAACCAAATATTTTAAAATGATGCAAGTTGGATCAGTTCATCAATTTACATCACTTCATAGATATTAAAAAAAACATTGGTTGGTTGTCTTTAAACTGTTTATGTGTATGTGTATCTCTACATGTGATGTATGCGCCCCTATATCTGCGATGTATGCGATCTCTCTCTCTCTCTCTTTCTCTCTCTCTCTCTCTCTCTCTGACTGAGATGGCGTGTGAGTGCTGAGAGCGAATCGAATTTTGATTCAACTTTTTTGTGAGTTTTGTGGATTTATTTCTCTTTTCCTTTGGTGTGAGTGTGTTTATCAGTTGTTTATTTATCATTTGGTGTTTAGAGGGCTGTGTTTTGTTGCGTGTTTGAGTGTGTATGTACAGTAGCAGTTCGAGGCACAGGCGAACAGGGCAGCCGCCCGGGGCGGCATTTGTGTCATGACTCATGGGGGGCGGCAAGAGCACTTCCAAAAAAAAAAAAAAAAAGATAATACTAATAATAAATCTGCGCCGCAAAGTGGTTTTGTATTAACTCTTGTTGTCAAATTGGCGCCCCCCTGCTGCTGTAGGCGCCCCTGCTTGCTGCAAAGGTGCCGCACAGAGGCTCACAGACGAGGCGGGGAGAGGGTCGCGGGAGACAGCTCTGCTCTCAGGATTGCTCTCACTCTGCCAGTCACGGTGGCTCAAGCAGAGAGGAGCTTCTCAAAACTGAAGTTGATAAAGTCGTACCTAAGGTCAACCATG